CGGGACGAATATAGACTTACCATAAGGATACTCCATAGGGACGATGTCCTTCTTGTCGTCGAGGTAGTGCAACAGCGGCGAGAAGATTCTCCAGCTGGCATCCAACTCATCGTCACGCACAAAGTTCGAGTGATCGCCTTTCATAGCGTCAAGGATCAAACTCTCGTAGGCCTCAGGGATCTTCAAATCGGAGAAGCGACGTCGGTAGGTGAGGTCGAGCTCGGTGACGACGGTTTGCATAGACAAGCCTGGCAACTTCGAGTTCATCTTCAGGTAGACTGACTCATTTGGCTGAATTCGGATGACGAGTTCATTTCTCGGGATGTCCTTGAATATACCAGAGGTCACATCCTTGAACTGAACCCGGATTTCAGTCTTCTGCTCATTCAAAGCCTTGCCTGCTTTCAGAATGAAGGGCACACCGTCCCATCGCTCATTCTTAATGAAAGTGGCCAGTGCGCAAAAGGTGGGACACCGCGAGTCCTTGGGAACGGTATCGTCTTCCTTGTAGGCAGGCTTGGTGCCGTCCAAAGACTTGCCATATTGCCCAATGATGACATTCTTGGGCTCAATAGCAGGCATCGCTCTGAGTACCCTGACCTTTTCGTCACGGATATCTTCTGAAGAGAAAGAGATGGGTCGCTCCATGGCAAGGAGGGTTAGGACCTGGAGCAGGTGGTTCTGCATGACATCGCGGATGATGCCGAACTCGTCAAAGTAGCCACCACGTCCCTCGGTCCCGAAGGGTTCCTTGAACGTGATCTGGACGCTGTCGATATGGTTGCGGTTCCAAGTGGCACCAAGGAACTCGTTGCCGAATCGAAGGATGAGCAAGTTCTTCACCATCTCCTTTCCGAGATAGTGGTCGATACGGAAGATCTCCTCTTCTCTCCAGTCCGGCTCGAGGCTATGATTCGGTGAGTTAGTTGAGGAATCAAAGAAAGAGGCGAAGAATCAAAGAAAGAGGCGAAGAATCAAAGAAAGAGGCGAATTACTCACGCCCTCTGCAACTGCCGCGAGCTTGCCAAATCCTTTCCAAAAGGCTTCTCGATGATGATTCTCGCAATTCCTTTCTTGGGGTAGCAATTCCGCTTCAGATGCTCAGACACCGTGATGAAGACACTGGGGGGCAATGCCATGTAGAAGACTCTGTTTCCTTCCTTGCGGGTCTTCTCGATCTCCGTGATGTGCTTGTCAAGCTCTTGGAAAGGCGCATCTTGATCGTATTGGCCCGAGAGGTATGTGCAGACGGAGCAAAACTGGTCGAGCTGTTCCTCCACCTCTTTCGTCGGGGTCTTGATGTATGACTTGACTCTTCGGAGGTATTCAGTGTGGTCCATCTTAGTCCGAGCATATCCAATGATCTTGATGTCTTTGGGAAGGAACTTGTTGCGGAACTGCAGGGATTGGTTGTCAGCCTGGTTACTTAATGGAGTGCTGGTCGAGATCGAGCTTGACGTGAGACGTACCAACCCGAATAGCGCAGGGAAAGTCTTCTTCTTTGCAAGATCACCGGAGGCGCCTAGAACGACGATGACGGTGTTCTCCTTGAGCTCGACGGTGCTGTTTAGTAGACCACCTTGTTAGTAAAACCGAATTCAACAAATTTCATGGTGGGGGTAATGCGATGCTGTGGCACGCTTCAGCATTTAAACTCACCCTGCATTCTCAGGATCCTCTGCGTGAATGATTGTGTCGGCCATGGTGACAATGTGGGTGCGAGAGAGATGAGGTAATGAGATGGAGGGAGGAGAGAGAAGTCCGAGCCAAAAGTCGTGGATGAATATTTATTGAGATGCTGTTGTCAATATGCGGTGGGATTGGCGGCTGTCAATGACAAAGCCGTGCTGGGTGCCCGGAAATAATATTTGACTATTGCTTTGGTGATTATTGCGGCGCTTCGGGGTGGAATTGCCGTCAATTCGACCGCGGTCGTTGTGAGTAGTGATGGAGATAGCGGTCGGTGGTGGGGCAAGTGCAAGCAGCAGGAGCAGCAGCAGGACCCTATCCGTGCAGCAAGCTCCCCCTCCAAGACGGATATTTTGAGCGCCCCGCGATCCTGACACTCGAACTCCTCTTCGTGATGCTGGATGCGAAGCAGCAGGAGTTTCGAATGGACGCGTCACTTTGCCTGGCCTAGACGAGATGATGCTTGCTACGTGCAGAATAAAAAGAAGAAGCAGCCATCCCGGGTGCAACAATCGATCAGTAATGATATATCTACTTGTGCTCAACCTTTCAACACTAATCAGTCAGCATGCGGAACTCGATGGGATGAAATCCATGACTGGAGCATGCTTCGCTTCTTGATTGTCTTTTAGCCTATCGTGAGGGCAGCTTCTGTTTACAGGGCCCTTGTGCCATGCTTGAGTAGCCGGGATGGTCGGCTACCCGCGAGTCCCTGGCTGCCCCTGGGCTCCTTCATTGTTTACTGAATTCACCACAGCTGCTTCGTCACTCGTGCAGGGTTAGTCATCATTTCGGTGCTACGGATTGCTAACTCTGGACAATTTCTGGAAGGCCTCCCAGGACTTGGGATTGGTTTCTTTTGGATGTCTACCATCATCGTCACCCAAGCTGTGACAAGGACTCTACGTCTCACCGCGCGTTTCTGAAGCTGCTCACCGACGGCCCGGAGATAGTAGATGGGTCTCGGTCCACGATTGGTAGACGCGCCGCCTTCTGCAAAGGTGTTGTGAGCATTAGCCTGTTCTTACCTCAGACGTGAACAATTTCGCACACCTAGCAGTCGCTTTTGCATAAAATAGCAAGCGGTCTGATATATCGTGCCCGGGTTCAGGACGGTGCTGGGTGTACCTCGGCGACATGAGCCTGAATGCACTTTAATGGGCCGCCCACGAGGCTCGTTGCGTGGTACGAGGTTTGACTCCATTTCAAGCTTTGTTCAACGGATGGTTACCAGGTACTGTACTCCATTGACGAGTAAAGACAACCAGTTCGTGCCCCATACCTAATAAGGTAATTCTCCCCGAGAGCTACGGAGTGCGAATGGTATCCAAGCGTAGAAATCTTGGCAGTTCCTTCCAAACCAGGCCTAGTCACACAAATCCCAAAAATCGCAGGGGAGCGAACTGCGGACTGCCAACTTTGACGACCATCAAGGCTTCAACCAACAACCCACCTCGACGATACCGTCCCAGTCTTTACCCAAAGTCGTCAATCCAACACCGTCAAAATGGGCGTCTCCGGCGGCGGTCACAGATGTACGTACAACCCTGGCCCTTCCGACCATCCCATGGATCTCCACGGAGGATTGTCGTGTGAAGGATCTGGCGATTGAAACTCTTAGAGGCCTGTTAACATACAGGCCCGAGAGGCGAGGATACGAGGAACACAAAGACTGACACTCAGACACAGTATACGTCAAGGGCAAGCACCTCTCCTACCAACGAGGCAAGCGCAACACCAACCCCAACACCTCATTACTCCAGATCGAAGGAGTCGATGACACAAACGCTGCAAAGTACGTACACTGCCGTATATCGAATGCCCCTCAAATCTCCTCATTGCATATTGCCACAAGAGAATCGAACCGCAAGAGGGGGGAACTGCTGGCGAGCTTTCAGAGTCGGCACGACGGACAAAAATCGGTTGAGATGTAACGCATATTGCGCATTCAGCGTGCCCACACACAATACATCTACTAGCAATTCCACCGGGCAGAACCCCCACTGACAGCCACATCTCCCCTCATCGGCAACGATACTAACATCCGCCTCTACTTCTAGATTCTATCTGGGCAAGCGCGTTGCCTACGTCTACCGGGCCAGCAAAGAACGCCAAGGCAGCAAGATCCGTGTCATCTGGGGCAAAGTCACGCGACCCCACGGCAACAGCGGTATCGTGCGCGCAAAGTTCAGACATAACCTCCCTCCCAAGAGTTTCGGCGCGAGTGTGAGGATCATGCTTTATCCCAGTTCGATATGATTTCAGACGGAGCGGCGAAGCGTGGATGAGCAAGTGAGGCTCCGGAATGCTGCGAGTGATTGTGAAGGTGTGGGTGGACAGTTGCTTTGATATGGAGGAAAAGCGACCAGGCTGGGAGCAAATGGTTGTTTTGGACGCCGAAGAAGCTCGAGTGAGGGCCAATCAAGGGAGGAGAAGGGGAAGAAAGACCCCCCGATCATACTTCAAAACACCGAGGCCAGTGGACTGGTCGATCTACTGCAGCCTGGTAGGCCAATGTCTCTCCTCTTCCGATGGGACAAAACGCTGGAAGATCAAGGCTCGCTGCATGCCGTTTGACAGAGGGGCTGAGGCGCATCGCTTGCACACACGATCCGACGTCGCAAGATCTCAATGCGTGGATCAATGAAAAAGATCAAACTTCTACAGTTCATATGCCCTTACTTTGATCGTGCTTGTGTTTTCTTGCCTTGTCCAGTTTCCATTGGCGTCAACAAATTGGTAGCGATATACCACCGGTCAAATGCTATAGCACCAGTTCAGTCACATGTCGCTCACACACCTGTAGCTTGCTCCACGTGCTCGTTCTGCATCTTACAATCCTGATAGATGCCCTCGACCCTCCCGTCAGGACGACACACAAGGGGCACGACACTAATCAGAACGAGGACCATCAGTCTCTACAGCCCCTACAGTAACGAGATAACAGGTAATGGATCTGCGACAAGGGGCATATCAAACTGGAAGGATCACCGCCAATAAAGAGAGTATAATGGGTGGTATAAGGACAACGAAATTGCGCAACAATGGCGCGCGCCAGATCCACTTATCTTATATGCAGAACTAGACCCGATTTCGAAATATCCCACCCAAAAGACAGTCCGACAAATCCTCTCTCTTGCAATGCTCATGAAGAACTTGGACCCCCAATGACAGGTCTTATCAAGGCATTGACGAACAATGCAACACCCCAGGCGATCCCCTCGCCAACGACACTTCCTGGACAGAAGTCTGTGCCGGCGTTGATGACGAACGCTAGACGATCAAGTCAATTAGATACCCCAGTCAAATCATCATAGCAAGGGAGAGGGAAGTGACTCACTGCTCCAAAGAACCCAACTTGTGGCGAACACCGCAATCATGTTGATCCCTCCAACGAGGAAGACGAACCTCCAAAACTTGGACAATGGCTCACCCATGGTCTCGGAATAATGAGTCGCGAAGGCCAACGGGTCGTAAGCGATCTTCTTGCGGTCGCGCGAGCAAGCGTGGCCAAGCATGACCACGAGTAAGAAAGCAGCAACGCCACCTGCGCCAGCGATGGCGTAGAACGAATCCCAGAAGCGGAGGTATGACGAGTCGTCTGAGCATAACCCTGCTGCCAGACTGTCCGGGCGGTGGAGTATATACCATAGCGCAAAAGGTAAGGAGAACACGTTGAGTAGTGTATCTTCCACGACGTGATCCTTCATGCTCCATAGATATGAATTTTGGTTGCCCTTCTGCCCGAAGCACACGCGGGCAATAACGAAGAAGAAAAGCGTGAAGCTCGAAGCTCGAGGACGCATGGTCCAGAAGCCGAAGAGCATGAATGGGTCTGGACGGAAGCCGTTGTTCCGCAAGAGGTAGGTCGCTGCGAGCATGGTGATGATGCTAATGATTGTGGTGACGATGGCAGCAAAGGGCGTCCAGCGGGTACTTGGAAAGCAAGAAACCTTGGAGACGAGCCTGCGGACTCGCTCATGGCCTGCAAAGAATTACTAGAGCCCTGATACGCGATACGCCATTTTGCGCGAAAGGCTCTGGAGGCTTACCGAATATTAAGGACAGTAGGGCCACTTCGGCATTGAATATAGCGAGTGAGGCGAGCAGTTTATGAGTGGTAGGACAGTTTGTCAACCCAGCTCGGTCCACGAGACCTCGGGGCATGCAGTTGAGGTCACTCATGCTGAGGCTAATACAAGATCAGGCTGAAAACGTCGACCTCCTGGGATGTCTTCGGTGCTGCGAACAACGCTTTCGCAGATGTAGAGTTCAAATAGATAGACAGGCAGGAAGCTTGTTCGAGTAGTGATCACCAGGCTGGAGAGGAGGATAGCCCGGGCCATATATACCGGGTTCGCATCGTGGCAACATGGGACGTGGAAGGCGGCGAGGCTGATGGTGGGGGCTATGCCACCTAGAAGCCTCAAGGGTAGTGTATGCATGCCCAGGTTATGGTGTGCATCGCGAGGTATCATATGCCCAATAGAGGAAGGGGATCTAAGAACAGAGGAGAGATACATCCAAAGCCCGACATACGTTCATTGGCGAGCACTTGCATGTCCGTTGAGGGATTTGGCCAGCTTTCGTAAGAGTTGGCGAGACATGCACAGCTTCGGTTGTGGGAGGGAAGCTTAAAGCCTGGAAGGCAGGATTTGGCGATTGTCCGAGGGGCAGCATGTTAGCGCATAGTCGACTTCGATGTCTCAATCAACTAGATATGGCGACGACCGCATCTGGAAACTGGGACGCTTCTTGTGGACTGTGGGGAGAGCCACAAGTCAAAAGGTTCAGAGTCGTAGTTTCCAGCAAGGCAGAGAATAAACCTTCGTCGACTCTCAGCCTTGCGAACGTGCGAAGAGACTCTTCCCCAGGAAGGTCACTTCTCTTCGTGAATTTTGAACACAAGCCATTCACCTCACGAGAACTGGCCTAGTTGGCTGAGATTGAGGCTATGACAGAGTCATTCGTTCCCAGACAGAATTGAAGTTGATGTGATGGAGATTGGAAACCTGTCTGCAGGGTCTGCTCGAAATGGCAAGCGAAGTGGGCTGGGCTCCTCGGCCACATGGTTCGTGCCGCTTGTTGGCCCAATGACAGAGGATACACACCCTCAGCCGCAACCTAAGCTCGCCTAAGAAACGCCCAAATGGGGCGATGTCTCCCTGAGGCGCTCTTTCTCGTGACCTGTACGTTCTGGATTGACAGTGGAGGTTCGGCTCTGAAGAAGACCGTGCCGCTGTGGCCGATGGTAGAGGTCCTAACACACTTTCGTCACCAAGGTGCATCAAAGGCGGCATGTCAATCCCGCCTCTACTGTGTCCCAAAAACCGCGTAACAGCCTCAGTCAAGCCGCTTTAGCCGTCTGGCAGCTTCTGCCGAGACCAAAGAGCACACTGCCCCGGTGAACATGCACACAGCAATGGCATTTGGAGCATGCTTCTTGACGTTCAGCCAGCGGTGGTGATCAGGATCTGTCTCTGCATCATGATCGTGTAAACCAGGCTCCAGGAGTGAAAACACAACCCAACTGACAAAGGTCCCGACAAATTGCGGTAAGGTGGTGTATACGTTCAGAACGCCTAGGTAGACGCCCGCAAGCTCTCCTGTCGAAGCCCGAGCGCCATTGTCATTTGAGTGGCTGAGATGTAGCACTCCATCAGAGAGGACTCTGCGATGATGTTGTTCAACGTCCATCTCAACACCATAATCTTCGTCAATGCTGCCTCGAACAGTTGTGTAACCGGGTCCAATCGCGCCGTTGACGCTGGCATGTGGGACGGAGGACATCTTGTTGATCTCGATTCCCAGCAGTGCAAATGGTGCCCAACATGATACTGCCCAAGGCAACCCACAGGAAGCGACAAGTTTTGTTGCCGAAGACAGCGTTCGAACGAATGGGGCGAATATGGTGATAATCGCAAAAAGCAGGTTCGACAAACTCCACGCCGTGGTGAGATCAGGTTGTACCTGGTAGGCCTTGATCAGGAGCACCTGCAAAGGCCGAGCTAATGCGGTAGGTGGCCTAGGAGTAAACCTCGACCCGGCTGTTTCTGGGGATTTGATTGCGTAAGGCAGAATGACAGAGGAGCAAAATGTAATCAAGGAGAAGAACACCAGGGCGAGGCTGCCGAGCCGACCTATATTTCCTAGGGCATCATGCTCGTCCTTTTCGCCAGGCTCAGGAGCGGGATGTTCATAGCGATAGTAGATCTCGCCCACGAATGTGCTCGAATAGAAGAGGAACGGGAACCTGTATAATTGCTGTCAGTATTGGTTCTCTGCATACCACAGACCTGGCTTACCATCCAACCCAGTTCCAAAATTGCACCCAGCATATAGCTCGTATCCTTGGAGGCAGGTTGATCGTCCTCCGCCACAAGTTGGAGAGCACCTCTTTCACTGAGGTATTCTCATCATCGTTAGGTAACCGCACTCTCTCCGTAACAGCCCAACAAGAAACGCCGACTGTGGCCCACAGAGCCGACGTCGCAATGACAGTCATCTTCTTGAACTGGGTATCACCACCAACCCAGGTGGGGAACATCTTGACCAAGTCAAAGGTACCGATAAAATAGCTGGCCAAATGCCCTGCCGCAACGAGTCTCGATGCCCAGGCGGATCCAGCTTGTTGCTGCGAAATTGGAAGTGTGTCCACTATTAAGCTGCGACAGCACGCCTGCACAGCATTGATCGAGAAGTCCAGCGCATATATGCACAGGACAGCCACCAGGATTGTGACATTCTCTTTCATGTCCCCTTCGGATAAGAAGAGCCCCACCGCTTCAGATGTCCAACCCAATAGCAGTAATCCTGCGCCTGTGACAATGGAACCGTACACCATGAACGGTCTCCGTCTACCGAATCTTGAGATAGACTTGTCCGCATATGCTCCGACAATAGGTTGCATGATTAATCCCGACAATGGTCCTGCGACCCATACCAGAGATGTCTTGGACTTCGTGAGGCCCAGTTGGAGGAGGTAGGGGGTGCCGTATGTCATTTCGAGGCCCCAGCAGCTGGATCACTGTTAGCTCTCACTGGAGATGGCCCGCTTGACAGCGACTCACAATCTGAATAGCACAGTCGATCAGCATTGTTCCCTACACAACTGGAAGGAATGGTCCTACTGGATGCCAATGAGAGAGGCCGTCAGCAGGCACATACGGACGGCCTCGGTTGAGCCTCTTATCGAGGGTGTACCACTCCATGCTGATGTTTTCACCATTGCTGCTTTCAAGCGGAAGGGAATGAAGTTGAAGCAAGTGATCAAGATCTAGGTCGTGTTTTCCGGGGACTGGGCGCCATCGATGGACAGGCAAGCGCATTCAAGAGCTCATCAATAATGATACTCGTCGGTGAAATGCTCATGCATGCCATGGCTGGCGCAAAAGGGGTGCCGTTATCTTGGGTAACTTATCATCGCAAACGCGTTTCACATACTTGAAATTAACTGACGCGTTTGGCCGAAACCGTGACGTAACTAATTAGTTGCCCCCAAATTCTGCCTCCGCTTGGGGTCATCGGTCTCTAAATTCTAGCATTCATTGTGAACTGCCTACACAACCAGTGAGGTGGTTTGCTTTTCTCTATCTGACTCATACTCACGCAATATTGCAACCGGTCGTTTGCTTATTGCGCAGAGACTTCATTTCTTGATGTAGTCCTCGGATGTGGCACCAGCTCCTGAAGAAAGAATCAGCTTGTTAGCCCTGATGCTATGCATTTAGACGGCCGCACCGGAGATGAAGAACCACTTGTCGACGCTGCCATCGATAGGCGCAGGTGCAAGGTTCTGTCCTGGAGGAATCTTGGACAACTGGGATTGGTCGACACGGTCCGGTGAGGTCTGATTCGTGACGTTTGCCAAATTGATATCGCCACGCTGTTGCTTGCCAGTGACCAGACGTTCCCAGGCATCACTACATTCGCGGATGATCTCCTCGGCATACTTCTTGTTCTTGCATTCACCGCTAAAGGCGAACTGGTTCTCCGGTTTGCCATCTGGGATCTTGTAGATACGGAACCATTCGTTCGTGGCGCGGAGAAGGCCTGGAAGATGACGCTCCACATCCTCAATGTCGTTCAGCTTGGGCGCAAGAGGATCGTTCACCTATTTCGAGTTAGATGAAGGAGCCGGCGGAACTTGGTGTGGCTACTTACATCAATGACTATGATCTTCCAGTCGGTCTCTTCCTCGTCGAGCAATGCCATGACACCGAGCACCTTGACTTGCTTGACTTGACCAGTATAGCCAACCAGTTCGCCAATTTCGCAGACATCTAACGGGTCATTGTCACCCTTGGCCTTAGTCTCGGGGTGGACGACGTTCGGGTCTTCCCAGGTCTGTGGACAATCAGCCTCTTCTAAAGCCACGCTCTTGGTTGCGACCTACTCTCGGGAAAGCACCGTAGTTCCAGAGGTAACCTTTGTGAGGAAAGCAGTTGCGAACAAATCGAAGCTTGCCTTTCTTGATGTCCTGCTTGATGGGGTTCAAGAACTCGTCTTTGGAGATCTGACCGAAAGTCAATATGTTATTTCTGTCATGCTCCAAACTGACTGACCTCAAGCTTTGCGTTGGTCCATCTTGGGATCTCGACGATCATGTTCAGAATGGTCTGCTGCTCATTGGCATAGAGCGGGATGTCATGGAAGGGAGACAGAGGTGTGCCATCTTTCTCAATATAGCATCGGAACTCGGTCGTATGCAATGCACCGATTTTCCTGGGCTGGAACTCAGAAGGCTGCTTGCTATATGACATGGTGGAGGAGGATGCGGAAGACGGCGAGGAGGCTGTAGAGAGGTGTCGAACAATAGCTTCGGTACGTTGGGAAGCTATGGTGGGAGAGGTGGAATGACGAGGGGGAGAAAGGACAGATTTTTCTGTCGGTTTGGTGGAAGCCAGGGCGAATCGAAACGTGAGGGAACGATGATAAAATGTCTTGGAGGCAGGTGCAGCGCGGGGTGCGAGGGTCTGGCAGCGGCGTGTTGAGAACTGGCGGTGAAATGACGATATGCCCTGAATGGACAAGATGCGGCCAACGCTTCTGCAGGTTCGCGAAGATTGGGTTCGACTCAATACGGGCGTGGATTGAAACATGTGCATCTGGGGGATGAGACGGCTGTAATCCTGCTTATAGACTTTGGGACCTGTTGCCTTCAGCCTCCTAGGGAGACTCTTACTCTGACGGTACAATGCTATTCCACCTCGGTACAGAGTATCGAACATGACCCGAACAAGGTTTGATAAGTATCTCAATGGGCGATCGGAGCTCCCGCAGAGAGCTATCCCGAGTTTTTCGCTATCTTCACGTGTGATAAGGAAACCGGGGTTCGTGGGTTTTCCTCCGACTCTGCAGTTGAACTGCGCCTTTGGATTCACGAGTCACTCACGACAAATCATTTTCCACTCACCTTCACCTTCGCTTTCTACATCCTCGTTGGACCTCCACATATGACTGTCGGCCATGCTGTTAGGCCACAGTCTCTCCTACGACGCGCTGTATCCCTCGTAAAGTCTCTCTTGCCATCACGACCTTCCACTTCCACGATGGCTTCTCCTCTCCCGTTTCACGATGTTCCGCATGTTCCAATTCCAAAGCGCGGTGTCGATTATCGGGGAAAGGTGGTTCTGGCGCCCATGGTGCGATCGGGTGAACTACCGTCGCGCTTGCTAGCTCTCAAGTACGGCGCAGATTTAGTATGGGGCCCTGAAACCGTGGACAGATCTATGATCGGAACCACGCAGCAAACAAACCCTCGCACAGGCTGCATAGAGTGGTCTCGCACTTCCAACAACAACCAAACCAACGTCATATATCGCATCGATCCAGCAAGAGAATCGGAGAAGTTGATTTACCAGATCGGTACTGCTTCACCTGACTATGCGGTGCAAGCTGCCAGTCTGGTGGCTCCTTACGTTTGTGGCATCGACGTAAATGCCGGTTGCCCCAAACCGTTCTCCACCTCGGGCGGTATGGGTGCAGCGCTCCTTCGGACGCCCGAGCTGCTGTGCAGTATCTTGACTGCGCTTGTTACGAATGTTGGGACCAAGCACCAAATTGGTATTTCGGTGAAGATCAGACTACTTGAGACTCCCGAATTGACCTCTGAACTTGTCAACAAGCTTTGTAAGACGGGCATTACAGGTCTCACAATCCACTGCAGGACTACTCCTATGAGACCGAGAGAGCGGGCTATCAGGGACCAACTGCGGATGATTGGCGACATTTGCAGAAGCCACGGCGTTGCATGTCTCATGAATGGAGACGTCACTTCGCGTGAGCAAGGTCTAGCGCTCGCCAAGGAATATGGCATTGATGGAGCCATGATTGCAACGGCTGCCGAAGCCAACTCGTCTGTCTTCCGAAGCAAGGAGCAGGGCGGCTTGCTGCCGTGGCAACAAGTGGTTCAAGATTACATAGAGTTGGCAATGAGCGTCGAAAACAAGTTCGGCAACACGAAATTCCTGCTTTCACAGCTCATGCCTGGGAGAGATGTGGCATATCAACCAGTCCAAATGTCACGGAGCTATGCTGAAGCGATATCCGTGTTAGGCATGAATGACCCGAAGATAATAGAAAAAGCAAAAGAAATCGACCACATTCTTAATTTGGACGTGCGACTTGTGACAAAGGCGGACATCAAACGACAACACAAACAGCAGAACCGAGAGAATCAAGCCAAGAAGCAGGAGAAGAAGCGTGCTCTCGGGCAAGGTGGCGACCATTACCAAGAGCGGAGTAAGAAGCAGAAAGCTGAGATTGCAGCTGAAAATGCTGGGTTTGAAGGAGTTGGTCAAGGCTTTGCAACAGTCACAGCTTGAAAGAAAGCAACCACGGCAACAATCAAACTGTTCATATAAGACCATCGATCTTGTCGCCGCATACCCGTCTCGAGATGCTGCCGTTGTCCCCTACCAGATATCTGGATCTGGCTGCTCGGACATGGTACTTGGGGACCTGATACGGATGTCAGTTCTGAACGGCACGCTTGCCTAGAAGCCAGCTGTCGTCAGACAGGCACGAAGATCGTTGATACTAGCCATGTGGTATGCTCTTCCTCGGTTAGCCCTCTCGATGGAAGCTAAAGGTACTTCAGCATTAGCGACAATCCACCTGACTCCACCACCACTGGACTGTGTCTCACACACATCCATCAAATTCAGATCTCTGACGACAGAACAAAGCTATCGGTCTGCTATTCTTATCCGCATCGAGATACCCGTTCAATAATTCATCGTATCCGACCACACGACGATTGATTGAGGTATGTCTTGGCTTTTGACAAAGCAAGCATATTCGGAAGGTTGGGGCGACAAAAGCAAGCCTCTTTTAAGAACTCAGTCTGATGGAAATTATTTAGCCGCATAAGACTATGTCCATCATGAAGACGCCCCTGTTGGATCTGCCACCGCGAGTGAGAGTCTCTCATCGATGAAACTAGCTCTAGGGTTGACAACGACAAAGTCACGAGTTCTCCGTGCAAAAGCCGGCATTTACGCAAGTGCGGGCTCCAGACGTTATCAAAGGCAAAATGACCATCCTCCTGTACCTGACATATGAAGTAGCCCAATCTCAGATCTCTCAACAACTAACAGCGAGAAACTCGTCTTGCTCCGTTTCATCAATGAGCGGTCTTTCTACCGAATGACCGCGTCTCAGGACCTGGTGACTGCGGTCTCGAGATCTTCAACAGCGAGGTCACTTTTCCGACCGGCAAGGCAAGAAATGCACACACTCGAGACATGGCCTTTCACAACACGCCTCGCTCTAGAGGCAAATCCACTCACCACGAGCGCAGCTCGTCAGGAACTGCAGAAGTCAACGAGACTTGGTGATGTAGAGCTGCAAACGGCGTCGATGAGGTTAGTGAATCATCAAGTACCACCACTCAGGCTAAAATCGCGACTCGGGTGTTCGCTAGAGGTCAGGACTTCGGTGAGGTGGAAAGCGGCATGCTCTGGGACGATCGGATGAGGTTGGATGGTGGTATAGGGCGAACGAGAACAGGCCGTTGGGGAGCGCACATTGATTGACAAAGCAATCATATCAGGGAACCCCCAAGTGTTAGAAAGATTGAATCAGGAGGTGGAGTATATCAAATTGATTGAATCGATTCCCAAGACCACCAGAGAAGGTACGCACGATCGGGGCCAGGTGAGAAACACAAACCGGCTGGCGCTCTCATCCATCGCTTCCTGCTGGATACCCATGTCTCAGCATCATACGCATATCCCTTCCTCAATAGCACCGGCTCGAACAGCTCGAGATTACCCTCTCATCATCTCACACAGAAATTCTGAACTATGCTTCTCCAACTCGCATAGCAGTTACTGTGCGAACCCCCAATCCCTCCAAGTGCAAGTTCGCGCAGACTCCGCCCCCCCGTAGAGCATCTCCATCTGGACCTTTCTCCGGACGGGCACCGCCAGCATATGCAGAGGCGAACTTTCGTGAGCCTCCACGCCGGACACACCCTTTCGACCTGTCGCAGGCTGTAGCACGGCGCAGTGACCGGTATAGACTGCCAATATGTCACCCTTGACTTCGATGCTCTGCGTTGAAAGCTGGACGTTCCTGAGCACTTCAATGTGGATTTCCCGTTCTCTGGTTGAGCGAAAGATTCTCTGGGTAGCTCTCGTCTGACCGTGAATGATACGATAGACTTGAGATTCTCTTCCAAGTCGGCCAGCCCTCAGGACTACCCACTCAACTCCTCCTTCCGCGCCAATCCCCTGGCATGCCTATTCACCTCCTCGACAATATCCTGCAGCGAAACCTTCTCGCCCATTCCTTTCTTAGCTTTGGCCAACGCACTTGATTGCTCTGCCTCTGCTGCCTTACCGCCCCACGAATACTTTACAACCTTTCCATCTTTGAAACCTAGCTCTAATGTCGATGGTTCGGGGGAATGACGCGGTAGCGCTTGAGACTTTATCTGTAAGGTTTTGTGGGCGTTGGCCGGGAGGAGGGTCAGAAAGAGCCGCGGGATCTTTGACGAGGGCGAGAAGGGGTTGAAGGTGGCTTTTAGGCTGGTCAGGTAGGTTGTAATCATTTTGGCGAGAAGGATGTTGGTATTGGTCGAGCTGCGTCTGGGTGTTGCGAGCTCGTGTTAGCTCTGGTCACCTGAAGATCCCTGTGAGGGTGTTGTGTATTCCGGCGGACTGCTGGAGTTCTGCTGCGGAGAAATGTCGCGTGAATCTTTGCCGAGTTTGCACTGTTTGCACTGTTTGCATTGCCCGTGGCCTACACAGTCAAGTACATCATTGAGGACAGCTGTATGGCGGTCTCTTGTCCTTCCCCAGCACAAACGCCCTGGCAATGTCTCTTTCACTTTCTCAGAGGCTGCAAGCCCTCGCTGACTCGTATAAAGAAGTCGTTGCCCAAATCCAAGAACTCCGCAAGTTCAGTCCCGCAAATGACACGTCCGGCAACCCAGACGAGCGCAGAATGGAACTCGCAACCGAGATCCATGACAGCCTGAAAGAGCAAGAAGACACTTTAGAAATCCTCAGACAAGAGTTTGATGACGATACTTTCGCCGCTCACCTACGAGATTCTTCCCCACGAGAAGCCGAACGCGAACGAAATGCAGACTTACTACTACTCTTGACTGAAGATCTCAAAAATGCGCGAGCCAGTTTCCGCAAAGCCCAACTACAAGCCAAGCGCACTGCCGATGCAGAAAAGCGCAAGGAGCGTGAAAGGCTCTTCGCAGATAGAAAGCAAGACGGCCAGGCACAGCCGCGAGGACGAGCTACGCATGAGAAATTGACGCAAGACGAACTCGCGCTGCGCGCGGCCGAGGATGTCACTATAGCGCTGCGGCGCGTCCACAATCAGCTTGAGGGAGAACTATCGGTCTCGCAGTTTGCGCAACAGACTCTGGAAGAAAGTCAACAAGCTCTACAGACCCTGACCACCAGTTATGCGGGCACAACGGATTTGTTGAAGGCTAGTAGGAGTTTCGTGGGGCAGTTGGTCAGAAGTAACAAATCGGACACGTGGTTCTTGAAGACGAGTTTCTATCTTCTCGTGGCGACGATTGCGTGGTTGTTTTACCGGCGGATCCTCTATGGGCCCATGATGTTGTTCATTATATGGCCCTTGCGGATGATGTGGTGGGTGTCGGTAAAGAGTTTTGGAGTGGTAGGACTGGGCGGCAGGTCTGACGTTACGGCGTTATCTGCGCCTGTACCGACACTGACCGTGTCAAGGCCCGTTGGCAATGTGGGAGGCATGCCGACTAACGTGGGCGGTTCACAAATATACTTCAAAAGTATGCATTTACCAGCGAAGGGGGGCCGTGGCGGAGGTTCCCCCCCACAGATACCACAGCAGGAGATTGAAGACAGCATGGTTGATAAGATTGGACGGATGATGGAGAATCAACCGGGAGGAACACAAATCGACGACATAGCAGAGGAGGAGCCATGGCCGCAGGAAGACCAGCCCAGGAATCCAAAGAAGCGGATGATGGAGGTAGATGTTGAACCTGTTCGAGACGAGCTATGAAATGATACCAAGACGAAATGAATAGATGACGGATCATTTCTACAGTTCGCTTCGCTACGCTAATACTACTGTAGCTTCTCTGGTGATTCTCAGGCTCCTGATCGCTCAGCCTTGCATCCTTGCAATGACGTATATTGTTCAGCCTCGCCAAGAGACACTCAACGCGTCTCGTCGCGTCTTCTTTCGCATATCAGACAGATTTTCCATAGACTCATCCACGCGGGAACGTCGCCGTCAACTTAACTCACGAAATACGCACACATAATGGCCGACTTCTTCAGCAACAAAGCCCGCGCTGCTGCCGCAGCATCGTCCTCCAAGAACGCCACCACCTCCAAACCCATTGAAACAACAGAAAGAGCCGTCCCATGGGTCGAAAAGTACCGGCCAAAATCTGTGGGTTCTCCCTCTTACCGAAAGATTACATACCCATTATTGTCGCTCCGTTGGGGCCCTCCTGGATATTGGCTAATTGACTACGATACTTGCAGCTCGAGGAAGTCAAAAGTCAAGAACACGCGACGGAGACACTGCGGCGGATGGTGAACGCTTCAAACCTGCCACATCTCTTGTGCTATGGTCCTCCTGGGAACGGCAAGACGAGTACAATACTGGCGCTGTGCAGGGAACTGTTCGGCCCGGAATTGATGAAGACAAGAGTGCTCGAACTGAATGCTTCAGACGAGCGTGGGCTATCAGTGATCAGAGAACGAGTCAAGCAATTTGCTGCGCTACACTTGACAAACCCGAGCAGCAAGGAATATACGCAGAAATATCCGTGTCCGAACTTCAAGATTGTCATCCTGGATGTGAGTCTACCTTGGATCGAGCAGCATCTACCACAACAAGAAAGAGCCCGTGTCGAAGCGGCTAGACCTTCGGAGACCAGCCGCCCTTGATGACCGAGGATGTAGTATGCTAACGAGACGCGCAGGAAGCAGACCAGCTGACGCAGGACGCCCAAGGAGCACTGAGAAGAGGTACCTTCTGCTCTCCAATTTCCCTACAACTACCACTCGACGCGTGACTGACATGTTCTGGCAATCGCCCCACAGTAATGGAAATCTACAGCACCTCCACACGCTTCGCCCTCTGCTGCAACTATGTCTCTCGAATCATCGACCCCATAGCCTCGCGGTGCTCGAAATTCAGATTCAAGGCCATTGGCGGTGACCAAGCGGCGGCTCGTGTCGCAGAGATCCTCAAAGCCGAGAACGTCAACTACGCCGACGGCGTCATCGAACGAACATTGAAGGTCTCGGACGGTGATTTGCGAAGAGCGATCAATCTGCTGCAATCTGCCGCTCGGCTCGTAGGGGCTTCGGCGGCAAGCGAGAAACCGAACGCCAGCAGCAGCGGTAGCGGCAGCAGAAAGAATGTTATTCGCGAAGATAGCGACGATGAGATGGAGGATGTGGACAGCACCAGCAAACCAAAGGACCAGACCGGCACCGCGATCCGAATATCCGACATCGACGAGATCGCAGGGACATTCCCACCTGCCCTGACGGACAACTTGATTAAAGTACTCCAGAAAGGCAATACGAGGAACTACAACAACATTGCCAACGAAATCACGGATATCGTCGCGTCAGGATACGCCGCGAATGAAGTCCTCTCGGCTCTATATGCGAAGATCATCGTGGGGGACGAGGGAGACATCGTGATCGCCAAAAAGGGTGACGTAGCTAGGGCTTTGCGGAAGAAGGCGGCTCTGACGCAGACCTTCTCCGAGTTCGACAAGAGGTTGATCGACGGGGTGGATGAGCATCTCGCGTTGCTGGATATGAGTTGTCAGCTGGCTGGCGTGTTGGCTGCCTGACGGCCTGGCCTGGCCTGGCGCATGGGTGACCTGGTACAGAACCTCAAGGGGATGCAGAAAGAGACAGAAAAATGTGCTGTATGAATACTTTATGGATGAGACTCGGGACTCGTGGTATTTTTCCTGCATCAGCGAGGCGTTTACGGTATCGACAAAAATGAGTCGACTCTGTCGTGGTACCGTGGTATCGAAAGTTGAACACAGGCACGAATAACTGAATGAGAATGTGACCATAACATCGGATGCCATGATCATGTCTGTCCTCTTTCACGTTCTCTGTTTCTACCGTCTCCTTATGCCACGAATTAATCGTATGAATACTGTCCCATGGGAGGTTACCTAATGCATATGTTGTAGGAACATGCCCGGGACGTGGCGTACCCTGTCGACGTAGTGTTAAGCTGCAGATCATAGTACCAAGGGACGAGGTACAGGGTACTGTGGTAGGTCTTACGCACGATTGCCTATTTTGCTAAGCCTAGCATATTAGAACACTGTGTACAAGGCTAGGCGTGACTCAGTTCCGCTACCTTGTGTATGAAGAACACGCCATTGCAGGTCGGTATGTAGGCTAAGGCAATGTACGTGGGAATTCTCCAAGGAGTGTCAGGCGTAAAGCAAGCAAGTTGCAGGCTTCAGGCTGTGGAGATTCAGTTCCTCCTAGGCGTGAAAGCTCAATTGACAAACTAGAAAGATCATATAATAATAAGGGTCGGATGATGTCTTCGTTGCATTCCTCCGTCCGCGGATTCCTCCCCTCTCTCAGCTCTGGGACCTTCAACTTCGAGGGCTAATACCGCCTCGAAGATGGGATCTTGTGTCTCCCAACATAACTCTGTCTCTTCGGAAGCTCAGGGCTGAACTCGAGAGACCTGCAAACGCTCGGAGAAAGTTTGTAGGGCAAAGAATTGCTGTTGATATTGGTGATGGAGAAAGAGGTGAATTGGCTCCACTAAGATCGGATGAAGTTCTTGTTAAATGTTTGATGGTTCCGCTAGTTGAATGATTGCGTGGAGCTCAAGCAAAAGTAAAAATGAAAGGGATTTGGAGGAAGAAGAGTGTCACTATAGCGTTCAGGGGGCCTCAATCGAGCGGAGAATCTGCATTAACTGTGACTGCTCGGGCGCTGGCTGGTGAATTTGGACTGGAATATTCTTTTGAGCCAGCTTTTTCGTTTGAGCTGATTCATTCCTGTAGGCACGTAGTTCTCTCTCGACAGCTAATCTCGTAGCCTTGTTCGCTTGTGCGCTCTGCCTGGCAGTCTGGCACACTGAGTTCGCGATCATGTTGTTCGTTTGTGCTGGCTTATTCGTTTGAGTTGGCGTGTTGCTCTGGATACCTAGTTCTTTCTCAATAGCTAATTTCGCAGCCTTGTTCGCTTGTGCACTCTGGCTGGCAGTCTGGTACACTGGGTTCGGATTCCTGTCGTCCAGTGGTATCTGGTCTCTCGGCCCGTGTTTCGACGCCCAATCTGTGGCTGGCTCAGGTTCCTCGAAGACTTGGACTGCATACTGTCGTTCGATGATGCTGAATCCGTCTTTTTCAAAACAATAAACAAATGCTGGACCCATCAGTGACGCTGGCACTCTTGATGGAACGCTCCTCGGCGAGTTTGGCTGTGACTTCTTGTTGCTCTGTTGAAATGGGTCGGCCTGGGGACGAGGAGGCTTCGCAGTGCCCTCCAACGGCGGACTGGGTGATCGAGACGTATGCTTCGCCACTGCCTGCACTTCCGTTGTGGCTGCTCTCTGTTGCAGCGTCAGTTTTCTGCAGGGCTGTTAGGGTTCGTAGAAATCGAGGATGTCTGTGGCAACTTACCACTTTCTTGCTTGGTGGTTCACTTTCGATATTCTCTGGCTCTCTCACCTGCTCTTTAGTACTGTTACCCGAATGCTTGCGTTTCCTGGAGAGCTCTGAGGAATGGTTTGGCACAGGCCCTAGGGGTGCCTCCTCCTTGCGAATCCTGGCGGCTCCTCTGGCATTAGCACTACTATCCGCTTTTTCTTCCTTCACCTGTGGTTCTGCATTGTTGCCCGAGTCATTCGCCTGCTGACGAGATGCCCCCCTGGCGAGACTCTTCCTGGATCTCCTGCTATGTCCCTTGGGACAGCTTTCCCACTTCTTGCGGGCATCGGTGTTCGGCGTGGATGTTCTTGACTCCGCGAGAGCTGTTTGGCAGCCTCCTGATCCATCCTCTGCTTCAGAAGTCGACTCTTTTCCATCATTGAGCAGATCGGTAGACTGAGGATGATGTCTGGATGTAAGTGTGGGCCGATCAGGTTTCTGGTGGGAGCGACGAGAATTGTTCGCATGGATCTGCCCACCGGAAATTTCCGAAGTGCTCGTATCACGGCTGACGAACTTTTTATCGCCAACAGAAGGTTTGTCTTCGTCCTCGGAGCCGTACTTGGAAGGTGGCTTGGGGGCACGAGGAAGATTGTAGCTTGACGCCCGATCGGCCGGGGGTGCAGACTCATTCGGTTCACCTTGAACGCCATTCCCAAGATGTAATCCAGATTCTGCTGACCTTCCGTCTCCATCGCCGCGGCTTGGTCCTGCAGCTGACATCGTCTGCATGGAGTATTGATCGTTGGAGCTTGTCTCGTCTTTCGAAAGCTCTTCCGGATGGATTTCCATGCCCTTAACCATCCAAACGACGCCACGGTGCAGGACCTGCTCCTTGTCGTACTCTCGGCCCTTCGCATCACCACGTCTGACAATGCAAGGCTCCACGACCATATCGAAGGGACGACCAACTAGGGCTTCGGCTTCGGCTCTTTGTGCCTCATCGTCATATTCTTCGTCATCCAACTTCAGGATTCGATGCGGCCTGAATCGGTTGTGTCTCAGGTCGAACTTGGTCATTCCCAGGTCGTCGAGAAAGTAAACTTTTACTTCGGGGTTCTCAGATGATAATCTGGCAGAGAGACGTAAGGCTGCCTCTACAATCTCGAGCATCTCCTTGTGGCGCTTCTGCCCATCTTCGTCGCTGACCTCTTGCAAGCCCACGCTGAACTTTGACAGGCATAGAGCGGCTATCTTCTCGCAACGATTGTGGCGTAGGCGCTGCATGTTCTTTTGGCGCGAAGATAATTTGGCTGCCTTGCTTCCGTCGAGAACAGAAGGCTTGTCGACAAGGCTACAGATTCGGGCCCTTAACTTGTTGGAGCCTTCGGTACATTCTGTTCTCTGTTAGCACGATTCTAACGTCGATCCAAAGTCGAATTGCGTACCTTCAGTCGCTGCTTCCATGATCCAGTTCATGCAGTCTTCAAAACTGTTATTTGCCGCGTCCTGAATGCTCCTGCCCAGATGTGCGAACGGTCTTCGAAACGTCTCAGCACAGAGAAACCAGTTAAGGAGAGCGTTAAAGACCATTGGCGGTGGTGTTTGCTTGTCTTTGACAGCCTCGTCAATCGCCGCAACCAGCCACTTTGTTGCGAACGCTTTCCCCGCGTCCTTTTCATGTGAGGTGAGGATACCTCGTACCGTGGCCTTCGCATCATCATTCCACCTCCTGGTTGACCACGTCCTGGCCCATTCGTTGGTTTCGGTGAAGAGCCAGGTCAGGGCTTCGGTTACTTGTTCATCCTGCATTGCCTCTGCTTTGTCTTTTCCAAGAAGCTCGAGCGCATCATCATGATACCCTTGAATTGTGGCCTCGTGCGCCGAAATCTGACGCTTCAAGTCTTGAACCTCCTGTTCAAGCTTGGAATTTTCTTCCTTCAGAGATCTCTCGATTTGCTCTAGTGCTTTTCGTTTCTCCAATTGCTTTAATTTGGCTGTTTTATAGCCTTGGATGGCGTTCCTCTGCGAGCGGATCTTGTTGTGCGACTGCTCCAGGTTGAGCTTCAGTTGACGTGGCCGCTTCACCGTGTTGTTGGCCTTCTCAGTCTTGCCTCGCCGTCTTCCTTTCTTAGGACTAGCTGGAGTTATCTCTTTCTGGAGTTGACGCTTTGCTGGTTTCTTCCCGGAAGAAGAAGCATCGTATTGGCTGCCATCATCGGACTGCTGACTATCATCCGACTTCAGTAAGACGTCTGACTCTTGGGCTGGAACAGCATCAGTCGAAAAAGAGTCTGACTTATCAGATATGCGCTTCGGTCGTGTTGAACGCTGCTTGAAGCCACTCTCAGCCACTCGAGGGATCGTGTCTGCGACATCTGAATCGTCCTCCGCTGCGACCATTTTCTGTTTTGGTACTTCGACTGACACAGATTGTCCACCCGTGATTTTCAAGCCGCTGTCGCCTTGACTGGAGTCCATGGTGGGTTTGTAAATGCTTAGCTGAGGGAGACGTTTTGGCTGAGGTGTGATAAAATGTTCACAAGTGGTCTATTCCTCAGATGATAGAAATTGGGAGAGATACAACCTTAGTCAGTGAGTAAGAGGGCGTCACTTGAGAGTACGTCTATGCCGATTGTACTCAAGCTCGGGTCAAACAAGGCTGAGAGAAAGGGTCTTCCACATAGGATGAGGTCGCAATGACATTGACCTCACCGTCGACCTCCGCTCAGATTCATCCCTGAGGCATGTGAGTCGAAGGATCTCAAAAGCATGTGATAGACCCGTCGTGCCGTTTCCTTACCTAAACTCGTCTCCTCCTCTTTATTTCTCCTTCTTCCTTGTACTCTCCTCTCTTTCTTACTCATACCTTCCTACAGTTGCCCTCTTGGTCGCTCAAGCAGATTCTCGTTAGCGCCACGACGCCATCGACGTATCATCCCATTCTTGCCCAGCTTCCACTTACAATATGGCGATGAAAGGCACAGCTCTCGGTGTCATGGATGCGCCGGTGAAGCGTACAGGTATGGATGAAGCTCTTTCTAGACAGAACATTATTGACCAACTGATCAGCCACTCACTTGTTACTTGCTGGGAAGAAGCATGCGCCGAAACCCAGGGTCCCGAAGAAGAGCTCCACCCCAGAAAAGCGGAAACGTCCAAGTGAGTTCAAGCCTAGAGTTGGCTGATGGTCGGTCTGACCGGCGCAGAAATTGAACCAACGGTGGAAGCCCTCGAGCGACGGAAGAAGGCTAAGGCCTCTCGCGATGCTGCGAAGGCAAAAGCGGCCGCTCGGATTATCGTTGGGGTTGATTTCGGCACGACGTACTCAGGTAATCGTTGACCTCTCGAAATCCACGTTGCGCTGACGGGTTAGGTGTTGCGTTTGTGACGAGCACAAAGACTTTCAAAGACGTTGAAGTCATCCAAGATTGGCCTGGTGGTCTTGCCGGTATTGCTCAAAAAGTCCCAAGTCTGATTGCGTATGCCGAAGAAAACCACGATATCGGCGACGAGGATCGGTGGGGCTACGACGTCGATAGCGGACTCCTCAGCTGTTCTTGGTTCAAATTGCTGCTCGATGAGAACACCCAGAAGACGGAGTTCGACGATCCGTTGCTCCAAGAGGCTGTGGGTAAGTCGCTGATGCGGATCAAGCCTGGGAAGGATGCCAAAGATGTGACGACCGACTTTCTACGCCTTCTTCATGATTATGTCATGTCGCAAATGCAGAAAGTAATCGGCAAAACTGCAATGCAGCAGACGGCCTTTCGCTTCCAGTTCACTTTGCCGGCCGTATGGTCTCTTCACGCTCGTGAATCGACTTTAGCCGCCGCCAGAGAAGCTGGGTTCGCCAGCAGGGAGAGTGACGAGCTGTTTTTCACAGAGGAACCCGAGGCGGCCTTCTTGTGGACCATCAAATCAACCGAGGATAAGTTTACGACCAGTTCCTTCCAGGTGAGCAGTCCTGATTCTACTCTTCGTGCTTAACTAACATGTTATAGGAGAACTCATGTGTGATGGTGGTGGATATGGGTGGTGGTACAGTGGACTTGGTTACTTACCGTATCATCAAACTACAGCCGCTCCAGCTGGAAGAAGCATGCGTTGGCCAAGGTAAGAATGTCCATCTTAGACGAAATATACGCCTGCTGACTCCAACCCAGGTGCAAAGATAGGTGGTACAGCGATCGACCGCGCTCTCCATGAATTAATGCTCAAGCGCTTCGATGCTGCGTTCATGAATCTCCCCAGCGAGAAGAAGGGCGCAGGAAGCACTTTCCTAAAGAGTTTTGAAGTCGTTAAGCGTAACTTCAAGGGAAAGGATAAGAGTAGAAAGGTCTTACGGGTCCCTCTTAAGATGAATAAGGTGGACATGGATAGTGATGTTGTTCGTCAGTACTATGACTCAGATGAAGACATGGTCGAGCTGACTAGGTATGTAACCCGGTCTTTCGGGTTGCGGAAGAAAGCTTGTCTTGCCAGGCACAGCTGACTTCCACTCAGCGACGACGTCGAATCCATGTTCGAACCAGTTCTGCAGAATAGCTTCGATCTGGTCCGAAGACAGGCTAAAAGAGCGAAAAAGGCCCGCAGCCCTCCCATCCGGGTAATATCCATCATTCCCTTGTGTGAGTGGTATTCACAGTACTGACTTGATACAGACGGTTGTTATATGTGGTGGGCTCGGCTGCTCTCCTTACGTATACGATCGATTCAAAGGCTTTGTTAGCAATGAATTTGGTGAGGGGGAAGTCGAGCTCGTCAGTCCACTTGAGCCTTGGTCTGCCGTCGCAAGAGGCGCTGTGCTTTCAGCACTTGAAAAGAACCCCGTCATGTTCAGGAGGGCGCGAGATTGGATTGGTTGCTGCGTACATACCAAGTTCAAGGCGGGATTCCACAGAACAGAAGACCAGTTCGAATGTCCTATCCGAGGACTAAGAGCGGCAAACCAGATGAAGTGGATATATAAGAGGGTAAGTTGTCGTGTCCACAATATATGATTATACTAACCGATCCTTAGGGAGACAAGCTGTCGGAAAATATGAAGAAGAAGCTTGAGCTTTATGCGATCGTGGAGAACGCCCAGAAGGAGATTGAGGAAGTGTGCCTTGAGCAAGTCTTATATAAATGCCCGTTGAAGAATGCTCCTACTCGTCTGGATGAAAACCGTAAGTCTGACCAGCCACGTGCGGTAACAGCGCTCATACTTGTGCAGATGTCTTTACCATTGGGAACCTGAAAGTCGATTTGACTGCGCATGCTCGAGCGGAGCGTGCCAAGCAGATCGAAGAAAATGGCGAGTCTCCGAGAGTCCTGGTGTTTAAAGTCATCATCGAACTCGTCGTGTCGAGCATCAAGGGTATCTTAGAGGCGTCCGCCAAAATAGGTAACAAGAAGGTCGGAAGGACGAGGGTTGAATATGTCTCAGACCCAACTTGGCGTCAAACAACCATCATAGATGATGAAGACGCTCAAAGAGACGATGAGAGGGCTGAGGAGTCCGACACTGCTGATTCCGATGTCGATGCTGACGAGGATGAAGAAGGCGAAGATGAAGACGAATGATGAATGATGAATGAGGGCGGGTGAAGATGAATTTGGGTTCGCGGGATGTCAAGGACGATCTTCCAACGTCTGACAAGCGAGATTTTGCACTTCAAAACTTGAAATCGGCGGAGGACTGGGTGTCAGACGGCGGAATTCTGCGTCATATGACGTTCAACGAGGATTCACCTCGAGCTGGGGAGCAGCACCGCAACGCACTTCACGACTTGGGCTTTTGAACGGCAGGGGCGCAGTGTCTTTCATTTCGATTGCAAGCTCCAAGGGCTCAACCTAGATACTGCACACAAGTATCTGACCAATATGATACTTTCGCATCTCCCTCCTCTGACTTCGCAGGTTCATTTCTAATGAACAATACGGCGACCGCCGACAATGACAGCCCATTCGTCCTCTCGCTCAATCATGAGCGCAAACTCGAACTTCCGGAGAAGAAAGAGCATTACCTTGATCCTCTCCTCCATGCCCTGGATGAGCTGATATATCTCTATTTCGCGGCCCTCTACATGTGCGACAACCTCTCACTTCTCCTGATATTACGGCTCGCGAACCAAATCGTGCATGTTCGAGCCACGGTTTCTCAACTACCTCCTACGATCCTCGTCAGCGTTGTTTGCGTCGTGACACATCTGCTGCAGAGCCGACCAGGAGACAAACGCTTGTATGGAGGCATCCTCATTGATTTTGTGGGCGAGCTGGCGCCATCGACGACGAGGCTGTTGCTGTTGGACATCCTCGTTTTTGCCCTACAGTTGGTTATGCTAGTGGCTGGCTACGAGAAACAGAAATCCTCGGGAGAGGCGCAGACGCTGGAAACACCGCAACCGCAGGATCTAGAGTCAGAAGAGGCCGGTCGACTAAGGTCGCGTGCTCAATATGACGGGGCCGAGACAGATGAGGGGATTGAACTGCAGAGTTTGCTACCAGACGGCTCGGAAGAGCAGGGACCATCTCATCAGAAGAGAAGTGATCCAGGTGGGCAAGACGACGAGGCGATACTGCTGGACATGACGGGACTCCGGGCTCTGATGCGCAGAGCGCCGCCAGCGTTATCCCCGGCTACGACTGAAAGCCCTGCGGCTCGTGCCTCTCTTGCTACATTCTTGGCTAATCTGGCGGCGCGAAGAGCAAGGGGAGGGGGAGCTTAAAACACGATGCTACCCGGCTTGAACCCCCGAGGGAGGCGAGCGAAAGCTCAAAGTCCAACCATAGTGAACGCACACACGTGCACCATCTCTTGGTTCGCTTTCGTTCTTTTCTCTCCAGACTTGTGTAGCATTGCGCGGCGCCCTTCAAGCACTTGGTTTCCTCGGGATAGGAACTCGCAGCCGCAGCAGGTTGCCTACGTCTCGAAAGCGGCGCTGGACGACATAATGTGACCTGAAAGGATTGAAAATCTCTCGCATAGATCTTTACAACTAGTGTCCGCTATTCAAGCACCATCTCATTTCTGCGAGAACCCCGTACGCGGAGGCTCAACAAGCAGAAGTGGCTCAGCCTCGTCCCCGCATTTTCAGCCTTGCCGTACTCTTCAAAAGTCGCACATGAACATCCCCTGTAGTTACTCTCCTCTTTTGACGCGACCTTTGCCCTCTCGCCGTCCACACCTCACGATGCGCTCTGCACTGCGAGCTGCCTCTCAATTCAACTGCAAGGCAGGCCATTCGGCCGCCACCCGGGCGGCAACATGCGGCGCCGCATACCTCAATGAGCCCTCGCGGCGGACGTACTCGTACTCCAGATCTGCCCCCCCACCGCAGCAGCGGACAGCATCAAGTTGGCTTCCTGTTCCGTTCGTGACCGAGACACTTGCCGGGATGGTGAGTCAGGGGCATTCCTCCGGACTACGACGATTAGCCAGGCTAATGCAGCTCCGCAGACACACACCACGGACCTGTTCTCGCGACTACTCAAAGAAAGAATCGTCGCCCTGTACGGGGAGGTGGACGACCGTATGGCGTGAGTACAACAGCTTATCATTCTCTACTTTCTACACACAAGAAGATCTATATGAGATTCTGTGGATGTCTATCTCCAGCACTCCGCCCTCTGTGCTCTGTTCTTCATGCCGTTCCCTGGTGGTTACCAAAGTTTCGCGATGCTAACACCACGGCAACACCAGCGCCACCGTCACGGCCTCTCTCCTCTTTCTTGAATCAGAAAGCGACCGTCCGATCAGCATGTATATCAACTCGCCCGGCGGGAGCGTCACGGCCGGCCTGAGCATCTACGACTGCATGCAATACATCGTGCCGGAGGTGTCGACGCTCGTGCTCGGCCAGGCCGCCTCGATGGGCTCTCTCCTCTTGGCGGGCGGCGCACCGGGCAAGCGCTACTGCCTGCCGCACTCGTCCGTGATGCTCCACCAGCCGTCGGGCGGCCACTACGGCACGGCCGCCGACATTGCGATCCACGCCAAGGAGATCCTGCGCGTGCGCACGCAGCTCAACAGGATCTACGAGCGGCACTTGACGCCCAAGAACAAGGACAAGAAGATGACGGTCGAGGACATCGAGAAGATGATGGAGAGGGATTACTTCCTGAGCGCCGAGGAGGCCCTCGAGCTGGGCGTGGTCGATGAGATTCTGGCGAGTAGGAAGAAAAAGCCCGAAGATGGGGAGAAGGACAAGGAGGGGACGTGAGCGGACACGGACAGGCAAGATCTGTCATCTGGGTACAGCACACCTTTCTTGAGGAGAAAAATACCTGGACTGGGAAGGAGCTGCTCTGCTCGGAGTACAGTATCCAAGCGCCGTGGATCTTCTGTACACTATGCGGACTGTGCAGGAATGCGAAAGCTCGCTCGCCCATTCGCGTGCGTCCGCCTTGTACCACCACCATGTATTCGATGGGCTCTCTGCTTCGCGTGGTGGGCGCTTTATACGGACCGGGCATTGGAATCGGAATGGGAATGGAGATGGCGATGCAGATCCCCCTATCACCATAGTGACTGCGAATCCCCTCTCAATCTTCGAGACGCACCAGGAGGAGGAAGACGCCCGAGAGGAGCACTGTCTTTCCGTCAGAGGCCAGACCAGAACGCCCGCCAGGCATGTCAAAAGGGGAAAGCATGGAGCAGATGTTCGCATCTTGACAAGGAGACTGCAGGAGAAGAAAGGTGTGGATGAAGTTGAATTTTAGTTGGTATTATACCAAGGATAGATGACTATACAGGTCTGCTCAATTCATACAAGATCGTCCTCCGGCTAGAATCTGAAAGTCGTACAAGGATCATCATATCTGCAATTTGGTCCAAGATCAATATGGGCCCAACAGGGCCCAAGAAAGCATGAGACAGGCCCAATGGCCGACTCGAATGGTAGAATTCTGAGTGAATAGTGGCACACGAGGACTTCTTCGTGGGAGGACTTAGATCCCGTGCAAGCCCTTAGGACTTGGGCTTGTGAAAGATCCGGACCAAGACGCACGGCGATGCGTGTCGAACAGATCAAAACTATCGCTTTCACGTGTACTGTATCAGGTTCGCTTGGTCGAGGGCTTGCTTTTGGCAGAATTCGATAACAAATCAATAAATGACAGGTCGTCGCGTCGTTAATCGTAACATCATATCTCGTCAATCCTGGATCAGAAGGGAACTGTGCTGGTGCTATGACCATGTTCCCCGGCGTTGAGGAGCTGGACTGGCAGTGCGGCTTGGTGGTAGGCGTTGTTTCTTCATGGCAGGCTTGAATTCTTCGTCGTCATCCTCAACTTCCTCCACCTGTGCTTGCGTTTGCTGTTCTAGTCCTTCAAGCATCTGGGTCCAGAGGAAAACATCCCCAGCATCATTCATCGCCGAAGACATGGCTTGTTGGCGTTGACAGATCTCAATCAGTACGGATCTCGAGAGCTTGCTGTCGCCCGAGACGTATCTGAGGGCGGTGTTGAAGCTTCGCCGTGCTTCTGGATATCGCTCCTTGGAATGCTGCATACGGCCAAGGCGCCTGTATGCCAGGCCGACCCGCCAAAGATCGATGCTACCAGGAACCTTCTGAAGTTCTTCTAAACGACTCTGAACTTCGTTGCAAAGATCCTCAGCTTCTCCGTGTTGATCCTGCGCGACGTCTCTGTACGCCTGTAGGAGAAGGAAGTATACCGAAAGGGCCGAATTCGGCCCGATCGCCTTGTCAACTTCCTCGATTGACGGCAGCCACTCGCTCAAATCTGCCATTGGATCATACCATAGTAGGTCCAGAGCCCGATTCAGTCGGACCTCGAAAAGCAGCTTGTTCTGCTTGTCAATTCGGCTCTCAAGGCCGTCAAACATCGAACGCGCCGCACGTTTGTATAATTCGCGAAGCTGCCTCACATCCAAGTCGCCAAAGTCGCTGAATAGCGCATGCCTTGAGTCTTGCGGATCAAGGTACTTGTGCGCCCAATCCTTCACATTTCGTAGTACAAGGCTGGCAATGGGGGCGTGACCAGAATGGGCCACTCGCCCAACTTCATGGAGCAACGACATGGGGATCTCGTAGTACCAGGACTCAAAGAGGCGAGGGTTCTTGAAACTTGCCAGGGCTCGGTCCCATTCCTTGAAGGCGAGATCATGCTTGCCATTTTCAAAGAGATTGATGCCGGCTGTTAGACTCGACGACAGGAGCCGAGACGCCTGCCTTCCGTCGTTGTGCTGCGAGGACAGTGCCGAATCCCAGGAACCATGAATGAATGCGGAGTGTGTCCACCTTCGCAGGTCCAGAAGAAACCGCTCCATGGTGTCGGTGATTTTGAACCTGTCGAGTGGTGGCAGGACGATTGATTGTCGCGGTGGTCCCCATGGGACTACCACACTTGTAGTAGGCGAAGGCGGGAGTGGTAAGGGCGACGTTGTGGTAGGCAGTGGCGACAGTTGGCTCTGGGCTCGCTGTCGAGCCCGCTTTCTCTTGAGGGATCGCTCGGCGCGCTCTCTCATGTCTTCCGGATCGGCACCGTTAGTGGAAGGGCCTTCGCCCTCGACAATCATTTTGGCCTCATCTTCTTTGAGATACTTTCGAAGCTTCCAGGCCTTGATCCTGTTCTTGAACATCTTCTCAGACGCCCAGAAGCTATGCTGATCCCTTAGAATCCTCATCACTTCCGGAAGGGGTCTATTCTCCTCCTTGTACAACCGGGTAAAAAGCGGACGCCATACCTCCCAGTCGCTGTCTGTGCGTGGGCGGAATAAAGGTCTGGTTGCTGGATCCATGGCTTTGGCGGATTTGCTCCTGATTAACGCATTACAGTAGCAGCAGGCACGAACGTTGAGGAGGCGAACAAGATCGAAGGCGGAGTGACTGGAGACTAAATGAAGACGGACCAAATGCGGCTCTGCAACGTCGACTACCAAAGTTCCTCTTGACAACGTAGATGTTTTGAAGAAGTGAGGTTGGTTTGAGGCTGACCAAGCGAAGGGAAGACGAAAGTTCCTTCTGCGGGCTGCCATAAGTCTAGAGCGCCAAGCCCCTAGTTGACATCGGGTAAAGCGTCTCTTGTGCTCTTGGCACAGAGAAATGCTCAGTCTGACGAGAGAATATTTTGGTGGCTCGCACACCAGCGTCAGAATATCATCCTTTGTCCTATCGATCCACTGAGCGTCGACTTACCGAACGCACTGCGACAGCTGATCCTCCATAGCAGCCTCTCTTTCCACCCGCTTCTCACGCGCCTGAATTGACCTTGAGCTGCATCTGGGCTGGCTTGCCTGTTGTGAAGCATCTGTGGGCGGCACCACCAACCCGGTCAGACCTGAGCACAGGCTCGACCAAAGGGCCCTGCGAGGGACTTGTGTTATTTCAGTCACTCAGCGAATCACGGCGACATTCCGGGAGCCTGGTCTACCCTTTTCGGGGTGTAGTGATCTTCTGTCTTCAAACGCGTGGATCAGTCATCTCGGTCGGCTGAGGCTTAGCACAGTAGATCACTCTCACCTCCAGGCATCGTGTTCTGAGCGGGCTTGATCCTCTTCCTGTCGTCCCCATTCTAAAACACCACATTACGTTGACGAAGTCTCCAGCACCCGAAGTCGTTCTCTAACCCACCGGTTTTGGAGTCGACTCATATCGGATTGGTCAGATGAGCGGCCATGCTACAAGATGCCGACAATGTCGATGATGCCCTGATCAGCAGCCTCAGTGCCCGTCTCCGGCACCAGGTGGAGGAGGTCGAGCGAGCGTATCGTACCGGCCATCGAAATGTGCGAACAGTCCTGCGACGACAATATGTCAACACCATCCATCCTAGTCCAGACCATCCCCTCTGCGAGCTCTTGGGGGAGGAGCACCTCTTGAAGGTATTAGGACTGTTGTCAGCAACTGTTGCTCTCTTCACCTTGGCCCGAGTATATGACGAATGTCACGCAACATTATGTCGAGCGCTTGCAGCAGGTCGTAGAGGCGAACTTGACTACGACGGCTTCCGGCGCAGCCCATGTGTCGACCTCCGTGAGCTAGCTGATCAGATACGGCAGCTCGAGGAAGCTGTTCATGACCAGATCATCTTGGAAGCCACTTCAAAGGATACGTCGCTGTTGACAGCTAGATGGCACCGACTTCCACCCATGACATTTGACAACCTTCCGCGGCTGCATTCCCTTGCCGATATTCTCCCCGGAGAACAGTCGAGGAGCCATGAATATGCTGGAATCGGTGGTGGTGGAGGGTCCGACATTATCAGCGCCAGTTTGATAGGTCACCTACTGCGAGGGCAACACAAGGAAATGAACCTGCTCATTTCTACGAGGACGTGGACCACAGGTTCGCAGGGAAAGAAGGGCTCAAAGCTGGGGATCAAGCGTGAGGTCTACAACCATGGTGGCACGGTTCAGGACCAGGGGCGTACTGTGGCGGGTACCTTCCGAGTCAGGGAATACACTACTGCAGAAGGTCGCGACCTCGAAGCTATCCCTCTGCCATTCCATCGCCAGATATTCATGGTTTTGGACCAAGGAGAATCAAAGGCGCAGATATCTCAGCATGATCAAGCGGATCTCACAGAACAATTCGGCGCTGTACTTCGTCAGGCCGAACGTCGTGTCGAAACAGTGATTATTGTGGACACCGGTGGGGATGTATTTGGAGCCGACACAAATGGAATAACAACTCCGGACCAGGACTATCGAGTTCAAAAGGCCATGGGTCCTTTGATTTCTGAGTACAACCTCGTGACCGCCGTTGTCGCTCCAGGAGTCGATGCGCCCGCTGACGCCCCACGCAAGGCCTTCGAAGCCGGAGGGGTGGTATACAAGCCAAAAGAAGACGAAAAGAAAATGCTCCTTGACCTCCTCGTCAGCAAGTACAGAATGGACGGTTCCGACCCGAATAGATTTGGCAAGACGACACTAGCATTACAGGCGCGATTGCGGGGAGTCGTTGGTTGGACTTCCCTTGACCTTCCGACATACGTTGTTGACACGTGGGAGAATCCATGGAACAGTTTCGTGTATATCAGGGAATGTATGAGCGACATCATCTTCATGCCTACAACAGACTTGCTCCCATTAATCGAGCCGGCAAAGAGGAGAGCTTGACGGAAGCCGCTTTCGCGGTCAACTCTAGGCTTTAGCTGGACAACGAGCCGATATTGAGGCGGAAGAGCTATTGCACGCAGTAGTACGAGGCACTCCGAAGCTGGCGCAAGGGTGGTGCTAGGTTGATGCTGGGAGGCGACTCCCGTCCCACAAGGCTGTGGGTTTCTTGGCAAGGCTGTGGATTTCAACCTTTGAACTTCCACCCTTGCACTTTTCCTCCAATGTACAATTCTTGTAAAACATCAAATCTACCGGAGTTGACCCAATCTCTGGCCGCATACAAGCCTGTGGAACTATTGAAAATTTCGGCATGGCAGACAAGGCACTAGTACCATTATCAGATGAGGAAGTGGCCAAACTTGCCACCCTGGCGATCGAGTCCAAATCAAAAGCATACTGTAAGTCCGTTCAAAATTCCCAGTGACATAGGGAGGCTCCCGCGAGGATCCACCCAGAATCGAAACGAGAAAACACCTAGCCCGCCAGGCACGAGAATAAATTCAAGGACCTGCTATTTCAGTCACTAATCATTGTCCTCAAGCTCATCGCGCCGAGGCCCTCTGACTGATAAATCGTCTTTGAATACAGGTCCATACTCTAATTTCAGGGTCGGGGCTTCTGTTCTCCTCTCGAATGGGACATACCACACCGGCGCCAACGTCGAGGTCGCTTCGACACCCGTCGGCATCTGCGCGGAACGATGCGCCATCGCGCCCATAATCGCAAGTGTTTCTCGTCCCGAAATGCCGATTCTTCGCGCTCTCGCTGTGGCCACAGACATAAGCCCGCCAGCCAGTCCATGCGGTATGTGTCGGCAATTTATCAATGAGTTTGCAAGCTCGAGGGAATTGCCGATTTACATGTACGGCAAGGAAGGCTTACAGGGGAAGCCCGTAAAGATGACGATTGGGGAGTTGTTGCCGATGTCCTTCGGGCCGAATGACATGGAGAAGAATCCGGGCTCGGTGCCGGGAAAGGATCCGGCGCTGTGAGCAGGGAGAGCGCTGGATAGCTGGTGCTAGGGTTCCGTGGTAGTACGGCTTACAGGCCAGAACCCCTTGCGAACTCTCGTCAATCATGTTGATAGAGGTTGGTTCCTTGGCCAAGCCACACGAGCCTGACCTTGTGAAGGTCTTGATTGAGTCGTGTTCGCCGCAATGCTCTGGGGTTTTTAGCACTTTGGTATCTGAGGCCTCTCTGATATTCAACGTGATGACACGCGCATTGGAGGTCGATCCGAGTAAATCCAGCACGGCCATATGCTGTGGTGAGATCCCACGTTTAGTGCCCCAATGGCGGCCCATCAAACGAGTAAGGCAGCCTCTTCCACCTGCCATCATATCTCCCTCAGTCCTCCCATTCGAGCAAGGGTCTCTGCTATGGGCTGCAGTTGACATCAAGCTGAAGGCGTGGATTGCGTCCTTTTTGGAGGTTTAGAAGACATCCTCCGGATCTACCTTAAAATCCTCCCCGTTTCCTCTAACATGCTGCCGGTCGACATCCCGATCCAGTGGCTTTCTCATATCCAGCGCATCCTCTCCGTTCTTCGAGATCCCGGTGGGATCGTCGGAATAGTACTTTACTACCGTCCGGAAGGTCGAGTATCCCATGCTCTCGTACATTTTGATGGCGTTCCTGTTGCTCTTTCTCACGAAGAGATCAACGAACCAGGCGTTTTGTTGGTTACATGCCTTCTCCAGAGATTCTGTCAACAGCTTGCCATATCCTAGTCGACGGTACTGCGGCGCTATTGACAAGGCAGTGACGTGGCCATGCCATGGCAAGTAATGCTCCGTGTTCCTACAAGAAAATTCCCTTGCATTCAGGATTGCTCGCCCCACGGTTATATCGGAAAGGCTGGCCGTTCACTTACAGTAGGTGACTGGGCGACTCTTCGACTTTGCCAATAATGTAGCCCACAATCTGGCCGTGTTCTTCAATGCACTGGAAGAGAGACGGCCATCTCATCAGATACGTGAGGTAGAAATTCAAATCATAATTTTCTGTGTATGGGTCCAGGTTGCATAGGTTCAGATGGAACAAGTCCGATGGCTGGACTCGTCTTATCGTTGGCATCGCGCCTCATCCTCCCCCGTACAAACAGATGTCTGAAAGAAGAGGTCACGCCTCGAAATAAGCGTGAAGCTGATGGAGCAAGTTTGATTGTGGGGGTGGAAACGATGCACCTGCAACTCCGACGAAACGCGCCGTTGCACAAATCACCTGGCGACCAGATCAGCAACCGCTTCACTTGGATTCCTCCTCGTACCGTCCAACAACTCATTTACAGATAGACGGGCATCGACCGACATGCTTCCACCTTCATAATAGCGGGAATTCGCAGTCAGCAGCAACATCCTCATACTCGGCTCAAACGCCGCCTGCGCCAGAACAATGACGGGTCTCTCTCCACCAACCTCCCCGACAACACCTTCACGTAAGCGCAGGTCACTTCGACTCTCAAACGTAGACGTATCGCAAGACTTTGCATCGCCGAGCCCGTATACCAGCGGTACGACGAATGGCACAAGCTACTCCAGAAGGTCGTCGCGGACATCGCAGACCTCGTACCAGCCACGATCTCCCGTGACACCGCGCCCAATGTCGTCGAAGTCGTCTAGACCGCCCTCCTTTTCACAGTCGCGCAGGCTGAGTCGGAACAGCATAAACAGTAATAGAAGTATAGAACAGCTGTGCGACAATGGCATGGGGAATTTAGCCGATGAGCTAGAACAAGCATGGGACGACGAGGTGGACGAAGAGGAAGGGCAGTCCATCTTCCTCGAGGGGCTGAGGGAGGGCGACGTAGCGCAAGACTCATCTATGATGCGCGATATCCAGAGCCCTATGCATGATCTCGGCTTCGGCATGGCCGCGCAGAGCCCACGGGACCAAATTAATGGACTATCCCCAACATCGAGTGTGCCGCTGAACCGCAGCGATTCACAACCGCAGGAGCGCAAGAAGCCGGGACATCAGAGACACGAGTCCGCGTACGATGGTTCAGACTACGGCCCAGAATCCGAAGCTGAACAAGAAGACGAGACGCTGTCGCCGATGTTCCGAAAACGACTCCGCGACATCGAGAGCCTGACGCGCATGTGCGTCAATCCCGAAGACGCCGTCAGCGAGGGCGGAGGCACCGTACGCCGTGTGATATCGGGCTTGAAGGACCTTGGGCCGCAAGCGAATATCGAGTACGGTGTCACTCGCTTGAGCACGGCATACACCTCAATGGCCACGCACCGAACTCACAAGACACGGGACCTGTTTACGCAGTCGCATTCCCTTATGTACGGGGGCTCTCTGTGGCAACTACCGGAAGATCTAATCGACTTACTCCTTGCCGATATCAACGACCTGGCCGCGGCCCTACCCTTCCTGCGACCTCAGAACCCGCTATTATCGCTGCAGATCCTCGCATCTCAGACTGATGAACTCACCCAGACCCTCCGCTCTCTTACGGATCTCCTTCAGGAGTCGCGCCTAGCCTCCTCTGCCGCAACGAGAAAGCTCAAGTCGGTCCGCGATATGGTCGATGACATGGCCCTGGAAGAAGAGCTGGTGGAGAACAGTATACTTCTGATACAAGCCGGCGACTGGGATCGAAGGTGTCGCACTCGGCAGGCTGCGCGGACATGTCAAGAAGTGTGTGAGGGATTTGCGGATCGCTGGGGTGTACAGTGTGATGTGGACCTGTTGGCGCTGGCAGAGGTCCGAGAGCAATCCGTACAGGTATCGGCGCAAGGCTGATGCGCAGGAGTCACAAATGACCGGGTTGCCTGCGACTAGACCCTGCTTCCAATTGTGTCTGTTGTTTTGAGCGAGAAACTAATGTGTAGACTGGAAGGTCCGACTACCCGGGCATAAAGCTATTAGATGGCATGTTGGCTGATCGACACGCGGTTAGAAGTAATGAGGACCAAGATATTCATGTTACACAGGAGACGGTGGGAGGGAGGGTTCCATCAACAGACCAGACATTCGTGAACCCTCGACATGGTCATGAACAACCTCACGAATCGTCGCGATGGCAATGAGACTTTTCTGCCGCAATTCCAGCTCTTGCCACCGGTCGCACCACGATTTCTTCTTTCCAATAACGCGCTACAGCAGTTGCGGGCCGTGGAAACATTGTCTGCATGCTCCCCGGCTGTCCTCTTCCACCCGATCGAGACAGACATATTCCCAATAGGTATTAATGGATGTCATATGGAGTACACAACACACCGAAGATGCCATGGACTCCTCTATTGCGTATATTCGAAATTGCTCATCATACTGTAACTCATCACCAGGGAGCATCGCGGTGCGTTTGCTCCATGCGACTTGCCGATTTCCCGTACGCTATTCTTTTGTTAGCAAACCACCGCCAGTGCTTGCACCACTTGTACCTCGTACCCGGGAGTGGCGCAATCAGGCTTGTCCGTCAGAACCCAATCACGCCACGAAGATCTCTTCTGGAGCTTGGCTCGAGGCCCAGAAGCAGACCCTTGCTGCCCTTGCTGCCCTTGCCACTGATGTAGCTCCCCTGCTCCGACCACTGGACCTGCAATTTGCCGTTCCGACAAACTGGTGATGGCCTGTGACAATCATTCGACCTTCTCAATTTCTGCCTCAGAAAGTACCCAGTACCCAGTAGGCACGCCTCGGCGAACGACAGATCATATGCTTCCCACAGCCGCCCTGCGCCTCGGAGTTGTTTGTTCTGATCACAAGCTATTCTAGGTTTGTGAGTGGAAGCACTCTTCACAAGCACTCTCGGGTAGCGGCTCTACCTCGTGGAGACCAACAGGCTCAGATATCCGGGTGCCTGCGAATAAACATTCAGCATGACTGCCGAGATATCCAGTCAGAGGCGGCATAACACGAGCGCCGCCCCTTAAGCTCTACTCAAGCTCTATCCAAGCCGCCAAAGCTCCACCATCACCCCAGCTAGGGGAGACGCAACTCTCGAACTACCGCACCGTTGACTGACACCACACCTGTTTCGCGGCTGGCGAGCAAGCCGCTCCCAAACCAGGCAAATCAGGCAATCAGGCTTGAGGCTTGTCTCACCAAGGTGACGTCCTTCCACACAGGGTTTCGCGGTCCAGCGTCTCCGCCAGCCTGAAGATCAATGGACAAAGAAGCTTTCGAGCGTCGCGAGAGCTTGCCCTGCCTGAGCCGCTAACGCACGTCGAGCATGGCTATTCGGCTATTGGACTCCATGGGCAATCTCCCTCGGATAGAGGTACCCACTGCTTCTATAACTGCTTGTTGATATGGGCGCGCTCTCTTGACTCAAGCCTCACCTCTTCCTCTCCTCTACTATCTGTCACTCGCTACCGTCACTCGCTTCAGCACACGCAACCTAACCAACTATCTTCTTGCGCAATCTTTCCTCTGTACTCATAATACCACGCGCCAACCGTACACCAAGACAAGAAGATGAAGTCGATCGCCATCATTGCCGCCTTGGCCGGCCTCGCCGCAGCATACCCGGGTGAGGTCTTGCGCAAACGCGCCCTCGCACCTCGTGAAGGTTGTCCTGCAGAGCTCGAGGCCGGCCAATTCGAGTTCCCCCACTACATCACTCAGATCTCGAAATCTCAACCAGACAAGGCGTTTGGACCGCAATACAACGGCGTCTTCACGCCCAATGACATTGCCTCCATCTTCAGCTTCGACGTGCCGGCGGAGAGAGCCGACGCGAACTGCACGTTGGAATTCATCTTCCCAGCAAAATCACAACTGAAGACGTCCAACTTCGACTACGAGGGCGGTGGCTCGTTCTTCTTCACTGGTTACAACCCAGGAAGCTGTCCGGGACCCGAGACCACATGGAACAACCAGCCAGCCCCAGGCCCATTCCCGCCTTTCCCACCCATCCACATGGAACCCGGCAATGCCTACACCATCGATGTCGGTCCTTGCTTTGTCGGCGCCGGCACTTGCGTCGCTGGGATGACGAGCACCAATGACACCAACTTTTGGTTTTTCCAAGACCAGGACGAGTGCCCTATCGGCATCTACACCGCCTACTCATACGGGCTACCGCCAATGCAATTCCCTCCAACCGCATAAGAGGCTTCATGCGTGAGAAAGGCAGATGATGGAGGCGGGCGGTGGCCGGTACGACTTGTTGGGTTCCAGACTGGATCTGCTGGGTAGTACTCGGGACGTCAGTTTATGACCTGGCAAACACATAACAATCTGGCGGACTGGGTGGGGGAGCTTCATGTCACCAAACCATCGAGGTTGGGTAACCACGTGGCTGTACTCAGGCGCAACGATCATAAGAAATGTGGTACACAATATGCGGACAGCGGTTCGATGCATGCCCTCTTCCTAAGCAACGTATGGGCCCAGGGGACTGATGACTTTGTTCCTTGTCCTGCCTTCAATGGCACTCCCACGTTGTACGCGATATCTTTCCTTTTCCTTTCGGCATATCTGGCTGGTGGTCGACGATACCCTGGTTTTTGGCAACCGCATAAATGGAAAACTGCGTAATAGATGTTCTTTGCAGCACTCGGATCTCTTTTCGGGTTTGAACTTGGAATAAATTAATTAGAGCCTGCGAGCCCGAGCTCGAGTCGCGAGCGCATCGTGAGTACTCGAGTCAAGTCGCACACGTGCCAAGACCACAAGCTGAGTCATGTGATGTTTTATTTGGCAAGTGTGCCTGCGGCTTCGAGTAATTTTCAATAACTTGGATCTGGATTCAACCCTCATTGATCAAAAAAATAACAATCATCCGCGGGGTTGGTGTCAACTCGAGGTCAGCTCGATACAGTGTGCTCCATAACTCGCCTTTACGACGCTCATACCGTACAGCGGTCGCAGGACTCGTGTCGACTGATTCCGAGTATTTGTACATCCTATTCCTATCCGGCTCGCTACAGTACAGCGGTCGCAAGACACGTGTCGACTTCCGTATATCTAATTATACCTCCTATTCCTATCCGGCTCGCTACAGTCCGTGTGGGGACACCTCTCGTGCGCGGGTCGAGGGAGGAAATGCGCATGTACTGTACGGAGTACTTGCTACATTCTGACGAACTTGGGCGTTCCGCCTGTCCAACTGTGCCTGGTATCAGGTATAGTACTGGATAGCCAGATGTGGTGTCTGTACACCGGTTAAGTTTGCTTTTCGACTGCAATCGCTGGCAATGGGCCCCGCGCGTCCTACACCGTCCCACAATCTTCGTCTTTTTTTCTCCTCGTATTCTCATTATGTGGGTCTTTTTCGATGGCGACAACAGCGAATACTGAAGACCTTCCTCTCGGACACGAAGCAATCGCCATCTTGCCCGACCTGCGGAATCGGCAGAGCAACCGCATGACCGACCGCCACCTGCGGCAAGCTCGGCACGAACGATTGGGCACCTCAATGTCGAGTCCTATAGAGGCACCGAGCCCAAATACCTGACAGGGACGAAGTTCCAGTTCATTATCATGGCGCTGCGTGTGAACCCCATCCTTCGACGCCTAGATGCCGACAAGAATGTCGCTACGGCGGTACCGAGCATCACTGACCGCTTCCACACCGTCGCCGACGTGGGATGGTACTCGTCGGCATTTCGACTCTGGACCTGTGCATTTGAATTCGGGTTCGCGAAGCTAAACACGCTCTTCTCAATCAAGGCCGTCTTCATTATAGGAAACGAGAGCTTCTTCGTCGGTTTTCTGCCCTGACCACGGCTGCTTCGTCGCGCTCTCTTAGGCGGGGACGAAGTACCCTCGGCAGATGGGAAGGTCATGGAATGGTTCCTTTCATTTGCCGTGCTGCTCGCCGCCTCAACTTTAACCAAACCGACGTGGGGACTCCACGGCACGCCCGTTCCAGGTCGTGAAAAGTCGAAGAGCCATTGCGGACTTCCTCTTCACCACGTGCACTAATTCCATAACCGACTTTCGGGTTGGGATCCTTTTTCTGGGTAAAGTATGGGTCCGCGGTGTTTATTGCCATTGCACAGGTGACATTCGTGGATCAGTTGTCGTCAAAACCCGCAAGATCTCGTCCCAAGGTTGACACAGGCCTACATTCAAGAACACGGACTTGGCAATATTGAGAATGCGGTCCCCATGCAGCCGTGGGCCGGATCTGAGTGGTATGTATTGACCGGAGCTTGACTCACACTTGGTATCTGGCTCTCACGTTGGCTTGCACGAAGATCGTGGCAAGTCTCTCAGTCGGGTGGCAGTCGGTCAAGCAGCAGCGGAAGCACCAAAGGAGTAAGCGGCTACGAATCACCACACAAAAGATTCCGGTTTACCTCATACGAAATTCAGGGTGACTCGCGACGGTGCCCAATATACAAACCACTTCGAGAAGCCCTTTGAGATGACTAGTAAGTGCTTTTCGGCTTGCCCAAGGCAACAACTTCTCTTCAAGCAATTTCCACACCAGCCTCGGACATCATCCAACAACTTCGCGAAGACAGCTCTACAGTTTGACCTTTTGCATATTCTATGGCGGCTTGAATGGTCGAAGGCGCCGCCCGGGTCACTTGCCAACTACAAAAATCGTTAGCTGTGTTGTTTGATGGCCAATCTCCAGAACATACCTCCAGCGGCGAACACGGTTGCTGCTCCGTCCACCGGCATGCAGATGCCCGACACGAACGCAGCATCATCAGAGCAGAGATATACAGCGGCATTGGCGACGTATCCGACCGAAGTGTTCATCTTCAAGGCTTCTCCCCGAGGGAAAGACGCCTCGAATCTGGCCCTGTTCTCTGGTGTGTCGTCGACGCCCATGAATGATTGTGCCCTGCGATAGAAATTAGCCACCTTTGGTCCAGCCCCGAGAAGAAATGTCCAGTCCGGCTCACAAATCGGTATATCCCAGGATAGGACAAACGGAATTGACCCTTATTCCAGAATGGCCATATTCCGATGCGAGGCCCTCGGTGATCTAGACAAGTCAGCGACTGTTGCTGCCTGCAAGCGATATGAGATTACCTTGTTCACAAACGCCTTGGTCGCACCGTACCATACCTAAAGACGTCAATCATCAGGCGTCACGTTGAATGGATCATGATTTGCATACCAGCCCGTTCTTCACCCGGATACCTCCCACAGAGCTAACATTGAGGATCGTCCCGGCCTTCTTCTCGATGAAATAAGGCACAACCACGGCCACGCTGAGAAAGATGGACTTCTGATTGACGGTGATGACCTTGTCGTACTCCTCTTCGGTGACGGTATGCGACGCCTTCTTCGGGTACGTGGTTCCTGCGTTATTGACCAGCACGTCAACGCCGCCAAACTCCTTCAGCGTGACCTCGAGCAGTTTCTCCCACGAGGCTTTACTCGTCACATTGGCCTCCTGGAACAAGGCTGTCTTCTGGCCGTGCGCGGCGTTTATTTCCTGCTCGACCCTTTGGCCAGCTTTGGGATTGATGTCGGCAATCACCACTTTGGCACCCTCTTCGACGAATCGCTTAGCCATAGCCTCGCCGAATCCATGTCCTCCTCCTGTCACGATGCAGACTTTGCCCTTCATTTTCTGAGACATGGTAACCGGTGCCGACTTCTCGAGCTTTATCGTCCACGATCTAAATCTCTCGTTACCCTTGACTCGTAACCCAGGTCAACAATCGTCTGCTATCCATTCATCACCTATTTGAGACGCATACTTGCCCTACGGTACGTATAACGCGAGTATCGACTCCATCCCCAAACACCCATCTCCAACTTTTGCTGGGACGGCTCATCCTCAACCCCAACATCCGCGCCCGATCTGCCGAGCATCCATGCCATCGGCCAGCCAGAGGCTCTTACAGTTCTCGGATCTTGAGGGGTAGCGGCCCCGGTACGAGGACATGCTTACCTACGAAGCAATTTCTGGGGTTTGCCCAGCTTCGTACTGCTGGCCGAGAGTGCCGAGGCTGATTAAGATGCGGAGAACTGTTTGGATCCCCCGATCGGCCAGATCCAGTACGGAGTAGAGTAGAACAGCCCACCGGACATCCACAGCACAGCACAGGACGAGGCTCCAGCTGCAGCTCTAGCGACTGGACTGGCACGGCACCGCGATTCTATTCCCATGAATACAGTGTACGTAGGTAGAGGATGTTCTCGTACGTCCAGCGGAACGCATCAGCGGCCATACTCCGCGCCCGCGCCCACGCCCACGCCCTTCGGTCCTCCCTTGGCTTGGCTTTGAAGGACGACTCGGTTGTCAACAAGTCCCAAGTCCACAAGTTTGGATGGATACATGAGCCAGACAATTGGGGAAGTCGAGTTTGAAGTTGGAGATTCGCGGGCTTGTTGTGCTTGTCTTTGCGAACTCACATACACGTGCCCACTTACTCATGTACTCACATGCCCGTTGTACTCACGTGCTGTATGTTGTATGCTGTATGTTGTATGCTGTATGTTGTATGCTGTATGTTGTATGCTGTATGCTATATGCTATGACTGTACGGCAGGGTATATCACATCAGTCGCCCCAATGAGATAGTCCGTTCCCGCCATCTATGTTGTCATGAAGTATGACTACAGCACAGGCCCAGTACTGTTACGGCCTCTTACACAGTAAATCAGCATGCGTACGTGGCGCAGTATATGTCACTCCGCAGGGTGTCCAGCGTGGTATCCCTAAATGCAATAGCATATCTATTGGCAATCGATGTCCACCATACATTACACTACGTCCGGGCCACGGAAATCTCGTTGAGATATTGAACCAACGGAGGAAGATCGAAGACATCGAAGAGGCGACTTAAAAATATCGTGCATCAAGGGTTGAGTTGTCTCGTACTGTATCCCGTCTCATGTACTTTGTGGACCTATCTATTGCCCCAAGGATAACGTCCTTTCTCGTCGGGAATGTACCCTGGTATCAAGTATCAGCATCGAGGACCAGACGACCCAACCCGCTTCCTTGCAAACCATGAGCAACCAACCGGACGTACAGACTTGGCGTGGCATGTCATGTTATTGACTTGTCCGCTTCACCTCGAAAGAAAGGGGAAATATAATAGTTGAAAGTCAAAGTCGAAAGGCGAAAGTCGTGATTGTTGAATGTCAGTCAAAATGTCACTGAACGTCACATGTCCATTCGAGTACACGAGTATACGAGTAACCCATAATTATCCCATGCGTGCACCTGCCACCAAGATCACATCACCTCCGTTCACCTTCATCGCAGCATCTGTGCGACCTTGTACCCTGCTGGGAGATCCATGAACGCCAAACGCGGACACCAGACTCAAGCACAAGGACGAGCCGGTGCGAGTCGAAACCGCAGAGAGATAGTATATATGTAGAGGTCGTGTCGTCGTATCGCCGTGACTGGGTGTCCCTCCGCCCCTCCGTCCGTCCGTCCATCTATCGATCCATGCATCCATGCTTTGAAGGGACCACGATGCGCGTTCTTGTGCGTGTTCCCTCTCTTCATCTTGACTTGCCTCTTCCTGCTGTCCCTTTGCCTGTTCTATGCCATGCTGTACCATCCCATCCCATCCCATAATGTGCCGCTCCATATCACATCATACCAGACGATACGATATTGGGTGGCGGAGTTGAAGTAACGATACCCATTCCCTTTCCCAGGTCATTTCTCTCTCGAGTCTTGTGTTGAACCTGAACTGAACAGAACAGCACAGCACAGAAAAGGACTGAACTGTATTGAACTGATGACATCCATAACCAACCCATGGCCAGTGTATATCCAGACTCATAACTCCATATACGAGGGTCGTTTTGTCGAATTATATCGCCCCTCGCTTGGTTGCTCGCTTGGCCGTTTGTTTTGCCAACCCGTTTCATCCCTCCCTGCACATTACGCGGCCTTTCCGTGCCACCTAGGCCAGAAATTCGTAACAGTCGTGGCGTAACCCGATCAATCAATCCATCCACCCTGCTGCGCCCTACATCCCCCGATGAGAACGCCCCTGCGCCTGCGCCTGAGGCTGGCCTTCGGCCTGCAGCGACCGCCTCACCATCTCTTTCAACACCACACAATCCTCGCATCTGACCAACTTCTCCAGCGTCCTCACCCGGTCCGTCAGCCGCGAGATCTCGTTCTCCATATGCCGCATCTGCACCTCACTCTGATGCACATAATTCACCGCGTCGGTCATGACGTCCGACTTACGCACCCGTGTGCCCGCTCCGGTGCGTTGGTCCTGGGGCTTCTGCGTCGCAGTCTCATCACCGTCCAGATAATAGTCTCCCGCCGTCCTGTTCTGGTTGCCCCCGCTCGCCGCGATGGAGCTGAGCGTACGATGCAGCTGCATGATCTTGCCGTTCAGGTTGTCGCGGTATCGCCGCTCGACGATCGAGTGGGCTTGTTTGGCGCGGGCCTGGGCCTGAGCCTGGGCCTCGTCGTCGTCGTCGTCTGCCAAGGGTTTGCGGCCCCGTTTGCGCGGTTTCTTGCTCGTCGTGGCCGCGGCTGCACTACTGCTGCTGCTTCGTGTCATTGTGCCGGTGCCGGTGCCACTGCCAGTGCCGTCGTCGGCGCTTGGTTTTCGGCGCGGGTCGTCGGCCCCGAGTTGTTTTGAGAGCTGGGTATCCCTTTCGGCTGGCGAGATCGTCGAAGGAGGGTACCATTCGCCGAGGTTGAGATCTTCCATTTCGAGGTCAGGGCTTTCGAGGATATGGCCGCACGCGGGGACGGCGCCGCAGGTTCGAGCGAGGACACGGTTGTCTCGTTGGTTGAGGTTCGGGTTCGGGTTCATGCTCGGTGAGTAGGTAGGCAGGGACATATTTGCCTCTTGTTGTTGTCGTTGTAACTGTTCAGGCTCGGGCTGTTCGATTTTGATCGCAAAGTCGGCATATTGCTCAGGGTCGACCGCCGCGATTGCGCCGGTGCCGAACAATGGCTGGGACATGACGGCTGGGCTGGATCCAGCACCAGCAGCACCAGCAGCAGCTGGACCAGTATCCATGGAATCGAAGTTCAGGTATTGCGAGTAGTTTGGCGATTGAGGGATCTGCTCCTCTGCGGCAAGGAGGTTGGCATCGTTGTAACCTCCGGGATCGAGCGGAAATTGAGTGTAGTTCTCAAAGTCTGCTGCTGCTGCTGCTGCGGATGATGGTGGACAAGTGCCGTCGAAACTATTCCAGCCAGGCTGCTAAAGGACTGTCAGCAAGGTGAATCAAGAGCCAAGCTCAAGCAGAGCGATACTGGACATACCAATACTGGTTGATTGTTGTCGTATAAGGTCCGTTGGTATGGTGGGTAAGATTGTGACTGTGATTGCGGCTGCGAGTATGACATGGTCTCGAGCTCTCCGCTGTGTGTAGAGTTGTGTGTGTATAGGCGGATCGTTAGTGTGTTGGGTAGCGTACAGTTGTTTGATAGTGGTTTGACGGGAAGACATGACGGTATGCCCATTGTCTGTCGGTGCTGGTGGGCCGCCTTTACTTGTACCCGGGACCGTTGTCCAACCAGGCTGAGGCCAGCCTAACAAGCTGGAAGTTTACTGTCGTCGCAGCAAGGCTACCGACTGACAGCCTGAACTCTGCCGACTTCTGCCGCGCGTATTGTGCCCCTCGCTTAACTGGGCCGGCGTAGAGTATCGGGAGTGGCCACCGACAGGTGGACGATCTGGTGCCAGTGCAACAGCCGTTCCCACCTCACTGAACACGGCTGCCATCATGCCACGGACGACAAACCACAAGGCGGATCTCGCCGCTGGGGCTGGGTGCTGGCACCCTTGATCGCCTTGCACGTGGGCATACTCGGATTAATGCAACGCAAATATGCGCTCGCGTCGGCGCCGTGCTTCTGGACCTTGGCTGACCGTTTTTCACCGCTGGACCGACATGCGACTGATCCAACTGTGCAGCCCAGTAGCCGATGACTCGCTGGAAACTTGTCGTCGAAGCCCTGTCAATTACCTAAGACCCTCCGAACTGCGGCGAGTTTCAGGCGAAGCCCCGATGAGCAATTTTCCAGTCGTCCTGCCAAGAGATCGCTGGGGAACCGCATACGATATCGCTTATCGTATGCAATCCTCCCGAGGCACCCCTACAGCCCTGCTGCGGCTCGAGGTGAATTCAAGTGCGCGAGAAGTAGGTGGAAACAGAACCTTCGACACAGTAGAGCTCTAGGCTTTCCTTCTCCCCAGCGTTCCTTTTGACTCAACAGCCAGAATGTTCCACCTCTCGTGGTTCGGCGTCACCGTTCGCCATGCTTGCTCTGCCCATCGAGGCCCTGCCAGAGCTTGCTGGATTACACTCCAATTCCTGCCGGACTGAGGAGCGGGTGATCGCTCTTCATCCAGCACGGAACGACGTCCCGTGGTCTAGACAATATGAAGTGCCAAGAGCTGTTGGCGTCCGTTACATAAATATATCTGCGAGGCTCGAAGTGGCAGCTGTCGTGCCTCCACCAAGCCATCTTCGGATCCAGCTGCAGACTTTGAACTCCGAGCCATCGACGAAGATGTGCGACCGTCGTCTCGCGTATATGACTTATGCATTCATCCCCAGGGGTGGAAAATGAGTACTGACCGCGAGGTCGTGTGGCGCTGCATCAACTCTACCGCGCACCATGTACCTACGTAGTCATGCTTGTTGCCGCGCGTAATGGGAGCTAGAGCCTCGAGTCATCTGCCAACTCGGTTTGGGGCACCTCACCTGATATGCCTGACACCCTCTTCGATATCATGAGGACAGGGCTGCACAGATATCGCCCGCACACGGTTTCTGGCTCCGTCTGTGGTCTGCATTAGGGACACCACGCGACGTGCAAGGCCTCTATCGACGAAGCGATTCATGATCCCCCTTGCGACATATTCCATGGAGTGTCGAACCAGCTTGGGGATCGGTCAACGACAAGCGCATTCCCAATCGATACAGACTTCGACGAGAACCAATCAATGAGATATAGTACCAGAGAACTCGACCTCAGTAGTGCTATCGACGAGACCTTCGTCCGCCTCGACCTCATTGCCCTTTGCATCATCGAGGCCATCTGGTCAATCTGCATACTCGGCTCCGTCGCAGCCGTCATCAGTGGCCTCTCAAATGCAGATGCTAATGTCTCACGGAGAGCAACAGCTACAATTGTTGTCGCTTTTATATGCACCGTCGACGCCGGTCTCTCGATCTCCCCCACCTTCGACGGTGTCCGTTTTTCACCTCTCGGCAATTCTGGACACTTTGTTCCTGGCACTTGGACGACCTTGATTGGACTGTGAGATCATGGTTGAACAAGGTCATGTCTCTCATGTCAGAGGAGGTATCTTTCGGCGAGCAACCTCCCAAAGCGTATTTCTCGACGGACTGCAAACTGGTCAAAGCCATGTTTGCGTTCACGATCGTCAACTTGTGACCAATCAAATGTTTGCCAGCTGTTCTGATGAGGAGCTTGTGCTGGTTCTTGAGACAGAGTTTCTTTTCTCGCTTCGGCAGTCATCGACTTCTGTCTGTGCATGGTTGAGCTCGAGTACGCCATGAGCTGGAGAAGCCTTCCATTGATGGACAGATTTGAGAAACGTGGGCGAACCCAGCACTATGCTTGCTGCAAGCACGATAAAACCCACTCTCCACCAGATTCGACAACCACTGGTGACCGCGTTTTGAACAGTCTGTGGGAAGTGTCAAGAAGGTTCACGCAGAAAGCGTACTGATCGGGAGCAGAGGATGAAATTGTCGACGGCCCAGGGCGCCCTCGTGTTGGTGATTGATAACGGAATGGCATGATTCTCCACCACACAAGGCTACACGGAGACCAGGCGCCGCAGATATCGACGCCACGTCAGCAGGTGAAGTAGCCCTGCAAGTCCATGCCCGTGGTGGAATCAGGAATGCCCTGCCTCCTTTCACACGCCGTGTCGGTGGCGACCCCTTTCCGACCAGCCTCGCGGCACCCCAGAGCTTATGGGGAGTCGAGGTGCTTTCCGGGCGCAGCGATTCTCGAAGAAGTTTAGGACCATCGGGGATCATTTTGCCGACTCGAATCTAGCCTTTGCCGAAGCTTCGAGCAGGACATAGATAACTGGAGTGTCATCTATGGTCATGGTCAAAGAAGTAGTGTGCCCGCCACTCAATAATTATCCAAACGCCTCGAGAAACAGACTCTCGGCTTGCTTTGTAGATAAAACTCGTGGTTGCTGGGACCAGAGAAGGAGATCGTCATCGCGAGAATCACGAACCAAATTCGCGCTGGCGTCCCAGAAATCCCAGTCCGACTGCATCTTGCGCCAGTCGCCGTCAAGAGGAGCGTCGCTCCAGATCTCGCGGTCGTCGAAGTGATCGTAGTCGTCATCATCAGAGTCGGTGTTAGATTCGTCCGCTGTATCTTCAAAGGTGTCGCCTTCTTCGTCCGCAAGAGCCTCGATGACAACTATAGCGCAGCCCTCCTTTGGCTTCCGGTGTGCGTATCCACTGAACGACGTCCGATTCCTGACCTCGAAGGAAGATTGGAATGTCTCATCCCCATTCTGGTCGTGATCCTCAAGCTGAGCGATATGGCCACACCCGTGCTCTTTTGCGTCCAGTACTCCTTCGATTGCCACGGAGTCCGATAAGTCATCCTCAACATTTGAGCCATCAATGTGGTCTAGGATGAATCTCGTCGCATTGTCGAACATGGCAGCATGAGCGACAAGCTTGTGGAGTCGAGGTGACGATTTGGACGCTTCCTTCTGGATCTTCAGCCTGGAGATAGAGCTGAGTTCATATGCCTGGCGCCGGGTCTGAACAGTCTTTGAGGATGGTCGTGTCGAGGGTGTGCTTTCAGGATTGGAAGATGCGTTGCCGACGAGTTGGCGTCGGTTCGATCGATTCAGGTCGTCCATCTCGAAGCCTGATTATGACGGCTGCTGGATGGGCGTTAGGCCTGTTCAAGTATGATATCAATTGTGCATGGCCATCTAATGCGCGCACCTATTCAAGCGAACGAGGTTCCAAGCGATTGAGACTGTGCAACAGTCCACATTGAGACCTTACTCGCCGGTGTATCGGGCCACTCCCTGGTCCCGTTAATCAGGTAAGTTGTCGATCAATCTCGGGTTATAATGTGAGGCTGCAAGATGCAACAATGAGCTCTCGACAAATCAGGACTAATTTGGGTTGCTGCCTGCGGTTTGCAATTTGGCGTCCGAGTGTCTGCTGTACAGTCGTGGCGTGACAGAGCAGGTGGTGTGATACTGTACTGTTGCATTTCGGTATTGCGGACTTCGCCCGGCGACCGTTGGAGGACTCGGCGTTTATCTTTTCACGATTAGTCCGGCTCCATACCCAGTCGTTGGCTCATTCCAAGCTCAATTGGACGTAGCTGGCCAAGCATGATCGAGCTTCATACCAGTAAACTTCGACGTGCTGGGGTATTCGAAGTGGGGTTTAGACTCGAGATAACCTCTGTCTGCGAAGCCTCGAGTCTCACTAGGTCGATCGGGGGAAGGCTAGTAAAGAGATGTTGAATGTACTTCTGTGCTCGTCATGCCGAGCGACGACAACGTTAGGAAGTGGGTGGCCTTCAAGTACCTTGTTAGAATCTGTCGCGTGTCTCGCTGAAGGTAGGTAACGTACTATTGCACTGGCAAGTCTGTTGTTACGAAGGTCGGAGAGCGCAGTTTGTGGACTCTTCGGAGGTGAGGCATCGCTTTTGTCGAGGACGAACCCTATTGTTCTGATCTTAGACTTGACACTCTGGGTGTTGGCGTTGGCATGGTTGTGGCTCCGGGGACAATGAACTGAGGAAGCAGAGCAGTTGACATGAATGGTTTTGCATTGTTGAGTTGCTCGGGATTCTTTACTTCAAGATGGCAACGATATCAGAGGTGGCAGCGGGCACCGACGACTGCGGCGAGTATCTCGTGTCCCCGCCTGTCTTGGGCGGCGCCGCGAGCCTTAATTTGTTGGTACCGTAGGTAAGCTGATATGTGACGGGAAGCCTGTGGTCCTCTCTAGGCGAGCCTAGACGGCCTCCGCGGTTAGATCCTAGGTGCCTCTCAGGGCTCATTGGCCCAAAGTTGAAGTTCTTGGCGATAACTTCTGGGGTTTGGTGGCGCCCGGACCTAAAACTCCGGTGTCAAACTTCAACTCCTCATCGATGTTGTGCAGGGCTTTGATGATGGAGATTTTTGCTTTGAGCCGCAAATCGGCCATGCTCTAGAATCGCAGTGGGACTGATCTGTCGCAGGCCATATTATTATGCCTGCCGCTAGTGACCTTCCCGCGCGGCAAGGGATTCAATAGCAGCCGAGGCGGTACTTGTGACTCCCCCGATGCCTGATGCCAGTGACAAATACCATTTCAAGAGGATTACCGTCCTGCGGCTAACCCTACACTAGGATCTTGCAGGGGCGTTCTGCTCTGACGCGTCAATGATCTCACGGGTGTTGTATCCGTTCAGACGAGGCCGTTCGATCGGGCCTGATGGTGCCGCTGAGCGTAATACTGTCCCCTTTGTCAGGCCACAGAGTGGCACGACCAGTCTCACCGCGTTGAGGTCTTCCTTCAGCACAGGCAACACGATCGCTGGGCTACAGTACGCGGGCAACCTGTCTCCTGTCTCTTGCCTTCCTTTACACACCACACATGTGGCATTGCGGGTAGGCAAACCTGGCCGAGGCCACTGCAAAGCTGGACTTGACGCGAGGTAAAGAGCAACCTGTGACTGTAGTACACCTATCCTCGAAAATTCAACCGGATTCTTCAAAAAGCTGCTTGGCTGTCACTAACGGTTTGTAAACTGGTCATCCTTCTTCCTTTCCCCCGACAAGCATTACTCATGTCACCCTCTATTGGATTCAGCGAGTCGCAGACTCACAGTGCCCTGGCAGATGCCTGCAAGCTAGCCTGGCACACTTTCTATGGCATGCAGAAGGCCTCGGAAGATTTTGAGAACCTGCGATTCGAGGTCTGGACAGTAGCCATTAGCCTGGATTCCCTACACAGCATCGGGAGCACGTCGCTACTCATCGATCGACAACCAGACCACAAGCGTTGGGCGTTGACATTCTCGAAGATCCTCAATTCATTGAATGCTGCTCTTCGACCACTCTACAACCTCGTAAAACTCTATCTATCGACGTCAGCCAGGGATCGCGCAGCGGTAAAGCAGTGGCTTACGAACCACGATGTGAACTACGACGGCGTCACGGTCCAAGACTTTCGGCGGAAGTTGTCGATGCTTGTGGAAAGTCTCAACGTGTTCCTCTCATCCCTGACACACGCCGAGCTCGCTCGAGCGAAAGCTGCAACGGAAACTGAAGAATACCGGGTCCTCCAAGAAGTCACAAGAACCGTATTGCACAAATGGGATCAGGGAAGGACGGCTAGCACGGTGCAAGGCCCCGAGGGAGCGAGCAGGATTATCAAACAAGTCAGCATCGTCAACGACAATCTCAAGGAAAACGGGGTATCTTCTCTTCGCCCAGGCTTCTCAAGCACCAGCTCAGAAGGTCCTAGGTCGCCGTCATGGCCCAGTCATCAGACCTCGCCTCATCATACGGACCTCAATCGTCCCGCGGAGATGTTGAACCTGGACGGCATTGAGACAGGCTTTCGCAGACATATGCATGCCATGCGCCGCATTCGAGAACAGCTCTGGCACCAGAACGAAAACAAAGACCACTTATCGACACAAAAATCGAACCACTTCCCGGGACCACTACATTTAGCTACTACTAGAGCCGAACAAAGCGTCACGTTCGTGCCGAACCAATCGCTAGAAGTGCCTTCCACACAGACAGATGCCTCGAATTCCGGTGTCAGCGCAGCCAAAGGCTCTGATTCGACAAGCGTCGTGTCGGCGTTCAAAGATGAGGTCTCCCGAAGTCCCTCGGTGCCGGCCAAGGTCAACCACACGAGGACACCGTCTGAAGAGTCTGGACGCAAGAGAGTACGAAGCCACGACAACTTGCAGTCGACGCGGGACAATGGTTACATGGACGCGGCGCCAAAAGATAGACGACCCGGGAAGATCGCGCTAGAGCAAATGCTCAGCGCGGCTCTCTTCTTTGATAGCTGATCTGAAGGGATGAAGTGTATTTGATTAGCTCAGTGGAATGAGCAGAAATGGAACTAGCAACGAACATGAATGGCAGAAGCAATATCAGACCAGCAGTCTCGTGGGTATACGTCGTTCCCTCGGCGTCATGTGGCGGTTCGTTGACGACGTCGTAATCTAGCGGTCGCAACGCAATGGTGGGTGTCCAAGGCATGTTCCAAAATGATCAGGTCCAACAGCCATGAATCCACACTGGTTCCTTGCTTTCTTCGTGACGATAATGAAGTCTTTCCATCTGTTCCGGTCACTCACTGTTCACTAACTGAAAATGCTTGAAAGTCTCGCCCGAACCGCGTCAATCTTACTGTTTTATTATGCTACATCACGTATGTGTACGATATTGCATACTCGATCGACCACATTCGTGTAAAAACAAGCGGGACTGTCTCAAAATCATGGAATCCACGTTGTCGTTACGGGATAGTTTCCTCCACATTAATTGTACGGATTACAGTTTATGACTGGGTTCCTGCTATCCCACCCGTCCATCCCAACGTCAATTCCCAACTTCAAACGCCGGTGCAAAAGGGATCGTGGTCCCAGACGTCCCAGATCAAATCAACTGAGCCCGATAAATACCCCGATCGCTCTGATGGTACAAAGAGGGCCAAATGTGTATATACACCCGTATCACTTGGCTCACACAAGCGCTGGTCGTAAATCAATACCAATCAAGTCCAATCCCATCACATCGACTCCTCTACGCTCGCCCGCACGTCTTTGAAGTCTGCCACTGTTCCCACATGCGCTCGTACCCCTCAAACCAATCCGCGCCGTAACTGTGCGGGTGTGGCTGACGGGCCTGCTCGTACTGCATTCTCTGATTGTTGAGATTCTCAAACCAGGCGTCGCCGTAGTTGTGCGGCTGCGGCTGCGGTTGCGACTGCGGCGGATGGGCCTGCTCGTACTGTAATCTTTGGGTGTTGAGGTTTTCAAACCACGCGTCGCCGTAGTTGTGCGGTTGATGTGTGCGTTCGTACTCCACGCGTAGGCCGTTGAGGTTCTCAAACCATGCATCCCCGTAGTTGTGCGGTGGGGGGGCTTCGTCGTCGTCCTCCTCCTCCTCCTCCTCCTCGGCGGCCTTGTGCTGTTCGTACGCCAGCCTCTGGGCACTGAGGTTCTCGAACCACGAATCTCCATAGCAATGCATGGGTGACGGGGATGAGGTTGTGGATAATGCTCGGGCAGTGAGACTGGCGTCTTGTTCGGCGTGCAGCTTGGTGTACTGGGTTCCCAGCTCGTGGAGGTTGGTGAACCAACTGTTGCCGTAGCCGTGCATTTGTTGTGTTTGACTTTCTGAAATCGAGCTGCTGGTTGAGGTTTGCGGCTTCATCGATGTTGGTCTGTTGGATTGCATGGACGTTTCTTCTTCCGGACGGTATTGGTAAGATTGTGTGCAAGTTGATCTGGTCAACGGTGGTGTTTATGTTCTGGTAATGTCTTGTCTGATTTGAGAGAAGGAATAGGGGAAACAGATAGCAAGCGGAAGTTCAGCGTTACATATACTCACGATGTAGAACGTAGTATTCTGCACAGCTGCCACCAAGATCCGCATACCATGTGGACAGTGTAACACAGTAAAGCCTCAGGGCTCGGCAAGGCTGCCACGCTGCACGGAGAGACCCGAGACCCGTGCCATAGCCATAGCTATTGGTAAGAAAGCGTCCCCAATGGCCGCAAGTGGAAGCTCGAAGGGACAACGAGTAGTTTGTTATTGGACGAGGCTGAACTCAATCGCGTGGTCCGATTATGGACGATGAGACGAGCGGCTCCCTCGAGGAACAAACAGGGCAGATGATGGGGGAGGCTGTCACACCACGATCTGGGTGTGGTGCGGCTTCGGTGCAGTACCGGAGGGGGTGGGAGGCGAGGCCGTGACTGGTGGAGTCCCAGGTGCTCTCGGCATGCCCAGCGGCCAAATTAGCTCGCTAGGTTACATAATACAACGCCCCCGGAGTCCTCCTGGGCGGTGCTCACACCACTGGCGGTTCGGGACTTTCAGGACTTCTGAGTCTCCATGACTTGCTGCGCCCTGCCTACGGAACAATATTCGTACGCAACTTGGGTTTTGGTGCAACCGTTTATTCTCGAAAATCCCATCGTTGACAACTAAAGGACGTGGGAAATGACCTGCGAAGAAATAGTGAGCGTCTATCGCGCTCGAATTGCCCCTTGAGCGCCAGCCATACGAGCTCGATGCTGCACCTCGGACGCGAGCATTGGGTACTGGAGACACAATGGAATACTGGAGAAACAAGCCCGGAAACCGCCTAACCTAGTCACGCCTGACCCGCCGAATCTGTCCACTTTGGGTTATTCACGGGGGTGTCTCCTGCTAAGCAGTCCCACCATCAGGTGAGTTTGCACCTAGACCCGGTTGACAACGTGACTGGGCTAGGCATGCGAGGCTCTGGCAGAGAACGGTATTCTCTCGACAGGTGAGGTGGAGGAGGTCGTGCACATATAACATGTCCCCATTGGAGTCGGTGGCAAGCCTATCTGGCCAGAATCACGACAAACGATACAAATCGAGACTCACACGATACCGAAAACATTCAACAACACTTGTTGGACTGGCACTATCACCCTCAACGCCGGCAATCCTTTACCTGCAAACCCTCATCACAGGCCTTCAAGCCTCACGTCAGCAGATTTCACACTCTCGCGCAACAAGACAACAAAGCATGCCTCCCATGCGACTTCCCATCAATCGACTTGGCCAAGCAGTTAGGAACTTTTCGTCAGCAGCACCTGGCGTGTTAGGGACAAGACAGCAACAACTCTACCTTCACCGACACATCCTGCATCACGGTCCCTCACAGAGGATCCTGTCCAAAGCGTCCGCAGCGAGTCACGGATGGACGCAGGTTCCTGAAGCGGTTCGAGACGTGACCAGCTATCTAGCGCTTGGAGCGTTGACGTCCCAGGCGGCATTTCTGATATATTGCTGGGTAAGCAATATTTCCTCGTATCGGACACCAAGTCCCTTCCAGCCGACCCCCTGGATCGAGAGGTGTGATTTTTGAAGATTCAGTACGTGCCTCGCTCCGGACAAGGACACGACTGCTGACTCCATCCCGTTGACTCAGGACCAAGAAGCGGACTTGGGAGATTTTCTCGTTGTATGATATCACGACAATATTGAAAGGCGTTGGGACAGGAACTGGGTTGTTCAGCTCGCACAGGAGTCAGGGTGAACCAGATACTGACATGATCTATGTGCATGGTGACGGGTGGTCGAATCAAGTCATAATCCTACAGCGAGGATACAGCCTTGCGAGTGCCGGACAGCCCGTTTGATGCTCGCCCATTGCTCGTGCGGACCAGCTGCATCGGATTCGATCTCCAAAGCAGTGCAAACACGGGCAATAATGGCGAAGAGCATGGACATATTACGAAGTCGATACAGTAAGCCCGGTCCGTGGGTGAGCAAGAACAGTGTCGTTCTAGCAGGACCCGGCTGTTGTGCTTAGCAGACACACTGAAGGTGGACATGAGATCGAAGATTGTGCTTGAAGGGAGCCACTCTTGAAGGACCAACCCTTACCTGTCTTTGTTTTGACGGCTCAAGAAGTTCAAGTACAAAGCTACAAGCACTGGTTCTGGGAATTGCTAAGGACTTCGCTCACCGGAGTCTCCAATTTTCGACAAGGTCGAACGCCAAGGTATTGAAAAGACACCTCGTCAAGCTTTGGATCTACTCGACGCCCTGGCGCTCTATAGACTATTTCCCAATGTCCTGCTCGATACTGTGAACAAACGACGAGTATGATGGTAGGTGGACTCACCCAACTGGGAAACGGAGTGAGGTCGTAGCGCTCTCCATCGCGAGTGAGGGTGCCTTCAAACCTGCTAAGTTGCAAAATGCCGTCGGCCGTACATTGAACTATGTCTCCCGTCATTGGGAACCAGGTCATGCTGTCCATTGACCGCCTAACGTCGACGATTCCAGTACGTAGCCAGGTCAGCAAAACGAGGACTTCGAGCCAAGAGGTGAGAAACGCCCTGTCGCGGTCGTACGTGCATCTGTACCTATACTTGTCCAAGACCGAACGCACACTCGTCTGCACCATCTCTTGAACATGATCTTTGAACTCCTTGATGTCGGGAGTTGCTGCTCCATCCTCGGAGCACGCAAGGACATATTCAGCAATCTCGTACAAAATCCACATGCGTGCTTCAAAGGGCGGATAGAACCAAGCAAATCCACAATTGCGAATGATTCCCGACATTGTTTCCAGCGATCGTCTGAAGTACGCCTCTTCGGCCTGGCTGCGTGGACTCTGGGGTATGCATGTCCAGTCGACCCAGATATAGGACCAATGCTGTGGCTGAAGGTCTGCTTGAAGACGGCGTAGACAGTCGCCGTCAGGATCAGGGTGATCCTGCGTACGCCAGAAATGGCTCACAAAGAAACATGCCTTCCGGTTGACGAAGCCATTAGAGGCGGGTAGGAGAACGTAATCGTCCAGCACGTTACGGCTCCATTTCGTCAGTGTGGCCTGTGATAGAAAGGCGTCTCGTTTCTGGAAGAACTAGAACATCGCCAAATCCAGTGCATTCGAAAGAAGTCATCTAGACAATGGCAGTCTTAAAGGATACGGATGATCAGCTGCTTGTTGATCACATAATTACCCATCCGTGGCGAGCTCTTCCAATGCCTCTGTGCTGCGAGCTATGAGCGTGTCCCATGTACCAGACGACGGAGGGGCGAAGGCGGAGACATCAGAAACTGCCATGCTGGAGCTGATGGCGACGAAATTGGGTCTTTTGCGTATCCCGCGACTCTGGTCAGGCTAATTGCAGAATAGCATGAGTTACTGTCACAGTAATACTTGGGCGAGAGTTTATCTGTTAATCTCCTAGGCTCAAACCCCGAAAACAATGCGCCAAGGACAGCTTTCAAGCCTGTCATGGTACTGTACAAGCCTACAGCCTCACCAGAGAGTACGGCCTTCACCATGGACCAGCCCATAAGTATATCCATTGTACGTTACGCGCGGACCATCGGAATCCTTTAGACACCTCGCACGAACTCGTGCCTGACATCTACAGCCTCACATTCACCCACCATTCTTCGTAACTGGTGAAGGGGCATTCGACAAGGACCAGAGTAGGTCGGCGACATGCGAGAATTGACGAGATATGCTAAGACTTCGTCAAGCGGCAAGCGGCAAGGGTGGCGGGGTGGAGCGCGGGGCCGTACTGTAGGGGTCTGGGGTGCAGGAGTCTTTTCTTTCCCGTGCTTCTCACTTTCTGCTGGGTACTCGAACAGGTTCGGGTGAAAGTGACCATTGATATGACTTGCACAGCATCGGACTTGTGGATTCCAAAATTATGCTGCTACACATCCGCACAATAGTATCGCATTGGTCCCTTGCGAGCTTGAACCCCCTGAGAAGAGACTCGTACATCTTTCCGCCCGCTTCCGATCCCAAGACAAGGCCAGCAGTCTGAGATGTGCAACAGCTAATCGACATGCGCATAAAATGTCGGGTGCAGCCTTGCCACCAATAGCACGGGATCAACACACGGCTGACCGAATCCAAGAAAGCCTCAGGTTTCGGTGACTATGTTTCGTACGGAAGCGCGGATCTCTGGAGAGGTCGGGTTCCGAGCCCTTAGAGCATCCCGGCCACGCCTGTGTGTGCTGTCAGAAGCTCACCCTCCACGTCAAGTGATGCGATGATAGCGAACACGAAGAGGCCTGCCGTCATTAGCAGCCACAAATTGCGGCAAATTGGAGGGGTCTAGGTTCTCTGACCATCCATGGAAAGAAGCACTTGTCACGAAACTGTGAGAACCAGGCGTACAAGGTGGGTGGAGTGTATTCAGAATAAGTCCAATGCACGGGTACATGTACATACATCCATGCACATGCACACTCCGACCTTCGCTTGCTCGCGTGTTTTCCGTCACCGAGGCCCATCACCGAATCATAGCTGCGTGGAAGTCATCGGAAATCACCATTATCAAATACCAACCACCGAAACCGACTTCGAAAACGTTTTTGCCTCATACCAGTCCACCTCCAGTTGTCATACTTACCTACTGCAGATCCAACGCCCAGCAAGCTGGCCAGATTTTGAGTAACACATACACCTAGGACAGCAAACCTCACCTAACGTGACACGACAATCAGCGAGCGAGCACCGTCGAGGAATCCCTCGCCATGCCAGTCCTAATCACGTACGCTACTTCGCATGGGTCGACGCGCGAAATAGCCGATCGCATTGCCTCACGCCTGCATGCCAATGGCTTTGCCGTCGACTGCCGGCGGGTCGACCACGTCTTCAGCGTCGAGAACTACAGCGCGGTCATCCTGGGCAGTGCCGTGCACGGGTCGAAATGGCTCTTGGACGCACAGAAGTTCCTCGACGTCGAGGCCATGGGACTCCAAATGAGGCCGACTTGGACGTTCAGTGTCGGGATGGCCCCCGCGGTCAAGGGCTCCAAGTGGGTGAGAGATCGAGCTGTGAGGAGAGAATCTCAGGACATTCGGGACACGATCTCCAGGAAGTTGCCCAAGGTCCGAGATCACCATTTGTTCGCTGGGAAGGACGACGGATCAGAAATGTCGGGCCCCGTAAAATGTCTGTGGAGTTGCATGGGCGGGCGGTTTGGAGACTACCGCGACTGGAATGAGATTGACGAGTGGGCGGATGTGATTGCCAAAGAGCTGAAGCTCGAAGGCACATGAGGGATATGATCAGGCACGGGAAGATATCTGTACAAGAACAGGAACTCGGCAGCTATCAACGTCGTTGTGGTCAAAAGCATCGAGATTGATTGGAATGGGTGGATAGGCGCCTGGGGGTTCAATTGGATTTGCAACTGCACTGCAGCCGTTCAGCACGAAACGACCTAGCATGGGAGACGGGTGATGGTTTGGAATACCCCATATAGCGTAGCATGTTTCTGCTCGTTTGCGCAACATGGGAATTGAATGAATTCTGCAATGCTCGAGGTCGATATCCGCATTGCACCGCACCCAGCAGACAATCTCAATCCGGTGCTCCGCCCGCAAGTGCCACGGCAATTGCGATTGCGGACTCTCGTTCTCGTTCTCGTTCTTGTTCACTGCCCGGATGTGTCCGGGCTGAGCAAAATCCATGGCCCAGAGGGCGATGCAAGCCCTTGCGTCGAGTCCCGTCTTACGGCACCGGGCACCCAAGACGACAAGGCTGAGCTTGACACTGTACTTAGTCGTATGGCCTACCTCGGAAGGCCGAGGCTGACCATAGGGTACCTAATGATATCGCGATCCTGCTTCGTAAACCACAAGTCAGCAGTCACACATAGTCAGCGCGCCGGCCGTCCGCGGCTGCGGTTGATGCCATCATACTCCAATGGAGTTGAGGGATTTGCGGGTGCGACTATCATCGGTCCAAGCCAACCGCGCTGCTATTCACAGTAGCATGCCCAAGAGGGAGTACAGTAGTAGATACATGCATACAACATTCAACTCCGTACTAATCCCATATCGAAAACAGATGCTCTCTCGAAACCCCGCACCCGTGAAGCCATGTTCCGTGCTTGAATACTGTGGTACTCCGAATCTTCCACACATGAATCGGTGGCAAAGATGATGAGGCAGTCATGTGCTGACCAGGCGGGGAGACGTCACGTCAAGTCGAGTCAAGTCAGTGCACGAGCCGCAGATGGCATAGGTCCGGTATTCTGATCGAAGAGTATCCGCGAGGTTCTGTGGAATTCAACCTACACGCCCATTTGACAAGATGAGGACCCGTGGTCAGCGGCACCACTGGTGGCGTGCCTGAGTTATACCCACTATGACCAAAGACAAGACATGCCCATCAGGAGTCAAGTATCATGTTCGTTTGTCAGTTCGACGGACTGAATGAAGTGTGAGACGAGCTCTGCTGAGGAGCACCCAAGGTATCTGGTCTAGCTTGATCGAGGCATGTAGAATGAGTTCCTCGACACGCATCAAGAAGTAATGGCCAGCCAGGCCGTGATGCAGCCCTTGTGTAAAACAACGGGTCGGATCTATCTAGGTAGATCTACAGGACTGGGCGATGAAGAAAGGATGAGCTGAATATAATGTTTGATTCCCAAAGTAGACTAGACTGAGCCGGCTAACTTCACATTCCCTTCACATTCTCCTTAGAAGGCCCTCAGATCTCCTTCACCTCCAGCTTGCCTTCAGCCTGATATGTGCTTCTTCGGGCTGCAAAGCTGTCAACCACTTCTCCTTGATATCGATCAGTGATAGTTCTTTCCACCTCGACCACCACACTGAAGCTGCATCACCGAGCGGGAGGTCCAGTCTACCCGTATGAAGAGCGCTGCGCGGTGACTGTAAACACCACCGTGCTCGTAGAAGCGAACCTGCCGCAACGCAAATTTGCTCCCACTCCATGATTGCCACCTGGCCCTGCTCTCTCTTTTCCACACAGCGACTCTCCTATCTCTCATACACAGCGAAGCCAAACGTGCTGCAGTCTGGCGCCAGTGATTGCATGCTTGAGGCTCGATCGGCTCACGGCCATCCACCTCAAATGCGACGATGGTTCGACTACAAACAACGGTTCGCTCTCTTGCTCAACTTGGTCGGCCGAACGTGATTGACTTTCCCATCCTCGGGGGTCCCGTGCGAGATATACCCGGGAGCAGTGTATGTGCTGAACAAACCCAGACTGAGAGGACGCCCACATACCCATATTCACTGGTCTAGACCACCGCCTGGGTCCGCCCAACCGATCGCAAGACGCTGAGTCTCTTGCCCATGTCTTTGACAGAAGCACGAGCGAAGCATCTTCATTTTCATAGGAGTGGAAAATAATCTCCTGACGAGAGGTCGGCGTGAGGACCTTATTGCCGAGCCACGGCCTACCCTGAGACTCCCCCTGTAGTGATGGTTTGGCTCAGCAACATCAGTGGTCAACCTGTTCCAATACTATACGCTGTTAGTGACCGAACCTTAGTGGGAGATATTCTGGCTTGTGAGGATACAACTGGTAAGAGCGTGTTGGTTCGCAGCCAGGACAATGTCTGTTGCCTATAAAATGCACCACTCTTCCTTTGCAACTCCTTTTCCTCCCCCTTTCCGCTTTCTATACCGGCCACACTGCAAGATCTCTCTTTACGATGAAATGTCCCCGAGGGCATGCGCTGGAAATGCGCGCGAACGAGTCACACGCGCCTGCGAGAGGTGTCGCATCAAGAAGGCGAAATGCGACGGTGACATGCCATGTTCTAGGTGCTGCGGCGACGACGAAGTCTGCAGATTCAGCCTGCGCAAAAGACACGTCTTGAGGGGCGCAGTTCACAAACAGACAGACCAGATCCTACATGACAACGAATCCTACAAGGCCGCCGTGCTGGAACTGTACAAGCGCGTCATTTCCGGCCGGCGACTCGAGGACAGCGTCCACGACGTCCAGGTCAATACTAACATCACTGCCATACTCAATCGCGTCGGCGTCCTCGGCCAAGACAAAGATGCTGCCTGCATAGTCCACGCTTCTCGCGGAATTCTAAAGTCTGAGGCAAAGTCGCTCTCAAGTCTCAGTAGACCAATACAACCCGCCATCACACCGAATCCGAACAGATCAGGGCAACCACCGCCTTTGACGCGGTCCGCAAGTTCAACTCCCCAAGCTACTTCCATCGGTCGAACCTCTACGTACCGATCATCAGGCTCAGCTTCAGCAACTGCGACGAAACCCAAACCCCCGGCTTCTTTTGAGCCATCGGCACGTCTACTGGAAAACAACGACGATACGGCGCAGTCCTCGAAGTACCCACCGCTATCCTCGCCATGGCCACCACCGACGTGTGGTCCACCGATCTCAGACTATAATCTGATCGACGCGCCCACCACGTCTGTATGGGTCATCTCAGATCCAGGCCAGGGTGGTAGCGAACGAGGTCCTCCTACGCCTATGGTCATGGGGGGCCCGCACCACCCCTATTACGCAGTCCCACCATGGCCGCAAGATTTACAGGGTCGGGAATATCCTCCTCAGTGGGAATGGCCGTTCCCGTTCCCTTCATCCTAATCCCAACTGTCATTTTTCGCGGTCCAGCTCTACAGCTACCACAATAAGGAGAATGGGACACTGGTTCCACGTTCGAGTTGCTGGCCAGACCAGTGCGGAATCTTCGACGCTTCATCGGATTGAAGCGGACCACAATTTCGTGTGCCAAACATCTGATCCTTTCTCCTGTTAGCTTCTCCCACCTCGACCCTGCTTGGCAGCCTGCTGCCTGGTACGGTTCCTTTTCACGTTCCAAAAACTACTCCGGATCGACGGACTATGCCTGTGACGATGCCTGCTGATGATTTAGGTGCGGGTAAAGCAGGTTCTCTTCTCGCATTGCGTTTCTTACTTCTTTCCAGGTTCGAGTCGCGATTTGCCCGGGGTCGAGGAATCCAGCTCGCGGTGTGGGACCATTCACGGAAGGCTGTGTTTCCAGCGAGGAGAAATGGCGAGATGGTAGCATGGCGAGATGGTAGCATGGCGAGATGGTAGCATGGCGAGATGGTAGCATGGCGAGATGGGAACATGGCAGCATGACAAGCCGTGCGTCAGTTGCTCTGCTCAAACCTCTGGCAAATGCCAAAGGCTCTGTGAGATGGACTTTTAGTGAGTGAGCGTGGGCTCTCTTGGGGTGGACTGACTTGACGATGGGGCCCTAGAACTTAGAAGAGCTGAGCCGTCTTATCATGTCCTTCTCTCCGGGATGGATCATCTTGAAAAAGGGTTTGCTTTGGTTTTCTTCAATGAGATATACAACCCCCCCTTCTCCTTTTATAGCTGCTTTCCAGCACAGTTGCCGTGCCGGCCTGAAGTGGCGCGTACTGCGGATTCCTGCGATTGTGGCGTTCGAGTCCTAGGAATCGCATTCGCATTCGCATTCGCCCTTGCATAATCCTATCATTCCGACGATTACCACAAGTGGACAGACAGCTCGGCCCCGGCCAAGAGCCTTCTTCCTCAACGTTATGCTGAGCTGGCCGTGTTGTTCGCTTCCGACACGCTGGCGTTCGATGCACCAGTCCGTCTTATCCTCGTCAGAAGGTGTGCGGCTTGTTCAGCAAGGGATCTTTCCACATCCAAAATGGCGTCATGCACTGGTCAGGTCGCGACCGGCAATCCGACATGATCATAAGCGCAAAGACCGCACACATTATCATCCTCCACCGCCACAAGCAAGGATTGCCAATAGACAAAATCCGAAAAAGTACATGGCCCTACGATTGTCCTCAGAGTCATGGGCCACCTGTGAAAGGGCACGATCCGGTCCATAGTGACCTTCAACACAAATATGATGAGTATGATGACAGGCGGGAGGATGGTAATCAGTATCACCAGCTTGGGGTACACATCATTGCCAGAGTAATCAGGTCGAGTCCAAGAGCCACTTTGCAAAGCCAGAGGTGGGAAGGATTGTAGTAGTAGTAGTAGTAGTAGTAACTCCCAACAACCCTGGCTGTTGCCACAATGTCCAGTACGAAACTGGATACCTGGATAAGAGCAAGTCCAGGGCCAGAGGGCACGCCCGGTGGCTGCTCGTCAGTCGCAGCTTGTAACAGATTGGGTGGTGCTCGAAAAGTCCAGGGGGAATTGCACGCCCAGATGATTAGACTAGCCAGAACGCTACGCAAAGTTCCTGCCACTGAAAGGAGGTTCAAGGAATCCACGGGTGAGTCCCCATAGCCCAGATCCGCCGCACGAATTGACCAAAAACGTAACGCACTGAACGAGGACCAGGGTCAGGGGAACAAATCTGGCAAGCCACCGTAAATCGAAGGATCCTCTTGTCCGTGAAAGATATGGTGATGTAGGGCGTAGCACACACAACGGTACAGTATCTGGACTATCATCGACTTTGACTCTGATTCCAGTAGCCGCGGCCCAATAATAGCTCATGCCGAAGACTTGCGGAGTTGACCAACATGTAAGAGACATGCCTATTGTTCTGAAGAGGTCCACTGCGGTCAAAATAAAAGGTAAAGTGGGAATCAGAAAGGCAGCTGCGACGTAGAAGGCCTGGTTTCGATTGCCGTGACGTTGAATTGTCAGAAGATGGCCCCAGGTTAACAAGTATGCTAGCCGGATTACCACAATCTTGATGGTGAGTTCGGTGGGGTCTCTCCCATTCTCGACCATGCCTGTGAAATTGGGCTTTGGCATATCCTACGAGGGTTAGCTGAGATCTTCTATTGGGATGACAGCCTTACCGTGCGTGATCCATCAGCTGCTAGACCTCAGGTATGCGGAGAGTGGTCCATTTCCAATCTCTCCTTGGAGAGGAGCACAAACACCGGCGTTTTGTGATCAAACAGTGGCTATGGGTCGAGCAAGGGCATCAAGAAAACAACATTCGAAGTGCAAGGTTTCATATGGGGCCGTGGAGAAACGAGTAAGTAAGTGCAGGTAAGTTGAGCAGCGTGAGGCTGTCCAGGGCGATGCGGGCGACGTACCTGGCAATGGTGCCTGCCTCGCCTAGGTAGCAACCTGGGATTGGCCAGAATGCATCGGGCCATCGACGGCAGTGTCGTCTTTGATACAAGGTTCACAGCTGAGGACGCCCCAAGAACAATGCATAGGTTGAGAGAAATTAAGAAATCGGTAGCGACACCAGCACTCCCAGTCTGAAGCGATATCACTCTCGAGAAGAGGCGACAATTCTCTCTTCGAATCTTGATCGAAAACGCTTTCACGGTACACGCCACACCGAGACGTGCTCTGCTGTGATGCAATGCCGGCCTCCAGCAAACAAGAAGAAGAAACCAAGGATCAACAGACATCACCATTGAAGGACGTTTCTGTTTCTGTACAATGTCATACCTATAGGTGGATGTGCACGTCTCATCTTCAGGGTTTGCCTGGCGGGTCCGAGCCCAATGCCGCCAGAATACAAATGCGCTTCCATACTCGCATGCAACCCGTGTATACATTACCGAGATCGTCTTGGATGTCCGAACACCGTGCGAAATGCGCATAGTCTGTGTCGTGAGGTCTCTAAGTGTTGTGAATGAGGAAGTTCCGAAAATTATCCCAGTAATCCGAATTCACATATCTGAGAGCAGGTAAGCATCACAATCACGTGCCAGGAGATCCAACATACATATACTTCATACTGCTCCTCAAACTGGACTGGATGCTCTCCGGCTGCCATCTGAAGATATACATGACGAAAGCCCAGCTGAGACTGGCAAACACCGGCCAGGCGTTGTGTTCGATCTTTGCTTTCAACTCGGGTGACAGTCGCTGAGTGAATAACGTGGGCGTGGGCGTTGAACTTGTGGCACTTGGTGGCTCGATGCTGAGTTTCGCCAGAGCAAGCACGACTCGGGCGAACACGTAAATGACGATCTGTTGATTGACGCTCGACCTTGACAGATTCTTTAGCCTCCCCTTGGGCCGATGCTGCAGAATGGTTCTCACCTTGCTTGCTTCCCTCTGCCGAAAACAACGTAGCCTCCTACTAGCCCGGCAAAAAAGGTATCGTAGGGGCCCTCTTTGCCCGGAGCTGAAGGGTTTAGTAGCCTCAATATTAACATTGATGACTTGTATACTGTTGCAAAGAAGGCGAGGTTGCGCGCATGTTGTCTGGTCGCCTTGAACACCAGCCGCAGCTTCTCTTTTAATGTGCCTGACCGGAACATGAAAACCATGACGAGGGCGTGGGGGAATCGAACTTTGGCACCGTAGACGGCGCCATTGCGGGCGGCTTTGACGATTGCGAGGAGAGGGGCAAGGTCCGGGTTGAGGATGATGGATTCGACTGTTTCCTGGGAGATGTTAGTTTGGTCTGGTGACAACGGCAGAGCCAGTCGACTGACTTTGAGGACGTCCATCTTTCTATGCCAATGCTGGTTCTGCTGCGAGAAATGGGAGGAGACTCTTGAGATCGTATCGAAGCGCAACACCGAAGAGTCTCAGGTGTAGCAGAGAGTCGCGGCTCACGTCATGGGTGTCATGGGCAAGAGGTGTTTGCAAAGAGCTGGCATGTGTTACTTTGTCGCATCTAGTATCAATTGCTGAACGAACAGTATGCAAGGTCCATGCGTAGGAGCAGGAACAAGAGTCCTCGGCGAACGAGGAGATACAGCGACATCATCTTCCCTTTAGTTTTCGGCGCATGTGAACAGTAGCCGGCGGGTTGCGGTGTCATTGCTCGCTTCCCCACAAATCATCCGCCCCGATCGCCGTCATCTGCCTCGGCTGTTCATTTTGCCTTTGCGACGCCAATTCCGCGCCGCTCACTACCACTCACTACCACCGTGCACGGCAAATTCTCGCGCGAGCACACGATCCAGCATACACTTCTACTTCGTACAGCTCCCTTGACGACCGAACAATTGTCTCTTGCCATCATCTTGCATACCCATCTCTTCGGTTGGGCATGCGCGCTGTCTTGCCTGCCATGAGGGCGTAGTGACGGGAGACTGAGGCCGCTCTGAGAGTGGAAGCGGCTGACCATCGTTTCGGGAGATTCATTGAAGACGCTGCCTGGACATCCACAGCCATGTTGTCGATGCTCCTCGACACAAGATTAATGCCTCCCATACAAGCACTTTGCACTCGCCGTAACTCAGCGTTGCACGTGTCGGAGCGGGTTGCTGCTTCTTTAACCCCAGGTCGTGTGAGATCGAGTGACTTGCTGTCGGTGTCGCTTTCTGGAGAGTGGATTGTAGCCGTACGAAGTGATAGACTTGGGAAGTCTTCGAATCACTGTTAGATAGTTGGGTTTCTCGGCTTGAAGTGTGTTTCACGAAGTCCTCTGCCTCTTCGGCTTCTCGTTTTGCTCGTCATTCGCATCTGCCATCTCCTCGTCGTTGTCGTCGTCGTCGCCGATACTGATCTCGTCACCACTGGCGAAGTCACTGCTGCCTCCCCCCTCCGAAACATCCTCAATGTCCATTCCTCCCATTCCGCCATCTCCATCTTGGCTAACAAGGTCTTCCTCGCCGTCAATGTCTGGCATCTCCTCCTCGTCCTCGATATCGGCATGAACTCTCTTCAGTCCCTTCATCTTTCTTGTCTGCAAAGTTGAGAGGTCTTGCTTGCCAAGGTGAACGCGGCCAATTTTGTCACCAACCAAGTCAGTCTCAATATTCTTCTTCGTCCGTGCTTCATTGGGTCGGCGGCCGTGTTTCAAGGCGTCCCTCATCACGCTGGAGTCAGCCTCCTGGAAACGACCAACTCGAAAGTCGAAGCTTGGCCCAATAGGATCAAGCTCAACCCGAGGTATCTTCGGGCTGTTAGATCTCATTGTCCGGATCTTGTACCATCTGAGATGAAGGACAGGCTTATTGGCCGGGTCATTGAGGTCTGCGGAGGTACCAGAACTCTCGCCAGCAGCAATCATGAGAAGATACTGCAGGCCCGCCACGTCAATGGCGGTAATTTCCTCGCCTTGGAAGAGATCCAGCATCATGGACTTGAGACTTTGATACAAGGTAGCCTGGGCCGAAGACGAGGTATCATTCCACTGCGAGCCTGCAAACAAAATCAAAGGCTTCATTTCCACCCCAATCGTTAGTGTCGGCTCAGGCTTTGACTGATCCGTAGGCACGAGAAGGAGTAATTCCACCATGTCAAGCACCTTTCCGTTGTAGATCCGCAGTACGGTGAGGTTGTTCGGTCTCTTCTTCGAATGTGCGCCAAAGACAACCACGCCACATTCATTTTTTCCCGCCAGAAACTCCAAAGATTCGGTATTCTCAAAGGGGTGGATGTTGTCATTCTTCTTGTTGAGCATGACCGAGTCTGGTTTGGTGAGAGTGTGTACCGTCTTGAGCACACTTTGGACCGGTAGGGGGCATTTGGTCCCGTGCAAGAGCAGTACTCGTTTCCTCGACTCAACGTGTTGAGGCTCGCGGGCCTTAACGATGCGGGCCGTCCGCGCATTACGAGGTTTTCTAGGAAACGTCGGTTAGCATTGAGGCCATTGCGTGTTTGAGACATTCTCACACTTCACGCAACATTTTGGCTGATCCTCCACAGCAAGCAGCTCTTCCTTGAAGCCGGATGTCACCTTCAAACTCGCAGAATTGCGGTGATGCCGATCGAGGGTTTCCCGACTGAAATAATTTTTAGCCCGCCGTGCCTACGCTTATCGATAGGCTACGGTGGAGCGCGAAGCCAATAACGTTTCTTGGTACTGTGGAACATTTGCTCCGCTTCTTCCGGTCAAAGGACGATTTCGACTCTTCACTTTTAACTGCAGATCACATATAATTTCTGTCCAGGTGACGAGGTTAAGGGCATCAACATCCTACCGGCGCAGCCGAACGACAGCAAATAGCACCGAGTCGTTAAGCGAACGAATTGGACTGGAAGACTTGTATCAATGCTCTTCACTACTCCTTCAGCCACGACCGACCGCCGTGGCTCGGACATCGGGCAGCTTGGAATGTTTGCAAAGAGAAAACGCTCAGTGAACGCGGGTTGCCTCTTCGGCAGCTTGGTCAGCTTGCGGTTACTCCTGGAAGTCCAGTCCTAAACCTTGCAGGAGGGTCTGGAACCAAAACCAGTGTATTTTGTGAGCGATGGTGCTGCTATTGACCAAGGCTAACTCCATGCACGCATCGTTCACGTCCAACTCTTCGTGTTTCCATTCTGAGGGCAACCTTTCGAAGATAGATGTCCCGGTCGATTCCAAGGACCGTCAAGCATCCGAGTCACTCGACCAAACCTGCGACCCCCATGCTGCCGGAAAGGTTGCACGTCAACTCTCAAGTGACACCACAGACTCCAAACCGTCGCCCGAGTCCGGCGGTCAGGACATCAATGAGCACGCGCCATTCAAGTATGCTATACCTGACGCCATGTTATGCACCGCAGTCTCTCCCATTGAGGGAACTACCAGATGATGCTTCAACACGCAATAAGCTAGAGCAGCGGTAGACCTTCAATATGGCTCTGAAGTTCTCGTCGACGTCTTCGGCACGGGCCGACAGCTACTGCCTCGAGACTTCGTTGACGGTCATGACGGTTTATGAGGCATGTTCATCAGCACATGCAAGGGTGCCCCTCGCCAGATGACGTTACCTGAGTTGAACCATGGCCTGTCTCCACGAACTGACCTCGTACAGCATGGACTTCTAATACCTAGGTATCTCTGGGCCAAACCAAGATTGTCCAAGAGAGGCTACGAGCTCGAGTATTGCTCCAGGAGCCCACCCAAAAGGACTCGCCACGAGGACCTTTTCCGGCCTTGGTATATTCTTCGGCCATATAACAAGCGGCCGACTCGTCTGTTCGTGAGCGACGGTTCTGATGTTGATATTGGATAGGGTGACTCAAGCCATTTTCGGCTCATTCATTCCATAAAGCTTGATTCAAAATGCCACCACATTTTCCGGGAGCATGAGCATCGACGCGGCACACATTTCTGTGCTAACAGGCGCAGCGCAACGAGCGCCGCGCGGCTCTTTTAGTACCGAACTCATATCCACGATCAACGGCAAGTCATTGTCCCCGGTGAGTATCCTGCAGTCTTGCCAGCGTTCGTCGAGCTTTGCATGCGCAAATTCGGAAGGCCAGGAAGCACCAATATTGAGGTCCGTCGTGAACACGCATCCTGATGCTGTTAGATAGTCAGGTGGCAACTGATCTCCAGACTTGCAGTGTTGGGCCAGTCATGCCGTACCTCGGTGTGGAACGCGTCTCGCCTTAAGGTTCCTGCTGAGTCGAGATCGTCAAACAGCAGATGGGCTGCCTTATCTGCTGTTGGTGGAGCCGCTCTAAAAGCGCAACCGAGATCTGGAATGTCAGCTCTTCACCACCATATGCGGCAAATGCAGGCTGTTGTTTACTGCCTTTATGGTTGAAATGTGAAGATCTGGTCATGTGGGCATGGTCACTTTACAACGGGGGCCGTCACAAAGCAACGCTTCAATTACGGCTCAGATAGACAGGTAGGCCTACTCAGCTCGCGCCGCATCCACCTGTCACCTCATCTGAGACGTCGATATACATAATGCGGCTCTCTGGCTGATGCGCAACAGCATTAGTTCCAGGTTGTTTTCCCCTTGTGCAACTCTGAAAGAAAGGCAAGATGCGACAACCAGGAATATTTGGTCAACTCAATTGGGATACTTACACAGTAGTCATACTCGGGTTCCGCACATCAGCCGGTCAGACACCAGACAGTATCACAAAAGCGCTCGATCAAGGAGCCGTCAAGCTTCTTTCCGTGTACCCTTTCCTCACATGCCAGGTCATCAACGAAGGCCGCTCAAGCACGAGTTCCGGCACATACAGGATCGTGCCATATCCTCCTCACTCGGACGGCAACTCGCCCGTCCGACAAAAGGACTGCAGGCAGTTGTGTCCGTCCTACGATGAAATCATCCGAGCTGGCGCCCCTTTCTCGATGCTTGACGGCGAAGTTCTTTGTCCCATGAGAGGGATGGGCTATGTTTACGACCAAGCAGTCGAGACGCCCGTGTTCATTATCCAGGCCAACTTTATCCGTGGAGGACTGCTGCTATGTTTCGCGAGCATGCACAACGCGCTTGACATGAACGGCCAAGACATCCTCATCCGACAATTCGCCACACTGCTGCGGGGCGAAGCATTGGACCAGGAGCTGATAGCAGCTGGGAATCAGGACGCCGATAGCATTGTGCCATTGCTGAAGGAAGGAGAAGCCGTCCTTGCGCATGATGAAATGCGGAGACCCTCCAGCTTAATGCCTGTGAACGATGCCGCTCCCGCTACACAAGGACTCAAGGCGCGGTGGATCTACTGGCGATTTCCGCGCGACAAGCTCACTGAGCTCAAAACCCTCGCCTCGCAAAACACGAGTGCACGAGTCTCCACAAACGATGCAATCACGGCGATCTATGCCCAGCGTCTCACGGCCGTTCGCATTGCCGCAGGCCGCCTCTCCCGCACGGAGTCCGTCCACTGTCTCCGTGCCGCCGACGGCCGCGCAAGGCTCGACCCTCCTGTCCCGAAAGGCTACCTGGGTCACCTTGTGGGACTCGCGTACACGGAATGGCCTGCCGCACGCATGGTTCTGGAAGCCCCATTATCCACCGTCGCCAACGACATCCGTGCGTCCCTGGAAAAAGTCGACGATCACAACATCCGGAGTCTAGCCACGCTGATCCACACCACGGAGGACAAAACGACAATCTTTTACGGCGCGAAGAAGAAGCTGGGCAAGGACATCTTCATCTCCTCGTGGGCTCAAATGGACCTCTCGAGGACGTGTGACTTTGGCCCGTTGCTGAGTGGAGGTGGCAAGGATGGAAGACCGGATTTCGTAAGGAGAGCAAAGATGGATATTCTGCCAGATTTGACATATATCATGCCCAAGAACAAGGAAGGGGATATGGATCTCGGGGCGTGTCTGTTTGAAGAGGACATCGCGGCCCTGCAAGAGGACGGGCCATGGATGAACTACACGAGGATGATCGGTTGAGGCAGTGAACGCAAGAGCACTGAACTGCACTGCACTGCAATGCACTGTAATGCGCCGCTGTTCGAGAGACCGTCCAACCTCCAGGAACAGGGACATACTGTAGAACGGAGTAGCATGCGATGAACTACTTTCGTAACCTCGTAGGCTCACCGGCCAAGTTGCGCTAGCGCGCCGGGTTCTCTGACCACGTCTTAACCAGAATGTGTCTTATTCAGTGAGGCCAGTAAGGCCAGTAAAGCCAGTGAAGTCAGTGAGCCCAAGTCTTGCACCGTGCAGTACTCTGACGAACCTACCGCACCACAATTTCGTCAATTTCGTGTACGAAGACATACGAGGCACTCTAGACAAGCGTCGATAGCCAGTCCAACCGTTGGACCACCATGACTACCATAGCGCATTGCGCAGTCATCCTTCTCTGAGTCCCTCCTAGATGCCTCCCCTACCCTCTGTGCACCGTTGGCTGGGTACGTGAATAGGTGTGCCTTTATACCACGTATATCTGGGTTACGGCCGATCTTCAAGAACCCATGCTCAATTTCTCTCTTCTAGAACGCGTTTCGTCCGGGTGGCTGTATGCTGAGGTAGCGCGAACGAGTGTGTGTTTGTGAGCAGCATGAGCGTGTTCATCCACATCCGCATCCCGGCTGATCCGGGCTAATCCGGTCCACTGGGGCGTTTCCCTCGTTCGTACTCCGTATACCATACTATTTTCCGGCCGTCAAGTTGCCTATCCGGGAGATGCACTGCCAACTTGACGTCCCAACAGTCTGGATAGCGCTGACTTGGACGACGCTAAGATTTACGCTGGAGGAACTACCAAGGTACCAAGGTATTTAGGTATTTAGGTACTTACTGGACGCGGCTAGTCGAGCGTGAGCGTGAGCGTGAGCGTGAGAGCGAGCGTGAGAACCGTACCTTGGCCGTTGGCGTTGGCGTTGGCGTGGATGCCTGGCGCCATACTCCGAACAAAGCTCTGTCCGGAGTGTAAGATGCGTCGAGGGAAGGGCAGGGACTGGGCACGGTCAGGTCGACTTCATACAGTACGAATGCGGTCCGCATAGTGCATACTGTACAACATGACAGACCATATAGTGGGGAAGATGCTGCGCAAACTCAACGTTACGCGAGATCCGTTACGCTACGCTAGCCTGGGGAGAAAGGAGGTGATGACGATGATGACGGGAATGAGCTTCAAGTTCTTCACTTGCAAAGGCCTTCACAATCCGCCAGAGCAACACCGAAAAAAAAAATACATATATTCACATTCACAAGCCAGCCAGCCATACAGCCATTTCCACGGGCATCAACGAGCGTCGAACAGGCATGCCTAGTACAGAGTACCTCTTCTCTTATTGTGATTGCAAAAAGATAAATCAGTGATTCCCCTATCACAGTGTCGGATCCGCGAGCTCCTCGGAAGACAAAGTCCAGTGTGTGCGTGTGCTCCGTGTTAAAATGCCACCGGGCAGAATCCCATGACCGAACGCCCTTCATGAAGATAATCCTTCGAGAGATGGTTGATTTGTTGACTCGTGTTATGTCGAACAAACATATATATATAGGTCAAGTTTGCGATTCGAGTGGTTACGGACTAAATATAGGGACATTCATTCACTGTGAAGGACGTCCAAGTATTGTGCTTGGGAAAGTTCAAGGTCGAAGTCTGATTGACTACGGGGCCATGACTCGATTCTCATCTGGGCTGCTGGAATACAGCGACCCATTGCACGCACTTGCATTTCAATCACAGCGTCGGCATATATATATATACGCTTCCGTCCTTGCGCTGTATCTGCCAGTCGACATTGTCTACGACATCTGGGCGAGCAGAGAACAGGGTACAGGCGCGACGAGCATGGCACAGTATCTACAAACTGTGTTCGGTCAAGTGGGGAGATCTCATCGTTACCGTCCCCGAGAGATGACCATCATAGTACGCTCAAGATATCCAATGCTTTGGCGTGGCACTTTCATATGTACCAGGTCCACTCTGGGCCAGCGATACTGGTTCAAACCCACTCGCCCGTACAGTACACGTCCATCCCTCGATCCTTCGGTACCGGGAGAAGGAATATCTCCACGTCTACCCGTCAAAGGTATCCGAGACGCCGACGCTGTCCTCGCCCGCCGCGGCCTCGTCCAGCGCGATATTATTGTTCAGCTTGGTCATCTCCTCGTCAATCTTGTCCTGATCGGCGTCTCCCTGCGCGGCCTCGATTTGCAGGGCCAGCACCTCCAACTGCAACTTGAGCACCTTGTTCTTGATCTTGCCGTTCTGCAGCGCCGTCGTGTCTCCTGACGCCGCGTCGAGTTCGTCGTTGAAGCCGCCCGTGCCGGTTTCGGCGTCCTCGGCCGTCTCACGTGCGTCCTTGATGATTTGGAGATCGTCTTCCGAGACCGAGGCCAGGTCAGACGTGTCGATCTGCCAGGACTCGTAAGTAACGTGTGTGCCCAGCGGACGTGCTGCAGATCATTTTCCTACCGGGAACATGGCATTGACTTCGGCGAGCGCATTTCCAGCGACACCGTCCGAGATCTGGAACTGGCTGTACGGTCTGGCCGTGAGGACGCCGGCCTGCTTCTTCTTCAGCCCGACGGGACCGGCCGCGGAGAGAGCAACGAGCGCGAAAAGGACGGTGGTGGTGGAGAAACGCATGTTGCCGAGCCGCTGATAAAAGTAAATGAATGAAGGTGTCGTATCCAAGACAAGCTCAAAGAATGGAAATCTACAGACCAGCTGTAGTTGAGGTAGGTGGTGAAGTTGAAGTGAAAGAAGGGCTTGCTGGGGATCGAGAAGACAGATGCCAGGACAGCAGATCCAGATCTTTTATACAACCTTCACATTCAGTTCCCATCAGTCATCGCTGAGCCGAAGATGGTTTCCCTGTCTGCAGACTCCCAAACAAGCCATCCCAAGCAATGCGTGCCGAATACCGCATACCCAACCGCCAAGGCAGGTCGTTGTCGCACGTCATGTCCACGTGCGATCGTGCAGTCATGGTGGCGCTCGCTTGTATGTCGTTGACACAGCGCGGGTGTCAAGTCTCGGTCGAGACGAGGCTGCGGGAGACATTCTCGAACGGTGGTACTTACTGACGTCGAGGAAATCTCCGCACTCGGCTTTTCCTGCATTCACAATGGGAGGATGGACACACTCAGACGCAAGGCTCCGCGCTGACCAGCGAAACACCCAAATTCACGCATGCATCCGTGTTTCTGGGTTGAGAAGTGCAGCTCCGTACGGAGTATGTAGTACTCCGTACTCGTGCCTCCTTCCCCACCCAAGCTTCGATAAGCTTCATCAACCGTTTGACAAGAAACACAAGTGTTCCGTACCGGTGCTAGTACGGAGTACCGTAAGCCAGATCTCAAGCCCACTGTGACTGCTTCAACTTGAGCACCGGCGTTGCGGCAGAAGAGTGTGGGGTTCAGTCCTACAGTATGTATCTTGGCTCGTCGTATTGTGCTACGATGCTAAGCAATCTCGTCGTACTCTGTACTCCGTACCCCTTAGGTGCCGTGCCGCCAGGTGCCCCTTGCTGGCCCAGCCAGGGCAGGACTTTCTTTCTCGAGCCCTCACTTTACGGCGAGCTCGATCCGATCCTCCAAGGACTCTTCACGTGTAGACGTGTGAGAGGGGAGAATAACGAGGACATGAGTACTCTATATGTGTGTAACTTTGTCGTTGAGTTCAGTATTTCTTCTCCCCGTCTCTCCGTCTCTGTCTCCCTCTCTCTGTCTCCCTCCCGCTCCCGCATCACCTTCGCCTCTCTTTCCCGCTCATTTGTCAAGTCGTTGATTCCACCCCATCCACACCGGTCCATCCACGGGACCACTCACATACTGTATATACACATACTATACACATACACATACACATACACCAATAGCATAGCAGTCCTCGCTCTGGTCTCGCAAATTACTCCCGTCCACGGCATATAGTATGCGGCGTGCGTGCAGTGCTGGACATGACTTTGAATCGATTTGAGCAGGATAAGATACTCCGTACATGCTCTAAACTCTACACTCTACCTTCTACCCTCTACACATTTTAACGACCGTGTCCTGCGTATAGCGCTGCATGGCGTGATTCAACATTGCACTGGTCACGCTCACGCAAGACCAAGGCTAGGATGGGAAGAATACCTCGATGGCGTGCTCTTCCCGGACACGCACGACACCGGGATCACACACGCCATTTGGCCAAGTCTTTGACAGTACGAGTACGTGAGTCGCGATGGCGCCATTGCTGTCCTTTGTAGCTAGCTGTGCTGGATTATATATAAATCTAGGTAGGTATGTGTTTGGATATGTGCAAGTTCGAACCGAGCTCTCACCACCGACGTATTAACACTCAGATCCTGCAACCACCAGACCCACAGGAACTTCAAGGTCCATCTTAACTATCACCTCCCATCTTTCGCCCAGAAGCTCGGCACCACACCAAACAAACTCACAAAAGCCAGCCACCACCACGCCCAGCCTACGACACCCTTCTCCAGACCCTGTCCATACCAATGCCCCGCGACGATGGGTCCAATGGTCCTGAATGCAGACGAAGTGGCGGCGCCCATGCCGTGAATCGTACCCAGCATGGCAGGGCTGGGACTTGAGTTGTTGATGAGCAATACCGAGCCGGGGATTGCGAACGTCCTGGCCGCAACTTGTAATACCACCACCACCACGATGCCGATCCAGAGGATGAAGGGATGCGAGATCAGGAGGGAGAGATACGGCGCCAGGGCGTATGCGATGGGGAAGACAAACAGAGACCACCGGGTGGAGCGGACAAGGCCGAAGCGTGCATTGACACTGGGGTAGAGGGTCAATTGCAGGATGATTCCGACGAAGCCGAGGATCGACATGGCGAGGCCGATGGTGGGCAGGCTGAACTGCAACCCTCCCGTGAACACGAATGGTAGGCGGACCGTTGATTTCTGCTCGTCCGTGGCTCGAGCGGATGAGAGGAAGATGGTCCACAACGACGCGAAGCCTCCCATCTGGAAATCCATGACGGCAACAGTCGCCAACACGAGAAGAACGTTGGACGTGATGGCATGGTAGAAGGGAGGTGCCGACTTGGGAGCGTCCGACGGTCGTGGAGGGACCTTCGAGGACGTCTCGGCAGAGCTTGAATTGTCCACCTCCTTGGGTGGTAGCGGAGTCATCGGTGTACTCGACGGGAGATTCTCATCGTCCAATGTGTCGGGTCCGGCCGGTGCGTCTGCTTGCCTCAGCTGGCTGTAGCCGAAACGTCGGAAGATCATGTTGCGGATTCGGTACGTGAGGTTCTCGGCCAACTCGATGCCTCGATCGCGGTCGTATCTCTTCGCCGCCAACGTCTCACGCAGGCCCATCCAAACGAGCAGGGCGTCCGCGAACAGCACCAGCGCGCAGAACAGGTTCGGCGGGGCATAAGGGAACGTTGTCAGCCACGACACGCCATGCGCTCCGCCAAAGGTCGAATTCTCCCCGAACAGGGCGGGATAATTCTGCACGGGATCGGAGAGCAGACCGCCGAACAAGGGACCAAAGATATTGGCGATGTTCCAGGCCAAGGGTAGCAACAGAAATGTCCTCGAATGGTATTTCTTTTCCGTACTCTCTGCCAGAGCCGTCCTTGCGCCTCCGACAGTCGCATTGACGGCACCACCCAGACATCGCCAGACGGCCGCGGCTGTGAAACTCCGGGAGAATGCCACGCCCACGCAACTCATGCCCTGTCCGACCAGGCACATGAGCAGAACACCCTTTCTCCCAAACCGAGGCGAGTCGGCCACCCGACCCCACAGAATGCCTGTGAAAACCTGGGCGAGTGTAAAGACACCCTGGAGCACACCGGCCTCGAACGATATCTGGCTATCCGGCGCCGAGGGAGAAAACGACTTCAGTTGGTAGTACATGTATGCCTGCAGTGCGGCTTGCTGGAAGAAGTCGACTACCCGCACCGAACATATTATGAAAAGTTGGAACTTGTTGGGAATCGACGCCCATGATGGCGGCGCAGGTGGCCTGCCGGGCCTGGTCTCAACGTCGTGCCGAGCCATTGTATATCATGTGTAAAATATTATGTGCCAATGTCACCGCGCTGTTTCCCCGTACGTGCTTGGATATGTGCTCATGGTAGACTCGATCGACGGCACGGCTCTCGATGAATGTGGGGTGTGGTGCGGCTGTTTGTCGAGGAAGGCTCGCGCTGGAAGCTTCACTGAGGGGATAGTGAGAGTCGTCAGAAGGATTTGGACCTGTACGCGCGACAGTCAAGTGCTCATACAGAGAGGCGATGAAGGCAAGCGTAGGATCGAGAGGGCGTGCGCAATCAATGCTGTTCCTAGTCAGCTGTGTGAACAGTGAACACCAAGACAGAGAGGAGATCCGATAAGACAGCTGGGAATTGGGGCGTCATCCGCGGCTCATAGGAGTAGCCCTCGTTGGAGACGGCATCAAAGAACGTACGGAGTACCCAGTACTGGGTAAGCGGACTTGGACGTGCAGGACGTGCAGAGCCAAGTACACGATAGCATCGGCGAGGCCCACCAAATCAAGGTCTTTTGCTCTTCAGTTGCGCCTCTCCGGGTGTCGGGAACGTGTGGAGGCTCATGACACTTGAACCGGCCGCTGAAGGAGGCGTGCTAGTGCCAGCGTGGCCACCATCCTCGTCTAGGCGAAGTGGCCGCAGCTCGACCAGGCGCTTGCATGGGGCGTGCATGGCGCGGCCTGCCGAAAGATAATTTACTGGGTGGTCTTCCGATCATCGCTCGAGCTTGCGAGTCAAGAATCAAGCGAGATCACCATGAAATGGCAAGTTGCAAGCAGGAACGGCCTGCCCGAGGCTCTGAGATAAATCAGGTCTCGACGTGCGTGCTCGTGCAAGGGCGGACAACGTAGAGCGCAATCTGCTTTAGCCGGGAGAACATCCTTCACTTCTGAAGAAACGAGTGCCTCATTCGATGGCCCGCATGCACGTCTCAGAGATTGAGGGCAGGATCAGATCCTGATGGAGCCTGGGATCGAGGCAGCCACTCGTGCAGAGGCTACACATTCCAGGTTTGCCCAGGTGCAGTGACTCGAGAGTACCCAGAACGAGGACATCTCCTTTATTTTCGCCTCCTACGACTCCGTCCTGTGGTAATTTCTTCCGTGATACAGGAGAGACCCCGTTTTGATGAGAAGGCGGGAGACAAGCATTTTCGATAGCCAGCCTCGTCCCTTGTACCACCCAGGGCATCCAGCTGCCGGGATCGCGACGCGACCCGATGCTCTGTACCAGGTTCATCGTTGCAAGGAAGCCCTACTGTGTACTGTACACGCGTCGCATCACTCTCTTGCCTGTGTACACGCAATGTTCCTGCCAAATGCCACTTTCTAATACTTACGTACCACAGTCCGCTGCTGGAGGGGCCATCAAGCATTGGCCCTCCTGACGGGCCTCAAAACCTTCAAGGAACCAGCGGCTGGTACTATGCTCCGTATAAATCACTGGAGCTTGCGACAGCGGCATCTCGGTTGTGGCACCCTAATTTCGACAACCTGCCGCTGCTACCAGCCTCACGCCAATCCAAGAACTCGGGATCGATCCATGGAGGGGGCGACGCGTGGGCGGCCATGTGGCCTTATTCCTTGTTCAGTAAAATGGTCATTCGAGCGAGCTGGTGAGACAGCCCTACCGAGCAATCAAATTCTCCTTTTCATTGCGAGCGATCACATACTCCAGTACGGAGGACATACTCGTCCTGTGAAGGCAGTAGACAGGAGAGATAAAAGTGGCATGAGTGGCAGCTCCGGCTAATCGGCATGGACTTTCGTTTCCCCTTTAGCCCGGTGACGTCCTCGAGCTGGGCTTTGACCCGAGTACTCAGTACCGAAAGCATGATTCAAGCGGCAGAATCTTACGCGGAGGCCTTGTAATGACAATGGATTGTTCTCGTGTCGGTTTCGTGGCTTGGGTGTGTCGAGACTCGGAGGCTCGAGGGGCGTCCTCCGGGCTGCGAACCAATTCCGGGCCCTTGGCGGTGCAGTAATCGCCCCTTTGGAGCCTTCACCTGATTAGCCCTACGTACGTGAACAGGTACCTCAGTACTACGTATTTTGCACGGGCATTCGTTCTGTGGCTGCGGCCGAAGACCTGTCGCCGTCGTCAAGCATACTGGGCACTGTGTCGCCACACTGCCTACCACAGCATCGAGGCTTGGGATGTGGTCGAGCTGGTGCGCGTCCTGTCACAAATCGCGTACGCACGACTGTGATGGTTATCGTAATCCGTAGCATGGCCGGTAGATAATTATCATACAGGTGCAGTAGCCCCCGGCCTGTCCGATGCCTCGCATCTTGATACGCGCATACCGGGAGGAAGTGGTCATCATATCGTTCATTGACTGTGCTGAAGTGATGGAAAGATTAGGCACTAATTCATAGCTGTTCAAACATATCATCCCAACACCAAATGCTGATGCTGATGCTCATGCTCATGCTAATATAGCAGGGACAATTCGCGCAAGCCAAGTCGCCAATGTCACGACGGGTCTCTGATCATGGGTGTTCTATCACCGTCCTGATCTTCCAACGCCAGAGCCTTGTATCCTGCATCGACGCCGACGTCCCTTCCTCGTATGCCCTTTCTGCTGAGAGCCCTATAAACGTTGTAGGCTAACGCATGGACCGGCCGCGACACGAAATTCCTCGTGGCCAGCACGATGATCAGGAGGATCAGGACAACCAAGCCGCCGAACGTACCACCGTAGATTTCGGCGTTCTTGATCTTCTCGGCGCGCTGCCGCTCGGCCTCGAGTCTCTCCTGCTCATCCTGCACGTCCACGTCCACGGCCGGCACGTCCTGCTCGTCCTGCCCGGCCTGGCCCAACTTGGCATTCTCGGCTTGTTCTTTCTCCTCCTTCTCCTTCTGCCTCTGTTGCGGACTGGGCATGAACCGGCAGGCGAGGTCGTCGCAATACTCCTTCAACTGGTCATTGGGAATGAAAATCGTTTCCACGGCCGATGTGCCCAGGACTCGGCCGTCCTTGTCCAATGCTTCCGCGTAGTTGTACGTATGTGCCGTATGGTGTCTGTAGAAGGACTCGAACCCCTTCTTGGGAACTTCCCCCAATTCCTCCCACGGACCCTGCTTCGAATCGCCACCATAGAACCGCCATGATTTCACCTCGGTCGCCCCGTTCCAGGAAACGTACATCATCATATCTCCTCCCTCCTTTGAGAAAGCCCATATGGCAGGTTTCGTGAGCGGCATGCCGACCCAGTTGTCGAACTTGTGTACACGGTAGTTCATCGTGTTCGTCCACGCCAGAGCTCCGTAGAAGATGATCTCGTGCGTCTCGGGGGCGTACTCGGTCCAAAAGGCATCGTTGCCCCAGCCCATGACGATCCCCCCGTTGGGCAGGATCTGCATATTACCCTGAGACTTCGTGATATGTGCGTGTCCATCCACGAACGGGGGATCCAGGTTCAAGATCGCGGTAGCGACTTTGGTTCTATGATCGACGACAATGATCTGCCCGGTTGAATGAGGCTGCGTCTGGTTGAAGCCATTGGTGCCGTTGTCGAACAGGGACAGCACCGTATGCGTTTCATTGTCCGAGATGAACCTGGCATCGTGCTGGGAAGAAAACTGAAATCCGTCAAGCGCATAATCCGACTTGGCGCCATTGAGCCGCCAGATGACGTGTCCATCGACCCCGGAAAGCTTGTATACGGCAGAAGTGTGTCGTGCCGAGATGAGGTAATCGCCGTCTTGGTTCTTGTCGATAGAGTTGATGTGGAAGTAGTCCCACGGACTTTCTGGGTGTTGACCACTTCCGCTGATCTCAGTGGTACCCGGGGGAACCCAGCTCTCATGCGGATCGACATGATCAAGACTATGCCATTCGAAAAGCACATTCCCGGTCTCAACGTCGACTTCCTGGAACGCTCCTTGGTGAATGTAGCCCAGGCCGTCACACAGGTCCCACGGGCACAGGTCGTACACGCTACGGAGATACTGTGTCAGCAGTGCTTGTTTCCCTTCGTTGATGAGTCGAAACTCATGCATATCGGACGAAGCCTGGTAGCTACCAGGCTCGACGGATTTGACAATGCGGTAATGTTTGTCCATTATGAGACCATGACCATGGCCCCAGCCGAGCATTTGCACGCCCTGGTAGAAGCAGAGATGCACCTCGCCTTTGTACATGCATGTCTGGGGAGCATGGGACACGCCGGGTCCGGCGCTCCCAAAGCCCGAGTAAACCAAGTTCTAGAAGGAGGTCAGCTACAGAGACATACTTGAAGGGGGCATGGTAAGCTTTACCGCGTCATTGTCATAGATGTGAATGGCTTCATTCGTGGCTTGATAGGGCGCAACGAAATAGTAGCCCGGTGCAAGCTTTTCTCGCTGGTGTCTGAAGACGCTCAGAATGGGAGCGGATAAGTCTGGTCTCTGTGTTCAAGCCGTTGTCAACGGATTGCATCAGATCATATAGGAAGATATCCGCGTACTGATCGGAAGATGGAGATAGGTTGCGACTTGTTATCGGCGGCTATCCTCCAAGCAAACAGACAGACCAGCCAGCTGTACAAAGAGAGTGAGAGCCTCATGGCATCACCCTCTGCCCGTTCCCGCTTAGTTAAGAACCGAGAAGATAGCGAGATGGTTCTGAGGATCAAGGAGTCGACCGTACAGCGACTTGCCCGAGGACCATTACCGGAACCCTGAACCCTAGCAGACTCAGGGCCGACCAGGAGGGATTCGGAGGGATTCCCGCCAAGACGCGAAAGGAGGCACGCGATGCTCTTCCGGCTGAAATCTACTCAGTACGTCGGGCGGTTTGGGAGGCTCCCTCCTGGACTCGCGCTGAGGATTACTCGTACTTCACAGTGGCCAGCGTGTATATCCAGTCTCGGCGCTGCAGAATCTGATTTTCTCATGAATGTCAGCGCGTTTGTCAGGCCTGGAAAGTGACACGAGGGATGAAAGAGAGATGAAAGGATGCTCGCCCCCCGGTCCTGTGGGTATCGCCGACGGATCTTATGCGCTCCCACCTTTGCCGCCCCAGCCTTCCACCAGGTCCGGCGAAATGCTTGAAATGACTGTGACAGAGGCGATGCCGACCCGACATCCGTGCCAAGAGACTAACAGAGTATTGACGGCGAAGTGGTGTGGCAGCACACAGTAGTAGCTGTGGACCGCATGATACTTACCAAGGACAGCAAAGTCCGTCGCCGATCAAAGTTTAGTACACAGCATTCAGAGATAAGTCCAAGTACCGTTAACGTACCACGAGACTGCTGGCCGCGTGGATGCGAGAGCAATGGCCACCGCGCTAGCACATCTTATCTGCTGTGCAGATGCATATACCGGTGAGAACCATGCCTGATTACGTGGCTGGAGAGACGTGTGCAATCGTGTCATTTGCAAGTACAAACTATGGACAATCACCGTGTACACGTTCAGGCAACATGACTGCCAGATAATACATGCTGTCCGCAGCACCCGATAATATCTATCATGTCCCAGGTACGGGGTACAAACAGACCAGTCGGCCAAACATTTTTACTCAACCACTCCCTGAACCATTACCAACAGTAAAATTGCATGTCCCCATCGACATTAATATCCAACCCAGTAGTTGAACCAAGTCCCAGACACCAGGCTGTGTGTAGAAGTGAACGGCGAGCTGGGTACACAAGGGCGACCTCCCCCTCTCGGGGTCACGATGCGCCCGTCCAAACAGGCGTGCTCTGTGCGAATTTCGGTAGATAGTGTGTGTAGGCAAATGTAGCCGACAGCGCCGTTGCCACCACTGGCACTCCCACAATGAGAGCCCGGAAGATCACGTTCATCATCTGCTTGCGATTTTGCGTCCGGCATCGTTGCACAAAGTTTTCCGCGTCGTTGGACCTTGGGAACGGCTTGTCCGGTATCGGCTCGCCGAGGTACTCGCACAGAGGTCGCCAGCCAGAACTAACGCGGTACTCCAGCAGCTTTCCTGGTGGCACAAGCTCCCGGATCTCCTTGTAGTAGTCCTGGAACCTTTCCTTCCCCCGGTTCTCAAAATCATCGTAGAAGAAGTATTTCCAGAATTTGCGCAGCATAGGGTGGTACAGCCCGGCGGCCCAGTCGAAGTTTGCCACTGCTTTCAACTCGGGATCGTTCGCACGCCAGTTGACTGTCTTCATGACCGAGTTATGCCATGAGTCGACGTCTCTTGTGGTAATGATGACTTTGGCGTCGGGATAAGCCTCAATCAACTCTTTCGCAAATGCAACGGCCGGCCAGTCGCAGACCGCCTGACAGTGGCCCAGGAGTGCATCCCATTCTTCGCGGCCGAATTTGCCTTTGCCTTCATACTTTGCCGCAAAGGCGTCCATCCAGCAGAGACAGTCGGGCGGGTTCTCCACACTAGCCGACATCATGTGGTATGTGTCTGTATAACCCAGCTCTTTGAGCGCGGCTCTTAACGAGGCCGTACCCGTTCTCCCCAGGCCGAGGGCAAGCACTCTCATAGGCACTATTCTCTTGCATTGCCGTCGGTCGATGTCAGTTTGGTAGGGGGTGAAGATATCAGTCGCAGGCTTCGGGGTATATGGAATGCCGGACGCCATGGTGGATGCCGTAAAAATAACGAGCTTCAGTAGCGACTGGACAAGTGACAGCTGGTGATGACGACGAGGTATGTCCTCACGACGAGGGACAGGCTGGCGCTACAGGCGGAGCTCAAGCTGAGATTTCAGCGGCTGCCAAGAGATAAGAACAGCTAGGAGAGAGCGTAGTAACGCCGTGTCAAGAAGGAGGGCTGAGCAAAGATATGATTGCACTGAAAGAAATCTTGGAGAGGCTCTGATGCGAGCTGTTGCATATGCAGAGGGGCGAAGACCACGGCGGCCGGGGAGGACACGAGAAGCAAACGCAGGAGCGTGCTGCCACGGCGCTCCCACTTCCTGTGGCTATCAGATTTCAGAGTGGCAGGTAATCTCTGTGCATACCAATTGAGCCTCCAAACCCCATTCACCCTTTCGGCAATAAAGCAGCGATCGAGTGCTCCAGGAGTATTCCATGCAACCCATTGACAATCTTTTGCCCATAAAATTGGGGCGATCCAAAATGCAAGTGCCAGGATTGTCGCCCGCTACAGTGGAGCTCAGCGGGTGGGGCCACTGAACGACGCCCAATCAAGCTGCAGCCAGGAACAGGCGCCGACAGCGCCGCTTACGCCACCGCCTCGCCAAAGAAAATGCGGCGGACGCTGTCTCTAGGGCCGGGGGCCAGTCAGCATTGCATGGCGGCCATGCCAAGTCTTCAGACCCGAAAACGCGTGGACTTGTAACGGTCCGTGAATGACAGCCGTCACCATTCGCACAATCGTCATTCGACGCGCAATGTGTGTGGTGCTGGAACGTACCTCGTACGAGGTAGCCACGAGTGCAGTTGGTGCAGATGAAGAGAGCGTGGAGCATGTGCTTCTGCATTGCGACTGCTAGCTTGCAGCTGCGGTGCACTTGCGTGGTCCTTGTACCTGTCTGATGACGACGCCCCCCGTGCCGGGAGGCGCAAATCTGTGCCCGATAACGGAACATGGCCGGAGGTGGTTGCTTCGGTTCTTCTTTCCTGCTTTTCGGCAGTAGCATACCGGTGTTGTCGCCAGACTGCGAGATTGAGATGCAACGACTATTGACGCTAGAGAGAATAAGCGGTACGCCGTAACAAGTGTTGAATGCTTTCCCACTTGAACGGGCGCAGACATCTCGACATTGGGCTCCTGGCTTTTTCATCAATCTGCACTCGAGTCTGGCGAGAGAGGGGTGAACAGCTCTTCTGGGCTTCGTCTCAAAGTGCTAAATCTTCATGCGGGCTCGCTCTGCTCAGGGGTACCTCAGCCCTCCGTCGGCAGTTTCTTGCGGCGAGATCTGCTCAGATAATGTACTGCATCTCCAAGGTGAGGCCAATGTTGATCGTCATGTGATGTGCGTTACCAAAGACCTTTCTGCTCAAGATTGTCTAACTACTCCTTGGGCGCGAGCCAGTTCATCTCGGGTATGAGAGGTCAAGCGAAGTATTGTCGTAGGTGCGAATGGCAGCGTGGATTTCAAGTTTCGGCAAATATCAAATATGCAATGGGATGAGTATGGGAGTGCAATGCAAAGGCTGATCGACAGCTAAAGGGCAGGTCAATGATCGAGAAAGGGTGTTCTGGGTATGAGTTCATTTCGTTTCTTTGACAAGGTGCTTTGATCTCACTGAAAGCTCACTTTTCCGGTCACGTTCAGCTGTGACTTTTCCCGGACCAAGCCATCTCCCCAACGCCGACGCTTGCTATGCATGTCACGCTATCACGTATGTACAGTCATTTCAATGTGCATCGATGGCGGGCTTCAGAGCGCAGGATACGCAGATCCAGGATGGCCATTGGCCAACTCGAGCTCTCGCTCTTCCTGTTCGAACTGGCCGAAGAAATCGACATCCTCGTCCTCATCCACCGCGGTGATGCCGAAGTTGCTGGACGGACTGGTGCAGATGGCGTCTTCTGTCGTGACGTCGTCGTGGACAGTCGTGCGCTCAAGGTCCCGAGACAGTAAAGTCGGGTACTCGCCAGAGGGATAGTGGTAAGCATTGCCCTGGGAGTAGATCTGGTCGCCGCAGATGGTCATCGAGGCGGATAGGATGGTACTATTGCTCTTGTCCAGGGCGCTGCTTTTGTCTGCTCGGATGCGGGTAGCGTTGTCAAGCTCATGCAGCGTTGATGAGTCAACATGCATGTGTGGAACGACTACGTCTCCGAAACCGAAGGGAAACGGGCCTTCTTGCACGACAGGAGTGGTAGGCACGTCGAAGCCAGTGAGACCTGCCATGGCTGAGCCGCGAGGAACTCCCTTGTCAGAGCGAGGCTTGCGCTGCTTCTTCTTGAGCTGCCCGCCCTCGTCAGAAGCAGGAGCATCAGCTTTGCGCTTGTTCTCGCGGAGGAAGCGCTTTGACGCAAGCTCCAAATGCGCGGTTCGGATGTGCTCCTCCAAGCTGGCTTTGCTGGTGAAACTGCGGCCGCAGCCATACACGGCAACATCTCCGCGACCTCTGATATCGCATGGGATGGGGACAGGAGTCTTGCCGCAGACAAAGTCGCGCTTGTTCTCGTGAACTGTCTTAATGTGTACATTTAAGTTGCCTTTCTTGGTGAACTTTTTGCCACAACCTTCGACGTTGCATGTGAGGACTGAGCCACGTTCAGTCTTCTTCTCTGGCAGAATGCCGTGCTGAAGTTCCAAGTGGCGGGTCAATTCCTTGCTGGTGACGAATGAAGTCGGACAATATTGGCACACTGGTGGATGATATTCGGCGTTGTGACTTTGAAACAATGCGTAAGTTGCAAAGTGCGCCTCACGAGGCTGCCGGTCATCTTGACCTTCTGAGTTTGCAAGAATTGCCGCATTCAACGATTTGCACTCTTCACACGAGAAGCGGGTGATGTCATGCTTCGCACGGACATGAGTGCGCAGGTTCTCCGCCGTGTCGTAGGCTTTGTTGCAAGCTGCACCGGTGAGAGGATCCAATGCCTGACAAGGGAAGGGTTTGATCCCATGGTGAGCTGTCAGAATGTGCCGGTCTAGCGTTTCTTGTTTACGAAAGGTCTGGTCACAGCCGGCATAACCGCGGCATCTGAACTGTTCTTTTGCCTCATGGGTCGCGATATGTCGACGTAATCTTGTTCCTGTCGTAAAGCTCGCCTCGCATCCTTCCCATGTACAGTTGTAGTCGCGGATCTGACTATGCTGATTCTTGATATGGTGCTTTAAGTGGCTGTCTCGGAGGAAGGCTTTAGTGCATGGCGCATGCGGGCACTTAAAGTTGCGCTCATTGTTGTGAGAACGGATGTGATCTTCCAGTCTCGCTTTGCGGTCAAAGACCTTGTCGCAGTTCTCGAATGTGCACCGATGGATCTTCTGGCGACTGCGCGGAAGCTTGTCGGAGGCGTTGAGAGGGGGAGAGGAGGGAGCGGTAGAGGCGGGCGTGTCGGAGGCAGATTTCTTCAGTCCATCGTCGTCAAGGTCGGAGTCGAGCATGTCATAATCCTTGTCCAACTCGTCGTCAGACTCGACGACCCTCATCTTGACGACGTTGCGCACCCGCGCCGAGCTTGTCTACCGTCAAACCGTCAAAAATGAACCTGTTGTGCTGGTAATACGAGGGGCGCAATTGGTGGTAGCAAATGGGAAAGTGTGGGGTTGCGAAAGTGGATTTTTCTTGTGAATTTGACGAGGCTGGTCTCCGAGAGTGGGTCACGTGCGACAAGGCTGCGGCTGCCCCAGGAAATTTTGTTTCTCGCGAGGAATCTGAAAAGCGCAACCCACCTCTGTCGTGCTTGTGCAGTCCTTCAATCGAGAGACCCAACCTCTTTTACGGCCGTGTGATTCCGTTTGCACTGAACTGTCACAATGTCTGACTACGGTGGTGATGAAGGCGGGTAGGTGCAACACTCTTGTCTAGAGCCTTTCTTCAATCAGCCGTCCTTCGCTTACTACTGACACGTTCCTCCCGTCCAGCTACGGCAATGACGAACCGGATGATACTTTCTACGAGCCCGAAGAAGACCTCGACGAAGAACTCCCTCCAGATGTGGACGTTGATCAGGAGGCTCTCGAGGAGAGAGCGAGAGACCAGGCAGAAGAAACGGGGGAGAAAACTGTTGTGACATCTGGAGACCCAAACCAGACTGGCCAGAAGCCTTCCAGCGATGCCGATAAGAAAATTCCCGATGAAAAGAGAACGACCACTCCCTACATGACAAAATACGAGCGCGCCAGAGTACTCGGGACTAGGGCACTGCAGCTCAGGTAATGAGCATGAAATCCTGTACTAGCAACGACGGAGGACTGATCGCTACCAGCATGAATGCCCCTCCTATGGTCGACGTGTCGAATGAGACTGATCCTTTAGCTATGGCGATCCTGGAACTGAACCAAAAGAAGATGCCTCTGATTGTCCGCCGCTACTTGCCTGACGGATGGTGAGTTATCTTTGCACGATGCTGGAACTGTCTCTGACGTTGGACAAGGTACGAAGATTGGACGTGCGAGGAATTACTATGATCTTCCGACTCCACCTCTTCCTAGATCAAGACCGACTGAGGGGCAACGCCTTCGAGAACCGAATGAACGATACCATCTCCCGCCATTCGACGGCGGCAAAGCGCGAGAAAATGCTCGAATCTTTCCATCTGAAGAAGTCTTGTGACGCTTATTTGGCTTGTTGGCTTTCGGCGCAACGACTGTCCAGCGCGTGTCAGCCCACGCTGTGTCACGATGGCGTGCATCTGCAGCAACAGCATCCCCATCCCCGGGAACGATGTCACGTAACGGTGGTTCTGCACTACCTCTCGAAGCCTCCGAATTCTTTCCAGCCCGGTCTTTCGTCGACAAAGGACTACCTCGGGCCAACTAATCACACTGACCTTTTGGGTTGGATTCCGCCTTGGATGTTACGCTCCTGCAGGAAACAAGGCAACCGACAGCCTCCTCCTTTTCCCGCTTGTGACAATGCACGCCCAAATCGATGGTCAGGCTTGCTACTGGGATGAGATCGCATTGGCTGAATCCACCAAGTCAGGGGGTGGGAATACCATGTGTCATGGTTCCTGGCTTACATGCATCTTGCATTGGGCGGATGCCAAAACACGGCTGAAAGCTGCAATGCGGGATCCGCAATTACTGTGGCAGCTCACCGAGCGCTCGCCTAAGAGGGGTGTATGAAGCATACCGCAGGCAGCATACCGCAGACCACTGCTGATCCACAGCTCTTTGTATTCTAACTTGGGGAATTTATCACAGAAGCCTCATCTTGAGAAACTTTCTCACCAATTGCCCATCTTGCTCTTTCACTGCCACCTCTCAAGTCAAACAAACCCCCTTTCCATCCTTACTTGCAACCATGTCCCCCTCTACACTAACCGCTGGCAAGCACACGGCAACCTTGAACGGTTTGAAAATCCACTACACCACCCTCGCCGACTCCCCAGGCCTCCCGCCCATCCTCGTGCATCCACCGCCCTGGGGCGTCGGCGCCGAACTATACATCAACACCTTTGCCCGCCTCGCCTCCAAATACACCGTGATCATCGCCTCCCCACGCGGCAACGACGACTCTGACCGCCCTGCCTCGCCGACAGAGATGTCGTCCCGCCACGTCGTCTCCGACCTCGAAGCCCTGCGTGAACATCTCGGCCTCGACGCGTTCCCCGCCCTGATAGGCCACTCCTCCGGCGGAACCGTCGCCCTAGGCTACGCGATCGCACACCCCACGCGCGTGCGACGCCTCGTCCTGCTGAACTCCGACCTCCTAGGCTTCCCCAGGCAGGACGTGTCCTTCTTCCACGAAGTGCTAGGCCATTTCGCGGCCAGTCCTCCAACCACGGACGAGACCTTCCGCGCGTTCATGCTCCGGATCATGCCGCTACGAACCGCAGGGATAGAGTCTTCAAGCAATTTCTCGAAGACATCCTGCAAAATTGCGGTGCTGCATTGGTCGTCCTATACTCCTCGCAAATCTCAAAGCGAACGACTATCGAGTTGGACAACCAGAGCAGGATCGCGTTGTTAGAATATCTCACGAAACATCCTGGACTATCTCGACATGAAATTCTTGATGATATTGCTGTAAAGCATGGCATTGGAAAAGCAGCAAGGGACTTTGTAAACACCACGACCACGGCAACCCCTCTACCAGTCGAGAGGCGTAAGTCGTCACTCCTTTCTAGTTCACACCTAAGCTAACTTAACGCAGAAATCAAATATAAATACTCGGAGTCGGCCGTTGATACACTGAGTTTAGTGGGTATGGAGCTTCTCTCTGCCCTCAGGGCCAGTATGCAATGGATATGGGAAGAACACACCGCCAGAGACACTGGAATACCACATACAACGATATATTGTATCACTGTTCTGTCTCCCAGGAACAGGGGCGATATCGTCTTCCAAATGGTGCTTGGCTTTAAAGAGGGAAGCATGATCATCGAGAGACTTCGTATAACAGCCGTCTAGGTGGTGGTGGTGGTGTCGGTAGTAGTGAATACTATATAAGCCTTCACAACGCGAACCTTGTGTCCCTTAGGCACATCGTGTCTGTCATATTTACCTTCATCCTCGTATTCCCACAATGGTGGAGACTTTAGGTCTTTCGTGGGATCGTAGATTTGAATCAATGTACCCTTGCATCGTATAGTCCTGACATACTCGACTGCGTCGAATACTTTGCCATGTATGAATTCAATTTCTCCTCTCAGTGCTTTGGTCCCGAACTGCATAACACATTGTTAGGATACATTAATCCTAAAGGGAGATATCCGTAAACCGGCTCGCTTTTGTCGTCCATGCCCGTGCTTTGTCTTGCCATCTCTTCAATCCCTTTTACTTATACACGCTTCACAACTGTGGTGTAGACTGGACCGGACCTGTTGACTTGATCCCTATTTCACAATGAGATTAATGAATCGAGATGGATGTTCATCGATGATTACCTTTACCTATCATGACCAACATCTAGGATCCCTCGCGGAGGAAGATTGAAAGAGTCCCAAGAGTGACTTGGTTTTCGCAGCTGTCTCACGGAGGCCTTAGTGAAGGACAAGCCCGTGCGTCGGAAGCAGGGTGAAGTAGGGAGATTACGTTGGGTACGAACACCACGACAGACAATACTTGTCGCTGATATGATTCATACTGAATGTTGCTGCCCGACAAAGAAGCTCATAGTGGAATGAGTCTCTTCCATTACGCAGGAAAAGCGGAGCCCTTTCTGGTCTTGGTCACCCCGCCCACGTGACTTTGCAATCCGTTCTGGACTGTGCAATCCCCTCTATGGCCAGCCTGAAGTCGCTACCAATACAAGTAAAGACAAAAGGGGACTTAAGTCCGGAATAGGTGTGAAGAACAAGGCCTACGAAGAGCTGCTACAAGTTGTATTACAGTGGCAACAACAACAGAGATAGACAGCGACGACAACACCGTATACTTCCTCAAAAACAAAAATAGCCTAGGTCATTCGGGCTACCTATAATCCACCCGGAGATTTCCATCCTATCCTAGGTAAGTTCTAAGACAGTCCTAGGTAAGACCCCCGTGTAGGACCGTGGTAAGACCGGGGTAAGACCGGGGTAAGACCGGGGTAAGGCTAGGGTAAGGCCAAGGTGAGACCTGGGTTTGATATATCTGTATGTTCTTAAAGTAGAGTGGCTCTGATCAGTCTCAAAGTCCACGCTCGGGATTAACAATATCTAAGGCAACTGTACAGATGAACAAGCAGCATAATTCAGCAAATTGGTTCATTCTCTTGGGCTATGGGTATCTTGTTGGACTGGTATGCTGCTATGCATACTCGCCATCCCGAGGTCGTGGCCAATGTCCAATGTATTTTCTTAGCCCACGGCCATTTCGATGGACCGGCATGCAGAGTAATGTATACTAGCTACACTATTTCTGTAACAGAGTCTACCTCATCCCTCGTGGCACGCATACAATGATCCGGTGGCTGTTGTGGTCCATCAACGGTTCTACTCAACTGTTAATTGGATAACACCTGGAACACGATGTACGGAGTACCTGCTTGATGTTTATTAGACACGAGTGTCCTTCAATGACAAGTATATGAACCTTGTTTCCACCGTCAAGTCCAAATTTCGGACTGTGCTATGGTCCCTTCGTCCCACCGACCAAATTCCCATCAGCTTGCCCTCATTCTTGAACCCCCATTCACCATGGCAGACAAACCAACCGACAAGCCTGGGGAATCCTCGCAACGATCTCCAGAGGATGGAGCGCCCAAGAGTCCTTCTCCAAAGAATGGAGGTCAAGATCCTCCACAAAATGGTGGGGACAAAACTCCTTTCGGACTGGAGGAGGGTGTGAGGACTTTCGGCTTCATTGAGACACCTAAGGGCATTGACCGGGCCCATCTAGGATTCGGCAGTGGCCCAAAGTGAGAATGGTGAGACAAGTGATCCCTAACCCCAGCCCTCTGGCTCACATAGCAAGTGCCTTCCAGATGACTGGTGCGAACCAGTATTTCGCGCAACCGGAGCGCGGCGGCCCGGAGACACTCGCGGACCTCTGGACGGGCAACCCTTCCCTGTGGGCCTACGGGGCGTATTATGCGGCGGATTCGGCGTCCCCGCCGGGCGAAGGCGCCCCTGGTGATGGAAACGCCAAGTGGAAGCAGGTGGATGAGTTGGGCAATGTCGCGGCCGCGACGTTGGTGCTGACGGGGCGCGAGGACCGAGTGACGGGACCCGAGGTGAGTGTGCGGATTGCGGCCGGGGTGCGGCGGTCGCGCTTGGTGGTCGCCGAGGAGTGTGGGCATATGAGTTGGGTGGAGAGGCCGGGTGAGGTCTGGGGGGTGGTGGATGAGTTTTTGGCCCAGAAGGTGTAGCTTCTTAGCCTAATCTTTTGCTGGTGGTACTGTAGTCTGTTCGGGGTTGAGCGAGTTAAGGTCCGGGGGATCAGTGGACGAGGATCTCATGATCATGTTGGAGGGAAAAGGACAAGGGTTCCAGGTAGAATGCAAAATGTTAGTCAATCACTCGTGCCAAATCATGGCTGATGGAGAGGGGAAGGGTGCTCACAGAAGCCACGCAGCGACTAGGGATGTTTGGGAAAGAGAGAATCCCATTACCAAAGAGAAAGCGGAGGCCTTACGTTCTAACACCTGATGCCCGTCAAACTGGATACACAAAACCGAAACGCCCTTACCGTCCTGTCGTTCCATGAACAGTTACATTGGTTGTCAACCTGGCCGCATTCGTCGTTCGCCTCCCCTGTGTGATAAGTCCAAAAGCCCCCCTCTACATAGGCTTTGTCCAAGTGAAACAACCTGTCCTAGAAAACGCAGGGCCAAATCCTCTCCTCACTGTAGCTTGGGAAAAAGACTGATGGCTGCAAGGTCCAGCCTGCCTGCCTGCCTGCCTCTGGTTGTACGCACTTGACTTGGTCACAAATGATTCGGCCGTTGAAGGGACCGATACCTCCCTTATGAGACTGCCTCAGTTCGCGCCTTTATCCACCTATCCGTCGAGAAGGCCAAAGATAAACTGACGTCGACAACCTTGTCCTTCTCGTAAGGAGCGAGTTGCTGTCGTGCTGTCGATCAGACGAGGCGAGACAAATGCTCTCCTCGTCTTGTCTAGCTCATTCGAATCGCACTCGAGGCTTCCGTTGGACCATCCAAGCTTGAAGATCATCGTCCCAGAACGAGTTCTCCGGTTCCGGCATGTAGTATGGCTGAGGCTCTCTTGTGTCCGTGTCGAATAGTTCATATGGTTCATCGTACTCATAGTCATATTCGTTGTCGTCATCGTCACAGTAGGTACTTTCTTCCATGACTTGAACAGGTCGAACGCGCTCAAGACGGGCTCGCTGGACGGGGATCTTCTCGACCACGCGTGCCGGCCGTCGCTCGGGCCTGACTCGTTCAGTCGAGTGGCCCGGCGGTGGTGAATGTGCGTTGAGAGGACGACGAACTCGAATCCTAGGTCGGGGTGTTGGTGGCTGTGCTTCGTCCGAGCTTTCGCTTCCTTTTCGTTTCGTTGCTCCTGTGGCAACATCGATAAACACTTGACCTCCCCTTAGCTCAGCACGTCGCCCACGGTGGACCGGTCCATCATCGGGTTCGACCAAGAGGATCTCCTTCACGATTCTTTCTCTCGGTTTAGTCTTGATCCAACCCCCCCGGTGGAGATCATGACCGTCCTTCTTGTTCCGAACTTTGACAAGTCGCTCATGTCGCGTTTCAACATATGTCCAGCCTCGCTCATAGTGTTTGAGGGTGTCACACTTCTCAAAACGAATAAAGGACGGCATCGTGTATCCCTGGATTTTGGTGACAATGCGAGCGGGAATTTTGAGGACGGGGAAAATGTCGCTGGCTGAGATCTTGAACACCTTGGCCGTTTGCCTTGTTGATTGCGGTTGTGATTGCGGTTGTGATTGCGGGATTTGGCTTTTCACGCGTTTGCTGGAATTGGTGGAACAGTTCTTGCAATGGCAATCGCGATGGGGTGGCATATTGGTGCGAGAGCATATGCTTTAAAGGCTAGGAACTCTTGCGGTGACGGCAGATACGGAAAGAAACGTCTCAAACATCAACACATACCTGGGAGAGTGTACTCAGTAGCATGCATGAGATATAAAGAAATCTAAGACGAGGCCAACACCACCAGCCATAACCGCCAAATGACTGCTTCGGCTGCCTTCTACAGGCTGCGTAGTCATTCGCGAGAAGGGGCACAAGTCCCGAGAAGGGCATTGTGATGTAGCTTGGAACATTGCAGACACTCTTTGTAGAGGTCCCGAGACACAAAGACTGGATGGGTGGTTGTCTCAGCCGACTGGATTGTGGTCAGGTGGACTGTATCACAGACAAGCCCCCAAGGCTGAACTGTTCAAAGTCATCATTCTAATCAGCGCAAACTCAACGGAGCCTTGCAGCCGCCAGAAGATCTGTTTGGAATACGACAAACAAAAGGTGCCGAGACGTTTTGGACAAGACGACAGAGTGACAATGGTTGTTTGAAGGTGCAAATTCAGCAGCCGTGGGTATCGGGGGGCTGCCAAGACGAGCTAACCATATATAGAAGGTGGCTGTATGATGTCATCTGTAGACAAATTGGCACCAACACATCATGCGGCACTGACTTTGGTTTTGGTTGTCAGCTGCAGGAACCAGCCTTGCACCCTTCAGATGCTGCGTCAATGGATCATGAGGAGGCTGAAAAGCCGACAGGTGATGAAATGGAATCTGTGATCAAGCGCGCTCCATCCGTTCCTGTTCGATCGGCCTGCGTACTGACGATGGGCACTGATCGGCTTCATGCTCTCTTATCACAGCTTGGACTTCTGGTTTTTATAAGCCGCTCACTACCTCCTGACCGGACCGGGGTTCACCAACCTGAGCCGCTTCAGCCTGCTTCTTGACATGCACCAATATCCATTCTCCGGCATCCTTTGCAAACTGTTCGCCCACCCCATCCGGCTCGGCATGGAGTTTGTGGTATGCATCAGGATACAACTTGAACGTTTTATCCTTGTTGGGTGCTTCCACGACATTGAACAACTGCTGCGCAGCAATGTGTGACAGGACTCGGTCTCCGGTGCCGAATGAGATCCAAAGCGGGCAAGGAAGTTTTGTACTAAAGCCGTGTATTGGTCGACCGTGGGATAGGTGCGAGAGATCTGCTGATCTTTGCAGGAGTCCCTTGAGTCCTTCCAAGGTGCCAGTATCGTGGCAAAGCGGATCATCAATCCAATCTTGACGTACTTTCTCCGAACGAGACATGTATGTCGCGTCCAGCTTCTGTTTGAGCTGCATGCGTGGGAGAAGCATGGAAGCCAGCTTTCCTGCTTGTACCTTCATGGAGGATGGCTGACCAGAGGAATGCATCTCAATGTAAGGTGACTCAAGGAGGAGACCTGAAATAGCGGGTCGATTTGAGAAATCCGGAGAGGTCGAAAGCATGTATGTGAGTGCTTCTCCGCCACCCATACTGTGGCCCATCAGAAACAGTGGCTTGCCCTGTGCTTCCGGCAGTGATGCCACATGGAGGGCGAAGTCATGGACGTCTGAAATCACAAGCGACGTTGGCCCGGTGTGTCCATTGTCCGCAGGTTTCTTGCAGGAGCGGCCCCAACCCCTTTGATCGAAGCCGTATACAGCGATGTTGAATGGCGAAGAACTCAAGGTGGGAAACAAGTCATAGTACGCTGAAACGGGTCAGTCAACAAGCAAGCTGCGTGGGATGATTGCCCGAACCATTGATGTGGTCAGAGAACCCGTGTAAGAATATCAGAACAGCTCGAGCAGCGTCAGGTTCGGGCTAGAGTGCGGCTCAGCGAGTGTTGGCGTTTCGAAGAATGCCAGGACATGGCGAGGATCATGGTCAGGGTTGGGGAACATGCTTCCGGGTCTTCCGTACCTTCCAGGTCTTCGTGTATAACTTGGTGCCATCCCTCGTGGCAAATTCACCTTCTGTTGTAGCAGCCATGGTCTTTCACGGAGGAGATTTGGAAGGTGCTGCGACACGACGAGGCTTCTTCGTGATTCTATTCCCAGGAACATAGCACATCATCGGAAGCTGGAGGACATCCGCGAATGCATAGTGTTGCACAAATCGCGCCAGCTCTGACCACACCGCCGGACTCGGCACATGCTCTAGAATCGACTCGATGACCGAGGCTCGTGACTGCGCGTCATTTAAATATGTTTTGAATGACAAGGGATGGAACGCAAGACTCCGATAGCATTAGAACGCGCGTTCCTCGTTAGATAAATCATCCATCACATCTGAGATGCTTGCCAATGGTCGAGGACCCGATGCTTGTAAAGAATCATCGGTCGTTGATCCAACTAAATGCCTCATGTCAATGTTTGAACCTTGGAGCGTTTCTTCCTTCGGTCACTGTGGCAAGTCTTTCAAGGAGCTATACAATGCGAGATGACGACGACCGATGGATCTTCGCAACGCTTTGGCCACCGACTTTGAGTATGTAGCCTCAGTTCACCCCAACTTGTTATCACCCTTATACTAGATTACGTCGAGGCGTTTGTCTTCATTGACTTCTGGTGGTGTGCGTTCGAACGGATAATAGACAGGGAAATGATTTTAGACCCTCCCGAAATCCATGGACTTGTCTTGCTGAGGGAGCAAAAGCTCGGTGGTCACTATGGGAGGTCGAGGTAGAATGGCAGTTTGCATGCTCTGCCAGGCTGCAAAGGCATCTGTCTGCAGAGCAGGTACATCTTCTCTACTAAGATGGTCAGGTACCTCATCAAAGACAGACTCTGTCCGCCAAGGCCTTCCCCTCCCCCCTGCTTCACGGTCACCACACGCACTGAGAGGCTCAAAAATAATCCAGAACGACGACGCGCACAGGGTGCAAAAACTCAGTTCTTTGAGAAAACCTCCTCACTATGTATCTCTAGATGAGGTGTTTTTTTGTTACTCATTCCAGGCTCAGATGATGTGATGCTCCCACTTATAGCTTCAATCGATGACCTCTACCAGAGAGGAGATGATGAAGACTGTGGACAAGACTTACTGCCAACAATCACCACAGAGGTATGCGATGCTCCCATTTACTGCTTGATCAGACGAGCTCTTTCGAGCAGGTTGACAAGACGATGGACGAGACTTCCTACAAACATAACTGCTTGGTTTTGCCATTTGAATGTGAGATCAAATTCGATCCATGAAAAATATATGGCTTGTATTTCGGAATATGGTTGTGATTGGGTGCAGGTCAGGTGCTCGCAGTGAAGCTGAGACAGGAGACAGTGAAAGTGCTGCGGGATGAGGACGGAGAGCACCGTTACCAAATGGTCGATCCCGCGATGCGAAGCCTTCAATCCTCACATCTTATGTGACCAAACTCGCCGCGGAAGAAGCATGGGAATGAGGCAGATCATGACATATATCCAGCCCATCTGCTATAACGAAGCCGCTGCGGCTCTCCACTCTTTGCCTCGTACGGCCAGATCTACTTCTCATCTTCAATCCGCCAGAAGAAAACCTTCTTATCAAACCCACCACTAACCAAGATCTCCTTGTTACTATCGCTACTACTCCGATCCGCCGTTCCAGCAGCTTCAAACCCGGCCCAGAGCGTGCGGACTTTACTACCGACTTCGTGCCCCTTGAGCAAGGCCACAACCTTTCCACTCTGTGTGTCCACACCTCTGATTACGCCATCGTCGGCATTTACAAATACGCCCCTTCCTCCAGGTCGCCAGACAACTTGCGGGTTAGAGTACGGCGTCTGGGGTGCCATCGTGGTGACGTGCAACTTGATCGCTGCGTCCTCCCGATCCTGAATAGCCAGGGCTGCGCGTGCCTGAGCTGCCTGCGTGTGTGACTGTAACTCCTCGGCGGACGAGTTGCTGGGCGTGTAAGAGCCCGTAGGAAAGAGCAGACGGACGATCAGGAGTTTCATATGCGGTAGGTGAGATGTCGCCACTGCTAGGAGAGTCGGATCCGTGGGACACGAAGCCAGGCAGGACGGGGTAAAGGCAACCCAGGCGTTTGAGTGCGGCGCGAGGTTCTGTCTACCGGTCTCCTGGACAGAATAAGTGGCCTCGCTGCTCCGCGAGGAAGATGACTCGGATGAAGTTGGCGTGATGCAGTAGTAATACAGGAACGTAGAATCTCGTCTAGAGATGATGAGGTACAGCTCGTGAGTATCCGGATGTCGCACGAGGACCATGGATTCCGGGACCGTAGGCGTTGAGATGGTGTGGATCGGATCGCGCAGGAGTCCTGGGATGATCGGCTCATTGTGGGAAGCAGAGATCGCGTGTTCACTCGGTCGGAAGTTCTCAGCCAACCCATACTCAGGGGCGTAGATGTGTACCTTCTGATCCCACCCGGCGGTTGCCACAATCCATTTGCCCTGGTGGGTGTGTCCGGCGACCACCTGGACAGCATACTTGAGATGGTCTCGGACTGTGTCAATCAGTTCGCCGCGTCGGCCATGCAGCATTAATTGTCCAGACATGGAAGTTGAAAAGATATACCCTCCCTCCAGCGAACTGAGCGACAAAATCGGACTGCCATGGGGATTGTCCAACCCTTGCCTCCACTCAAATGGTGGCTTGGGCGACAATTGACTCCAAGTCCGATCCGCAGCAGTGACAAAAATGGACGCCTCCCCATTCAAGCTGTGACCGTTCACGCATAGAATGTTGGATGTCGCTGGGAAGTTTTCGGGCTCGACTGCTGTTGAGGGTGCCGGCACCGGCCATCCAACATCCACGTCATTGCCTTTCTTTTCATACGCAAGACTGGCGTCGTATTGTTTCTTCTCTTCGAGGATTTTTTCGATCGTCCAGTCGCCTGGGTTTAGTGTCACCACATCTTCGGTGAGTCCTGCTTCGGCGAGGAATGCTTCAAGAGTCTACAGTGTCATGAGAGGGGTCCGAGTTCAGAGTCCCCAAAACATACCTGAACGTAATGATTCGCTTTCAGGAAGCGGGCTACAATGAGCGCTGGCGAGTCTGTTGCGGGCATCTCTGAAGTTACCAGGTATGCAAAGGATTAAACAACCAGGATGGAGAGATTGAAGTCATCCCATGAATTCAGGCACCACTGGATTTGAGCCCATCACGTGACTCGAGCTTGCTCGATTGAAAGGCCTATATCGTTCAGGAGATCCTTCGATCACGCCATATTGGATTAGTGGCCTCGAGCCGATAACAGTAACCTTCTGCGCCTCGCTGTATCAGAAGCATGAATCTAAGACCACATCATTGCTTCGTTTCATCTTTCGGGGCACCGACTCCATGTCGATTCTTGTACTCTCGAGGACTCTCATAATCCCGCTGATTTCCCGCCCACATTCCTTTCCTCCTCATTTTGGCCCACCATTCGGCTCTCCTGTATCGCTCTTCTTTGGCTCTCCCAAATTCGACACCAGTTTTAGCCTCGTAAATCGTAGCATACCCAGCTTTGAGCATTTGTAGACCAACATCGCGCCGCCACAACTTCTTCCAAACATACACAGTTCCAACCACTCTGCCGTACTGGTCTGCTCTGTAGACGTATGTGCGGACACGGCGACCCACGAGATATGCAGTCAACCAGTCGAGAGCCTCTTGCGCATATGGTTGACATGGTCGTCCGAAGTGAGCCATTTCCGGCGCGTCAATACCCGCGAGGCGGACGTGTATCTGGGCAGCGTGTCAGCTTTCAGCAACCTCCTACCTTCGTTGCTGGTCCATACTGTTTGGTCCTTCAGCGCCTTCTTTTCTGTGGGAACCCGCCTCCACGGCAGCCAGCCCCATCCTGCGAGCCTCCCGCCAGGGGTGTGATACATGCGAAAGTTGTCTCCATCTCCGACGCTCGTGACCTGACCGACAAGGCTCCTGCGCCCGAGGTATCCAGGGTTGATATTGGTGGCTTGCGGGATCCTTCGCAGGTACGACCTGTAGAATCTGTAAAGACCGAGAGAGGTGGCAGATAGGAGGACTGCAGCTACGATTGTCTCAGGCTGTGTGAAGGCCTTCAACTGCCCTGAAACGGCTTCTGCTGTGTTGCGCTGAACAGACTCGGCTGCCTCTGCTACTGTGGTAGTCGTCGACTCCCAGTTTCGGTTTGCCTTTGTGGGGATGGCCTCTGCCGAGTCACCTTCATCCTTTGTCGACGAAGACCAGAGCTTCGGCCATGGCATGGCGTGCTTACTTGGATTTACACAGATGGGGAGGAGGCAGCGAGTACCATGTTGGGGACGCGGTCGACGATACCGTAGTCAGGTTAGGCCAAAATACTCTGCCGTAGCCAAGTATCTACGGTGGAGGATTTGAACTATAGCAGCATTATCTCATTCGACAAACCTGACTTCACTCCTGTCTACCTACTGCCCTCGCTCAGTTCAGATGATTCACAGCTTGCACAAACTCCCTCAGTCGCGATTTCCACCTCTGTTCTAGGTCATCGGAAGACCGCTGTAGCTGGCTTTTTCCAACTTTCGCGATAGCTGGCGAACATGACAGACCTTGGGACAGGAGATGCTCCCTGCGAACCGATGGGCGTCCCCTACACGCCACAGACTGCACTCTCGATTGTGCAAGCTGCGCTAAATACGGGTGACACACAGTCGGACGTCAGTGTATTAACAGCGATCAATCGATTGACATGATTCATTCAAACAAAGCCGGGCAAGGCTCACTGGTGGTTGCCTTTCCGCACTGTGCGATTAAAACCTTGAAGCATTTCGCGGACGGTACGGCAGAATCTCTTCAATCACTCTGTTCCCCTGCGATATTTTCCAACCTGATCCCATTGATACCGCATGTCTCATTGTGCATACTGCTATCACTTCACTTTCTCATCACCTTCTCAATGCTTTTCTACCACGTCCCCTACCAGTCTATTCAATGCGCTTCAATGCATTCAAGTTCAGCTGAATGGTTATTGCTCCTGCAACTCTTTTCGCAGACAACCTCAATACACTGTCAATAGACAATAGGTAGGTCGTCAGGCCGTGAGCGCTCTGGATATTCTCATAAATATCCACCATGTTCTTTGAGCAGCTCGCTTTCTTCCCCCTCGGCATACCACATACACCATACTCAGCATCAGCACTTTTTTTTTTACGACACCATTCTTCAAGAATATCACAGAACACATACTTACGCAGCATCGACACCTTTTCACGACATCAGTCCCTAGCATATCATATTCGAAACGTGCCTTTCTTTTGTCCTTTCTTTCTATACCAAACACCACAATCAACATGGTCCACGCCGACCACGACGAGCCCTCCTTCTTCAACGATGGAGCCAACCACATCCAACGACAGGTTCATCAGCTGTACCGCACTAGCTCTCCCACCAGGGCTCTAGTCTTTAGATACCTCGATGAACACCCAGATGCCCACCAGGAGTACCTGGAGTTGTTGCGCCCTTTTGGCCCTACGGGTCCTCTCAACCCATCCTTCGGCGCAGAGGTCGCCTCAGAAAGCGACTTCCACCTCAGTGCAACTGCAGAGGGATACTTCCTGCAGCCAGACGATGGCTTGCAGGAAGATCTCTGGCAGCTTGTTACTGGTGTAGAAGAGGCCGCCGACGAGCTGGAGTTCGAGTATCCTTCGGATCTCGAAGGCTTTGGAGTGGACGACGCCGCTGACGATGAGGTGCCACCTCAAGCTGGTCCTGAGGTGCTCCTAGACATCATCAACACCAACAGCATCGACAGTGACGACGTCGACCCTCACGTCAATAGTGACGGTGACGACAATGCCAATGGTGCCACCATTGTCAGCAATGACACTGTTATCATCGACAGCAGTGACGCCGACCCCGTGGCGAACAATGACAATGGCCCCGATACCGACGACACCACCACTATCGACAACACAGCTGCCAGCACTGTCAGCAATGACGCCCCGGTGGCCGCAAGCAGTGCCGACACCAACATGGTCCCGTACCCGGCCCCAGCCCACTTGATTGTTGCTTCTCGCAGTCAACCGGCGGCTCGTGCCTGGGCCTTGTGGGAAGAAGATGCATGCATTCGTCATATGCTTGACATCCACCACGAGGGCCAGATCCAAGGGGAAGCTCGCTTTGCCGAGGCGCTGCGTCGCATGCAGGTCGTGGACGGCTGCAAGAGGACTGCCGGTGGTGCTGTGAAGAATTTCTGGAATCGCAAGGGCCGTCTTCGCTCTCAGTTCGACGAAAGACGCAACAAGCGCGCACCGCTGGCGACATCCCAGCAAGGCAAGAAAGTAGCGCAAACCACCACTACATCCAAGCAACGCAAGACCACTCTTTCACCCCATGTTACAAAGTCACGCAGCACGACGAAGCGCCGCCAGAAGACGCCAGAGTACTCCTCTGAAGAAGACGAAGACGAAGAGTCCGTCTACATTGTTGAGAGTGACAATGAAGAACCTGAACACATCCAACAGTCGCACAAGAGAAAGGACAGAGACGTCGACAGTGAAGACGACTACCAACCATCTCCAACCCTCATAAACTCCGTTGCCAAAGGCTTGAGAACGTCAAAGAGAGTCCGATCGATAGCTCGGTGCTGAAGACACAAAGATATGACATCGACATTGGAAACACATGCTTGGAAGATGAATGGTGATGAAGACAAGAGGTTGGATATGTGGTTGGACATTAAACAGCGTGGCACACGACACACAAGCAAAAGCAATCTATTCCTGCCTATTATACCCCCTTATGCGTTGCTTTACGAGATACTAGACTCAGCTGGTCCGGTCTGCAATCAAGAATCCCAAGCGAATTCAGCGTGCAGTTAGACTATGAGATACTTCGGAATGCCGTGAAAAGTGATTGGAAGCTCCACTGAACTCCTATGTCGTAGTATGCCCTTGCAGGTCCGTCAGTCGTCCATCTTAGCCCTCGCTGTCGATACTTGGTCGTGCTTGGGTCACTAGTCCAGCTCACGATCGTCCATGCCTGTTAGCTCATTCAGCATTGACGCTTTCGCGACCTGCACCTGTGTTTCTGAGCTCGTGATTCATGGATGTCTCATCAAACATCTCTCTGCTTCACGACGACCCCTTGGCCCGGATTCAAGCCAACATCTACACAGGCTTATCGCCCTCCAGGGTAACCCTCAGCATCCTCCTCTTAAACCCATGGTAATCGTTGATCGGATTATGCTGCACACAACGATTATCCCAAAAGGCAATACTCCCCACCTGCCAGCGAAAGCGGCATGTGAACTCCGGTTTCACCTGGTGCTTGAACAGATACGCCAAGAGAGGAGCTGACTCCTCTTCAGTCCAGCCTTCGAAGTGCGAGGTGTGCGCGGCATTGACGTACAGCGCCTTCCGGCCGGTCTCGGGATGAGTGCGGACAGCGGGATGTGTAGCTTCGAAGGAATCTTTGGCCGCAGAGTTTCCCGAGTCGCGGATCCGGTCTTCGCGGGTTTTGCTTGTATCCGCTTTTGCTGAGGTGCTGACTGCTTTCAGGTTGGAGAGTGTCTGTTTGAGGCCGTCGGAAAGCGACTCGTATGCGGCATATTGATTTGCGAAGAGCGTGTCGCCGCCGTAGGGAGGCACTTCTCTGGCCCAGAGTATCGAGCCCATGGGCGGGTTCTCGAAGTAGGTAGTGTCAGAATGCCAGATGCCTCCGAAATTGATCGTTTCGTGTTCTTGCTTGAGCACTTCAATGATGGTGGGGAAGCCGTCGATGCCTTTGACGAAGGGGTATTCGACGGGCTTGCCAAAGAAGGTGGTGAACTTGTGAAACCGCTCAGCGTCGAGGTCTTGGTCCCGGAAGAAGATGACCTGGTGCTGGAGGAGGGCTTCGCGGATCTCCTTGACCAGGCCTGGGTTTTCAGCTAGCTCGTTAATGTCGACATCGTGGATCTCAGCGCCCAAGGAGCCTGCTATGCGGTGGACTGAGAGGTGTCTTCTTTGGACCCGTTGAGTAGCAGCCGCCATATTGCTTCCTGTGCATATAGACGGCCCCTTCCACGTGGTTAGCCTACGAAAGCTTCTAGCATTCATGGCACGGAGGAGCGGCGGTCTCAGGCGGCAAGGGAGGCTTGCCAGACGTTATTCATGCACATTTTTTGAAGTTCTACACAAGTCCCAAGCCTCGCCCGCTGTTGAACGGATATGCGGCCCCTCTACTCACCGTGAATGTCTCCCCTCGCGTCAGCCCAGCCTCGGGTCAGGCATGTTGTCTGGTTGTTTGCTACTCTCGCTGCCACGACCAGACGCGGGGAAGCCGGTCACGTGCCGATGCGGAGACACGGAGCGAATCAACACTGGAAAAGCGGCGCCAGGTCTATTCCGTTTTCGGTAGCCTCGAAAATGATATCAGAGCAGACGAACAGCCTCGAGCCTCGAGACTCGAAGCTGCGAGAATTGAGCCTTGCATGCGCCGCGTTGTCACGACCGTGTAATATCAACAATATCACTATTGCCATCATATTCTATCATTTATACCATGTTCGCTCTGTCACTGCCTCTTCCATAGAGACGTCTTCAGAGCCACATCACTTACAACTCGGCTGGCCAGCAATTTGCTCAGTTCAGTTCACTTCAGCCTTGCAAATCCTCCCAGCCATGTCCACGCCCCTCTGAGCGCTATTCTACACCTTGGATCTATCCATCGAGCACGCTTACATAGCCTCTCTCAGTGCCGGCGATACAGCTGCTTCAGCGCTGCCGTCCTCTCACAACATGGCTCTCGCTATGGCGTCGGCAGTGTCCTCGGGGCAGGATGCTGATTTGATGGACATTGATATCGACATGGACATGGATGATCAAGGTCCAATTCTCGACGATGAGTTCCAGCTCGAAGTACGTTGACCCTAGCTCCCTTCTATCTTATACGGACCTCACATTCTTCACCCATAGGAAGGCGAAGAACCCTCGTTCGTGCCCTCCGGCGCCGCACCCTCTGTCACCAATCCCTCGACCCTTATCCCCGCCATCTATACCGAAGATCCCGCCCTCGAGCCGCAATGGAACAAAGTGCACATCCGCGGTGTCGACGACCTGCATACTAACGACATCCTTGCGTTCGTCCACGACCACTTCAGCGAAGCGGGGGACGACATCCACGTGCAATGGGTCGACGATACCTCTGCGAACATAGTCTTCAAGGCCGACGACGCCGCGAAACAAGCACACGTCGCGTTCCTCGCCAACCCGGTCAGTGTCGAAGAACTCACGAACAATCCCTTCGAGCTCCGCGCCGCGAAACACCTGACAAGCCGACCAGCGAGCACGCTCTTCGTAAGGGTAGCTCAGCAAGGCGATCGCAAGAAGAAAGGCGCCCGTGAAGCAAGCAGATACTATTTGATGCATCCCGACCAAGACCCGACGGAACGCATGCGCAAAGAATTTGAGAACACAAGAGGTGACTACCGACGACGCAGATTTGACGACCGAGAACTCCACAGACGGCGGGGCGGCGGTGGGCGAGGATATCAAGACGCTGGGAACGGCGGCGATCCTACAGAGAGTTTCTCGGCGGACATGTACGACGATGCGCCCGCCACGGATCCAGAAAACACCGACAAGGCCAGAGGTCGAGACTTGTTCTCTCGTGTCGCCAAAGGGAGGAGAAGAAGCGCGAGTCCCGGCATGAGGACCCGCAACAGCGACGAGATTGAGATTTCCGAATCAGACGACGACGGTCGTGCACGACGGAGAAATTACCGAGATCGTGCTCCGCCCCGCGTCAATAATGCAGGCAAGGAACTATTCTCCTCCACCTCCTCCCCCAAATCCGGCGGTGGTCTTCGCTCCGACCGATTGGATCTCTTCCCTGCCAAGCCATCAGATACCGACACCTCCATGTCCACGGACCCGGTTCCCCCGTTGCGCCCGATAGATGCAGCAAACAATCGCGCCAACGCTGCCGCGGCAAAGCGGCTGAAAGCGGACCTTCTCAGCGCCTCTCAAACGAGTCCCAGATCGAATCATCGACGAAGCCACGCCATGGACGCTAAGAACGAAGAAGACCTCGCGGAAAGGTTCGCCAGGAAGAGCATATCAATCGACAGCACCAAGTCGAGAAACGGGCCGTCGAATGCAGGCGTGGAATTATTTCCCTCGAACGGAGGCGGTGGCGGGCTGAGCATCAAAGGCGCTTCCGACGGACTGAGTATCAAAGGATCTGGCGGCTTGAGCATCAAGGGAAGAGCCCTTGAAGTTAAAGAGCTGTTTCCGAACCAGTACCAGAAAACAGGGACGGGCCGGAACGAAGGCAAGGAGTTGTTCGATGCGCCGGTTCGAGAGAAGAGGGTGAGGAGACGGGCTGGCGATTTATTCGATTGAGCGCGTGCAGGATGCGAGGTGACGAAGAACACAGTGTATAGCTTGGAAGCGTGGGTTTTGGTGACTTGCCACAAAGCTGGCGGTTGTGAGCTCCTTGGGGCAGCCATCTAAACGAACGACGCAACAAAAACCTCCTGGATAACCATTTGCGGCTTGAAGCTCCAGGAAGACCTGTGGTCGCCTTTATTCATGTCAGACTCAGAGAGTGGGCTGCTTTCGAACTCGAATCGAACGGGAACAGGATCGGATGAGCATGGACAGATTGCCGGTGCCTCACATGAGATATGGGCGGCGGACAAGGCCGGCTGATATCACGGCGAGCGACTGTGGCTCTCAAACTCTGTAGCTACGAATAGATACCCTACCAACTACAAACCTATCTAAATCCAAAAAGATACGAATGCCATGAAGGAATCGTTACGAACGATGCGAGGACAACCCCCGTCAACAGACTCGAAGTGGTGTTCCTTCTTAATTACATACACTAGCAACAAACGGTCGAGCAGTGTCTGCGGTTCGATTTTCAGTGTGTGTACCCCCAGTATCTCGTAGTGTTGTAGTGTAACGCGCCGACTTGTACTCCGTATACCGAGCACACAGTACGAGAAAAGACGCAGGCACACAGTGTCATAAGATCTACCTACCTTTCCGAGGAGGCTGGAGCCATGAACGGAATGCGGGTTTCACTCTTCCACTTACAGTCTGTACCGTATCCAGCCTAGCAATGGAACGCACGGCACGGTTGGCAACTCGAGCAATGCTCTGGCAACGATGACTTGATAAAGTCTGCATGATTCCCAGGGCCAGAAAAACATCAATCCCTGATGTGCAGTAGCTGCTTCTGGTCCCGCTGACGAAACACAAACATGGCTACGTGTTGCCTACATAGAGGTACCGGCCAAACATGGTGGAGTCCCGAATACCGCGCGCCCAGAACACCCAGCTAAGTTCGACGTATTGTTTCCACACAGAAGCAGTTCCCGTTCCAGCCCTGCTGTTCATACCAGACACATGGCTACCGGTGTAAGTACATCCTTCCCATCATGTCGCGCCGAGACTCGCGAGCGCACCCCTCAGTTCGCGGATCGCAGTGGGCACGTCCTCGAAGTTCAATGCCGAAATCGCCCATCGGGCGTGTTTCTGAGCTTTCATGACGGCTTCCTCATCGATGACCACGTTGCTTGGCGGTGGAAGCGGCGCTATCGTCGCTGCGGGGGCTTGTTGTGGGGGAGGATGAACAGGCGATGGAGCGAATACTGGCGGTGGTGGTCCAGGTACTTGAGGTACTTGTGGTGGTTGTTGGAACTGCGGGACAGGCGGGACAGGACCGCGTGCTTGCCGGGCCTGAGGCGGGATGATTGGTTGCTGAGGAGGCTGAGGCTGAAAGTTCGGGGTGAATGTTGAGGGCTGGCCGGGCGAAACTTGTGGGAGGAGTGTTCCGTGGCGATGAGGTGGTAAGGGCGGCGATTGACGGCTTGGGGGTGCGTTGAGGGCAGCGCCGAGGTCGCTTCGTGCTGATGCTGATGTCACGGACGGTTCTGATGGCGCGGACGGGAGATCTGTCCTGACCTTTCCTGGTGTTGTAGGTGTGGAAGGGAGCTCTAGTGGTGCTGCCGGACCTATTGTTGTCGGCGCAGAGGGGAGGTTTGGTTCTGGTCCCGGTCCCGGCGGCACAACGGGAAAGTAGTTACCTCCGACTGAAGGTTTGCGCTCCGCAGATGGTTCGAGTGGTGAGATCTCCGCCGGCTCGCCGGCTGTGTTGGTATAGAAATTGGTTGCGTCTTGGTCGGGGAGAGGAGAAACGTCGTTTGTTGGCGGCACGGACGGTGCTCTTGAAGGATGCAGGGATTGGTCGATTGAGGACTGTGTTGCAAGAGTGCTCTGCATTCGATCTGCTTCGTCGGGAACTTCGGTCACAGTAGGCTGTCTGGCAAGTGGTGGTGGCAGCGAGGGATCTCTCGAAGGATGTAACGATTCGTCCAGCACGGACTTTTGCGCAAGGGTTTTCTGGATCTTATCGGCTTCGTCCGGAACCTCGACGACGGAGGGTTGCCTGGATTTCGTGGCGCTGTGCCCCTCCAGCGCTTGCACGTCGGCGTCACTGGGGTCGAGTGCCGGTAGAGCTTCGTCAACCGGTGTTTGTGGCTTCGGGTTGGACAAGTTTGGATCTTCACTCGCTTTCAATGCTTTGGCTATCCTGAGCGCATGGTATTTGGCGAACTTGATCTTCGCCGCAATCTCGGGCTCCAGGGCGCCCCAAATCTGCAAGAGGTCGAGGAATGTGGCTGACGCCTGGAAGGTATCTGCCGTCTGCCTTGACGCCTTGTTCGCGCGCACCGCATTGTCTGCTCTTTCGAATGTTTCCAGCCCAAATTGTTCCACATAGGCTTTGCCCACCACGTCGTCGGTAACGGCCGGCTCTTGTGCATGTTCAGCTTTGAACTGGACCTTCGTTAGGCCAAATGTAAACAGGTCGGGAAGGTAGGCGTACTTGTTCCAGTTTATCCATCAAGGCCGTGGTGTAGGCCAGGCTCTCTTGATCCGCATTGTGAAGGCCTTTGGACAAAATCTGGTTGACTATCCAGTACTCGCCTGTGGTCGGGTCAGCGACCGTGGGATGGATTCAAGACATGCAAAGGCCTACACCAGTATGCTATTATAGGCTTTGCCTTTTCTAGTTGAGCCGCTCGGTGGGCGAAGCGAGTGATGTCGGCTGTCTTTAACGCGGCTGGCACTTGAGCGGCCATGGCCAGATGGTGAATCTCAGACGTGTAGATCCTGCAGACCAACCTTATGAAGCTTCCAAGTCCAGAGGTACGGGATGAACTTCGAGTGGTACAAAATTGATATAGATTCAATGCAGTCTGGAAAGCCCCGCAGCCATGGGAGTTGTCAGCGACCCAACCAACGAAGCTCTCCCCGCGAAATCAACCTGAGCTTGGTGCGGAGCAAAATTTCCGGACAAGGCTGCACGAGGCTGGGTGGACGCTCACGTGGGCGCTGAGGCGACAGCCACTACTGACAAGCACTAGACCTCTTGCAGGCGTAGGTTGCCCAGCTATCTGAGCTCGCTCTCGATCGTCTTTTTCGGTAACAATAGTTGAGCTCAGGGGGTAACTCAGCTGAGGAAAGAAAGCACCCTACTCTTTATGGTTCAGCCGGACTGCTGAAAACAAATATTTAATTAATGTGATATTGCTTCGTACTCGTCCTGATGTCGCTCTCACCCTCTCTTCGCTGCCATCAACCGAGGCCATCAAGAGTTCTGTTGGACGACTATCCAAGAATAACGTCGCATTGTTAGATTCCTGCATCTTCTGACCATAATATCCAAATCTGCAAAGATGCCTCGAGGAAACTTAGTCACCATCAACCAAAAAGACGACATATATCGCTGCAGCTACTGTGAAAGAGATTTCAAATCCCAGCACGGCCTCACTCAGCATTGTGAAAAGGCTACAAACCACCTTGAAGGAGACCTGTGGTGCTCACGATGCCAATGGCTGTTTGTCACAATATCCGCTCGAGAAGCTCACATCAAGCACTCCTCTCGCCACAATGTATGCGACCAGTGTGATGATGATTACACCGACAATCAAATGCTCACAAGCCACAAAGTCGCCGCTCACAGTCTTTGTACCAAGTGCGATCGCTACCTTGGTAGTGAGAACGAACTAAAACAGGTAGGTAGTTCTTCTGACTGAAGGGGAAACAGCTGTGTACTGATCTCGGCTATGATAATTAGCATCAAAGATCCCATCTTCCACGCAGAACAAAATGCTATGGGTGCGACCGTCACTTCCCCGACTTCGCGGCACTGGTCCTTCACCTCGAAGCCGGCACCTGTCAAAGTGGCATAAACTCCCGGAAGGTCGACGAATTGATTGTTGATTCGGGCCGTCTTTGCTGGAGATATCACGATTCAGACCTCCCATATATCCAATACAAATGCCCAACTTGCGCGTCCACCTTTCAATACTTGAGCGCCTTGTGCCAGCATGTTGCAACCGAGACTTGTGAAGAAGAGGCTGAAGGGATTGTCACATCTCTGAAGCAGGTGTTCCATGAGTGGGAATTGTCCGAGGGGCAAGGGATGGCTGAAAGACTCTGAATGGCTTGCTGCCGGTTGTGTGGGAATATACTGAAAAATTGTAGCATCCTACTCTGTACACGGCTTTCAACTAGTGATGGGGAAGCCGACATTGGTCCAAGCGGAAGGAATCTTGTACGGAATACATAATAATAGTTAAGGTATCAACTCATCGTATCACTTTTCCCTGTCGAACTGCCAAGACGTCAAGAGACAAAATACGGTCGAGCTGCACGATCAGTCGTGGATGCAAGAGACGGGGCGAAAGCTACACAGGAGAAGGTAGCATGCTGTCTAATCTACACTGTAGCTCTCCATCATGGCCACTTTCAGGCCCACTGCTATATGTTGAAGTTCGACTCTTATGAAGCTTCCACTATTCACAAACTGCTGTAGAGGAAGAGTGCGCTTTTCTGCTCCCCTGCTATTGGCTATTCATGCTCATCGCGGCTCGGCTATTAATTTCGGTCTTTTGTGAACTGGCCATGAAACAACCTCAGTTTTGTATTCAACCTTCCCCGTACGGAGTACATCTACCGTACTCCTTCATCTCACTCTGCCTGGGACTGAGACAAGGCGCCAGATCTCGCCTGGAGAATTCATGTCCACGTGTCTTCCTTCAGATCTGCCGAAGCCCGAAGTGCGCAATTTTCCAGCTTGGTCCAAACACCAGTTGTTTGAGGTCAGCTAATCGAGCTTCAGCTTCCTGGAAAACTCGCTTGCTTCTTCCGCACCATCGGGCTGCGCGGTCCCGAACAGGCACACATTGCCCCGTCTTATGATCGATCTCCTGTCACACCAATATCGCCAGCCGCATCTGACCATGCCACCTTTGCCAGACCTGGGTAAATTCAAGCTTTCCCAAGCTCCTGCAAATCTCGTGGGCAGCTCAGGCAATTGCCCACAACCTTCTCGTGGACATCTGGATCAAGAATCGTGTCAAGATGGCTGGCCGCTTGTTCCAAGCAATACCAAGGGGACCGTTTGGAGCCGCGGCTCAGGTGATTTAGTGAGTGTAATACTATCACCATGTCACCACCAACACCAGGGGCTTTCTTTATAAGGAGGCACAGATCTCACTTCGGTCTCCTCCTTTACACGCCTGACAATCCGCTCATCTTGCAATCATCCATTCGTTCTCCAGGTTCTGCGAACCCTTTTCATTCTTTCATTTCGAGCTGTACAATTCGCACACGACAGGCCGGCTCCTGATTTGTTTATTCTTTCCCGGAAACACTGTCATTCCTTCAACATCGGATTGCTCTCAAGAGTGAAGATTTGTCCAATCGCCTTCCACATCATGAGGAACGAAATTGCGGCGGTGCTCCTTGCTGTTGGCTTGTCCACGGCCAGCCCATTTGCTCATGAGTCCCACAAGCGTGAAGTGCCCCAGGAGCATTCCCACAACCACTATCTCGACCTTGTCCGCACGTCCCTCAATCTGAACAATCCCAAGCAGATCGCCGACCCTGTCTTTGGCCTCCTTGGAAACGCTGCAGCTGCGGGCGGGGCCGGACAAGTCACCAACCTCGATTGCTTACAGCAGGAAACGGCTGACCAAGCTTTCACAAATGCCAAACAAGCCGGCGACCTTGTCGGTATGGCGGGGGCGCTGGTTTATCGGGCGCTCGAAAGAAACACAGGTAGTGTAGGCCTGGCAAGCGTCCTTTGCACCGAAACTGCGACCAATCCTGAGATTGCCGCCATCTCTCAGCACCAAGACCCTGCTTCCGCCAACGCTGCTTCCGTCAACAAGGGGATCACACTCGCCCTTGCTCAACAGCTGGCTGGTATTGGTGTTGATCCGCTCCTGGCTCTTGAGGCCGGGACCTTTGCTCCAGGTCAAGTACGTTTGCCTTTTACCGTCGTTGTATTGATTACTGACCATGTATCTAGATTGGTGATCCAACTGCCCAGGGTAACAGTTGTGACACTGCCGATGATGAACCTGGCTGTATATTCAGTGAGAAACTCCTTGTTTTCGATGCCAGTGAGGAGGAAATCAGTTCCGCTGTTGCCGGAATAAGCCAAACATTTACCGGAACTGGCGTGATCAGCGCAACGAATATTGATTTAGCTGCTCTTCCCGTCGCTTCGGGGGCCGGGGATGTCGCAGTATCCGCGCCCGCTACTGCCGCTGCTGTGGCGACTTCTGCGAGCGAATGCGTCGTGGCGTCTTCCACTGCTGCCCCAGCCGGTTCTTGCACGGTCATTACCACCACGGTCGCCGTCAATTCGGGCATGTCTACTGTGGTGACCAGTGCTGCTACTGCAGCTACAGCTGTGGCTGCTGGATCTGGTAAGCTGTCTGAACACTTTCTCCGTTAACCTGTTTTGCTTACCCCTACGAAGGTGTCAATATCCAATCGTTCACCGGTACCCTGGGTGGCTCCCCGCCTCCTGTTGTCTCTGGAACTGGTGACCGCCCTTTCACTGTTAAGGGCGACACCTTCGTGAATGCTGCTGCCGCGCTCCAACGCTCATGCTCCGCTCAGCACAACGCCTGTTCCAATGCCGCCAACAGCGGTGCTCTTACTGGTGGCCAACAGCAGTGCGAGACCCAGGAAGACGAGTGTAACGCTTTTGACGGGCTTACCAAGAAACACAAACGCGCTCTGGACTTCGGCAGCTGTGGCAACCCGACTATTTTGTTCGAAGCTGGACTTGACGGCCGCAATACCGAGGCGTTTATCGCCGAAGACCAGACTGATTACAACCATGGCTCTGCTCTGAACATTGCAGTGATTGCTGGATTCATCTGTCAGAGACTGGGGTCTCCTTGCAACGCGCCAGCGGACGTGCAAGCGAGTTGCACCAGCGCCAGTGCTCAGGCAGTGGCGACTAGCCAGAACCAGGCGGCTGCTGATGTGTTCAACAGTATTTTGGGCGTCGGGTCTGGGGGTGCTGGACAAGTGACAGATGCCGCGGCTGCTGTTTCTGCGACGCCAGCAGCCACTGTCTTGACTATCACAACTTGTGCATGAGTATCTGAGACTCTCGCTCCCGGTAGCAGGTAGCTCAAGTCTCCGATATACATGTATGTGCAAGATAAGTTGACCCGGGCTAGGGGTGCTAGCATGGTTAACGTCGAGAGAAACCGTTCTGTGCCGAACCCTATCAAGAAGCAAGGCTTTCACACACGTATGAAGATGAAAAAGAATCGAGAGCTTCAATTATTACAGTGCTCTTGAGATGTGTTTGACAAGACGCGAGACTACTGCATTTCTCCGGATCCGGTACCTGCGCCAGTGGCACTGATCGCGACGCCATCGACGAATGGGTCTTCGACAGCGATGCCTTCTACTATTATAGGAACTGGTGGGAGGCACATTACAAGTATCAGTGTCCGGGCTGTGGCACCGACTTTCGATTTGTCAGTGCACTGTGTCAGCATGTCGCGACCGATGCGTGTGACTGGAATCCGGAGCAGACTTTTCAGGACATTGAGGACGCTATCGCGTGCAATATCTAGGTGCAAGTAGGGCTGGAATGTCGTGTGGTGCGTGTGGACTGCTTGTTCGGGGCTGCCTGATCGTGTATTGCGAGCATGGAGAGTCAATATTGAGAACTACGAGGAGCTAGTCTCCGCGATAGGGTTCTGGGTCGATTTGCCCAAAGGGATGAGACTAGGGGCTTCCACAGAAGCCTAAAGGGATACCCAGGGCTTGGGCCGTGGCGGTCTTGAGTTTCAGAAGCATCGGAGGGCTGTCGGTTGTACGGATCGTTGTAATGGCAAGGACTTGGACGATGACAAGACGACGGTGGCAATTGCTGATGCGGGATTTGGATATGCCGTATGCGCAAATCCCTCAGAATCAACACCTACGCTTCGTACCTCCAAATGAATGTCGGCTTTCAAAATCAACGCAAGTAATCTGCGCGCTCACAGCTCGGGGGGCAGGGCTGTCCAGTCCTGTCTTCCGAAGTAGATCGACTCTTGGCAACATGCGAGCGACTTGGCCTAATGGCCTTTTGGATGAGCGCGGACATTCAGTTGTTCAGGAAGTCGAAGTGTAAGATACCTCAGCTCTCGTCACTGCAGCCAGGCCTCCTATGCACTGAATTGGCCTCCATCGACCAGCAGTGAAGCACTCCTTCTCGAGTCCATTCCTTTCTGAGGCTGTAACCAAAGCATCTGCACATCGAGTGAGCAAAGTTGTTGCAGATTCAATGATGGTTGGTCAACATGTTTTTCTGAATTAGAAATGATCATTAATGATGACATGATTGAGTGTTCAATACTTACTCCGTACTTCATGCTCTTACGTCGTCCGAAGATCAGCCGACGGCGACGAGATTATCGCAGAGACAATTTTTGATTGACATGTCAACTGTGAAGCAACTTCTGTGCACTCACTGCCGCTCTCGACAACGCTCTCTCTTTTGCCTTCGCGCCGTTTACAGTCGTGTCAGCCACCGTTGCCTTCAAAATGCGCCCTTGAGTGCTCCGGCTGATGCCCTTCCGTCCTCTTCGTGTTCAACTCTCACAAGCACCATGGCCACAGCAGTTGGTACGCGGACAGCACCGGCGCTCCTCACTCGTTCCTTTACCATCACTCCTTCTCATATGAACCACCGTGCGGGCAAATCCTCTCGTCACGATCCAGCCCTTACTTACCGTATCTTTCTAGACCTGCACCGAAATATCCGCCGAAGTCTCGATCCTTACAAGTTCCCGGTCAGAGCCGTGCACTCCACGCCCCGACGTGTTTCCGCCCATGCCTCGAATGCGCCGTCTAATTCTGCGATTCCTCACATATCGCTACATATTGCGGCTTCCTCGAGCGGGAAAGGGCGAAAGTACCGCCCCGAACTAAGCACATATGAGTACATTCCCAGCAACGAGGATGGGCTGGGTCTGCAACGGGGATCGACGCTCGACGAGAAGAGAGCACGACGTCCGGATAGCGGCCAGGACGCATATTTCGTTGCGCGCGTGGGGTTTGACTCTGAGACCACCGCGTTTGCAATCGCGGACGGCGTGGGCGGGTGGAGCGAGCATGGCATTGACCCGGCGGACTTCTCGCACGGCCTGTGCAGCTACATGGCGGAGACGGCACTTTCATGGTCGGGGGATGAACGCCTTGGTCCGAAACAGCTGCTTGAGATAGGCTATGAGAAGACAATCCGCGACCCGGCGATCAAGGCTGGCGGAACCACTGCATGCGTCGCAGTGACAGATGGCAACGGCCGCATGCGAATCGCCAATCTAGGTGACTCGGGCTTCCTGCAACTCCGCCTAGGCACCGTTCACCACTATTCCAACCCGCAAACGCACGCCTTCAACACCCCGTATCAGATGTCCCTCACGCCGCCGGAGATTCTCGCCCAAGCGATGGTCTTTGGCGGGTTACCTCTGAACGACAAGCCTGACCGCGCCGACCTGGCCGACCACATGCTCCGACACGGCGATGTGCTTGTTCTGGCGACGGACGGCGTCTGGGATAATCTGAACTCCCAGGACATTTTGTCCATCGTATCGCACCATATGCGCGCGACTGGCGCGTGGCTCAGATCCGAAGATCAAGGCTATGTGATCTCGCCTGTCCTTGCTGAACTCGTCGACCTGGATTTGGCGCCTCAGAAACACAAATTGAGCATATCCGACTCGGTGGACGTCACGACGCAGCGGCCCCCCCTTGCCACCGGATCCTTGCAAAGTGTCCTGGCGGCAGCTATTGTCGGAGAAGCAAAAGCCGCCAGCTTGTCCAGCAAAAGAGACGGCCCCTTTGCCAAGGAGATGCAGAAGCAGTTCCCCTATGATCCGTGGCATGGTGGGAAAGTGGACGACATTTCCGTGCTGGTCATCGTCGCTGTTGATCAGAACAAGTCCAAGCCAGAGACCAAGCCACTGAAGGCGAAGTTGTGAGCCAGCATCACAGCAGCAGCATCACAGCAGTATAAGGTCTATCGTGCCTGCGGCAGCTAGGACCAGAATCAACGGTACAGATGCTCCCGATCAACTGACCTATCAACCAGATTTTTCACCATTTGTATCACCACCGTTTCCAGTGCATGAACTTTTGATCCCGTGTACGAGTTCAAGAGGAATCAGAGTACTACAGCATGAGCTATTGGATGAAGGATCATCAATCTGGATATTTTAGACAAGGATGCAGCGTTTATGCTTTCATTGTACAACAAGCAGGAGTAAGCAGATGAGACCGTTTAGCGCTTTGAGCATAGACCATACAGAACATTAGACTACAAAGGACTGCGTAAACGCATCGAATTTTATCTATCTACACAGCACAAGTGCAGCCCTCTTTACATCTCCAACCGTATATTAACACGTGACTCCACGTGACAAGCCACCACCCCTGCTACGGTCGAGTAAAAGTACGCGAGGGGCTTTTCGCATATGGCGAGTTGCAATTCTCCTTTACTCCCTTTGTTCAAGCTCAAAGGACCGGTCCTCAAGCCTCAAACACCCAGGTATAGATTGACACGTTGACTACCAGCCGTCTTTCATGTCCAGCTAAATTGCAGCCGGGATGGAATGCGGTGAGATTGGAGTCAACGCGCGGGGTTCCATGCTTCGCTTCATCCGTCGGCAGCTCCGACGGGATGTGCTCAGACTTCCACAGACATCGAGGATATAAAACCGTCCTGCTGTCGCACTCATGGCCAAGCAGAACGGTCAGGACCAAGAACAGCCACCATGGCCTCCGTGACAACGACAGTGCCAGTGACAGCCACGTTGAGAGCGGCTGGTGTTGAAAATTCACCCCATAATGGCATGGCTGCACGTCCACTACCATCCACCTACTGGACCATTGATGGTCTGTTGCGAAAACATGCTTCTGAAGATGGCGATATACCTATGGTCGGATATCCTGCGACGGGTGCGTCGGATTATGAGGTTCACACTGTCAAGGCCATCGACAGATATACGGATGCGGCTTGTTGGTGGTATCAAAAGCAGGGGTTGCAACCAGCAGTAAGGCCAAAGCAATCCACTGACGATCCGAGGCTGCTCTGACCATTCTAGGATCCGGACTTGCGTAAAGCACCAGTGGTTGCTCTTCTCACCCCTTCTTGCCTGGACGCAATCATATCGTTCTTCGCCCTCAACCGACTTGGGTGGGCCGTGCTCTTCCTTTCCACTAGGCTAACAGCCCCGGCATATGCGAGCCTGATGAGACTGGCGGACTGTTCAATCATTGTGGCCCCTCCAGCATACGATCCTGTCATAGCTGAGATGCGCTTTGAACTAGAGATCAGATCGTTATCACGAATCAACCAAGAAGATTACCGTGCAAATGCCGACATTCCCAGATTCTTCCGACACTGTGACAACGAGAAGGAATCGAAGAAGGTCGCGTGGATCATCCACTCTTCCGGCTCAACAGGCTTCCCGAAGCCAATCTTCATCACCAATTTTGGATGTCTAGCCAACTGGCAGAAAGGCCTGGGCTTCAGGTCGTTTACCGTCTCTCCACTTTTCCATTCCCATGCCCTCATGGAATTCGGCAGAGCCATCTACGCAAAGAGGCCCATGTTCTTTGGTAATCACCAAATGCCAGTCACCAGGCAGAATCTTCTTGCAGCGTTGAGGGTCGCTAAGCCGGAAATGGTCTGTGCTGTCCCTTACGTGCTCAAGCTCCTGGCCGAGCAGGATGAGGGAATTGCTGAGCTTGCAAAGGCAAAGATTGTCATGTACGGTGGCAGTGCTTGTCCTGATCCACTGGGAGACGAATTGGTTTCGAAAGGCGTATTCCTGGCCGGAAACTACGGTGCCACAGAAACCGGGTTTATCATGAACTCCTTCCGACAACCCGGAGACAACGAATGGAATTATCTCCGGCTACACAAACCAGTGGCAGACCACGTCTTGATGGACGAAATCTCTCCCGGTATCTTCGAATGTGTCGCATTACAGGGATTGCCTTCCAAGGTGGCTGTCAATACGGATAATCCGCCAAACGCATTCAGAACGAAGGACCTGTTCATGCGGCACCCCGATCCTCTGAAATCGAACTACTGGAAGTATGTGAGTAGACTTGACGATCGCCTAACGCTGGTCAATGGCGAAAAGGTCCTCCCCATACCCATCGAAGGCCACATCCGGAAAAGTGAGCTGATCAAAGAAATCGCGGTCTTTGGTGCTGGGAGGACGGTACCAGGCGCTATTATATTCAAAAGCGAGCAATCAGCGAAATCGAGTGACGAGGACTTCCTCGACAAAATATGGCCTCGGATCGAAGAAGCCAACAGGCAAGCCGAGACCTTTTCACGCATTCCTCGGGACCTCGTTATCGTCCGACCATGCGATGAGATCTACCCCCGAACAGACAAAGGAACCATAATCCGAGCCCAGCTATATGTGCAATACGGGGACATGATCAACCAGGCATACGACCGCTTCGAGTCGGGTGTAACAGAGAAGAGCGACCATCTCCTGCAACTCGACATTCCACAGCTGGAAGACTACCTCTTGCGCAAATTTCGCCACGGTCTTGGCACCCCTCTTGAGTCTGTAGATGCAGACATCTTCTCCGCTGGCGTCGACAGTCTCCAGACCACGCGCATCTGGAACATGATTAAGAAAGAGCTTGACCTCGGCGGAAACCAGGCCAAACTCTCGCAGAACGTTGTCTTCGAGCGGGGCACAGCTCGATCTTTGGCACGACACTTGTACAACTTGAGATGCGGCATCGACGAAGCTGAGCCGGACCCGGACCAAGCCGAGATCAAGATCATGCAAGACTTGATAGAGAAATACTCCGACTTTACACCGCACGATCCAACGAACAAACCTAATGTACTCACCAAGACCGTGCTGCTTACAGGCGTGACCGGTGGCCTCGGGTCGGTTCTTCTGTCCAATCTTCTGAAACGCAGCGATATTAGCAGAATATACTGCTTGGTGCGCGCCAACTCGCCCACTGCCGCGCACGATCGCGTCATGTCAGCCCTGAGATCGCGAGACCTTCTCCACCTTAGGCTTCAGGACGCCGAAGCGAAGATTATCGCCCTCCCAGCTGACCTCAGCCTACCAACGCTCGGCATGGAGCCAACTACGCTTGAAAGCATGCTCGACTGTCTAACACACATCATTCATAGCGCCTGGGCGGTCAACTTCAACCTGCCCCTCCTTTCCTTTGAACCACAGCATGTCCGAGGCGTGTACAACCTATTACAGCACGTCGCGCTACGGACCACGCACAGCCAACCAGCCGAGTTCTATTTCTGTTCGAGTGTGTCTGCGGTAAGTGGAACACCTAAGCCCGCGACCATCGCCGAGACACAAGCCATGGATCTGTCATGTGCACAGCGCATGGGCTACGGACGCAGCAAGCTTGTTGCGGAACGAATTACGCATATGGCTATGCAGCGCACAGGATGCATGGCAAGGGTTCTGCGTATCGGCCAGCTGGCTGGTGACACGAGGCAAGCTGTGTGGAACGATACCGAGGCGATCGCGCTGATGGTGAGGTCTGCATTACCTGAGAGTGCAGGCTGTCTGCCACTGCTAGATGAGAGGCCCAGTTGGCTGCCTGTGGATATGGCGGCTGAGGTAATTGAGGAGTTGGCCATTCCCAAGGTAAATGAAACTCAAAGGGCCAAGTATGATGCAGATCTGGTCTATCATGTGCTCAATCCAAAGACGTTCAGTTTTGGAGAAGAGTTGATACCGGTGCTGCAACGACATCCAGCATTCCCGAGGTTTGACGTGGTTAGTCCGAGGATTTGGCTAGATCAGCTCAAAGCAAGTGACGCCGACGTGAAAAGGAATCCAAGTCGGAAGTTGATTGATTTCTGGGAGGGAAAGTATGGGCGTAGTGAGGAGAAACAGGACTTGGATGCCCAGGCAGGTGAGGTAGACCACGACGCAGACAAGGGCTTGAAGTTTGAGACGGCCCAGACTATCAGAGATAGCAGCGTCCTTGGGCAGGTTGAAGATCCAGTGAGTGATGGGCTCATGGAGAGGATCGTGCATGTTTGGATGCGAAAATGGGAGGCGCAGTACGGCCAAGTATAGGGAAATGTGGCCGTGACTCAGCGTTCCACCGTAAAATATTCATGGACACGTGACAAGTGAATCAATCCGAAGGAGACCAGCAGACAACATGGTCCTCTGTACAATAGTAACGACTTACCTATGACTCCTGACTAAAGTGATCTAGCAATGGCTTCTCCCCAGCTCACTGGGACTCTGGCTTCCATCGCAAACCGCTCGAATGCAGACAAGACACAGGCATACACTGACCTGCTTCGCCAGTTAACTCACTCGCCGTCCCGTGAGCCTGAAGAACACGCCGCAAACTTGACAGCCTACTTTGACTCGCTATTTACTTCGTCTCTCGGTATCATCGCCATTCGTCCTCTCGTGGCCAACCTCATCGAAAGTCTAGCATCGGCACCAGCTGAGGTTAAAGTCCAGGTGGGGTCACACATCACTGAAGCCCTACAGTCTCAGTCGGCTTCGTATGAGGAGCAGGATGCAAGAGTCAGAGAGATACTAGCGGACGGCTATGAGGCAGAAGGGGATTATACGGCGGCTGCGAAGGCTCTGCAGGGGATCCATTTGGACACCACCCAGCGACAGGTTTCCGATCGGTTCAAGGTCGAACTCTGGATCCGCATCGTACGTTGCTACTTGGAAGAAGACGACACCGTGGCGGCGGAGACGGGTTTGAACAAGATCAAGAACTCGGCGGCTGCAGCTCAAATCTTGAAGGACGCTCCTGACCTGCGACTGCACTACCAATTGTCCCAGGCCCGCATCTTGGATTCCCGGAGGGATTTCCTGAATGCCTCGGCCGAGTATCTCAGCGTGTCATATAACACCATGATCGATGAGGCAGAGCGACGCATGATTCTCTCTGCCGCGATCAAGACAGCCATCCTCGCCCCCGCAGGACCTCAGCGCAGCCGAGTCCTGGCAAAACTGTACAAGGATGAGCGGTCGCCGGAGACGCCGCAATACCGTATTCTGGAGAACATGTTCTTGGATCGCCTCCTGTCGCCAGGTGAAGTGGAATCCTTCGCCTCTACGTTGGCTCCTCATCAACTTGCCAAAACTGCCGATGGCGGCACCGTCTTGAGCACGGCCGTAATTGAGCACAACCTGCGGGCCACCAGCCTCCTCTACGCGAACATCACCACTGCTTCTCTTGCTCGGCTGCTGGGTCTCAGGGACAGTATGAATCAGTCTGCTGCTGAAATAGCCCAAGATTACGCTGCAAGAATGGTGGAACAGGGCAGATTGCGAGGGCAGATTGATCAGATAGCCGGAGTCATCAATTTCGAGACCGTGCCGGGCGTTGAGCTGAAGGGTCCCGTCCGCGATCTCCGTGAGTGGGATCAAATGGTGCAAGGACTCGTGGAGGATGTGGAGCGCGTGGCTGCCGGTATCAGTGAGAGCTTTCCGGTAAGCAGGACGTGTGAAACGTGTGTGCTGTTCGCCTGAAATGCGGGCTGACTCATATATTACGCAGGAGCTTGTCTCAGAACACATGGTTCATGGATGAACTGGGGCCCCATTCCCTAGATGCGAGCTCAGGTACGTATTGCTTGATGCACATGGCGTAACTGCGGCTCGCAAGGCCCAGCCGCTGTCAGCCTCACGTACCACGTCCATCTGACAGTATTTGCCGACCTGAGGACTACCTCAAACCGAGGAGCCGATATCCTGATGGAACCGTATGAGAAACGTCAGTAAAGATTTGGCGAAGGCGGGCGAGCCTCGGGATTATGAAGGCTATCAAACGCGGTATATTCGCAATGGCTTGCAGAGCGTATGCGGACGGGGTCTTTTCTCCCATCGAGCCGTCACATCCATGCTCGCGCCCGATCGCCGAACCTCGCATCCGAAATCTGGGGCAATGATGAGCTGTGAGCCGCAGCGATTGGTGGTTGCAGGATGCGTTTTCGGATGATGGAATCCCTACGAGTAGCCAGGCGTCGATGGCCTCTCCCCACGCAAAAAGCCAGCTCGGCTCCCGGCGCCAACGACCTGCTAGCCCCTTCCTTCCTTGTGGCTGCCCATCGAGGTCTTTGTCGAAGGCCGATGGTCGCATGAACAGTTTGCAACCAGTGGCGGATTGGGCCGGTAATGCGGATGGCGGGGTATGCGCAGCCTGGAAGCCTGGCGCACCCTTAGCTAAGAAAGGATGATCTGGAGAGCTAATCAGCGCCTTGCTATTGCTCCTCTTCACTTCCCGTCTTCAACTTCCGACACCTGCCAGCCTGTTCCGTCGAGCATCACCGCGCACTCGTAGGCCCACCGCCCTGGGCACGTCCGTCGCGGCACCAGTACGGATTTCTCCTCGCTTGCGGTGCTTGCAGAATGCATCTCGACCTTATATCGTCCCGTCTCTGTCAGCTCCGTGTTTATCTATATATTGACCTCGCATCGCCGCTGCTGTGTACGCATAAGCATCTACCAGCTATTGCCTGAGTTCGTCTTGACTCGAAATATCGGTCCGCTCGCCTTTGCATCAAAAGCGTTCTTCCAGTGGGGTCTGTCGCAGATCGGGGTCACCAGGATGTCGAACAGCATCGTGGGCACTTTGGCCTCGCCATGGGTGCTCTTGCTTGTTCCCATTCTTTACTTTGTGCTTCCATACCTCCGGAATTGGAGTCTATTAAAAGTGCCCGGCCCGCTGCCGGCTGCTCTGACGAATTTATGGCTTCTGTACCAAGCCCGGAGGGGACGGCGGTACAAGGCCGTTGACGCACTGCACAAGAAGTACGGCAAGGTGGTTCGAATCCAACCCAACCATGTTTCGATAGCAGACGACAGCGCCATCAACGCCATCTACGGACACGGCAACGGATTCCTGAAGAGGTGAGCATAACGAGCACGTCCAGCCCCCGTCCGAAAAGAGATTTCTCTCGAAGCACCCTTCTCACGCAAACTAACACTCCGCTCCACCTAGTGAATACTACGACGCCTTTGTCTCGATCCGCCGCGGTCTGTTCAACACGCGCGACCGCGCCGAACACACGCGCAAGCGTAAAGTCGTCTCGCACACCTTCAGCGCCAAATCGATCGGGCAGTTCGAGCAATACATCCACGGCAACCTGGAGCTCTTTGTGCGGAAATGGCGGGACCTGGCCACCAACCGCAGCAACCCGTCGACGGGCTACGCCAGCATCGACTCTCTGCACTGGTTCAACTACCTGGCCTTCGACATCATCGGCGACCTGGCCTTCGGGCAGCCGTTCGGCATGCTGGAGCGCGAGAAGGACTTTGCCGAGATCCGCAAATCGCCCGACGCGCCGCCCCAGACGGCGCCGGCCATCGAGGTGCTCAACCGGAGGGGTGAAGTCTCGGGCACGCTGGGCTGTCTCCCCGCCCTGAAACCCTACGCCAAATACCTCCCCGACCCGTTCTTCAGCCAGGGCGTCGAAGCCGTGGAGAACCTTGCCGGAATCGCGATCGCGCGGGTCAAGCAACGACTCGAGAACCCCAGCACGGACCGGGTCGACCTGCTCGCGCGGCTGATGGAGGGCAAGGACGCGCAGGGCCAGCGACTGGGCCGCGAAGAACTCACGGCCGAGGCGCTCACGCAGCTGATCGCGGGCAGCGACACGACCAGCAACACGGCGTGCGCGATCCTGTACTACGTCGTGCGCACGCCGGGGGTGCTCGCCAAGCTCCAGGCCGAGCTGGACGCGCACATCCCCACGGGCGTGCCGCAGTACGAGCAGGTCAAGGATTTGCCGTACGTCGGCTGGGTCATCAACGAAACCATGCGCATCCACTCGACCAGCTCGCTGGGCCTGCCGCGGGTGACGCCCTTGCCGTCGCCGGAGAACCCGCACCCGAAACCCTTTGAGCTGCTCGGATACACCTTCCCGCCTGGCACCGTGCTGTCCGTGCCCTCGTACACGATCCACCACAGCAAGGAGATCTGGGGCGATGATGCCGACGAGTTCGTGCCCGAGCGGTGGAGCGATGCCCGTCTGACGGCCCGCCAGAAGGAGGCTTTCATCCCTTTCTCGACGGGCCCGCGCGCCTGCGTCGGCCGCAACGTCGCCGAGATGGAGCTGAAATGCATGGTCGGCACCGTGTTTCGGAACTTTGAGTTCCGTGATGAACACGTCGGCGAGATGGAGACCAGGGAAGGGTTCCTGCGCAAACCGCTCGGGTTTAATGTCGGGATCAAGGTGAGGAGTAATGCGTAGGCTTTTGTCATACAGTACGAGGAGGTGGCATTACGTATCACGGATTACGGATTGGCAGAGAGGTGGATGGTGATGTATTGCACTCACCCGCCAGGACGGATGTTGAAATGAGATGTGCTCAGCGAGGTATGAATTGTCTATGATTGACGGATGGATGGATGGGTACCCGCCCGGGAGTACATATATATACCCATCTATCTATATCTCTATGTTCGGGGAACGAACAAAATTGAACCGAGTCAACCACCCTGCCAGTGGAGTTGTTTGGACGGCTGAAAATGTATCGTCCTGTTTTTCATACTGCCCAGTACTCGACGTGCATACTGTGCCATACTAAGGGCACTACTGTGAGCCACAGTTGAGCGAGGTACCTCACTCGGTTTCAGCTTGGATAATGTACGAGTTACCGTATCATCTGCTCTCCATTGAAGTATCTGGTATCCTAACAAGTGGAGTTTCCGCAATGAACACGGGATAGTCAGCCGCTAGGTAGCCTGCGCGCATTGAGTATTGCGGACGGAGCATTGAGTAATCACAAAGAGGACACCACTCCTCCCTCGATTAGCTGGGCGCCCTTGCTTTATCACCCTGGAATAATCCTCCCTCGATTAGTTGGACGCCCTTGCTCGATCACCCAGGAATCTGCTCATCTATGGCATGTTCCCCGGTAGCATATATTCGGGCCTGGTGGCCGCCCCAGCGTTGCTGCCGGACAGGTACTGTTCAAAGAAGGCGGACATTTCTCTGGCATTTTCGGCGCCGAGCCCCAGATCCCATTCGTCGAGCATGCCGTTCCAATCCTCGTGGGAGAGCGGGAAGTCCGGAAGATCGATGTCGCTTGCCGAGTCCGGTGCGTATGTCGTGTATTGTGCCTGCGGGGACGTGTTTGACGGGACGACGGCAGAGGCTCGCGCCGCCGCCGTCGCGGCGTCGTATTGGCCGTCTGGCGCCGCTGCTGCAGCAAGGGGGCGGCTCTCGGCCGGATGGCTCATGTAGGTCTTTGCGATCTGGTAGAAGATGCGGCACGCGCGGTAGAGTTTGCTCACGCTGGCCGACAGCTGGGCCGCGCTGTGCAGGGTGTCGACGCACCTTTCGAGCAGTCGTAGGTCGTCGACGTTGCGGTCCGCGATGACGGTGCCGACCAGCACGATGTACGGGATGAAGGGACACCAGAGGAGCGTCCAGTGGATGAACATACGCCACTCCTCCTTGGAGCGCGTGTGCAGGATGGTCCACGCCTTGTTGTGCGTCGTCAATGCTTTCCTCGCCGTCTCGATGGCCTCGTCGCAGAACTTGAGTGGATGGGCGACGGGCGCCCCTCCTCCGCCGGCGGATGGCGCGGGTGGAATCATCCGGTACACGAGGCACAGGGTGGAATACTGGACGATCTCGATCGAGAGGAGCCCTTCCTTGAGGAAGGCGCCGAACGGCTCGTCGGCCAGCTGACTGTCGTCGAACATGAAGCTCTTCCGGATCACTTGGAGGCGGGCAGCCAGCTTCCGCGCCAGCTCCGCCTTGACCTCCGTGGACTGTTTCTGCGCCTGCGCGCTGTAGAGTTGATCGTAGATGTCGCCCTGGACTTTGGCAAAGTCGAACCAGCTGTTGAACATGGATCCCCACACGCCGTGGACCTCCTCCGGGAATTTCGGTCGGTCGGTCAGGATGTCATAGTCGGGGATGGAGGGTGTGCGTCCCAGGTTGAGCGCCATGCCCCGTTCGACGCAATACAGGAACCAGAAGAGACGTCGTTTCTCCGTCGCCTCGGGCGCCACCGTATAGGGTGGCAGACGGTGGTAGCCGGCATCCAGAGCCATTCGCGTCGCCGACGTGATCAGTGTCCACGCCAAGGATGCCTGGGATAAGTCCATGGCCAAGGTAGACTGGACACACTGTTAGCAAGCGAGCAGCAAAATGGCAGCCGTGCAGTGCATACCCCTTGTACCAAGGCTTCGATATTTTCGTACGTGGGCTGCATGTAGAGTCTCAAGTTCCGAATGGCAGTCTCGGCATTCTTCAGACAGATGGCCACCGTGCGATCCCGCTCGGCGCCTGACAGGTCCAGATCTCGAAGTTCGGACTGAGACAGCTCTCTGAACAGGTTCAAGAGGCACACGTGCACGGTGATGAACGTGGCGATGGTAAACTCTTCCGCCGGGAAGTAGACCTTCTGACAGAGCGAGGTGAGCTTGGGGAGAGTCAGATTCGGGACGTCGTTGAGATACTTCAGGGGATGTGCTGTGCATGGTCAGTCGGACTGAACGAAAAGACATGGACACGGACACGGAAGGATGGTCGCCTACTCTTCGCATATCTCAAGAGGCTGAGGACCGCCGACATGGGAGGCAGCGTCAAGTCCTTCAGCTCGGGATAGTCCACCACGTCTCTCACGGTATTCTGGAGTGGCGCGGACGCATCAAAGGACGCGGGCTTCTCGTTCAGGACGCTCCTCAGTGTCGCAACCACGGCGGCAATGTCTCCGATCGAGTCGGCATCTGGCGAAGTCTTCAACCCCGTCTCGATGACTTGGGTGATGTCCTTCGAATGGGCAGAGAAGGAGGAATCGCCTTCGTAATCCAGGTCTCGCCAGACCAGCTGGCTATCGCGAGGAGTCGACAGCGTCCGGCCCCCGGAAGAAACTGACGGAGAGCCGTTCGAGCTGCGGCCGGTCTGGGTGTTGACGAAATCCTCCAGCATTCGTTCCAGGCTGGCGAGCCTGTCGTTCACATCCTCTATCTGTCGGTCGCTTGAGGCCACCAGCTCTTAGACGGGGAGATCAGTCGAGAGCGCGGCCTTGTCTGCTTACTATCGTCCCGAGACCGAGATTCGCTGTCTCCTCTCCGCAATCCTCGTTGCGGTACGACATTGCAGGCGAGACGTCTGGCAATGCGAACACGGCGTCTTCCTGTCGCAGCGTACCTGGATACGCCCGTTATCCATCGCGGCCGCCTGCGAGGCCCTTTGTCCGGCGGCATACCTTGCGCACCCTACAGTTATCACACTAGCAAAGGTCAGCGATTGACCCAGACGCAGCCGGAGGGCGGAGCTCGTACCGCAGGGCCCCTCGCGGAGCTTGCTTCTACTTCTGATCGAGGCTCTGGCGGCTCCGACATTGCTCTCGTCTCGTGAAACCGCTCTTCCCAACGGGTCACATACTGCTCAGAGACCGGGCTTTGCAGAAGGACGACTCGAGGGAGCATTATGAGGAACCGAGGCGGGCCGGATTCTCGGGCCCGGATGCCCGCTGGCCGGCGTCGCAATTCCCCCGACAAGAAGACCTTTGACGTCTTCCATTTCCTCTCGCCGTATTCTTGTCCTATCAGAGACGCTGCCGTCCGGATTCGCGCAGTCCGGTACGCCCACAGATACTTGGCCGCTGGTCCTCTGGGTTGCGGGCAGTATTCTCGTGGAGGCTACTGCTCTGTACAAGCATTTGCACCAGGCAGCAGTAAGTTGGCATGGCTCGGCCTCGACGCCTAGTAGAGCTCGGAAACGCCATGGCAGTCTCCGTGAAGCTACTCCCCTGCACAGGGAGACAATATCAGAGATGTACGCCCTCTCCTCTGCAGAGTCTCCCCTCGTTCTCTCAATCATCCAGCATAGTCACTTCATCCCTTCAACAGGCGTGCGGAAATCATAACCTGCCAGAGGTCTCATACCCCCAATTTCGCAGGTTCTGGGCTTCTTGACAACTCGCATGGCAACAGAACCCGAAAAGCCAACGTCAACCCAAGATGGCTCCGAGCAAACCGGCGGAGACAAGACGGAAAAGAAGAAGGGCGAGGGCAGCATCAAGGACTACTTCCGCGTCTTTCAGTACGCCGACAAGTACGACTGGGCCCTCAATGCCGTAGCATGTTCGGCTGCCATCGCCTCTGGTGCTGCCCTCCCATTGATGTCCTTGGTCTTCGGCACTTTCACCACCAAATTCAACAACTTCGCTACGGGGACCTCGACACCAGCGCAATTCAGAGACGATGTCGACCACTTTGTGCTGTGGTTCGTCTACCTCTTCATCGGCAGATTCTTTGCCACCTACATCGCCACGGCAGCAGTTAGCATCGCCGCAACGAGGACAACTCGCACCCTTCGGAAAGCATTTCTCGAAGCAACGCTCCGGCAAGAAGTCTGGCATTTCGACAGCAAAAGCAACGGCGCCACAGCCACGCAAGTCACCACCAACGGGAACAAGATCCAATCAGGCATCGCCGAGAAGCTCGTCTTTGTCATTCAGGGCCTGTCCACGTTTGTCGCTTCCTTCATCGTGGCCCTGGCTGCACAATGGAAGCTGGGTCTCATTACAATGACCGTCATACCCGCAATATTCCTCATCACGGGGACCTGCATTGCGATCGACGCAGTCCAGGAGGCCCGAATCCTCCGCATCTACTCCCGAGCTGCCGTGCTTGCGGAAGAGGCTTTGTCGTCGATCCGCACAGTTCACGCATTCTATGCCCAGAAGAAGATGGTGCAGCGGTATGATACATTCCTGGCGGAAGCTCACAAAGAAGGCAACAAAAAATCCCCCAACTGGGGCGTACTTTTCTCGACACAGTTCTTTTGTGTGTATTCGGCAACCGCCCTCTCGTTCTGGCAGGGCTTCAGGATGTATCAGAGTGGTGAGGTCGACAGTGTAGGCGCAGTCTTTACCGTCGTGCTCTCAGTGACCATTGCCGCGACGTCGATCTCGAGCATTGCGCCACAAATCGAGGCCATCACCAATGCCTCATCAGCTGCTTCCGAACTGTTCAGCGTCGTCGACAAACCCTCACTTTTAGACCCTCTCGACCCGTCTGGCGCAACACCTTCATCATGCGAAGGACATATCGAGATCCACGATCTGGAATTCGCGTATCCGTCACGGCCAGCTGCGCGGGTTCTGCAAGGGTTCAACATAACCATCCCTGCGGGTAAAACTACCGCTTTGGTGGGAGCCTCGGGCTCAGGCAAAAGTACCCTCGTTGGCCTGTTGGAACGGTGGTATCTACCGGCTTCCGGTCGTATTCTGCTCGATGGCCGAGATCTGGAGGAATACAATGTCAAGTGGCTGAGAAGCCAAATTCGCCTTGTTCAACAGGAGCCGATACTGTTCCGCGGCACTGTTTTTGAGAATGTCGCCAAGGGCTTTGTTGATTCCCAGCGCCAGCTCCCTCACGAGAAACAGATGGAGTTGGTTCGCGAAGCTTGCAAGGCAAGTAACGCCGACGGCTTCATCAACGACTTACCCCAGGGCTACGACACCGAAGTGGGCGAACGAGCCGGGACTCTGAGTGGCGGTCAACGACAACGTATCGCCATCGCCCGCAGCATTATATCCAACCCGAAGATCCTACTTCTTGACGAAGCCACCAGCGCACTCGACCCCAAAGCAGAGAAAGTTGTACAGGATGCTCTTAGTCGGGTGTCAAAGAATCGGACAACCCTGGTCATCGCACACAAACTGGCAACGGTGAAGGCAGCCGACAGCATTGCGGTCATGTCTTCCGGGAGGATTGTTGAGCAGGGGACTCACCAAGAATTGATCGACTTGGACGGCCGATACACGGCTCTAGTCCGAGCTCAAGACCTTGGGACAGCCCATGGCGAACCGTCTGAGATGTATCCCGCCGAAAAGCAGGTCTTAGAGGAGTCCGTCGATCAACCAGCTCTGCACCGGATCGCCACTGCCGCCACCTCTGTAGGCGACGATGCAGAGAAGCAGCAAAAGCCTGTGGGAACCCTTAACTACTCTCTCCTCAGATGCATTCTCATTATGTTCTATGAGCAAAAGCCCCTGTACTGGTGCTTCTTTCTGCAGGTCATTGCTTGTCTCATCGGCGGAGGAACGTTTCCCGCGCAAGCCGTCCTCTTCTCGAAGGCGCTGACGGTCTTCCAACTGACAGGCGAAAATGCTCGTGACCGGGCCGACTTTTATGCGTTGATGTTCTTCGTTCTCGCACTGGCCAATCTGGCCGCCTATTTCACCATTGGGTGGACTTGCAATCTCATCTCACAGACGGTCACGCACCGTGTTCGGTCGGAAATGTTCGAACGGGTCCTCGACCAAGATATCGAATTCTTCGATGTTCCAGAAAACACATCAGGGGCGCTGACTTCGAGGCTCTCAACACTGCCGACTCAGCTGCAGGAGTTGGTTTCAACCAATGTTCCTCTCATCGCGAATGTCTTGGTCAATGTGGTATCGAGCAGTGCGCTTGCACTGGCCTACGGATGGAAACTGGGCCTGGTCGTCGTCTTCGGCGCATTGCCCCCGCTGCTCCTCGCAGGTTACATCCGCATCCGGCTGGAAATGCAACTCGACCGTCAAATTGGCGACAGGTTCGCAGAGAGTGCTGGACTAGCCAATGAGGCTGTCTCTGCCATTCGAACGGTCGCGTCGTTGACACTAGAGGCTCATGTGCTCGAAGAATACTCAAACATGCTCAGCAACATCGTGCTGAAGTCGACCCGGGCATTGATATGGACCATGTTCTTCTTCGCGCTGTCACAGTCCATCGAATTTCTGGCCATGGCACTCGGGTTCTGGTATGGCAGTCGACTGCTCGCATCGGGGGAGTATACTACCGCGCAATTTTACACAATCTTCATCGGGGTCCTGTTCGCTGGCCAGGCTGCAGGCCAGTTCTTCGGATACACAACGTCCATCACCAGGGCCCAAGGCGCGGCAAACTACATTCTCTGGCTGAGAACGTTGAAGCCGACCATCGCGGAGACGGAAGACAATAAGGATCACGGACCCGCAGCCGATGGACCGGTCGATCTCGAGGATGTGGAGTTCCGCTACCGACAGCGACAAGCGTCGCGCGTCATCCGGGGCATCACAATGAGCATCGAGACCGGACAATTCGTAGCATTTGTCGGCGCTTCGGGCTGTGGCAAGTCAACGCTCGTCGCCTTGCTCGAACGCTTCTACGACCCCACCAGCGGGCGGATCTGCCTCTCCCACGAGGACATTGCCGCCATGTCACCTCGACTGTACCGTGCACACATGTCGCTCGTGCAGCAGGAACCGACGCTGTATTCGGGCTCGGTGCGCGAGAACGTCTCGCTAGGTCTCGACTTTGAGCCATCCGACGAGCAAGTCAAAGAAGCATGCCGTAAAGCCAACGCCCTGGACTTTGTGACTTCCCTTCCCGAAGGGTTCGACACCCCATGTGGGTCGCGAGGAATGCAGTTTTCAGGAGGCCAACGACAGCGCATCGCCATTGCCAGAGCCCTGATCCGAGATCCCAAGCTCCTTCTACTCGACGAGGCGACATCCGCGCTGGACACACAATCCGAGCGGCTTGTACAGACGGCGTTGGACGAGGCAGCCATAAGCAGGACCACCATCGCGGTGGCCCATCGCTTGTCGACCATCCGTCACGCGGACATGATCTTTGTGATTGCCAATGGGCACATCGCCGAGCGTGGCACCCACGCGGAGTTGCAGCTCCAGAAGGGCATCTACTATGAGATGTGTCTAGCCCAGTCGTTGGATAGAGCATAGAGGAGAGCATAGCACAGGGTCCTACAGTAGATATCACGCTGTTGGAGACGAAGTTATGGCGCATGTCGCATGTCGCAATGTTGCACAAGCGCAGGCACAGGCACAAGGGCATTCATCTCGATTGAACATACCTGTACTCTTCTCGGCCGCGCAGGAACATAACCAAACATTGGAAGGGATGTAACCATATGTATAATTAGCAGCTGAACACGGTCGTCTCATCTGTCCACAGATACTGTACGTCCGTAGAAGCCCTCATCTGGAACTCCTTGAGTAGTTCTCCTTGAGTAGTTCTCCAGCTATCTATCTATACGCTAACACACATATATCTAGGTCCGTATATAAACCCAGCTTGTGATTTGAGCTACCCGTGGCCTTGCCGTCGCTGGAATCTACCGTACACTTCATAGACAGGACAACAAAAACCATCTCAGCTGCAGCCATCGCACCGGTCCCTTAAGACGTAGGGTAGTTGACGGTGAGAGAGGCAGGGCCTGCCGCCGCAGAGAGGCATACCTGTTTGCCATGAAACCTCACGACAGTTCAACATAATACACGATAATGCGAAGTACAGTGCGTGCAGTGGGTATACGACGAACCATATCCTGTAGAACTCGCTCGCTTGGACGCCGCGGCCGTCGCGTCTGCCTGCTTGACTTCTCTGCTTTTGATGCCTGCCCTCTGTGACTGTAGAGCATGTCCTGTAGCCACACGTTACAGTAGAGTACCCGAGTCCCCCTTAGCTCCTTGCCTACTGCACGCTTCATACTTCATACTTCATGCTTCATACTCGCAATGCACAATGCGTAATGCCGGGATGGCTTAACACACGACACGATCGTTCCTTCATAAATTATATACTGTATAGTTCGTTGGCGGGACTCCGTCTCCGTCTCCTTCGTTCTTTGGTCCGTTTGTCCGTTCGTTTCTATACAGAGTACACGGCCCGTGTGGATGGGAAGGCTCACACCACCACCACAACTACAGTGGGTATCCAACTAGTTGACGGCTCTGCGGTGTCTATCCAGAACTGCATGGCGCATGGAGTCTCCGCTAGCGCTCTGACAGCCAAACAGCATAGGCGACTTGATCAGCAAGGGAGGAAGGAGATAATACCGATATCCAAAACGCTCCTCTTCCTGTCTCGACACATTCACCGACTTGCTTTTGTTTTTCCCGGAGTGCCTGCCCACCCATCCACGATGTGCGAATTTACCACGCCGTGCCCTCCAAATTCGCTTGTCTCAACTTCTCGTAGAATGCGCCCGGCCAGCCGACCATCTCGCCATCAGAAGGCAAACAACTGGCCTCCTTGCCATCCTCGCCGACCTGACACTGCATCTCCCCTTTTGCTTTCAAGGCTTCCTCCCTGCGCCGACAGTATCCAACCACATTCCCGATAACGCGGCCTAGCATTTCGGGAGAAATGGCCACGGGGTTCAAGAACGGGTCCGTCGCAGAGAGTAGTTCGCGGATCGTCGGCCGGAGGGACTGCTCCCTCGTCAGACATCGCTTTAACGTCTTGATGAGCCCGAACGGGACGACACTCCCACCGATACCGGTGCTGGGGAACTGAATCTCCACCTTCGGGTTCGGGATGGACATGATGCGCTCGAACTGTTTCTGGATGTGCGCGAACGGCGGCTGTCCGTACGTCATCTGATACAAGATACAGCCCAGACTCCATACGTCAGAAGGTTTCCCTAGCTTGAGGACTTTCGCGCCTGGCAGGCCTCCTTGGCCTTGTGTCGCGCCTACCGCGACGAGCGACTCGGGAGACATGTAGTTCGGCGTGCCGATTTGGTTCTCGCGGTGGACGTTGACAGTGTTTTCCTGTATCGCATTGGCGATGCCAAAGTCGATGAGTTTCAGCTGGCCTTTGACCAGGAGGAAGTTTGCAGGCTTGAGATCCGAGTGTACAATGTCGTGGTCATGCACGGCTTGCACGCACTCCAGCATCTCCTTCCAGTAATGCCGCGTGAATGTGATGTCTAGCCTTGCATTTTCGGCCTTCAGTTGCTCGTTGAGCATCTTGTTGAAATCCGTCTCGCCGAGCTCCATCATGACGTTGAGGACGCCCTTTTCCTCGTTGACCTCGTAGTCGTACAATCTGATGACTCTGTCGACGTTCTCCAACTTTTTCAACAGGTCGATCTCGCCCTTGTAGCCCGCAATGGCCGCCATGTCGGCTTCTTCGAGGTTGACCCGTTTCAGCGCGAAGATCTTGTAGTTCTCGGCCATGATGCGGAAGACTCGCGAGGACCCGCCTCGACCGATACAGTCGAGGCGACGGTACGTTTTGCCGTTGAGAACGTAGTGGACGGATTTCTTGTTGCGGGAGCCGGCATTCGAGGTTGCAGCGTCGAGGATGGACATTTTTGGAGGCGGTGCTGGCGCCGGCCGGTGAGGTGTATTGTTCGACCGAGGAGCCAGAGGTTGGCGAGAGGGAGATATCGGCATGGGTGCGGGCTCAGGGGCTTTCCGATCTGGGTCCCCTCCGTCTTCGTGGATGTCCAGTATTGCAGCAGAGGGTTTTGTCCGTCGGAAGGTTGGAGGTGGGTCATTCTCTTGGTCCTGCGCTGAAAGGGATGGCAGCGGTGGAATCTTGAACACAGGTCTGTTTTGAGAGCTCGAAGACTTTAGAGAAGGATGAGAACCGGGTACGGGAGGTGTCGGCTGCGTGCGAAGCGATGAACCTGGTCTTGATTGGGGACGATCGAATGCAGTCTGCACGTCCACTTGAATGGGAGATGCCGTTCTTGGTGACGTGCGTGTTGGCTTGATCGGCTGTGGGCTACCTTGGAGTGCAAGCAAATCGTCGGGTAAGTCTTGTAGATCTGGTTCAGGTGCTCGACGCCCAACCTCCATCTCCGGTGTCGCCGCACCAGGATGATCTTCCATGTTGGCATCGTCATCATCGCTGTGGCGGCGCACCATCCCTCTCCTTACAGGCTTGTTCAGCAATGCTCCCCCTAGGCGTCGGACCCGCATTGTGCTATGTGCACCATTTTCATCCCCTTTTCGGGAACGTGTAACTGTAGACGGCATCGCAAAATTGTGCTCCTCCAGGCTGGCCCGCGAAGCCCCAGATCTTGGGCTGGTCGATCGTTTCGACGTATATGGCGCATCTTCAGCCTGAGCTTCCTCCTGCGGCTGCGGTGCTGGATCGGAAGGTGGTGACCTCGACACTCGTCTACCATTACTTATGCGGATGCGGCGGACCGGCGGACCTGGAGTCTCTGACTCTTGGCGTGTTGTTTGCGGTCGTGTTGTTGACTTTTCGTGAATCTTGTACATGAACGATCCGTCTCTGCCCAGTACTCCTGGTGCCCCAGGACGGACACTGGAGGTGACACGGATGACCCGAGGAGCTGGACTTCCATCTCTTTGCTGCGGCGGACTTGAGGATTTAAGCGCCTCCAGAGGTGTTCCTTTGCTTTGCCTTCGCCGGCCAGTCGAGGTGGATGACGTTGTAGGGTGAACGCTTGGGACGATGTTCTCTTTCTCAGCTTCAAGCTGCTGTTCGTCCTCCCCTAATATGGCTTGCGCCTCGGCACTTAGTTTGATGGGCGCAAGATCTTCGTCATCAGAGCTGTCCCCCGTGAAACTTCGATCAAGGTGCGGCTTCTTGTGTGTTGCTAGGAGTTCTGGCATTGCTGGAGCGCGCTGCGCAGCTGGTCGCGTGCTGGCCCGGAGCGGTCGACGAGATTTACTGAGATCGACAGCTAAGGCTGCTGGACTGGGGGAGGCGTAGGCGGCCATCATAGGGTTATTGTTGCTTACTGATATTCTTGGACGGGCTCATCGTCGAGGCATGTAATTCTGTATTTGGAGCGGGCAGGGGACGCGACATTGAATTGGAGCTCAACGCGAGGCAGACGCAATTGGTTCGCCGGGCTAACTTCGGCACGTTGAAAAACACGCGTTGTCTGGGGCAACCATTCAGAGCAAGCATTACTATTATACCGACTGAGGCTCGCTAATGGCGACCTCTTATCCCAACATGCGACTGCTTCGTATGCGAGGATGTCGCGAATCCCAACCCAAATCATCCGTGCCAGCGCCAGTGCCAAAGCTATCATCGACAAACTTTTAGAGCCGGAAGGGCGCCCTGCGTCCACCACAAGACAGCGTCCTAGAGCATTACGCTGAAGCCGAAGAAAATTCCTGCAGCAACAACTGCCAGTCCATACATCTCACCAACGTTGATGATCAGCCTCGAGGCAGCAGAGCTCCCAGAAGACCCGTTGTTGCCTGACGCATCGCTTGTGGTAGCGGCCGCGCCACCACCAAAGCCAGTGTAAACAACGCTCCCATCTGAGGCTGTCGAGGCCGCCGCCCCGTCTGTCGTAGAGGTTGCTGGCATCGTTGTGATGGTGCTTGTGTTGACTCTTGTGGGATTAAGAGCACCACATGGGTGGTCCTGCACGCACGCAGCCGCACAAGTGTTGTCATTACCACAGCCCAGCTGGCAATTCGTATTATATTGCGTGCAGATGTAATACGGCAGGGTTTGAGAGTACTCGGAGGAGTTGGGAGACAATCCGTTGGAACAGATACAGGAGTAGGTGAGGGAAGCGGCATCGCAGGTGTTTGCATAAGTGCCCGCGGAATTGCCAGCTTCTTGCAGACAGATAAGGGGACATTGGGCTATCTGCGAGTTGCACCACGCCTCTAGCCAGGTGTTAGCGCTATGGGCCCAGGCGACTGGATGAGCGAGCGGTACTTACGCCTCGTTGATATGGGCACGGAGTTGGGATCAATCGTCTGAGTGACGGCCACTCGAGCAAAAGCTGCTACAGCAGCAGCAAGGAGGAAGTATCGCATGTTGGTTACGGGTTGTATTTGGTGATGGACAACAGGATATACGTATCAACGAAGCTGTACGAAGTCAAAGAAATATGCTTCTTGCTCGTTACTGTAAAATAAAAAGAGATAGCGAGTGTATGAAAGGAACAAAGCGAGTCGTTGCTTGAAAGTTGAGCGAGTGGTCAGCGGCCATCGCAACCAAGGGCGTCCTTGGGCTTGATATAAAAGGGCGGACCCCCTAGCATCCACCGCGGCCGCTTTGGGTTGGTGTTGATTAAGGTAAGTTACCCAGACTCTCCAGGCGAGATGCCAATTCCCCGCCACTCGGAAAGTCCCCAGTGGATGCAGGATCAAGATTCTAGCCCATTGCCACTGTTTGCTGCATGTGAAGACCTGAGATCTGAATGGCTGGCACTTGCGACCGCATGCACGATCAGTGAGGGAGGTTGACTTGTCTCGGGCGTGCGTCCTCCAAGGTCGAAAAAGTCCGTGGTGTTTGCGGAGCTGTCAAGAATGTCACCTGCAAGGTTGTTGTCGGTCCAATGGTGGCGGCTCTCAGGCTCCCTCACACGCAATCCATCACCCAATGGATGGTCACTTGACGCTCTGACCGCACGAACATGCACACCGGGTCCACAACACCGGAATGAGCTGCTGTTGGAAAAAGGCGGAGGAGGGAGGACGACGCTTCTCCAGCCCGCGGCACTGATATAGTGTCTCCCAAGAGGCAGAAGGCCAGCAGCTGGACTTTCGGGAGGAGTTCTCGAGCCGCACAATGACTCGCTGATTGCAAGATCACTTCTCACCACTCCCTCAGATGACTTGCAGGCCCGCTCCTGAACAAGGCTAGCGGTCAACAAAAGATGGCGCTACAGGCGCCGCTTTTCTCGATGCAGTTGACGTGCGCTGGTGGCATGGTCTATCTCTGCTAGCTCGCGGGTCCTTCGGACTTTTCCCTTCCTTTCTGAAACATCTTCTCGAACTTTGTCACCTCACTTGCGTCTCTCTGCATTTTTGCGTGGCGGGACATCCCACCTTGCATGAAAAGACATCGTCCATGCAGAACGACAGCTGGATTTGACCCGATCTGGCCTCTACTTGGGGCCTCGTGCATTGAGCACATGCATGGACGACCCCAGTTCCATTGCGAAAGCCGAACTGGGTCCGGAGCAATGGAGTCAAAATTCTCTGGATGCGGCTGGTGACCAGTCTCGTCCCACGCCTCTTCCCCCGCCGTACTGGAAACCCAGCAGAGAGTCATCTTTTGATGAGTTGGCTGCCCTCCGTCCACCTCCTATAACACTCGAAGACCATACTCTATCCCGTGAAGCCAGCAGGGCCGCTCTTTGGGCCAAATCCATCACCATTGATGAATATGTCATTGTCCGAGGCAATCCCCTCGGCGCCGGCGCTTATGTTGTATTCAACTGCCGCGTCCAGACGCTGGATGGAGGGCCCATGACTATTCGAAAGCGGTATTCCGAGTTCGATGAGCTGCGTGCAAAGTTGATGAAAGCCTTCCCTCAAGCGACCAAGTCATCGCTACCTCCTCTTCCTCCGAAAAGCGCCATCTACAAGTTCCGACCTAAATTTCTCGACAAGAGGCGCGAAGGCCTGGAGTACTTCCTCAACTGCGTTATGCTCAATCCTGAATATGCGGGATCTACACTCGTCAAAGATTTCATCTTCCCACCCGAAACTTGAAGACCATCATCGGACGGCATGGCTGGTCTGCGAGAGCAGCTGGGAAAAGTTGACCTCTAGTTGGACAAGATTGACTTATATCATGCAAGCTCGATGGAGATTACGATTTCTGCGCATCATGTCCCCAGTTCTTCAGGCTCTTATACGAGTTGCTATTCGTGTCTTGTTTGGCCTTTTCCTCTTGCGCAAGATGGCGCTTGTTATAGGCGGCAACTTTTCTCATATGCGCTATATCTTCCTCATCATATTGGGACGGATCCTTGTGGGGGTTCTTCTTCAGAATCTCAACGATCTTCCTTCCACTATCGAGACAGTCAGTCACCGCGCATCAGTACTACAGCAACATGACACACAACGAAAGCGCAAATTCACGCGATGGTCGAAGCCAGGTGACCCTGCTCACCTTTCATGGCCAATGCTCTCTCCTGAGCCGTCGTCTTTCGACCAGCCCGACTCTTGACTGCCAGGTCCCTTGAGCCATTGCTCTAACTCTTCGGCTGTCATGTTGACAGTGTTGTTGAAATCTCTGCTTCCCTTAGCTTCCAACATCCGTGCCACGCGGTTTCCCGGTTGCTCACTGGATGACTTCATCCTTGCTTTTGACCATCTTGAAAGAGTTGCTTGTGAATGGTTGCACGAGTCTGGAAGGAGACTTGTAAAAAGACGGGCTAAGAAGCAATATCCTCAACATAAATTCACCTGCGGCGGTGTTCTTTGAGCGTTGAAGTGACGGTGATGGTTGTCGAGCTTCTTTGTACTGTCACCCAGCTGTGGGATGTGAGCCTCGTTACGTCATGACTTGAACTTTGACATTTGCTGCCGACAACTTTGGAGCTCAGGCCAAGTTGCGGTAAACTCTTTCGGACTCCATATCAAAGGGCCACTTGGGTGACCCTGAAGCCAGGCTGAGAGGTCGGCACGCCGTTGGAGAACGCCACAGGGCCCTTGTGGTACATGTTCGGTGCGCCAGGATAACGAGAGGTTGTGATCCAGCCTGATGAACCCCGTCCGAGGTAGCCAGCCGCAGACACGAAATTGCCGGCATTCCAGCCGCCTCGTGTTATTGAAGCAAGGAGACACAAATTCAGGACATGTGCATGAACCTGTAGAGGCACATAGGAGTATAAGTATCTCAGCAAGGCTTTTATCGCGATTGAGACTGGTTGAGGACATCCTTACTCTCGGACCAATGTGCAGCACAGAGGCACAAGTCAATCTCAGCAGCCGCGGACGGTCCCACCTCTTGCGGCTCCAGTCTAGCACGAGCAGCACCCTTATTGCGACGGCATTCGTGGCTCGCAGTCCGGCACTTGCATCGCTCGTGGGCTTTGGAGAACGGTCGGGCACGTCGGAGTGCTGAATAGTGAACACTGACTCCGATCAGATGTCGCCTGGCTATTTTCGCAGCCTCGATTTCATGGAGCTCATCGCTGCTGATCTGGAAAGATTTAAGACCTCACCACGATCGCCATGATCCGAAGCAAATGAGGACCGCCAGAATGGAGCAATAGCCTACGGCCCTAACCCGAACAAGTGTCTTGGGCGCTGGGCTAGAGACCCGGTCTAGGACACGCATAATGCGGCGTTGATCAGTGGCTGGAAATAGTGTCTCATTGGCGTTTGAGGAGCAGATGAGGAGCAGATGAGGATCAGGTTGAGGTAATGCACCACTCACGACCACTCCACCGCCCAAGATTTGCAAGCCTGAAGCTGTCCCGGCCGGGCAGGCAGGTGGCTCTTCCGCCTAAGGACGGTCCCTGTATCGTTGATGGCACTAGCCTAAGAGTGGGCGGGCCAGCTAACCGGATTCTCGCTCCCAAACGGCGTTTTCAAGTTACGGCACGACACGTCGCGCTGCAACGCCCGAGAGGCTTCAATCCCATCCTCAGTGCCTCACTGCACTATCACCTCCTCCTATCCTTGACCTTATCACACATTCTTCACTTTCTGTTTCGCTTCTTGTTTTTAGCAAAAAAGGGACGCCTCTCTGCCGACCAGGCTGCCACTTCACCCATTCACTTCTTGACTCTTACCGGCCCACGTTTTTTACCATTTCGCTATTCATTGAACCAATTGCCCACCGACAATCTCTCAGCCGTTCGTGTCGCGGACCAGCGCATGAAGACCTCGTCACCCTAATATTCTTTCTCTACGTTCGCTTGTCCTGTTGGATTCCAAATTTTGAACCTCACCCGTCTCTCCCGGCCCTCGAGTTACCACTCGCTAGTTCATCCAATGCCGATAAACCCCTGAAATTACGCACTTCCAGACTTGCATATGCACCCTGCCCGACTGCGAGCACCGCCGTCCACCTGATCAGCTTCTCCCGTCGCCTTCATTGTCGCCGGAGCGCGCAGCTCAAGGTTGCGCAACGACTACTACTTGTCACGGTCTCGGAAACGAAAAATCAGTCTTGGGTTTTTGTGCCGATGCGAAAGAACATCAGACGTACCGTCTTCCTCATCTGACACCTCAGTCCCAGATCATGCCGTTCTTCTCGAAGGTGTTTAAGTCCAGGGAAGGCCAAGTCAAGAAAAATGCTGCCCCCGTTGCGAACGGAGAGAGTCACAAGAAGCCTCAATGGTCGGACGCTTGGGTGCGCACGAGGGTCGACCCAGAGGAGGTCGCGGAGCTGTTGCATCTGTGTACAGCCGAGTTGAAGTCAAGAGGTCGGCCTCCGCCCTGTCGAGAATGTCGGCTCAATGCTCACCTCAAGTAGCGCTCGATGTCCCCTTCCTACTCTTACCATTTCGTCCGTCGTCGGATCCTTCTGCCGCCAGAACATATGTGCGCAACTTCTTTCTCCCGCCTCACGACCGCGAGCCTTTGCGGGGCTCATCATTGGAGAATGAGCTCCGCATGACCGAAGTCATGGTAAGCTTGAGCTTTCGTGGACATGTTGGACTGCGCTCACCAAAGTGCTTAGGTCATAATCAGTGTGATGAAATGGTGTTGGGCTCGCCTCCCTGGTGGTGTGGTGACGTGGGAGGTCTACGAGGGGTTTAGAGTGGGAGAGAAAGGTATGACGGTGCCCGGCCTAGAAAGCCATACAGTGCTGACGATCCAGACTCGGGATTTGCGCGCGACGCTTTCAGTACTTTTGTGCCCATCGGAGTTGACTCGCCCGCTCGGCTTCAGATCATCAAAGACTTTTTCGACCTGCTTGCTGCAATCGCTGCACATGGCAAGGCTAATGGACTAGGAGGCCACAAACTCTCCAGATATGCTGGGTGGTGGGCATTCGAACACTATGACGCCGGCAAAGGCTTCGAATCTGGATATCAGTCCTGGTCAAGGTACTGTATACCCCTCCCTTCCGACGACCTGTCAAATCGCTGACGTTCGCAGTGCGGCGGACGCGACATCTCATCTCTTCTTCGCCTACCTTCGATCCATGTCTCCTGGCGCTGGGAAATCAAGTGGAATCTTGACCCTTCCTAGGTCGCTCCAGCAACTTCTCGACTCGGTCACGTACCCTCCCAAGAATGCGCTTCTCTCCAACGATACCACCAAGGTTGTTATGATTGTTGATGTGGTCTCACCAACTCCATATGCTCTGCTACGACGGGCCAGGAACTTCGAATACAGAGATGATGATCAAGGTCTACAACAGTTTGCAAACTACGATGATCCAGTCCAGGCTCTTACAGATGAATGCCGTCGTGTGCTGAAGGCCATATCATCCGCCAACCAGTCACACGTCTCGAACGCGAAAACATCCACGAGCTTAACGGATCCTTCATGGTCGCGCTTCGAGGACGTAGGTTTTGGCAGCGCTCTTGATGATGACGAGGACGACGATGATGGACTGCTGGGCCGCAGGCTTGTGTCGACGAAACCGCTGGCTGCCACGACTAGAGGACGAGGCTATCAAGATTTGGCTCGACCAACCACTCCCTCCTGGGCAGATTTCTTGTCGTCTGGATTTGCAGACGAGCACGGCAACAAGGCTCCGGCACCTATCCTGCTTCCGCCTGACAAGATACTACCTCCCATCAACACGGATGCGCCTAGAGGCCAAAGCTCGCAATCACATCGGAGAAACCTTGACATGCAGCAAAATCTCGACCCCGGCGAATTGGCAAGCATTGCAAAGGTCAATGTGGATGATTCTTTCTGGTGGGTCTGGATCAGTAGTCTTGCTCCAGAAGAACCAACTTCAAGGAAAGCCGTGTTTGGCCGATGCGCCTTGATTGAGACCAAATTCCAGTTTGACAAATGGATGGTTATGGAGGAGCAAGTGAAAGGAGCCGCCCCAGAGCCCGCCGCTGGAGCATATATTGCGGAGAAAAAGAAGACATTCCTCGGATTTACGACCAAGCGCGGGCGAATAACGCGACGAGGATCTGGCTCTAAGAAGAGCCCTCTGTCTCCAGAACCCCACCTCACGACGAACAACCGAGCGACCTTGGCGCCAGATCAACACGCGAAGATCCAACAAGCTGCCGCCGAGCTTACTAGAAGGAAAGAGGTCGAGGAGAGGGAAGAGAAAGCTGCTCTGGCGACCCGCCGTGGACGTACTCAAGAACCAATAGCGGCATCGAAGACGAACAGTATATTCACCATCGGTCCGCTTATCAAGGACGAGGCTTCGCCAGCACTGCAATGGGCCAGCCAGTACGACAAGAAGGCGATCCGGGCTAAGTATCTGGGCGACTCGCTTGCTGGTAAGGGCTCTCGTGAGATGTTGACGCTGCCCAACAACAACCTGGGGATCAGCAGGTCGACTTCCACTCTCTCAGTGGTCAGCAAGAACAAGGATCTGCCCGCACCACCTGCTGTAAATTCGTCGCGTCCGGCGCTTGTCGAAAGGTCGCAGTCTGCAGAGCAAACTACACCAGCGCCACCACCGGTAGTCGTGGATCCTGCCCCGATTCCTGTTGAACCAACGGTTCCAGTCGAGATCAACGCTCCGGTCGAGGCGGCAGAAGTACCATTACCGCCAGCAACGCCAGAAACCGTACAGGCTCCATCTGCTAAACCGCAGCCGCAGAAGCTCCGCAAGTCGTTGGACCAGCAGCGTCGATCTCCACCAGAGCAGAGGAAGCCAAGGGGCAAGACTCCAACCGGACCACCTCCTGTACAAAAGTCGAGTGGGATTCGACGGCTATTTGGAACCAAACGATCTAAATCGCGGGACTCGAGGCCCTCAGATCCTCCTTTGTCGCCCGCTCAAACCAGTGAAGACCCTGCCGTCATCGCTGCCAGACGGGCTCTGGAGGGAAAGCCTCCCCTTCCTGCGGAGGGTCCGGTCTCACCTCCCTTGAGTCCCGGACATTTCCATCGACTTGCAACTGTCAAGAACCAGCCAGCAGCAGTGATGGAGGAGGAACCTGAGCCAGTCCCTCAAATGGCAACGTCGGTGCAGAGGGAAGTCACTCCTGAACCACGTAAGGAGCACGAAGAGTACGTAGATCAAGCATCTGCACCACCTCGGACCCGTCGCGACGAAGAATATGACCAACTCTCTCGAGTGGACACCAATGAGCGGGAGCACGCCGATCGGGAATTCTCGACGTTTGATCAGGGACCTCTGGTTGATCAGCCAGCCTTTGCCCCAGTCGATACACCTCCGAGGGAAGAGTTCTTGACGCCGGGCGAGGAGCCTCGACATGGCCCTATCAGCTTGAATTCTGGTCGATCTTTCCAGCAAACTGAGAGTTCGATGGATGACGAGGAGGAGCCGGTTCTGACACAACAGGTCAGTCCCACTGATCGGTGGGCGCAAATCCGACGAAATGCAGCCGAGCGGGCAGCAAGACAATCGGAGGAGCAGACTTCACGCAGTCGGACCGAGACACGAACTGATGATGGTGAGACCAGTGGAGAAGAGAGTAAGTCTCGCGAAGATGGGGTTCTCGATGGTGACTGACAGGGGCAACAGCAATTGAATCACGAGTTGCACGAATCAAGGCACGCGTGGCCGAGCTCACGGGCAATATGGATGCAACGCGACGATAGACTCACGCGAGCGGATTCCTCAAGAACAATCACACCATACAAACATGTCCTCGGAGCACGCAGTGCAATGACGTCCGGCGACCACTCTCTTTCTTCTCCATCTCGAGCGAGTTTCTGTGCAGAAAAGACAGCAGGGCGTTCCAGTGTTGGATTGGGATTCAGTTCATGTGTCTCGGAGATACCACCTCAGCGTTTCCTGCGCAGCAGATCATCTTTCCCTCGTTTTCCTTTTCATTTTTGTGCGTGAGCGTTCTGCAACAAACAACCTTCGGGCTGCAGGACAGCACATCTATAATACAGTCTTCACACTCTTCCTTTTGTCCCCCTGTCAACTGGGTTTGGTTGTGGATACACGGGATGGGAATGTATTAATCTGCCGCTGTTGCTTCAGTTTGCCGAGCACATAGAGTCTTGCAATTGAGGGGCAGCCATGCTCTTGGTTGAGCGCTCGAGCGAAGAGCAAGATGGAAGGGTGGCAGGAGGACCACCAGACAAGGACAGCGGATGGCATGACTTCCTTCTGTTGTTGCGGCAAGTACACGAGCAATTGGAGTGAATATTCACAGCTAGGGATACTGTCGGATCACCGAAAAGACCCTGTTTCGACCGAGCGAGCTCGTCGTGTGATAGATTCATCGGAGGGCGGCGCAGACCACGACCGACAATGCATATTACCTTGCGAACTCGAATCACTTCTTGGCCTTGATTGGCCGTGACCATGGCCAGGCGAACTAGCATATTGTCGACCGAATAGGTAGCATACAGCGAAGGATTCGTGGCCAAGCGTGGTTTAACGACTTCCTCGTCCAGCTCACGGCGGCTTACTCGTAGGACGCCGACGTGTTGGGGTCTTGGGGCATAAGCAACCAGAAAAGTAACGTGACGCTACTGACTGTACACAAATCACACACTACCGCATCAAGCTACAGTCTTGACCATTCTTGTTCTTCATTAACCGGCGCGGCTAGTCTATTACAGCATCGCGTCGGGCGAAAATGTGTCTTGCCGCAATCGATACCAGATGGGGCTGCAGGACGATCTGACTGCGAGGGGTATCTGGTCCAGGAGAAGTGATTGTTCCACGATCCATGTCCTGGCCACCGCTGGAGGTTTATGAGCACCGAGAATAGCAAGCAACAAGTCGGTGTAGATTGTTGACAACGATGGGCAAAACAAGTCATGTTTGTTTCCCGCAAGGGTCTGCTCTAGGATGGGAGGCACGTATACCACACTGTATATTGAATCTCCCCTCCATTGACTTTCGAATTGAGTGCTTCGGCTGTCCTACTCGTATTTGACGACCTTGACAGTCGCCTGCTGCTAACCCCTTCTATGCCGCAGACGTGGGGAAGATACCGAAGATCTTTTCCGATCTGCCATGCATCAGTCCCTGCTGCCGTCGTCCTTCTCCTGCTGCTGTCATCTGCAGGGCTTTGCATGACAGCCTCGTGGGTTGCTAAAAATACACCGTACAGGGCCGCAATGGAGCCAATGATGATGCGCGGCGCCTTCAGCCGAACACGAACCAATCGATTGTTCGCTAGTAAGAGCCGCATGCCGGCGGAACCTGAAACGTTAGAGGCAGGCCGGTGGGGAGCGACTTTTCTCTCGTGCTTGCAACCATGAGTTTGATCTAGGGTTCGGCGCTTATTGCCAACTCCGACGATATGGAGCGGTGGCCAGTGTTTGGCCGATATCAGCTGTGGAATGATGTTATCACCATGGGGCTACCGATGGAGTGAGAAGGCGAGCTGCTGCAAATTGTTGCTTGGGCAACAAATCGAGAAGGTCAGAGCAGTACGTATTGTCGAGAAAGAATTGCAACTGGTGATGCGAGATCAAGTGGTTGAGAGCAAGCATTGAATGTTGTGACCACGGGGTGCTGGGTACCTCCCTCGTACGGAGTACACTGCCACAGCGCATTAGCCAGGGCGGCAAAGGAGAGTTCCGGGCGTGCAGCCACGGTGCAGCGACGCCTAGACTCGCCTACGGCACCGCAATCGGCTTCCTTCTGCGGCGTGGGCGCCGCGCGAGTAAGCATGGAGATATGCCGCCCGCAAGCGCCAAAGGTGGGCAGACGTGCAGCTGCCACTCGGCTCCGTCGCCGGCTCTCTTCAACTCGCCCTCGCCCGCCGTTTGTGGCCTTCTTCTCTCTTTCTATCTTTAGCAAACCTCTCCACATCCACGTTCACGGCTCAACTTTACACGCCTAGACAGACGCCATCGAGCCAATACTCGGTCGAAGTCTATACGAGGCTCGAGCAAGCCACATTCCATACACATATCCTGCCAGTGCTTGCTTTGATCGTCATCGCGCCTTTGTTCATCGTTCGTACATTCGCAGCCGAGCGGCGACAAAGGAACCCGTCCCTCGATTCTACCGCATGCGCTTGGTCTCAGGAGGGCCTGATACTGCCATTCTGCCGTGGTTCTTTGTCCGACATAGACTTCGACCATCCGGGTGCAGGCCTTGTCCTCGGCCACCGTCGATTTCTCCTCCCCAAGACCTCGTTGCAGCCGGCGACTCGATCGCCTTTCCAGTCCCCAGCATCTGGCGTATGCGAGACACAAGAGGTCTATAACCAACCATGGGCCGGAGGAAGATCGAGATTCGGGCGATAAAGGATGATCGCAACCGCTCAGTGTAAGTTGTGCGCTTGCCGCGAGCCGTTTGCTTCGAGTCCCAGCTGACAGGCCGGACAGGACGTTCCTCAAACGCAAGGGCGGCCTTTTCAAGAAAGCCTACGAGTTGTCGGTCCTCTGCTCCGTCGACGTCGCCGTCATCATCTTTGGCCATAACAAGAAATTATACGAGTTCTCGTCAGGCGATATCAACGAAACCCTGCGGAGGTACCAATATGTGCGTCGAGAGAGCCATCCACACTTCTTCGGGAGGTGTTTGCTGACGTGGTGACTACAGTACGGACAACCTCACGAACACAAAGGGCCCGTCGACTTCAAGAACAAGGGGGGTGGTGGAGGTGATGACGACGACGACGACGATGATGATGCCGGGGATGATGCTGCCCAGGGCCGAGAAGAATCCCTCCCGCCTCCACACAGTCTCCCGCCGCAATTACACCACAACTCATTTGCACACATTGGCCGACCCATGGCTTCAGTCTCCCCTCCAATGCCCAACGGCATGTTTCAGCCTCGACATGGAACCCCCCAGCCGCCCCATATGATCTCCAGACCGCCTTCTCAGAACATGATCCGACGTACGAGTTCGAATCTGGTGCCCATGGCCCATCCGCATCCCACACCTCCCCCACCGCAGAATGGCTTTGCCTATGTGCCTAACCCACCCATCTACAACCCTCAGGCCACTCCTCCGATCCCTCCTCAGCCCTCTCCTCAACCTCAGTTTCAACCATTTTCTCAACCGCAACAGCCTCCCCAACCACCTCCTCAGACGCATCAGCAACTTCAGCAAGCTCATCAGCAGTATCTGACAGAACAGAGACGACACTCGCAACCTCCGCCGGTTTCGCAGCCTTCATTACAGCCTCCGCCGCAGCCACAGCAACAGCCTCGCGCATCGCCTCAACCCGAGTCGCAAAATCTTCGGCCACCAGAGCAAGCCAGTCCACCCCAACCGAAACATCTATCATCAAAGTCAAGAAGTATATTCACCCCCATCGACGAAGGAGGCTCCGTGCTAGCCCAGCATTTCTTTGGGGCGCCAGATCCCAAGCCACGGCCGAAGGGGGAAGAAGATTTACCGGCCATTAAACCGCCGCCGCGCAGCATCACCGTCTCCGCTCCTCCTCGACCTAGCTCACAACCTTCTCGTCCGCAGGGCTCGGTCCCCGAATTTGCTCCACCGTCAAGAACGAACACGTCAGGCTCGAAATCGGGCGCTCGGCCCAAGCTGAACCTTCAGATACCATCTGAAGCCGAAGACAGTGATTCAGCTGTAGGAGGGTCGCCGTCGCAAACCGCCAACGCCTCCGCAACCCCGGCCCGAAGCGGTGAACACATTGTCTTACCCCCTCCTTCCCCGAGTGCTTCGACCGTCATGTCAGCAGGAGCTGCAGGGCCGCCCAACCCGTTCGCTCGACCACCGCCTCCGACATCCAACGCGAACCGCGATGCTTTCAACGATAACCGAAATAATAACGTAGAAACCCCGATCTCGGCATTGCCCAGTCGGTATATGAACATGGATCTTTTACCGAGTCCGAGTAATTTCTTCAGCGAGTGGGTTGATTCATCCAGGAACGGACTCGGTTCTGCGGTTTTGCCCAGTCCATTGGTTTTCCCCACGCCCGCGGACCCGCGAGGTCTAGGCTTTGGGAGTAGAGATGCGGCGAGAGAGGCTGCTGAGCAGACTAACGGGGAGAAGAGGAAGGGAAGTATTGAGTTGGCGGAGAAGGAGGGTGACGCCAAAAAGGTCAAGACGGGTCCGAGCTGACAAGTGGCAATGTAAGGGGATGCTAGTTAGAGAAGCGCGACACGGGGAGACCGAGGAACTGGTGCCAAAGCGACGCCAGCGCTGCCGACCGAGTGTTCTGCTATAATGCCGGCAAATCAAAAAGTTACGATTGTCACGAACGCTGCATCTCCTGGGGAGTTTTCGACCACGGTTTCAATTCGCTGAAGATATTCGACTCTGGATTGTTTTGAGTTTTTGAGCCACATGCGGAAGAAGCGTCATCTCTACATCAGCATAGCGTGCGGGCGAGGTCATGGAGTTTTGCACGCCATTTGAGGACGGATCGATTGCAGCTGCTTGAGAATTCGAGATACGATTCCATTCTTTCCCTGAGGTACAATCTGCTTGATACCACCGGCACTGTTTGTCCCCAACCCGGGTGGAGAGCAGAAAGGAGGCTGTGCGAGCTGAGCCTAAGATGACTGAGATCCCGAACGAGGGATACCGACCACTGCCCAGATTGTGTCCAGCGATCATCGAGGGGGTCTCATGTCATCCGGTGATGTCTTGGTAACATACTTGAGCAGCATGTGCTGGAAGTGCTGGAAGTATTGAAATCAAGCTACAGTAGGATAAAGTAACTTGAGCTTTATGATTCTGGTTGAACCGAGGGATACAGATCCAAGCCCTCAAGTCGCGGTATACATCATAATAGTTGTAAGAGATGCTGCTCGGTTATTCCACCGCCACAGCTACACACGGCTGGGACCAGCATACGGAGTACTTGGTGCTGGTGGTGCTGATTTGGAGTCAGAATCCCAGAGACAGGCAAGGCATGGCATAGCATGGCATGGAACAGAGGACAGCGGGAAAGGGCACCGTAAACGGACGCGAGGAGGCGAGACACTTACTGAAGCTGATTATTTTGTGGCTCGACTGTGTACTGAGTTCGTACCCTGTCGGCAAAATGAAGTGGACGAATTGATTTCCAGGAAGTGTGCTTCCGTGCGTGTCCGGAGTATATCCTCTGGCATTACTCCATAGAGATATATAGTACGACTGTGATGTAGAGCTCTCGTAGGTACCGTACAGTGTTCGAAAGAGGAAGTCTAGGAACCGAATACTCCGTACGGAGTACTCTCCTATCGTATCTTCGAACTACTGTACACGTGGATCGGGTAACTGTCAGGTGGGTACTGTAGGTATGGAGTACTCCGGTTTGTGTACACGCGACCGTCCCCTTAGGTACTTAGTACATATGTCCCCGTACATTGCCACAGTTGTACGGAGTAATGTACGCGAATGCGAACGTAGTGTAACTACGGTAGGTACCGGTACCTCTACCTCGTAGTGGGTTGCCAAAATGGAGGCCAGTTCGGGGGATGTTTGTTGGATGGGTGGGCGGGCGGGCCCTGGCGATGCATGCACGGTACAGAAATACTAGTACCTGGAGTACGGAGTACACATACAATATACGGCCGACGCCCAACGCCCGACGCCCGACGCCCGACGCCCGACGCCCGATGCCCATACATCGACATGCACGTAGGCACACACGGACGCCTCCACGTACATATACTTAGGCATATGCATATGTGTATACGCATCACGTACGCATACGCATATGCATAGGCATACAGTACGCCCCAGCGGCCATCACAGCCCACTCACATAACCAAGACACCCAACCCGGCAGCCGCGACGACCAATAGTCCCCGGCCCACGACCAGGCCATTCGCGTCGCTACTGTCGGTATCGCTATTGCTGATCTGGCTGACGCCCGTGGTTGACGAGCCGAACGAGCCCGTCGATGTTGCGGTCGTCGCCTCGGCGTTCAACAGGCCGCTGGTCGACGTTGGGGACGAGGTGGTGGTCGTGAGGAGACTTCCGTCGCTGCCGCTGCCGCTGCCGCTGCTGTCGTCGTCGGGGCTGCATTTGCCGAGGGTGCTGGAACAGGTGTAGCCTGCGTCGCAGTAGTCTAGGACGAGTAGAACATGTCAGCTTTGCTTTGGTTCGCCGTGTCGCGGAAGGGGGGACGTCAGAGGAGTGTAAGGGGAGTGTAGGCGATAGGTAGTGTAAATCACTCCAGTCCAGGGTCGAGCACGCGGATCAGAGGTACTGTAATAATCATCAAGGGCCACTTACATCCTCCTGCGCAACAACTCTCGCCGATATCAGGGTTATAACATCCATCAGAGCCGCACGGGATGTTTCCCGCGCCCCATTTCGCGGCACAGCTAGATGTCGTCTCCGTGGTGCCGCCGCTGCTGGTGCTGCTGCCGCCGCTACCACCGCTGGTGGAACTGCCGCCCGAGCTGCTGGTGCTATCCTCGGGACAGGTATCGTACTGCGGATCGGTGGGGTCGTAGCAATGGTACCCGTCGGGACATTCGAGGTACGAGGAGCCAAAACAGCTCTGGCACGTCGCGCCCACTTCGTAGCACAGGTCGTCTATCCCCGTTGTGTCTGAACTGGACGTGTCGGAATCGGACGAGGAGGACGAACTGCTGTCGCTGGAGCACGAATCTAGCCCGTACGACGAGTCGCCGGGGAGGTAGCAGTAGATGGCCGAGCCTGGGCACAGGGTATACCCGTCGCCGAAACACTCCTCGCACGTCCCCGTGCAGCGCTTGGTGAGGTCCCGCTTGAACATGAGCTTGGCGGACGATGGGTTGAGGGTGCGCCCGTGGCCCGGGTTGGGGGAGAGGCCTTTGGAGCTGGCATCAGACTCGGACGGTTTGGCGGTGGCGAGGAGGACGAGCGAAGAAAAGACCAGGGCTGCTTTGGGGAAGAACATGGTGGTTTTTGTTGGCAACAGGCGATAGGATGGTAGTTTAAACGTTATGCAATGAGCGAGCAACTTGAATCAACTCTGACTGTGTAACGAGCGACTGGACGGCGAGCAAGGGCTCTCCGCCGAAAAAGCACAGTGAGTGAGAGAATGAATGGAAGACAAGTATTGCAGCCAGAAACCAGGTGGCGGTTTGCGCGAAATAGATATACTGGGGAACCGTCCTGTACAGTGCATGGAGTACCCCGTCCATGTTCCTTGGCCCAATTCAGACTCGTGCCCCTCGCTACGAGGTACTATACTCCTTTGGACAGCCAGAATCCGAATACGATGGTCCCCATGGCGGTTCGGTGACCCGTCGTTCTGGGGGAAGGGCGCGTCAGTGCTCATAGAGACAGAATGTCATTGGCCCTGGACAGGTAGTGGGTGGGTGCTTTCTTGAGATCCAGCGGTGGATGGAGTACAACCAGCATACTGGTTCAGGCGCACAGCTCCGCAGACAGGATAGATCAACTGCATGGGTTGGTAGAAGTCCAGATTCAAAAGGGGTCCAAACCCAGCAGAGCCACAGTGCGTCAAATAATACCCCGGTAGTGTGGAGGCAGGGATCGTGGAAATCATACTCGCAGCCTTGTCGAGGCGTCAAGGCCAACGAAATAACGGCATCGAAATTAGTCAGACAATCTTTACCAGTCCTTGTCGCGCGTGCATCGCCCCGGTGTCACAGACCACACGCGCCGTGGTGCTGGCCGACAGAAGGTGGAAGTTTGTTTTGTGGTCGTCGTTCGCTAACGCAGCACAGCACGCAAAAGTCAGGGGTAAGAAATCTTAGTGGCCATGAGGCTTGGCGTGTGTCTTGGCGTCTTGGGGGCGATGCTTGGCTTAATTTAAGCGTCAGGCTGAACTTGAATTTTCCGGCCCGTTGGCCTCGGTTGTGACTTGTCTCTTTATTGCTATTCGAGAGGGGGTGAGACAGGCAGACCGGTCAAGGCGATGACATGCAGTACCCAGGATGTTGTGGTATCTGCCCTGGGCAACAGGCACGCGCCCTGGGAGGATGTGTTGAATGGTGGTCAATCTGGCCAAATGCTGGCGTGGTGCGCCACATCGTATCTCTATAACCAGTGATTCGCCAGCTTACGAAATACGTACAGGAGATGGAGGACCGCACTAAACGGCTGCACTGGGCCTCAGCTTTAGGAGTTTCTCCGGCGGTTTTTGGGTTCGCATTGGGTAAAGAAAACCAAAGATATGCTCGAAAAATCCCCAGCTGTGCTGTGGAAGTTCTCAGACTCTAGCAGATCCGCACAGGTTCGGTAGTCTCGACTGGGGGCGGCTGGGACGAGTAACTATTTGTTCATGGCTCCCTCCTCAGCCCTGCCAATCTCACACCCTTGGTGCAAGGCTGACTGCCAGTACGAGAAAAGTGGCAGGGTGTTCAGTCACCGCCTTCTGTGTCAGTGCTAGCCCATCTTCAGATTCTTGAACTCCTTTGTGGTGTTGGTGATGGCCACTTCGACGGGCAACCGCTCCATGCTGCTGGCGCCGTAGAACCCATGAATCCCCTTCACCCGGCTCAGGACATAGTCGGCATCCTTGGGCTCGGCGATCGGGCCGCCGTGACACAGTATGATGATCTCAGGGTTGATCTTGTTCGCGGCGTCTCTCATCTCTTGAATCAGCTGGACGCAGTCATCCAGTGATTTCCCAGTCTTTGCACCGATACTGCCCGACGTGGTCAGTCCCATGTGGCACACGAGTACATCTGCCCCGGCTTTCGTCATCTGCTCAGCTTCGTCCACGTTGAAGGCATACGGCGTGGTAAGAAGATCCAGCTTTCGGGCTTCTGCAATCATGGCTACTTCCTTGTCGTACCCCATGCCGGTTTCCTCGAGGTTTGCTCGAAACGTTCCATCAATGAGGCCAACGGTGGGGAAGTTCTGAACGCCGCAGAAGCCCATACTCTTCAACTGCTGCAGAAAATCGGGGATGATGCGGAAGGGATCCGAAGCACACACACCGGCCAGCACACCCGTTTTGCTGACTATGGGGAGGACTTCTTTGGCCATGTCGACCACGACGGCGTTGGCATCGCCGTAAGGCATGAGCCCGGCAAGGGAACCCCTCCCAGCCATGCGATAGCGGCCCGAATTGTATATAATGATCAGATCACCCCCGCCGGCTTCAATGAACTTGGCCGACAGCCCGATCCCAGCTCCGGCTCCCACGATGGGCTTTCCATTCTTGACTTGGTCGCGCAGATGTGCCAGAACCTCTGCCCGAGACCGAGGAGGCGCCATGACCGCGCGCAAGTGTAGCGTGCGATTCTGTAAAACTGGCTGGTGCAGCTCAAGCATCCAAGGAGTTACCGACGCAGGGGGTGTTCACATGGCAGCCGGCCTTCATCCCACGTCATTGTGCGCCCGACGACCACACGACGGATGTGAGTAACCGGACGAGGCGGTGGAGGTGCGGGGATTCATGCTCGTCAAGCGAATACAATACGAAGATCACCACACACCCGAAGGGGGGCAGTGAGGTGATTGGTCCTGTCAGACGCCACAGGTATCCGGCTTCCAGTTACGAGCACAGCTTCCAGCTCGTCGTTGCAGCTGGTCGAAAAGCTTAAGAAGAGCTTGCGTCGACTGTCTCCTCCGCCTGACCACGTACGAGATGAACCGGACCATCTTCTGACCATCTTGCGGCCAAATATCCCTTCCCCACTGCTGCTGTACTGGATAGATCGAACATGGTCAAACCCACGGTCCTGATTGTCGGTACTCCTGACACCAAGCTCGACGAGATCCTGTACCTGAGAGGCCAGATCCTCGCCGAGAACACCTGCAATACCAAGGTCCTCAATGTAAGTCACAGCACGCCGGCGAAGGTGAGGACGCGTCTGGACAACCTCGCCGCCGACGAGGTCATCTCACCGCTCGAAGAACATAGCTCGACCTTGAAAGATGTGTCCCGAGGTGAATACATCGACAAAGCCATTGAGCTATGTACGCCCGTGGTGAAAGATCTGGTCTCCAAGGCCGCCGTCCACGGCATCGTCTCTGCAGCTGGCAGTAGTGGCTCATCGCTCGCCACGGCCTTGATGCGACACGCCTGTCCGGTGGGATTCCCGAAACTGATGGTCTCGACCATGGCCAGCGGCGACATCAAGCACTATGTCGAGGAGACGGACATCACGATGATGTACAGCGTGGTCGATATCGCGGGGATCAACTCGATCCTCAAGCGCATCCTCTCCAACGCCGCCGCCGCCATTTCGGCCATGACCGTCTCGTTCGCCAAATCTCTCGTGGACGCCTCTGCCGTGGAGGCCAAGGGCAAACGCATCGCCATCACCATGTTCGGCAACACGACTCCGTGCGTGGATGCCGTACGCCAAATCCTGACGTCCGCGCCCCACGACGCCTCGGACTATGAAATCTACGTCTTCCACGCGACCGGCTCGGGTGGCCGTGCCATGGAACGCCTCATCGCCGAAGGACAGATCGACGCGGTCGTCGACCTGACCACGACCGAGATCCCGGATGAGCTCTTCGGCGGCGTTCTCTCGGCAGGACCGGACCGTCTCGAGGTCGCAGCCAAGAAGGGCATCCCTCTGGTCGTCTCGGTCGGGGCGTGTGACATGGTGAATTTCGGCCCCAAAGACAGCGTGCCGGAGAAGTACAAGGACCGCAAGCTCTTTGTGCACAACCCAGCCGTGACGCTGATGCGGACCACGCCCGAAGAGAACGCCCAGATCGGCCAGTTCATCGTGGACAAGCTCGCCACCCACGCGAGCAACCCCAGCGCGATTCGCGTCCTCCTCCCCGAAAAGGGAATCAGTATGCTTGACGCGCCCGACAAACCTTTCCACGATCCGCACGCCGACAAGGCACTGTTCGAGACGATTGAAGAGGGCCTCGAGGCCACCAAGATTGACGTGGAGAGACACGATCTGCATATCAACGACGAAGTCTTCGCAGGCCACGTCGCGAGTGCCATCCTGGAAGTCATGGGCGTGACACAGCGGTACTATCGACTTGCAAACGCACGCCGCCGGAAATGGAGCTTCGACCACGGCGCGAGCGTCATGTTGGCGAGGAAGAATTCCCAGATTGAGATTCCCGATGCCTGAGTGACGCAGAGGAGCTCAATCACGGAAGCGAGATAGGGACGGTCGGGTGATTAGGAAAGCAATATCAATATCAGCTTTTCAGCTCCACGCCACGCACCTCTTGTTGAATCGATTTCAGGCCATGTATGTATGTCAATTAAGAACGCAAATACCCGGTGATTGTTACTGTAAATCCATGTCACACACATCGCTCGTAAGTACATCCACGCATCAAAGCATACGTAGGAAGTAAGTGGTCGGCTGAACCCCCTACAGCTTCGACGACGGCCCTCCCTTGGAGCCCGGCACCGCGCGGATCCTCCCCCGGTACTTATCCTCGATGGCATCGGCCTCGGGATCGTCTTCCAACTCGGGCAAATGATTATAGGACTTGCCTCCCCATTTCGTACCACGCTTCAGATGCCACTGCTTCTTGTCGCTCTTCCCGGGGACCGTCTCGCTGCTCCCGTCGAGCATACCGCACGGCCACTTGGTCAAGTCCCGATCGCGAATCGACCTGTGGATCTTCTCGTTGGTATTCTCGACGGGCCACGCGCGACGGTCGTCCATGAGGATCTCCTGCACGCCGGTCTTCAACGTGTCGAATAGACCACCCCCCTCCTTGGGCTCCGGGTCGAACGGCTTCCTCAGCCGCGTCCACGCCGTGTTGGGGTTCGGCACACCCTTGTCCTGCTCGCGCAAGAGGTAGCAGTCCTGCGGCGAGTCCGTCTCGTCGATAAAGGCCAGCTTCTTGTCCTTGGCGCACTGCGCGAGCATCCAAGCGAGCGTGATGTCCGAACCTCCCGGGTCGTACCGCCCGCCGCCGACGTCGCTGTGCACGCCGGAGAACCAGGCCTGCTTCATGACCTGCAGGCCCGCCCCAGCGGCGGCGGCGCGGGAGTTCGGCTGGTACGGCTTGGACCGGTCGGCCGGGTCGCGCGGCCACTGCCACAGCGTGGGCCGGTAAGCCACGCGCCGCTCGTCCAGCGACAGCGCGTGGTACGCGTACGCGACCTTTGTCGACAGCTCGGCGTTGTGGAACTCGATCTGCTCGCCGCCCCAGCCCTCGCCGTGGAACTCGACCGTGTCCCACACGCCGACCACCTTGATCGCGTACTTGGCCTTTTCCGTCATGTCGGTGCCGATGCGCGCCTTGAGCGCGGCCGAGAAGTGGAAATCCGGCTTCTTGCCCGCGTCCTCGTAGTACTCGTCGTACACCTGCGGGAACCAGTCCATGCCGCGTTTCGTGAGCAGGCCCAGCTTGGTCACCAGCCCGGCGATCGACCGCGCCGTGTACGCCCCGCGCGAGAACCCAAAGAAGAAGATCTCGTCGCCCTTGACGTTCGGGTCCGGCCCGTTCGAGTCGTAGTTGTGTGCCAGGAACGCGTACGCCGCGCGGATGTTGGCCGACAGGCCGGCGCCGTATACGCCTGAAAATGTGAAAAATGAGAGGTTCCAGTTAGCCCCGTGCGCGAGCAGACACACAACAGGATCACACAAAAGGACATTTTTCAGCACGCATCCCATCTCACGCCAGATACGGAGTACAGTGCACGGAGTCACGAGGAGCCCTTACCGCCGCGGATTTGATCACCCAGCCCCGTCCCGACGCCCGGTTGATAGTAAATGATCTGCTCGACTTCTTTGCCGTCGACGATGGCCACAGGGCTGATGGCCCGAGCAAACCGCGCAACATTGCTGGGTTGGCTGGGCGTGTTGACGTTCAAGATGCTCTGCCATGTGCCTGGACATAGGATCAGTCAGCTATTCGTATACATGGCCCAATGTGGTGCGAGAGAGAAAAATGGATACGGAGCAACACGAGGCGGCGGGAGCATCGAGGTTACAGTAGGCAGAACATAGTTGGGGGCATCAATACCATCGCAGAGAACAATCAGTCGCTTATAGTTGGCAGGTGAGCGATTCATACTGAAGTGGTCCGAGGCTGTTCGTCCTAGTTTTTGACAGAGGACCTAGTTCAGCTGTCTCAAGGACGGACCTCTGTCTTATAGCCACCATCATACAGGTAGATTCAGGCAACGGCAGAATCGACAAACGAAGCACACTGTGTGACACAGGTGTCATGCCATCATGTTCATTCCCTGCGACTACGACCGTCCGGACAGCAATTCAGCTCCATGCGAGTATGACTGCCTTTGCGAGTCCGCAACAGAAAACGATTTTAGGGGGCTGGCTGAACAAGCTTCTTACGATTGGCTGTGCTGCGCCAGGCCTGAGTGACCGAACAAGGGGCAGACTCAGCCGTACACGAGAGCCCAAGGGTCGAGACTCTGACGCCCGACAGCTGTTGCTCGTAGCGGGTGGTGATGCTGTGTCTTCTGATTGGCAAATGAAAGCAAGCGAGCAATTCCTCTGGCTGCGGGCATGACGGGAAGACCTGGAGGAGGCGTACTCATACCGTGGAGGGACAGGGTCGTGCCCCCCAATTCATGTACGTAGGCAGGCTGGCAGCAGAGTCTGCCGCCATTCGAGAAACCATCAAGCCCAACGATAAGCATCTAATGTTCAGAGGAAAGTGAGGTCGATGCCTCCTGGAAGGCATTGTGTCTTGATGTGATTACCGGCTCTTAGAGTAGATGTTGCAAGTTTGCCAAAAGCTCAAGGCTGAAAATGCCACTTGATGGCTCCCGAGCTGCTCCCATTCATATTGTACCCAAATCTGTCAGAACAGCTTCTGCAAGCAGGTCAAGAGGAAAATGGCAGTGCCCGGCCACCACCGACACGAGCACACGAACACCAGAGTTCCTGCCGGCCGTTAAATCCTTGAGTCCTTAGTCATAATACTCCTCTTCTCGTGGCCGGCCATCAAACCAGTCCCGCGCCTTCCTGAGACTGAAGCCCCGCCGTGCTTTGGGCTCCTTGTACGCTTCCACGCCGGTGTAACCGCGTGCATGGGAACTACTGTGGAGGCGTGGTGGATCATACGTCTGTCTGAAATCCTTGCCAATAATGCCGTTGCCTCTCAACTGCTGTGGTGGAGCCATAGGTTGCGGGTCGGTAGGGTTGATGCCCAGTATACGTTCCTGCTTGCTGAGGCGCCGCTGGGGAAAGCTCCCGCCTGCATGGGCATTGGTCGTATCTGCCGTTGGCGGCAGGGACACGGGAGGCTGAGCTCCGACCTGCTGTGGACGTGCATAGTTGACATTGACGTCGTGACTTGCTTCCTCAGCTCGATTCGACTGTGAACCGCGGCCTGAGATCGTTAGGGAGCGGCGAACACTTGGATGTGACGCAGGCTCCAGACTGTGACTCGATGGTGGCAGGTTCTCGGTGTCATACAGCTTGTCGTGATTGAGCGGTCCAGTCAAGTTGTGTGAAAGTTGATAACCATCGTGTCTGAATTGATTTGCTGAGTGCGAACCGAAAGCGTTGTCAGTCTGCTGTCGTGACAGAGACTCTCGATTTTGGGGAACAGGGTTTTTAGGGTGGTCCTCGCCGTCGTCTTCGTAGTCGCTGTGATATTCTTCTTTCTTCTGCCGGCGGCTGCCGAAAAGGCTGAACCGGCGCGGAGGTACAGCTCCAGCTTTTGGAGCATATGGATCGGGTGCGTCATCCTCCTCTTCACTCTCCTCCTGATCCCAGTCACCGTCTTGCTGTGCAGATGGCTTTGGCTGTGTCTTTTTACCTCCCAGGCCGACCAATCTGTTCAACAGGGTTGGCCTCCGTTGGATCTTGCTGGATTCGTCAAGCTTTTCACGATCAGAGCTACCGTCGTACCACAAGGCTGGTACAAGCAGCCTGTAGGGTATCGTGATTCCAGATGGGTCTTTCTGGTCTACTTCCACGTTCAATACAATGTCAAGGCCTGATTCTAAATTCACTTGATCATTGACGTCGATCTCGTTACCCTCCGCGTCGATAGCGGGTACGTTACCCTTCCTCGCCGCCTTCTCTGAGAGATTCGTGGGACGACGCTGAAAAGTCCCCGTCGGTCGCACAGGAGTACCAGAAGAAGTGTGGTCGAAGGACGAAGCACGTCGGTTGGGAGGGGCATGGAATTCACCGGAAGACTGACGAGACCCCGATGTGTTCTGCACCTGCGGCGCGCCATCATAAGATGCCGAGCGGCCTGGATCGTACATAGTATCACGGTATGATGTGGGAGGCGCGTTTCTTGAGCTCAATCTGCGAAACAACGATCGTGGGTTGACATCATCCTTGGAGAAGGAGAAGCGACGTGGTCGAACGTCAGGGTTTGCCTCAATATCCTCCTCCTCGTCGTCGTCGAATTCATCCTGACTCCCCGGAGACGAAGGTGGAGGCGAAGGAGGCGGCGTCGAGCCCGGAATGTACTCTCGTATCGAACACCAGTTGCGCCTCGGCAGGAGGTGCTTGTTGTTCCGTTTCTTGTCATTGACATCGTGGGTGAACATGGGAATCATGTTTTCGTCAGTATAGTGGTCCAGGTGATGCACCTTGTTCCGTTTGTTTAAGATGTCGGCCAACATATCGGATGGTGGCGTGTTCACAATGGCCGAGGATATCACATTCGGCATGTAGCGATGATCTTTGTCCTTGGGAATCTTGAGCTTTGGATTCGAGTGAAACTGGCCGATCGCGGCCAGATGGACGTCGCCACTGAGGATGGTGATGCGGCAAGACCTTTCCGCCGCAAGATCCTGTAGGTCCTTGATCAGCTCGTTGCGCTCGTGTTTATGGTTGGTGGCAGTCCAATGGTCATCGAGATCGTCCAGTATCTCGACACCACCATCGAACTTGTTGAGAAAGCCACCTTTCAGGATCCCGGCTCTTCCCAGAGCCTTGACGGGGTCCATGAGACGGCTAGTCAGCACGTTCTCTAGCCAGACAAGGCGGGGATAAGCCACCGGGACGCCAAGCAATATGATGAGGTGCTTTGTCTCTCCTTCGATCAGTTCTTTGCGACATCGTTCCAGAACGGTGTCCAGGGACTCCAGACTCAAGACCTCGTTGCGCCTTCGTTCGGTCCGGCAATCCAGGCCCAAGAACGCAACGTGCTTGCCCATGTGCATGAAAACGCTTCTGCTTGGCTGCTTGATGTATGGGCCCGGCTGCCGCCCCAGAACCCAACTAGGTTCATGCGAGGTCGTCTCTTCGGCAACACTCTGGTGCTGGAAGAGCATGTAGTATTTGAATGCAACGTTGCCGAGTCCTGAAAAGACCGGTGTCTCCATAAAGTAGTTCGGGTACGAGCCAAATCCATCGATAATGTCATGATCGTCCCATATGTTGACCATTGGTATCTGGCTGGCTGCCATACCGAACAGTCCCTGCGAGAACCACATTGCATACCTGTTCAGATAGAAGCTCTCCAGTTCTTCTTTCATCTCGTGCGTGAAGGGAGCGTTGTGCTTATGCGAAGGATTCCTCAGCCTGGTCCATTCTCCAAAATGCTGGGTTTCGAGCACTACACGATCATTGTAAATCTGATCGCCCCCACCAATCATCACGTGGAACGGGCGTGTCTGATGCGTGTTGAGGACATCTCTCCACATGGGGTCGGGTCCGCTGAAGGTGTCCGGATTGACAGACAGGCTGAAACCATTGCAGGTATGGAACATCATGTGCATGGTCTGGCCGCGAGCGGGGACCCAGAAGCCAACCGACGGACCACGGTTGATGCGATAAGCAATATGTTGCTGCTCATCAACGAGTTCCACTTCCAGGTTGAATCGCCAGAAGGTCACATCCCGGTCAGGATCAGCATACAGCCTGGCGCCAGCCACTTCCTGATATCTGCCAACCTTCTCACCATCGATGTCCAGGATTCGGTGATTGGAGAACGGGATTGGACCGTGAGGACCGCTGTGCTCGAGCGGGCTGGGTGAGCTCTCGAACAAACCATCATCGTTTTCAATCTGTGACAGGTCTTTGCCTTCTTGCAGGTGGTCTACCGGGCGAACGTATAATAACCTTCCGGTTCTAGACGGCTTGGTCAGGCCGGCGATTGGGTCGACATATTCTGGTTGAAGCTCATCGGTGGTGACGTGGTGCGGCGGAGGCGGTAACAGGTTCTGCGGCTGAGAGAAGAGTCGCAGAATCGGCGCAGGATCGTAAGATGATGCAGAATTCTGAGTCACGATTAGAACACTTCCTCTCCAGAATTCACGCTCCTCGCCCGGCCCGGAGCCAGTTTTCTGCCTTCTCATACCCTTGTACCGAAGCAAAGGCCCGCATCTCAGATATAGATTCGGCTTGAACTCGGCAGTCTTCTCGTCGACAGGGTCTGGGACCTTAGCTTGCTCGGAGATCTTTGACGACCTGCTCCTTCTGCGACCGGACGAAGTAGCAGGCTGTTCCCACCATGTCTTGCCCCTATCGGAGGGTACGACAGTCTCCGTGGAGAAATCGACAGCCATAAGTCTCGCTGTTCCGGCTTCTTTCCATTCATCCACAGGTCGATTGTTCAGCGGCTCTTTGAAAGATACACTAGACTTCCTCTGCCTCTGCCGTGTCACATCCACAGGTTTCGCTGGGGGCGACTGAGGGCTGCCTGGAATTGGTGCGGAGTGGAGTGCAAGACCTAACGGTGGTGTCCGTGGTTGCTGCTGGACTTGTGGTGCTCCCACCTTGGGATCGGTTTTGACCTGGTTGTTGTGTTCTGACCGGCCAGACTGTGCGGTTATAACTGAAGTTGGGACGGGTATTCTGCTCGGGGTTCTGGAGGTCGACCTAACATCTCCCTCTGCGCGTTCTGACCGAGGTTTTTGGAGCTTGCGAGAGGCGCTGGGGGCGGCTGTCACAGGAGCTGACACTCCAGTGAGTTTCTCCAATGCGGCCTTGTGTGATGCATTCCTTTGGTGCTGCAACAAGTTATCCCGCGCATTGACGAAAATGGCTTGAGGTTCAGTCACGCGAAGGGGCGCCTTCGCCGTTGAAGCATCTCGAGGCCTGTCTTCAACATCGGTCGGTGAGATTTCACGCTGCTTTCGAGGCCGTTCTCTCTGTGTATTGGTTACGGCTTCCGCGGGAACGGCCGACGTCCGATTGACTGCTTGATCTGGACTGGGTACTTTTTGTCTTCTGTGCTGTCTGATGGACTGGCGTCGTTGAGTGGTAGGGGACGGTTGTACCGGACTGGATTTCGTGTACTCAAACGCTGCTTGGCCTTCTCCGGACAAGCTTCGTACGTCGGGTCGGTGGCTATCGACAGTTGTACTATGTTGTAGACGTTGTCGCTGAGTTGTGCTAAGGTTTCGAACCAGACCTGCATCTTCCAAAGTCGGGACTTGGGGCTCAATATCGCGCTCGCGTTTCGACAAAGACCGGGTGGCGGAGGCCACGGGCTTCGACGAAGAAGGACCTTCTCGGGGCGAGTCTACCACGCCACGAACCTTTCCGGCCTCGCGATCCCGCAACAGCATCTCGGCCTCCTGAACCCTCGCACGCTTCTCTTCCTTGCTGATATCATTGAGCGTTACTTCGAGCTTCTGCAGCGGAGATCTATCTGGAGCCCAATCCCTCCTCTGAGCCTCGTCTCGGAAAGCGCTTGACCTGCTAACGGCCGAGACGGGCTCTTCGATGCGGCCAGTGGTGTCGGACGTACGACGAGACTGTTGCGCGGACTTGGGCTCTTTCGGAGGCGGATTATGAGCCACCTGGATTTCTCTTCTTGGTTCTCTGGTGGCGGCCGAGCTGTTGAGATCGGCAGTATTGACGCGCAACCCATCTGTGTGCGCCGGTCTGCGAGAAACACTGGGCGCAATGTCTGGTCGTATCGGTTCAGACACGATACGTTGCTTGGGTGTGACTTTCTCTGTGTCAAAGTCATTTTCAAGGTCTGCGAAGGCCTCTTGGTGGAATGGCCTTCCTCTCGCTCTCTGGGAGAAAGACCGGTGGAGACCCGAATCGGGAGGCGCATTCTGCCCTAACGCTCGGTAGGAGATGGGAGGCCCGCGAGGCACGTCAGGCGCAGTGGGGAGTGGGTGTGTTCCTGCAGAGCCCAAGTTTTGAGAAAGCGGACGTCTTCCTTCGCCGTTCCCATTACTATTGCCATTCCCTCCACTGGACCGGCGGCTGGCGCCATTGTGCCTCGCGCGGTTGTTGCCTTGAAAGACCAAGGAATCGAGAGCCGGGTTGTGGTAGAGGTCGAGAGGGTTTATCGAGGTCGCCATGACGTCGAGGCGGAAGGGAGATCTAATCTGTGAGGTAGCGGGATTGTCCTAGAACTTGTCGCCGCTAGGAGAAGTTGCCATGAGCAAGGACCTCTTCACTCTGGATTGGTACAAGGAGCTCGGCCTCGTAAGGTTCGCGACAGAGAAGTGGGTGGGACGTGAGAAGGCAACGAGGACTGTATCTGGAGCTGTTCACCAGCGAATCGAACAAGATGAAGAGTAGCACAACAGTCAATCAACACTAACAAGTGACGGGAAGCTCTTATTGAAACCTGGCATTATATTAAAATATGTACGAGTACAAGAAGAAAGTGAACATGGGAGCGGACGAGGCAGACTGGCAGAAGGGAACAAGGTTAACTTGGGGAGGCTGGTATTTTCTCGACCGACCACGTCAATTGATGGATAAACACGAGGAACTTGCATACGGTAACAGATGTTGGCTGCCAAGGTGGAGCGTGGGCCGTCCAGAGCCGTCGTCACTGGGCCCGGCTAGCGCTGGATCTCCCGCCAGCCATGGACCCCAGGCGAATACTCGTGCCCGGGTAGCACTTTAGGCGGTAGGAGTTCCGTAAATGTACATGCCGCGCGGGTTGACTGCCAATGATGAGCCCTAGGAGCCCCTAAGTAGACCCGCTAAACTGCTGGCGGGCGCCGGACACCATGCTGTGCACCAGGCACGGGGGCTTGGGGCCGAGAAATCGTCTGCCCAGAAGAGGCTGAGAGTCAGATTCTGAAGAATGCTGCGGGTGCGAAATAATCAGTAACATCGACAATCCATACTTTTCACCATATCTGCACCAGGGCGTCGCTACACTGCCGTCGTCGATTGTCTTCCGCTCACAATTCACCTACACACCCTGCTCACTCGCTTTGTCCGTGCCGTTCTTCGAGCCGCTGGCGGCGGACCATCCGGGTGCCTGACCGTCTAGGTCGTTGACGTTTCACGAACCTCTCAACTGCGACTGAGACCTGCATTCGCTCGATTCAGTCCATATTCTCAATATCCTCCTGAAAGGCCGACGACAGAAAACAGTTTGCTCTGCCGAGGAGGTCGCCCAGACTCGCAAGCCGGCGAAGATATACAGTACTCGACGCACGACCACCACGCCCCCTCACTCTATCGTTGCAGGCATGCATTCCGTTGAAAGATAATTGCGTCCGACACATATTGTTATCATGCGGTTGCCAACATGGCTTCCGCTGGTGCTTCTGGCTGGGAATGTACAAGCAGGTTTGCGCGACTACGACAATCGCGACTATTTTGCCCTTCACCTCCATCCGACTGCTGTTCCCGAAGACGTCGCCCATCGATTAGGTGCACAACTTGAAGGACGAGTCGGAGAGTTGAGTCATCACTATACATTTTCGTGCGCGAAGAACACATGTCAAGGGCTTGAAGATTCGCTGCAAGAACTGCGTAGCCGGAAGAGGCGAAGGCGACGGGCGGTTGATGGTGTGGAACGACAGCTGACCCATGACCTGCACGGCGTGTTGTGGTCAGAAAAACTCCAGCTTCGACATCGCCATGTGAAGCGCATCCCTCCACCCCTACCTCACACGCTTCGCGACGCCCAGGATGCAGGTGGCTTGGACCCCGACCGGGCCGCGGAGCAGGCTCAACAAGACGCTATTCAACGCTTGAATACGATTGCCGAGACTTTAGACATCAAGGACCCGATTTTCAAGGAGCAGTGGCATTTGTTCAATCCTTTACAACTCGGTCATGACCTGAATGTGACGGGTGTATGGCTGGAGGGCATTACTGGTAACGGCACCATCTCGGCAGTCATTGACGACGGGTTGGACCTGAACAGCAATGACCTCAAGGACAACTTCTATGCGGAAGGCTCGTGGGACTTCAATGACCCAGGGCCAGAGCCACTACCGAGACTGTTTGACGATAAGCATGGTACTCGGTGCGCCGGAGAGATTGCAGCGGTCAAAAATGATGTTTGTGGCGTTGGAATGGCCTACGACAGCAAGATTGCTGGTATTCGGATCTTGTCCAAGCCCATCAGTGACGAAGATGAGGCCTCGGCAATCAACTACCACTACCAAGAGAATGACATCTATTCTTGTTCATGGGGTCCGCCTGATGACGGGCAGACCATGGAGGCGCCAGGTCTCCTGATTCAGCAAGCCATGTTGAATGGCATTCAGAATGGTCGAGGTGGTCTCGGCTCCGTGTTTGTGTTTGCGGCGGGCAATGGTGCCGCCAGTGACGACAACTGCAATTTCGACGGTTACACCAACAGCATCTACAGCATCACTGTCGGTGGTATTGATCGGGCTGGAAATCACCCCTATTACTCCGAGTCTTGCTCGGCGCAGTTGGTGGTAACTTATAGTTCCGGTAACAACGATGCAATCCATACCACCGATGTGGGAGCAAACAAATGTTACAATGGCCACGGCGGAACATCGGCTGCAGGGCCCCTTGTGGTCGGCGTTGTAGCTCTCGCGCTGAGTGTTAGGCCGGAGCTGACGTGGCGAGACTTGCAGTACCTATGTGTTGAGACCGCCATTCCCATACACGAAGACGACGGCAGCTGGCAGAACACGACAAGCGGAAAGCGATTCAGTCACATGTACGGGTACGGCAAGATTGATGCCTACCGGTTTGTTGCGGCTGCAAAATCATGGGAGCTGGTGAAACCACAGGCGTGGTTTCACTCGCCCTGGCTCAGCGTTCAGCATAAGATCCCGGAGGGTGACAAGGGCCTAGTGGCCAGCTTTGAGGTCACGGAAGAGATGTTGAGCGTAGCCAACCTGGAAAGACTGGAGCATGTCACAGTGACCATGAACATCGAACATACCAGAAGAGGCGATCTCAGTGCCGACTTGATAAGTCCCAGTGGCCTGATCAGCCACCTCTCCACTAACCGCGCTCATGACGGGGCTGCCGAGGGATATGATGACTGGACGTTCATGTCCGTGCTTCACTGGTGAGTCCGTCTTATAGTGAATCTCGGATCTTAAGTAAACTGACCGTGTGGCAGGGGCGAGTCTGGCGTCGGCAAGTGGACGGTCATCGTCAAAGACTCGAATGAAAATGAATTCAACGGCACCTTCATCGACTGGCGGCTCAACCTCTGGGGTGAAGCCATCGACCCCGAAATCCAGCAGCTTCACCCATTGCCTGACGAGCACGACGATGATCATGAAACCGCCCCTGCTGTGGTGAGCACAACCAGCGTCGAAGCTGGGCGCCCGGCAACGGCAACTCAACCTCCCCCCCGGCCTACTGACCATCCTGACCGGCCTACCAAGCCGAAGCCACCCGCGGCCACAGACTCCGTCGTGATTGTGACGGCGACCAACACTGTCTCTGTGCCTGCTGCAACAGCAACGGCGACGATCGAGCCGACCGAGACACACGCGTATTCTGACAGCTTCCTTCCGTCGTTCTTTCCCACCTTTGGTGTTTCCAAGCGGACACAGATCTGGATCTATGGTTCGATAGGACTCATTGTGGTTTTCTGCGTTGGGCTTGGGGCTTACTTTCTCGTTCAGCGGAGAAAGCGACTCCGAAACAACCCCCGTGATGCATATGAGTTTGAGATGGTCGCGGACGCGGACGATGACGAACAGCGCGGCTTGACCTCCCATAAAGGACGTGGCAAGGGAAGAGCCAAGCGGGGCGGGGAGCTCTACGATGCCTTTGCTGGCGAAAGCGATGATGACCTTTACAGCGATGACGAGGGATACCAAGATACTCCCAGTAACGACACTGGTAGCGGCTCGAGGTCTGGCAGTTCCGAGGGCAAAGAAAGGGAGAAGTAAACATTTGGCGACAAGGCGTTTGGGACATTACGGTAGCACTCGCCAGCAGGAAATGCGGCGCTCTGGCCAGACCCGGACCTTTCTGTACAGATATTCTTATGACGCGTGCATCCATCAACTGCATAGAACCCGCATGGCCTTGAAAAGTACTGGATGAAGCGCCGTGCTCTTGGTGAATGAAAGATTTGTACAATTCAAGTGCAGGAGACCTGATATGACCCGCACTTAAGCATGCATTAGCAGCCACAGCAGCTGGCGGCCCCTGCAGCTGCTAACTAGCTTTTCTTGCGGGCATTGCCAACTGTAAAATTTACGGGGGCAGGCGCCCATATTGGACGCACCCGGTGAGCCCTGAAACCGTGCTTGGACTTTGCAGCAGACAACAACAGCCTGCATTGCTTCCCCGTCACCGCGACCGAACCTCTCTTGGGCGGCTCGATAGCATCATCATGAGCTTCCAAATACATTACATACCATGGTCGGCTCCCGGTCGTCGTTGAGGCGTCCTGATTTACGAGGCCACAGTCACAGTCACAAGCCATCAGCTTCCAGGTCCAGCAGCCCGATCAATGACGAACCGCCACCGCTCCTCCCAAGGTCTGGCAATGAGGGCATCGCACTCAGATCCAAACGCCTGCGGGCTGCTACCGTGTCGACACCCGAACATGACCTGAAACGACGTCGTCTGTCGTCTACCAAAGGCGAGAGGCCACAGTTACGCATCCCGTTACGCAGTCGAGGCGGTTTACCTAAAGTCCTCCCACAACCGCCGCCCGCCGCAGCCGCGACTCTACGGCCACCGCAGGCTGCCAATGCTGCGAATGCCAGCACGTCACACATCTCAACCCTCCAACCGCTGGACTCGCCGACTTCTCCCAGCGAGAAACCACAGTATGATCAGATCAGAATCATTGAAGAGAAGGCCAAGGCCTCCATAACGGAGGGCAACTCGGCCACAACGCACGAAGACCGCCGAAAACTACGCTCAGAGGATGGAGGGTCTCGGGCTAAAACGGAGCTGGCCCAATACTTCCCAGACTTTGAGGAGATGCTCAGTCTGAAGCCACCAGATCCAGGTATGCCCCGGTCATCCACCCCAGGGAACCATCACTGACACCAAGTAGAGGCATTGACCGTCAAGACCAAGGTTGTGCTGGTTGACGATACCCCCGACTTCCGGCCGAAGCCATCCAGGCCTGATCCATTTGGAGCTCATAAGCCCTTGCACAACACGCAGATCATCCAGCTGGGCGGTATTGGTGGTGTCGTCTCAAGTGATGCCTCCGTCGACCCTTTGAACGACGATGTCTACCTTAAAATCCATGGCAAGGCTGAAAGGCATGAGAAGCAAATCAAAAACAGTGACCGGGAGCGGGCTCAGCACGAGAAGTACCAACTGGAGAAACTGCTGGGAGACTTGCGTGGGCCAGACTGGCTGAAGACTTTGGGCATCACCGGCGTCACTGACACGGAGAAGAAACGTTATGAGCCCAAACGAGCATTATTCATCCGTGAAACTCAAGCCCTGATTGACAAATTCAAGCGATGGAAAGAGGAAGAAAAGCGCCGGAAGCTAGAGCGAGAACAGGAATTGCTCGAGGCGGCCATGGACGAGGACAGGGAAGCTGATGAAGGTGAGGATGGAGACGAGGCTGTCGAGAGCGACGCTTCGGAGGGGGCTAGCATTGACACCGCGTCGACTCAGGCGCCGAACTCTAGTGAACTCGACGCCCTTGCATCGCAGCAACTCATCGAAGAAGCAAAGATTGCCATCAAGCGCAAAAAGCCGTCGCCCACCAAAGTGGTCGATCCTCCTCCACCCAGACCCTTCGTTTCTTTCTTCGACAAGCGCCACCTGCGGGACGCGGCTGTCGCTGGTCGTCAACGTGGACGGACCCTCCTCGCATTTGGCCTTCCTGTGCCCGAGCTCGTAGAGAAGGATTTCGAGCCACCAGACGACATCCTGACAGATGAAGCGATCAGGCTAAACCAACGTTCTCGCAGAAGAATGCGAAGGGGAGGCGACTAGCTGCTCTCTTTCTGGGCCGTTGATACATTTATTTTCGGGTTACGAATTGTACGGTATAGGGCAAGGGCGCGGGTATACTTGAGATTATACGCAAAGGAAGCGTGTTGCTCTTCATGTAGTGGATAGGGTACGGTTATCAGAAAAGGAGGTTCTCATCGGTTCTTACGAGTCAGCGTTTCCCGAGGCAGCCTCTTGGTATGTTAAGCAACCAGAGAAGACTTGTCCTCCTCCCGCAGCAGATTGGATGCAAAAGCCGTCGTCTCCGCTCCATAAGGGGCCCGTGCCATCTTTCTACAAGCCAGAGCAGAACTAAAATCTTGCAGACTTTGTTATTGAGGAAGAGGTTCTCAGTACCGGGTCCTGCTTCATTGTATACTCCTGAAGTTAGCCCAGAGAGCGGTAACGAACGCCGTCGTAGTAGTCTACAACTTTCATATCAGTCCAGCGTGATGTCCTCGCCGGCATGGAGCACAGGGTGTTCAAACAGTGTCTCATACTCTCATGTTGAGCAGTCGCGGGCATGGCACGTGGGATCCGAGGGAAGGGCAGGAAGTAGCGTCTGTGGCGAAAGCTTCCAGTCTTGTTCGTGCTGTGTCTGTTATTTATGTCCCGAGGGAATCATCAGGATGCGCAAGGTCTTGGATCCAGATCTTCGTCGCAGCAATCGAGCCGTGGAAACACACGCGCAACGGGTGGGTTTCCGGTTGCATGTTCTCGTTCCTCGTACTACCCAGTACGGACTGCGCTTATGCCAAGAAATCTAAGCGTGGTGGCCCCCACAGATTCAATTAAACTGAGGACGGAATTTGCAAAACAGCAGGCAACAAGTTTGCTGTTTCATTGTCGATGGTGGCTGAGTATGAGTGCCATGAGTCGCTGCTGGAAGCAGCAACGTACCCACTGCTTTTCGCACTTACAGTACTCCTACAGGACTCCGTATATTTCTTGGCCAAAGCACAAAGTCAATGTTTCTGGGGGCCGATTTCTGGCTCGGCTTGCTCGTTCCCCAAAACCTGTGATTCGCCCAGATGGCGAGAGGCGATACCGTACGAGGTCCCCCGGCTTGACCCTTTGCTAAAGTTGGGGTCTCAAGTCTCAGCCGCAGCGCGGCCGCTTCATCTGCTCAAGGCTGCCTCACAGAGAAACGCATGAATCCTGCCAGGGCCTGCGCGGAGGATGCGCTCACCATGGATCTCGACGTCCTGTTATGATGCTTCGACCGTTCTCATCCTTCTGATCCCCTTGGATCTATGAAGTGGAGGATATTTTCCAGGAATAGCCTTCTCCTGCCCGACTTCTGGCAGCCGTTCATGTCTGGCTGGGCGCCTCTACCAGGTCGCAAGCACACGGGGACGTCCTTGTCTGCGCCTCAACCACCCGTCGCTCATTTGAAGGTTGCGCTTGTCTATATATGTTTTGGAAGGTCCCTCTTGACACACTGGCTCGAAGCGTACACGACAGTCCGGGCTGCCAGAGATTGACGTTCTATCACAAGTCCTGTGGACCCAGAGACGACTGCCGTTGAGATACAGAGATCCAACCGGCCCGCACGAACTGATCACATCAGATCTGGCGTATCGGTCGTGCCAATGGGGAAGCTCTTCTTATGGACCCTTGGTGCCCTGGCTGGCTTTGCCTGTGCCCACGACTCGTCCATAACCACTCCTCCTAATGCCCTCCTGCCCCGAGCCACGTCGACGAACACCGCATGCGCACTGGCATCGAGTGCTGCGTATTCATATCTCGTGAATGAAGAGGAGGCAACTACTGCCCGCATTCCTGCAAAACTTGCCTACAACTGTTTGAAGTCGATCCCCAACCACAAAGAGCCGGCGATCAGCCTCTTGAACTCGTTACGGACGTACATCGAGTTTCAGAGTACCAAAGAATACCTGCGAGACCCGCCCCCAGGCTACCTTCTTCCAGCTGTGGACATCGATGCGGGATTGGATGGCATACAACAAAAGCTGCAGGCGGATGGATATGAGAGCGAATATGATTTTCAACTAGAAATCGTCTCGTTGCTCCTGTCTGCCCATGACGGGCATTTTTCCTGGAATGGCGACGTTTACGGGCCCTTCACCTATTTGCGGCTTGGTGGCGGCTTGTACTCTGTCTCTTCAGACGGAGTGGAACCACCGTTGGTGTATCTCGCAGGTGAGTGTTCAACGGCCTTTGGGCGGAAGGAGCTCAAGCCCCGTTTGATCCGTCGAGCTCTGTGCCCTGTCCGAGACCGGAGAGCTGACTGAAGGCAGCTGACCTCACTGTGAGCGACCCGGACACCGGCATACGTCGCCCAGTGACAGGATACAGTCCCTCGCCGGTCCAGAGCATTGACGGCATCGATGTGATGGACTTCCTCTTGACCCAGTCGCTGAGTCGTTTTTCTCAAGACCCTGATGCCCTGTGGAATGAGGTGTTTCGAACCGCCTTATTTGCAGACCCGTCTTTTGAAGTTCCGCTGTTTTATCCTGGCCCTGAAACAAACATCACCTTTGCAAACGGAACTACCAAGGCATATGAGAACGTCGCTATCGTGAACTTGGATCTGGACGGAATCAACACAGGAGAGGACGCCTATTCTGTGTTTTGTTCCGGGGTTGAAGCGTTAGAATCACTCTCCGCAACAGCATCTGCGACTGCTACCGCCATCTCAAGCAGTTTGATCACCAGCTCAGACATCGCCACACCAACAGAGGCTCCACCGAGCTCACCCACTATTCCAGGCTTTCCTCATCCGGTGATTAAGCATAGTGCTGACTCGGTCGCCGGATACTATCTGAATGATACCGGTTTCACGGACGTTGCCGTCCTCCAAATCCTCGGGTTCAGCTCGCAGGTCGATGACTCGGCAGGCTACGAGAGAGAATTCCAGTCGGTTGTGGAGAAATTCCTTGCTGCGTCGGTCAAGACCGGTAAGAGGAAGCTGATCATCGACCTTCGGGCCAACCCAGGTGAGTCGGCCGATTGTTCCTCTGGTGTTGAGCAGACTGACCTGTATAGGTGGTTTTGTCGACCTTGGCACAGACACATTCGCACAGCTTTTTCCATCGTTGACACCGAATTCAAAATCGAACATGCGAGATCATTTGGGGTTTTGGATCCTCGGAAACGCTGCGTCCGACAACGTCACAGCTGCGGAGCAAACCGTTGACACCACGGATGAACTGGTATCAGAAAGACTGAACACCCCGTTGGCGTACCAGACGATTGTGACTGAGAACCATACGAATTTTCCTGATTTCCAGACATATTATGGTCCCCATTTCATGTACGATGGAATGTGGAGCTCCTTCTTCCAGAACAACTATACAGATCCCAACTCCTCGGACTTTGCTGGGACAGGTATCATCATTACGGGAACAAACAATCGGACAGGCTATACACAGCCTTATGCTTCACAGGATATTGTTGTACTCACCGATGGGTACTGCGCGAGTACTTGTTCAGTGTTTGCCGAATATCTGAAGGCCCACGCCAACGTGCAGTTCATTGTGATTGGAGGACGGCCACAGACGGGGCCCATGCAAGCAATCGGTGGCGTCAAGGGAACCCAGGTCTTTGGCTACAGCCTCATCGCAAGCTGGACTGACCTTTTCAACAGCCCAGCGAACTACTACATCGATGCGGCGAATGGCACCATATGGGAGAACTTCACCTACGAACCCTTGTTTCGGGAATTTGGGTTTTCGGGTGGCAATGTCAACGGACGCAATCATTTCCGAATGGACGACGAAACAAACACGCCCCTTCAGTTTGTGTATGAAGCCGCGGACTGTCGGATGTGGTGGACCAGAGAGATGCTTTATGATCCAGTATTTCTCTGGAACCGTGTCGCGACCGTCGCATTCCAAGAACGCAAGGGGACACAGTTTAACTCGAAATACTGCGTCGCCAATAGTACCGGCCACCCAACCAGTATTTCAGGCGGGTGGAAAACCGGACTGGGACCGCAGACTCCACCAGACAATGCCAAAGCGACTGTGAAAGGCTGGAAGCTGACCGGCACTCCTCTTCAGGCGGCAAAAGCTGGCACTTCTCAGGCAGGTTCGGGCTCTGGATCGGGCTCGGGATCAGGCTCGACGACCGACCTGGGCGATGCGGGTGTGGTGATTGAGAATAATGCTGTTGCTGATACCACCGATGTCGACAGTGAGAATCTGGCTTCGTTCAAGCAATATTGTTCGAGCTATACTGGCGATGCATGGTTTGTCAAGGTCATGTGTGGGGCGTTGCAGTGAATGCCATCAAGGCTCATTCTCGATTCACTTGTTATACAATTAGCCAGCGAGCATGTGGGCGGCGTATGGCCTGGGTGTGGGATCTGTCTCCTCTGGTTGTCCGGGTGACTTTAAAAACCTCATATTGGACCGGAGGCGATTGTCAAAGCCTCTGTGTGTTTCTTCCATCTGTGTACTGTGAATACTATCGCGTCAGTCAGGCCGCCTGATGGCAGTTGTTCAGCTTCCAGTCTTCGCAGAGCATTGTAACATATATCGTGGCGGCACAGAAATGGGGAAAAAATAGCAAATGCTTGCCAATATTGCCAAGACTCATGGTGACATCAAGCTTTCTCGCGTCTTGGCACCCTTTTCCTCTTACTGCTTGGTCCGCTTCCTGTTTCACATCCTTCGACGACGGCGCCTTGACTCCCGCTATCAACAAGTTGCACTTCACTAGAATTGCATGTACTTGCTCAGTCTGCTGTGTCTTCCGAAGTTTGCACATAGATAGGTCCTGTGCGGTCGAGGACGATCTCAGCCGGGAAGGCCACCTTGTCCAACCAGCGTCTGCCAGGACTCCGCGTGCCATGGATAGCCGCAGCACTGCACGACCAAATCCGGAGCACAGTACCACCGTCGACTCGGACGACGAGGCAGACGTCTACGATTGGAAGGCGTCGCGTGTGCCCGACAGCCAGGACGATGCGCGGCCTCGAAAGGATTCCACTCGCAAGGGAGCCAAACAGGCCCAGAACGGCAACGAGGGTGAGGACGAGGGGCACTACGAACCAGTTGGACCGGGCGAAGCAGACTCCTCGGACGAACTGCCCGAGGATGGACATATGCCTCATCCATTCTATCACTATGCCGCCGAGAAGCGAGACACTTTCGCCGACTCCAAACTCATCTACCAACGCCACCGGATGGACACCAAGTCCGAAAAGGAACTAGGAAGCCCCCTGTTGTTGGGCAAGTCCTACACTCTGCCCGCTGGTGCCATGGATGGAGAGGCCGCGGCCTTGCACCGTACGCCCAGCACGACGTCGAGACAGTCGCGTCTCAGCCAACGTGGCAATGCTCCCAGTGGCATCCAACTAACCCGTGCCAAGGATTCGGTTCCTTCTTTGCAGACTCAAGTGGGCAATCTACAGGACATCCGCCCAGACCCAACACTAGTCGCCGATGCTGCTGCACGAGACCATAAGCGCCACCCAGGTCTCCCTCACGAGTTCAAGGATCCCTTGCTGGCCCATGAGGGCATGCACGGTGCTGGTGCCGGGATGGGGCTTGGAAGCGGCCCCGGCGGGCTCGCCCCCAGCGAGGAGAGCGTCATCAGCGAAGTGCGGGCCATCTGTGAAAAGATCAAGACGGTGCTCGATCTCCGGCAGAAGTACATGAAGATCTCGCTGCAATGTCCCGGCGACAACCCGAAAGACGACGAGAACTGGGAGATATATCCGCCTCCGCCGAACCCTGTATGGAACGAGCATAAAGCACGGGAACAGCCCCCAGACTATATTGCCCCGAACAGCACCTCGAGCAGTCTGTACATGGCGGACTTGAAGGCGCGGAACACCAGCGGGGGAGATATAAACACCTGGGCCAGTAACGTCAGCCAGGCCGACTCGGAACGCGGGGCGCCACCGTCGCCGACAAGCGTCAAAAAGGCTCGGAAGCAGGGCCATGATGTCGGCGAAGACTTCGACCTCAACGAATGTATAATCCCTGGACGGCAGGAAAAGAGCCTCCACTACGAGATGGACGCTGGGAGTGTGTTCCAGGTGTATGGCCCGGACGGGAAACCGCTCGTCGAAGTGCCCACGCTGAGGGATTACTTCGTGGCATTGGACACGATCCTGGACATCGCATCTGACGGCCCGGCCAAGAGCTTCGCCTACCGCCGCCTGCAATATCTCGAGGGCCGGTACAGCTTGTACACGCTGCTGAACGAGTATGAAGAAGTGGCAGACACGAAGAAAGTGCCGCACCGAGATTTCTACAACGTCCGCAAGGTCGACACGCACGTGCACCACTCGGCGTGCATGAACCAGAAGCACCTGCTCCGGTTCATCAAGAGCAAGATGAAGAAATGCCCCAACGAGGTGGTGATCGAGCGGGATGGCAAACAGCTGACCCTGAAGGAAGTGTTCGACAGCATCAACCTCACGGCGTACGATCTGAGTATCGACACGCTCGATATGCATGCCCATACCGACTCGTTCCATCGTTTCGACAAGTTCAACCTGAAATATAACCCGATCGGGCAGTCGCGGCTGCGCGACATCTTTCTGAAGACCGACAACTTTATCAAGGGCCGCTACCTGGCCGAGATCACCAAGGAAGTCATCACGGATTTGGAATCGAGCAAGTACCAGATGGTGAGTACCAACACGCGTCTCAGTCCAGCAGAAGGACTTGTGATCAATCAGTGGATTACCACCGACCTGGCTGACCTATCTATGTGCAGGTCGAATGGCGCATCAGCATCTACGGCCGCAGCATCAAAGAATGGGACACGCTCGCCAGCTGGGTGGTGGACAACAAGCTCTTCTCGCACAACGTCCGGTGGCTGATCCAGATCCCGCGGCTCTTCGCGCTCTACAAGTCGCTCAAAACGGTGGACAACTTCGAGCAGCTCCTCCGCAACATCTTCGCGCCGCTGTTTGAGGTGACGCAAGACCCGTCGACGCATCCGAAGCTGCACATCTTCCTCCAGCGCGTGATCGGCTTCGATAGCGTCGACGACGAGAGCAAAGTGGAGAGACGGCTGTACCGCAAGTTCCCGACGGCGCGTGAGTGGGACACCAAACAGAACCCGCCGTACGGATACTGGATCTACTACCTCTTCGCGAACATGACGTCGCTGAACGCGTGGCGCAAGCGCCGCGGCTTCAACACGTTCCTCCTGCGGCCGCACTGCGGCGAGGCCGGCGACACGGACCACCTGGCGGCGGCGCTGCTGTGCTCGCACAGCATCAGCCACGGCATCACGCTCCGCAAGGTGCCGCTGCTGCAGTACATCTTCTACCTGGAGCAGATCGGGGTGGCCATGTCGCCGCTGAGCAACAACGCGCTGTTCCTCACGTACGACCGCAACCCGTTCATCAGCTACTTCAAAAAGGGGCTCAACGTGTCCCTGTCGACCGACGACCCGCTGCAGTTTGCCTTCACCAAGGAGCCCCTGATCGAGGAGTACTCGGTGGCGGCGCAGATCTACAAGCTCAGCGCGGTCGACATGTGCGAGCTGGCCAAGCACTCGGTCGACCAGTGCGGCTTCGAGCTGTCGCTCAAGCAGCGCTGGCTGGGCAAGTACTGCTACCTGCCGGGCGTGCTGGGCAACGACGTGGCCAAGTGCAACGTCCCGGACGTGCGCGAGGCCTTTCGCCACGAGACCCTCAAGGCCGAGCACGCCTTTATCGCAAAGTACACAAACGACTACTGCCACTACCGCCGCTGCACGCCGGACCTGCCGCCGAACCTGATGGCCGACCCCGCCACCACCAGTCCCGTAGTGGACGAGGCCTACAACGCCTACTACGCCTACCGCGGCCTCGAAAGCCCGCGCCAGTACTACGCCACCATGGCCGTCGCCGACTCGATCGCCCCGGCGCAACAGGCGCGTGAACGCGAGCGAGAGGCCGCGCTGCTCTCCAAATCCGTGTCCAATTCGAACTTTGATAATCATTCGAACGCCGCTGCTACCGCCCAAGGTCAGGGGAGTCAAGGAACCACCGGCGGCGGCGGCGGCGGCAACGTCTCGCCCACGCGGCCGCGACGCACGTCGTCCATCCACGCGCTGTACCATGCCGCGGCGTCGACTTCCGCGGACGCGCACATCTCAGGCCAGGAACCGCGGGCGTTTCCGGGGCTCGTGCACCAGCGCGAGAGGCGGAGGAGTCTGCGCGTCGGGTCCGGCAACTCGGACGGTACGCAGCACTCGAGCGATATGACGTCTAGTCTGCACTTGGAGCCCGGCTTGGCCAAGATCACGCTCAAGGAGGACAAGGAGATGAATGAGATCGAGGATGACGCGGACTGAAACGTCTAATACATGGGAGAGCGCAGTTCGCTTTTCATCGACCGGTTGGTGGGGGAACCGAACTAAACGCCTAATACACGGAGGAGGGCGTCTGACTTTTCATTGACCGGTCGATTAGAGACACACACGATACATAGATACTTGAACGAGCGTCACGGTGTAATGAGATTGCATTGCTTGAGATACGAAACGCCAAATCGCTGTCCTGTCCACTGATGTTGCTGGCTCCACCCGCTTCTCGTCTCTCATAACGACTCACAAGAACGTCTTTCGAACCTGTACTTGAGCCTGAACCTGCATACCGGATGGTGATTGACCAAACGGGTAGATACCGAACTCGGCCTGACCCCGTACATCGCAACAACGAACGAACATTAAGGATGGTCGATGATAGGGATGAGGAATGTTCCGGTACTGGTTGCCATGGGACATCACTGCTCATCATGACGGCTGTTGAGCGAGCATGATGCACAGTCTGTCCAGAAAGATCGCCAAGCAGAAATAGGACGAGCATAGAGGCCGTCTGATCTGTCTTCGGAAGTAATATCCCTGCGGAACTTCGATATTCGATGACATGTCTGCAAATGTCTCCAAAGGGCCAGGAGCGTAAAGAATGATCTATGGTCAGAGTTGCAAGACCCGATAGCACACTCGTATTGTCCATGAGACTCTTGTAGATGTAACTCCCTCTGGTGTGCAAAGACCGTGGCCGAGCAATGATTGTAAGCGCATTTGAAGAGCTCGTGCTTGTCTTTGGCATGTTCCATCATCTTGTCTTTGCGGAAGAATACTTGGTGGCAGCCGGGTTCAAGGCATGGATATCCAGGTACCTTATTATGAATTGTCGCTTGATGCCGTTTGAGATCGCATTCTTTCCCGAATGGCTTCTTGTATGAACAGTCTGGATCCGTGCAGACCAAGGGAGTCAGGTGGATGTTCCTGACGTGGGCATCCAGTGATGAGCGACTACGGAAGTGGCCTTCGAGTCACAGCCGCGCCAGTGACATTTCTGCGGCCCAGACCATTCGCTGTTGACTTCTGCTACGAGTACAACTGGCGTGGGTGCCGCGGGTGCTGGGACAGAAGCAGCGGAGGGCATGATATCACCGATAGCCGGATCGGGCCCAGTGTGCGTGATGACTGCATTCGTACGCTTTGCCAACTGTGCGCCTCGTTAGCGTCAGGCTAAAAAACAAACTCACGGTGATTGGGCCAGTCCGTGGCATGTGCAGACTGCACGCGCCCGGTGTAGGACTAATGGCATTGTTGAACACGGCTGGATCGGATGGAGCATCGCAGTCCATGGTTCCGAGATGAGAAGGCTGCGCTGTCGAAGGGCCAGCGGCAATGTCTAATGTCTGCACGTCGTCGCCTAGACTGTGATGGATTCCAGCACCCAGAGCGTGGGTCGTTGCTTCGTCCCGGATGGTGAAGACGTTCGAGGCTCCGGGCTGCATTGCCGCGAATGTGTCGAGTCTCAGACCTCCTGCAGTGTCGTTCATCATCATAGATGGGCGACTTTGTTCGGAAGTATCTGGACCATCAGAGAAGGACGTCCCGACTCCAAGTGAGTGGCCTAGGTAGTTCTCTTGTAGACCGTACGAAGAAATTTCGGTCATTCCAACCGGACTAGAGTTGCCAGACAGGTCGTGGCCACGAAGGTCGAAGAGTTCACGCTCGGTTAGGCCAAACAGACCGAGGTCGGGAAGGTCATTTTGGACAAATTGCTCATAAGAATAATCGTACCTTTGTTCGAACGACATTGGTAGGAGGTAGTGCGATCTTGATCGCGTTGATCGCTTGAGAAGAATAGCTATGATCAGTTGCTGAGGGAGGAGTCGAGGTGGTGTGGAAGGGCACATCATAACAAGAGAGGAAGGGAGGAAGTACGGATGAAGAACGAGTGAGAGTCCTGCAAGTGCGCCCTCAGCGCATTAGGCACGCCTAGGAAGTACTCTTGAGGGAAACTACTCGGCAGTACCCAATGCAGCTTGTTCGGTGACGCGTTGCGGCCTCTTTGGCATCGGACGCTGGCAATGCTGGCTACATGGTACTCTGATAAACTATTAGCCGTCCTGGTAAGTCGTCTACTCAGAAACGAGGTGCAAGACCTCGACGGTCGCGATGTGCAATTGCGCCATGATTAGCAGAGAAATGTACTTGATGTGGTCGAAAGTCTTCTTGCAAACTATCCGCACAGCAGTCATGGAAGTCTGTCTCGATGAGCTCCGAGTCTCCAACAGTCAAATTCGGGGTAAGATCCCCCTGAACGCATAATGCTTCCCAGATGAGATTTGAATCTGTACATGCCCGCGCGGGAGGAAGCATAATCAACCTGTGAGGCTGCAGCGGAGAGGCGGGAAGTGCAGATGGACGCTTGGCAACTCGGGAGAACTCGGGTGAAAGTGATATGAGTCAAAGCAGCGGTAGGATCAGCGGCCAATAAACATACAGTTAAAGGGGTAGGTCGTAGAGGAAATCCGGGGAAAGCCTGTACGTCGGGGTTGTTCGTTGGCAAAAGGACCGAGTTGGAGCAAGTAATCCAAGGTGAAAGATGAGCAGCAAGGAAAACGGTCGGGTGAACCAGGCCAAGGAGGCTGAGTCATGCGTCTGTCCACAATGTCGGTCAGGATTGTTGGATAGTCATTGCCAGGCAATTATCAAAAAGAGAACTGTTGAAACGCATGTGCTTCACCGACTTGACGCCAATCATGCCAGATTCGTGGCCTTTGACCTGTCAGGCAGAGACGCAGTCCCCATAGTCAGTGCTCTCGCCCACAGCCCTCTCACGTGGCCAAGGGTTAAGATACAATCAAGCATGGCTTGAGTGGAAGTCAAGACGAGGAGATGGATCAATGACGACTGAATAAATGGTCGTCGATTTACCGCGTACCCTCCGGCCGGCGACCGAGTCCACTGCGCCTAACTTCGGTGTTATGGGGGGCAATTTGGGTGTCGGCCCAAAAACGGGCACGCCCACAACGACATGATTAGTGGCTGGGGGGCTGTGGTAATTGGTGAGAGGCATCACTGGCCCGCCCGCAACATCGTCATCTCGCTTCACTGGCTCGACCAGGTCCCCACGCTCGAGGCATTCAAGGTATCCTCGTACCTCGTATCATTCCACTTCTCCAAACAACAATTCACCTGTCGCTCATCATTGCTTTTCTCGAGCAGGACATCCCCCGCGCACCGTACCGTACACATGTCTTGTCTCTTGACTGTTGAGAAGGGATCCAACGTCCCGTGCCCAAGCCAGGCCTGAACTCAGCTGAAACCGACCGAGACCGCTTGTGTCCGCATTCGTTCTTTCCTACTCTCTCATTGCCTTATCACTTCTCACCTCTATTCTCATACGATCACATCTCCCCGTATACACCCGATCGCTTCTCTTAGATCTTCTCGTTCCCCCGCATTTCCTGGCAGTCTTGCATACGGTGCCTACCTTCCCTGCTCGCGTGCTTGTTCTCCAGGCCAACCGTGGGTTCCGACAAGGTGCTGAGTGAAGGATGCGCTGTCGAATAAGAAAAGCTGTACCTATACACCAGCCCTAGCACCATGGATCCTTCCCCGCCGCTACCCAGGCGATTCGTCCCGGAACCTATAGAGACCACGGTCAAAAGCTCCAGATCCTCTCGAAACCAGTCAGACAACCCCCCCTCGAGTGCGTCTTCCGAAGGCAGATTCTCTTCCCCATATACGAGCGATTCCATGACTCCCAGTACGAAGCCTCGAAGGTTCCTGCCCCAACCGATAGAAGAAAGCACAAGGAGTTCTCAGAAGAAGAATAATGTGGACCATGTAGTGGACTCGGCCACGACGACGCAGGACGGTCCCCTCTCGGACTCGGCCAGTCCACATTACTCCCATTCAGATGATCCTACCCTGCCTGGAGTACCGAACAGCAGGCCTCCTAGACGCTTCACCCCAGAACCGGTAGAGACTACTGCACGGTCCTCGAGGCGGAAGTTCGCCCCTGAACCCATTGAGACGAGTACGCGAAAGAGCCAGGACAAAGGGAACCCAACGGAAGAGGAGGCCGCTTCCAAGCCCCGCAGGAAGTTTGCACCTGAACCCGTCGAAACCACCAAAAGAAGCTCCAAGGACAAGAAACCAAAGGACTCTGAAGAGACACCAGGCTCGCGACCGCGGCGAAAGTTCATCCCAGAACCTATAGACACCACCACTACCACAAACAGACGACGCAAGGTCAGCCTTGATGAGATATGCGAAGAAGAGCCTCTCAAAACCAGCGATTCTTCTCCCTCTAGTCGGGCGTCTAGTGGACCTCGAAAGTTTTCTCCGGAACTACTAGAGACTGCCAAAGGATCCTACCGAAGATTCCATCCACAGACGCCCGAGACAAGCGTCTCACCAGCTCCTAGCAGGCGGGCACCGTCGCCGCCGCCCATCGAAGAAGACCCCACGTGTGAGGAGGTCCCTGAACCTGAAGAAGAATCTCGCTTTTCGGCAGCAGCTTTGGCCCGCAAGAATCCTGACGCGCTCCGGCAACATTCATTCATCGTTCCTGACCTACCCATGATCGAGTCGACCACCGAGGATGAAGATTCCGAAGCACCTTCTTTAACCGACTCATCGTCCTCGTTTGGGTCATCTGTTGCAAAGAAACCGCTGCCCAGCACCAAAGACAGCTACACCGAATATGTGCTCCGTCTGGCCGCCGAGACGGTAAGCGAAAAGGAGCTGCAAGAGCAGGCTATGGCGGCTTACATCAACGAGCGACCTCACGAGCCAGTCGATCACTTTGCCATTGACCACGATGAAGATGAGGACGGTCCCTTGCCGAGCCCTATATTTCAGGGGGAAAAAGGAGTGGATGCCCGCGCTTTTCGACGGTCGTCGGCTGCAGAACTGGCATTGGAGATGGACCATATGCGCAAACATCATGAGCGGTTAGAAGCAGCGAAGAGGAGCCTGAAAGCTGACACTGCCGGCCAAAGTCGATTTAGTGCCGCAGCGCTCGCCACGCGACACGCTCTGGAGGCAAAGGGAGTCAAGAAGCCGAAGAAACCACGAGCAGAGGATGAAGATTCAGAGTTGGCCCGTATGAGAGCCGCTGCATCTCCGCCAATGCTGGGTGTCGATCTCGTGTTCCCATTCACCATTTCACCAAAGATGACCCGCTGTGACCCAGATCAGGCCCCGCGACCGAGAACTGCAGATAGCGATGATGAAGAGATCGAGCCCAGTAGTCCCGAACTGTGGAAATCGAACAAGAAGCGCCAAAACAATGCTGGAGAAGGCTTGTGGATGGGTATGTGCCAGGCGGGACTCTGGCAACCTCAAAGTCCCAAGAATGGGCAGCGAAGTGGCATACAGACCCCTTCGCCAGTGACTCCAGCCGGCGAACGGAATAATTCTTTCGAGAGCACGACGCCAGGCCGTGGGACTAGGACCCCCGGACGTCGTAGGGTGCCGTTCGCATCGGGTCAGCCGCACGTCCCATTGACCCCACCACGGAGTCAAGATGGCGATGACGTCTTCACTAGCACCATCGACAGGAAGCTGCAGCTCGAAAAGCAAATTGAGGAAGAATTCCCCGATCGTGTCATCACGCAGATATACAACTACCTCTCCCTCGGCTATCCCAGCTTAGCTCACATGTTCGACGACGAACTGAGCAAAATCTCACGGATTCCGATAGAAGAACTTCGCAAAGATGATAAGCACGTCGATGCGAAGGGGTACGTCGGAGCTCCTGAAGGAGACGGCTGGGACGAAGCGGAGGTCATCGGCCGCTGTAAACGGTGGGAGGCTCTCAGGCTATACGTCAAGGAATGGGCGAGACAAAGTCCCAACTTTGCGGATGAGAGGAAACGGGCTGCGCTAGGTGCGAATGAAGATTGGGGCGCGAGGGTTAGAAGGGGGAGTTGGGCTCATTAGGCTCACCAGTCGAGCCAGATTTCGGCGCGGACAGGGCCGTTATCAATTGCGAGTCCAATGGTCTTGGTTGTATTCGTGCGCATGAACTTTTAGCGGTTTGGTTCGTGCCTGCGCTGGGTTTCGATGCATCCCTGCCGGCTTTCTTCTTCCCCGATGTCACTGGCCGCGAAAGACGGCATTTCAGTCTCCTGCTTTCTTTGCGCGAGGTTGGTTCTCGCAGTTCCTATGGGTACAAGAACGCAGGACGGTAGGCGCTGTATAGGATAGGGTGTACCTACAGGACAAGAAATAACGAGCACATGAGGAAAGAGAAGAGCAAGTCGCAAAATTCGGTATGCTTATGTTTTACGGTACACGCCCTGTAATAGGTGGCCATGGCCTGTGAAAGCGTGACAGGATCAAGCAGCTTGCCATTTGCACCTGATGTCTCGTCTTCTCCGAGTGCTGGCATGCCGAACCTGATGGAATGGCCAAGGTAAGAATCGGCTTTGCTTGACAAGGGCTTATATATGTCCGTTCGATGCCTGGAAGTCACGGCCTGCAGTACGTGCAATCCGACGTGGCGGGTGCAAATATCGCATCGCGCTGAACGTGTGCTCTTGGGCTGTCGCTTCGTGATCCCCTTGTGAGCGACCCCTCCTTGGTCGTCTCGTGGCTTGGTTCCGACAGTCCCATGCGCTCAGGGCCTTCAAGCATGATTGGTGGGCGTAGCTTGTGAAGTGCTCAGCCGCCTCGCCCCTGTCCGGGGCGTCGTTCAAACAACACACCTGGATGCGTATCTGTCTGGGCCCCCAAGCCGCTTTGGATCGCTTAAACCGCCACACCAGGAAGTCCTTGACCAGCTCTAATTGGCCGTGTGCGTTGCGAGGCTCAGCCACCGTGTGACCCGTCCGCATGCCTTCAAGGCGCCTGGCCAGCAGGTGGGTTGTTTGCCTTTCTGCCTGCACAAGTCGCTGTGGGCTACTGTAATTCCCAACTCAACCTCGAGCCTTGCCTTTGCTCAAGAGGCTGGATGTGTGATCCTGCAACGACTGCACCTCGAGTAGTATGCGGCAATGGCTCAGCAGACCGATTCACCCGGCGACGTGGTGTATGACCTCGACGAGATTGCCGCATTCACAGCGTGCAAAACTGTCCTGCAACAGCCCAAGACAGAGAACTTTGTCGTCAGCTTCAACAGTGCCAAGGCACAATGTGCAGTCGACGTCAGTCAGGAAGAAGCGCTGAACTGGTTACAGGGCGACAACCGCGATGAGAGTCAAACGTTGTGGTTCAACTTTTGGACTTCCGAGAAGCAGAGGCCGATCATCGAGGCTGTGGCCAAGCATTACGACCTCTCCCCCAGGCTCGCTGGTTTGCTATGTCCTGCTGCTGCGACTACTACTACTACTACAGGCGAACGGCAGGCGACTTCTGCGGCGGATAGCGACAGCTCAGGATCTGCTTCGCAGGTGCCAGAGAAGACATCGAGGGCACGGACGACCGACGTGGAGAAGGGCATTCCGGGCCGACCGACACTGCAGCAACCAAAGCCCGGATATCCAACGGGCTTGGAAGGCATGACCTTCAGCGAGGTCGTCCAGAGGCTGTGGCATTTCTGTTCGGTGGACTTTGGCCGTCGATACATCTACGTCGGCTTCAACGCCCTGTACACCCTGCCCTCGGACGATAGCACATCTCCAGATGAGGATGACACGGCCGCTGCGGACAACAGAGACGGCGGCGGCGGCGGCGGCGGCGGTCAGGCAACCGCGAGCCACAGCAAGCCGGCTGGACAGCGAGTATGGTCATCCCTACTCATCTGTGACGATGGCACCGTGGTCTCGGTCTTTGAGCGTCCCGCCGGCGCCGACGCAGTCACACACTTCGAAACACGACGGAACGTCCTCAACGTCTTCCGCCATCTCTCTCGGCAGCACGATCAAGACAACGCAAAGGACGCACTGTTTCAGGTTCGGGTGCGATGGTTGAACGAGATCTCGAACAACAGCGCGACGGGCTATGACCGAAAGGAAGCCGCCAGCCTGCTGTTCTATTACCTGTTCGACGATTGGGTCTCGACCTTCAAGCTCATCGCTCGCGTGGAGCACCCCTACCGCGAGAAGTTGGAAGTGATGCGACAGAAAATGTTCACGGCCGCCAAGGTGTCGCTTGTGCAGCAAGTCCACGACGTGGGCAGGCAGCTGACGGTCCTGAAGCTAATGTATCAGAGCTATGAACTCATTGTCTCACGCGTCATCCAGAGTCAGCGGTCAGCAAGAGATGTCAAAGTTGGAACTCTGTCACCACGGGAGACATTGATGCATGAACGCAACCTCCTTGGCTCTGGAGACCTCAGCAAGTCTCATTTGCCGCATTTGGATGAATTCGTCATGGATGATGATTCGGGGTCGAACGTCAAGTTGGGCTCGTCGGCCATCTTTAGATTCGAGCGCCTGTTCGACAGGATTCGGTTGTACGCTTTGACAGAGATCGAAGAATGCATAAAGGAGAAGGAGTCGCTTGTGCTGATGGTGAGTGAGCCCCTTCAAAATCCAGACGATCGGTCCGACTAATGGCACCGCAGAACTTCAACTTGGTCGCCTTGAAAGAGTCCCAAGCCGTCGAGAAGCTGACAAGAACAACCATTCTCCTGGCCAAGGCGACGATCCTATTCCTTCCTGTCAGCCTGATGACGGCCTATTTCTCCATCCAGCTCAAGGAGATTGACGACAAGTACAGCTTGAAGACGTACTGGTTCTGCTTCTTGGTGGTCACTATCCTCTCAATCCTCTTCCTCGTGGTCTTTGGCGGCATCACGCACACCTTGGAGGGCAAGACCGTCTACCGCTCCGTCACAAGAACGCTTGGGAGGATGATTCTGAACGCGGGCAAGCGGAAACGCAAGGCACAATGAGAGCGTGCGTCGATCGGTCACCCAGCATCAGGTGTCGCTCTCACCCACGGTACCATCTCCTTCCTCGAGTTGTCCCACTGATAAGGGCCACCCTCGCCGACATTATATCGGTAATAGTTCTCCGTGCCGGCTGGAATCATCGCTCGACGGAAGGTGATGTTGACTCGCCCTCTGTCTGCCTCGGCACCCTTGCGCTTCGGTATGCTATGCAACCAGTTCGACTGCGTGGGACCGCGCATGAGAACCATATCCCCGCTCCCAAGCAACAGCTTAATGTCCCTCGTCTCCAGCTTCGCCTCGCCCTCCCTGGGCAATTTATGCTTCATCAGAAAATCTCTCTTAGCGCCAAGCGTGAACGAAGCGATCGCCGGGTTTTCCCCCAAGAAGCGCTCGTCATCGCTGTGGAACGAAATGCTATCACTTCCCGAGGCGTAATAATTGACCAAACAGAAATTATACGTCGTATTGGTGTTCGCTTCCGTGACCCGGCGTAACAAGTCCAAGCACTCCGGGATCGGGCGCGGTCTGCATCGGTACTTGTCCCGCCGCACCGTCCTGTCCAGGTCAGCGGCTTCGACGATCCGGGCGCCATCGTCGACGAACCGGCTCGTCGCGTCGAGGCCGAACACGGTCGTGAAGCGCGGCGTGTTGATCACCGTCTCCTTGCCAAAGCGCTTGATGGTGTAGCGGACACGGTAGAAGAAGAGCTCCGAGCGCAGAAAGTGGAATACCTCTCTTTCGATGGATTTGGGGATAAAGGGTTGGAAATACAACAAGTCGAGGTGCGGCTGGTCTTTGATTTCACGACCCTGAGCTGTAACCAGGAGCTCGAGTTCCGACGAGATATGTGCCGGTAGATGCGGGATTGGCCACGGGTAGGACGGATGATTCGTGTATTGGCGGGGGGATTGGTTTGGTTTCGGATATAGGGTTGATGATACTGGTATTAGTGGTTGCAACGTCCCTTCCAGCCGTTGTTTCTTTGGCGTACTGGAGAAGAAGCTGTCGAGCGTCCTTTTGGACATGGTGTTGAGGACCGGTGATGGTATACTCCGTAGCCAGCTACAGTACAGTCCGTCCCGTTTCCCGGCCAGGTTGTATCCTCTCGCGCCGTGGGCTGATTGTATTTATTGCGAGAAGATCCCAAGATACAAAGGACAGTGTAGGACACTAATGCAGATGTACCTGTGTACTGTGAGTAACTTGTCGTGTGCTTGTACGTGAACTCCGTCTGCGATACCAGGCACGGCGTGCCAGGTATTGATCAAGAACGTCATCGACACTGTCGTACCTCGTACGAATAGGGAGTACGAAAGTCAATTACCCCTCGACGCGCACGACGCGTTGTTGCGCGTGTTGGAACGGGCAAGCACAGACGCAGGTACAAGCTACGAGGTGCCGTCCACTATCGTGTTATCGCTTCACGTGACGTTCTTCTCTCGTGTCGCCAGGTCTTATGTACCTTAGGTACGGAGTACTCACTGCCCGTTTTGTTGCGTCCCCGCTGGTGTCGCTCCCTTCGAACAATGACGTAGTGTATCCTAGCGACCTACCTCGCAGGAGAGTCAGCGAGAAACAAACGCTTGAAGTGGACTACTCCGCATTCTTGGGCAACTGGCTCAGCCTCGGCGGGAGCGTTTACTTACCCGGAATGGCACTTTAGTCCGTCCGTCCCACTCGGCTTGATATAAAAGAAGTGGGTGGACTGAACTTGCGCCTGCAGTACTGTGTCTCGTTCCAGGTGTACATGGTATTTATTATACCCCCGTCTAACAGGATCTGACAGTCGCAGCACACACCCGTTTCCGAAAATGGTCTATCAACCAGAGACATACTACCTCACCCCGAACCAGCACTGCCCTAACCATGACTGGCCGGTCCTCATCTATCGGGACTGTCTCCCCCTGCCTCTCTCAGAGGAGAAAACCACTGCGTTTCTGGAGTCTCACGCCTGGGAGAAGAAAGGTGTCTGGGGCCATATCGCGTACAAGCATTTCCACCCGAACACGCACGAATGCTACGGTAAGACCACGGACCATGTAGACCGGTGGCTTGCTTGCTAGCTAGCTATCAGTCTGCCCGACCGGCGCGGTACGAGTAGCCTAGTGATACTGATGAATTACGCGCAGGTGTCTTCCAGGGCGAATCGACTATCCTGGTGGGTTGCGGCACGAATGACACGGGCGGTGGGCAGGAGATCGAGGTCCGCGCTGGAGATGTCATCGTCCTGCCGGCGGGGACAGGCCACTGCTCGCTCCAGAGTAGTCTGGATTACCGGTACATAGGTGTCTATCCTGAGGTGAGAGGCCGCTGTTGTGTCAAATGAGGAACCGGCTATGCCGCGGAGGTGGTGCTGACTGACTGGGTTGTGTTCGAAGGGTTCTCCGATGTGGCGTAGCGAATTGGGCAAGCAGGCTGTGGGGAATAAGTTTGCCGAAGAGATAGAGAGCGTCGTAGTGCCGGCTCAAGATCCTGTCAATGGACCGGAGGGGCCGTTGTTGAACTTGTGGAAGAGGGGATGATGTTTGGCATCGCATGTCCTGGTACTGTATTTTGATGGGGCGAGATGACACTTGAGAATCTACGAGACGCTAGGAATGCCCCGTGCTTCACTGTAGAGCCGCTATTCCTGGAATAGCGTCTTGGCATTGAGCCTTGCATGATTCGTCTCCAAAATCTGTCTCCTGCTGGTACTGTAGCAGGTAAACTCGGTCAACTTCAATCGAAATCGGGCGACTGCGCATGGCAAGCTTCTTGCGTCGACTCTACTCGACTTCTCAATCGCCCCTTTCAGATGTTGTAAGCAAAAGGATGAATCTCAACTCGGCAGATTTGCCAAAGGTCTTTCTCCCACCAGTCAATCGGTCGATGCAGGTTCTGGATAAATCCTTCTTCCGGAAAGTCGTGCCCTTGGCTGCAGCATCTATCTCCGACGTCAAACAAATCACCAATGTGCGGAAGGATCTGGATCGATCCGGGGACATATTGAAGATCAGTCCCATAAGACACCTGCGAGAGGACGACTCCGCTCCCGGCACGAAGTGTATTTTGCTAAGACATGGAATTGAAGCAGACAGTATGATCCGGCTGTCTGAACTTCTGGATCAAGTCTGACCCGTTGGCAGGACCGAGCACGTGGTCGCCCACGCTCACCAAACTGGTGAATGACAATCTCGCCCGAATCCGACCTTACGACCTGACTCTCACGTACGACGACTGGACGATGCGTACGTGAGTCTGCAGACGAGATAATCGCCCCGGCATCATAACTGACAGGCAACGCTAGACAACATCCTTGAAGCAATACTGCCTGAAATTCCGGAAGAGGAGAAAGAAACTCCGGCAGGCTTTGCCCAGGTCGGCCACGTCGGTATGTGTTCCAGGCGCCATGCTTTTGCGGAATTTTGGCTGACACATCTGAGCCCACGTGAATTTACGAGAACCGTACTTACCCTACAAACATCTGATCGGGCAAATCCTCGTGGACAAGAATCCCAATATTACCACAGTCATCAATAAGACCTTCGACGTTGGCACCGAGTCGGTCTTTCGAACATTTCCGTACGAAGTCCTCGCCGGGCCCGATGACTTGGACGTTACCGTGCGCGAGTCCGATTGCGAGTTCAAATTCAACTTCGGCAAAGTCTACTGGAATTCGAGGCTGGGCACCGAACATGCTCGGGTATTCGAGACTTTCCACGAAGGCGAGGCCGTGTGCGACGTCATGGCCGGTGTTGGACCATTCGCCATTCCTGCAGGCAAAAGAAAGGTCTTTGTCAGGGCCAACGATCTCAATCCCGACTCTTACGCCAGCCTGGAGGATGCCATCAAACGCAATAAAGTCGACGCCTTCGTAACGGCTTCGTGCGATGACGGCAGGCATTTCATCCGCGCAGCCACCGAAGCATTAGCGAACTCGCCACGAACGGCCAAACTCCCCGCGAAAGTCAAGATATCCAGGAATCAGAGCAAAGAAGACATCCAAGCGCTCAAGAAAGCGGCCGACGATGCTGCCAAAGTCCTACAAGAGCCGACTGTATTCTCCCACTACGTTATGAATCTTCCTGCGAGCGCTATCGAATTCCTCGACGCATTCAAAGGACTATATCACGGTCGAGAAACAGATTTCGAACCTCACACGTCGCAGAAACTACCCTTAATTCACCTCTATCTGTTTCAGACGAAGCTCACCGCTGAAGAGGAAGAGCTTTTCGAGATCTGCGAAAGGATTTCGAAGCATATCGGCTCGGAAGTGAAAATCGATGATCCGGAGCTCGACGTGGATATTCGGTACGTGAGGCTCGTCGCGCCGAAGAAGAAAATGTTTTGCGCCAGCTTTAGGATTCCGAGGAGCGTTGCTTTTGCGCGACCTTGAGGGGGTTGGTTCTCGTTAGCGATGCAGGTCTACAAAACTGTTGATGTACAGCTGCAGGGAACCGCTCGTTCATGAAGCAGCTCTCAGCATCTGTGAGAACGCGAACATCCAAATCGGTGGCCTCTGAGGATCAACCCTGTTTGACGACCCGCCTAACCATATAAGCCATGCATTCTTCTGGAAACCAACTCGCCTATTCCGTCAGCTGCCAACATGGCTTCTCGTCTCGATGTGCAAGGGTTATGCCATCCCAGCTCGTCAGACTCCCTCTTCTTTCCGCATAGAGCCCATGATGGGTCTCGTCGCCTCCTCCTTCCAGACGGCAGCTACGATATAATGCGATGCGCTCCTCGGTGGTTGTCACGTGTTGAAGACGTCTTCTACACGACCACAATCCCCACTGTCCCAAATCCCTGGCTGCCAGGCGATCTGGCACCGCCACTAATACTGAAAGCAAGCGTCGTCTCTGCGACCCCGGTGTCTCCGCTGGGTCACACGATGTATAACCTCCTCTGGCAACTCCGCTGCGACATATACAGTAGCTCGGCTGGTAGATGTTTCGACCAGGACAACGCTACTGTCGACTACTCCGTTGTTTGGAACGGCTTTAGATACGAGGTGTTTGGATAATAACTACGAAAACAAGCTGTTATTGATGGCTTGGGTCTGGATGAGGATGTCCATTTCCTTGATCCTAGCTCTTAAGGCTCTGCTTGCCAGCCTCGGTCTTATCAGATAGTCACAGCCATCTCAGGAGTTTTGTGCGTCACCTTAATATCTCAATCACAATACTCAGACTCGGAGATTATGTCAAGAGCGACGCCATCCTTTGTCCATGGTGGTTGGCCTTGTTAGTGTTGCGCACTAGGTTAGTCAGTGGGGTGACCGAGAGTGTGAGTGAGCGAGCAAGTGACCGAATGGATAGTTTGAAGGAAGTGAAGAATGATATAAAGTCCCATATATCAACGCCTGACCGCCATTCCTGACTACCGAGCGAGATGGGATCTGCAGTAGATGTGCTGTATGTGTCACCACTTGTTAGGGATGGGGAAGCACACCGTCGAGAATACAACTGCGGAATCGTCTTTCAAACCCACGTAGTCGTCCCGGCAGCTTTACTTTCGTCTGCCTCCTAAGCGTGTGGCGATACTTCTGCAGAGGCTAATTAGAAAACAGACAAAACGTCGCTGAGGGCCAACAATCGAATGATTGTAGACGTCCTGTGTAGACTCCTGCCCTGACGTGCTGCATGTGCCGCACTGTCAATGGCTAGCATAGGCTATCCTGCCCGACAATATCCATTTCCAAGTCAACTCGACTCGATTCGATTCAACTCGACTCGATTCGATTCAACTCAACCCAACTCAACAGCTCGGTACCATCAGCGCGAGAGCTAACCCCCCGCTTCAGCCGAGACGAGCACCATCAACTTCTACGTTCGTATCGTCGGCTTCGACCTCGACTTCGAACCCCACTCCGACTCCGACTCGTTCGCCTTCCCGACGCATCCAGTAAATCCCTCGCTCCCCGGATCGCCAGTGCAGTCACCGACGCTGCAAGTGCGCCTTTGATAAAGCCATCGTCGTTCTTCCTTCCTTGTGTGAGAGCGTGGGACCGACTCGATGGCCGACGGGTAGGCGTCCTGCTCCGAGTTCGACTCCAGCTTCGACTCCAGCTTCGACTTCGACCACCTCGACTCTGACCTCGCGGCTGAATTCTCAGCCGTGGCTGTGGTTGTGGCGGTGGCGACGACGACGACGACGACGACGACAACGACGACCGAACACCCTTCCCGCCACGGCTCCCGCTCGCCGAAGAACTCTCCCTCTCCTCCCACACCCCTCTGATCGGCGATCGACGCCCGCTGACCCGTGTTTCGGAACGAATCGATCCTTCGTGGAGGAAGCGGATTGTCGACCTGGACCTCGACCTGGAACGGCTCCGTTCGTAGGACCTTCGTCGATGGGGGTTCGCTTCGTAGAACGGATGGGGGAACCGCGAGGCCTTGAAGATTGAACCAGATATAGCAGACGGGCGACGCGCCATGATTGCTGTTGTTGGTGGAGAGTGTGGCGATCTGGGATAGGGGACGGGGGCCCCACGAGTCCGGACGACGAGTTCTTCTTCGATGCGTCGACGGCCGTTGGGGAAGTGCGTCGTGGTGTTGATGTATGTCGTTTGCTGGCACTGCGTTAGTAAGGGACGGAGTGGTGGATATTTACGTTACTGGTGGCAAGGGGGGTGGACTGGAGGGCAACTGACGCGTGTTCGGCTGCTAGACATGTCAACTTGTGCAGAATCTGTGGATTCGGCAAATGGGTCTTGACAGTCTCAGAAAGATGTATGTTGTGTTGGTTGAAAAATATGAGGAAGGAAATTGGCGGCCAGACCAGATTAAGTACTGCTTGCTGCTGGAGAGCATCACTGGTTGTGCCGTCACAGGTGAAGGCTGGAGGTGCCTGGAGTGTTAAGGCGTGAGAAGGCAGTGCGTGCGGTGACAACTCGTGTTGAGGCGGCAGTTATGAACTCGAGTGAGCGCTCAAAGGCAAAGGCTGTGACATGTAAGGGGAAGAGCAGTAGCATCACCGCGAGAAAGTCACTTCTCACCGTTGAGTTCGGTGGATGGCGAGCAGAAAACAAAGACAAGGCTGTTGCAGCCTTGCGATGATTATTTCCAGACATATCCTCTGCAACTGACCAGCCTGGGAACATGCCCTTGTTCTTCCTGCCCAAGCTTGGGTTGATCTCCACTAGGTCACAGATCTTATTTATTGCAGGTCCTCATTGCACAGCAGTGTAGCTCTTGAATCAGCACCGTCGCTTGAAACAGCACAAACAATGGTTGATACAGTTCGTGGTAATGCTCACCATCCGCGCAAAGACTGATCGCACATTCCACCGCAATGCCGACTTTTTGCCTGTGACTTCGGGACCGGGCATCGCAAAAAGCAGTGGCGTCCCTTCGGTGTCTTGGGAGCTTGACGAGGACGCCGGCAAAAATGACTTTGGTCCCGGCCTGGAGATCTGTCGCGGCGGCTCGGGTGTTTCGCGCCAGCCCGTATCGATCGACGACAGCGAAGTAAACGAGGGCCGAGAAGATGTAGTAGAGGACGATCGGTGTCTCATGGTTTCTGTGTGGTGATCTATCCTTGAATGCCATGAATCCAGCCCTGTTTCTCCTGACGATGATAGGAGAGCACAGGAGGAGGGAGGCTTGGGCGGCTCATTGTACCCAGGGTGGATCGTGGGCAGCGAACACCAGGCCGAGCCGGAGTGGTCAGAAGATATGGAGGAACGTGACCTCTTGCTCGCCAGAGGCAATGAAAGGATAGGCGTCTCAGGTCGAGGAGTTGTCGCAGTTGCAAGCTGGGAGGACTGGCTGTCTGATTCGGGTTCAACAGCAGCACTACTTTCTGAAGTCGCTTGCGATTCTGCATGTTGTGGACGGAATCGTTCCCAGAGAAGAAGCCTGTAGAGGCCCAGTTGTTCCCTGATACCCATCGGAGCGCCTGTAGCTGGAGCCAGATCGGTCGTCTGTATCATCTTGTCAACGTGGGCGCAGATTTAGGATATACAGGTGTGGGTGGGCTGTTGGGTTCGGGTTGCTGGAAGTAGGGAGGCGACGTTTGTGAGAGAAGATGTAAGAAGATAGAGTGGAACGAACAGGAGGCCTTTAGCTTGAGCTGGAGATCCGTCTGTAAATGCTTCATTTTTAGCAAGGGTGTTTTATTTATCACCTCTGTTTATTCCGAACAACACACTCGTCATCAAAGGACATGAATAGCAGGTGGTAAACATGGCTGTTTGACTGCTGGAATCACGGCCCGCGCTGAGCATTCAGCTAAGGACTGGCCGGTGATATGGCCTCTTGGGCATAAGGTCCTCCTTCACTCCCTTCTCGCCATCGACAATTATGCTGCTCGCCATTGGATGGCCATTGTGACGTAGATTGCTTCGACGCCAGCTCGATAGCTGAACAATCGAGAGGTATGAAGACGCCGACTATCTTCCAGGCGTCGTCAGCACCTGAAGAAACTTGTCCTCCGGGTGATACTGTCACTAGCGCGGCCCTGCTGTTTGGGCGCGCTCACTCCCTCAAACGTCATTGTGCGACTTTCCGCCCAGTTTGTCTTATCGTGAAGCGGTGATGCGGACTACGGGCAGCGTTCGCCATGGCATGTCTTGAGATATTCCAAATTCAGAGGAATAATGTGTGAAGGCTGTCTCTTCAGAGCGCCGCCTGTCTCTTCAACCTCTGCAACTCCCGACAGATCCCCTCAATCTCCTCCTCGCCCACGATGCCATCCTCAACCTTCTTCTCCAGGCTGGGGATCAGGGCCTTCGCCTCATCCGCACATGTTGGGACCAGACTACCCAACTGAGACTTCTCAAACCTCTCCAGACTCGGGGCGTACCCATTGATAATGCCTTCAACCTCTTGCGCCTCGGCGAGGTTCTTGAATACAGCAAAGATCTCCAGGTAGTCCTTTGTTTTCTCGAGGTTCTCGGTGGGATTGACGACCGTGTTGTTCTTCTGACGGGTATCGAGGGTCTTGAGCAGCACAATGCGTGCTTCGGAGAGGTTGAGCGTGACTTCGTTAGCGAATTCGCCCAGTTTGAGGACAGCGCCGGCTTCGAGGTCTGAGGTTGCGGTAGGAGCGACGCGCGAAGGCGCTGCGTGAGGCATCTTGGGCCACTTTGTCACGATTTCTCAGAGTGCAGAGTTTTGAAAGACTGGGTTCTAAATATTGGTAGAGGTGAGGCATTGGTGGAGTGTGGAGGCATGCTGAATGGCAGTCGAGAGATGCGCAGTGCGCAGCCGTAGCTGGAATAAAGATAATCCGCTCACACCTTGCGACGTTGATTGGACAATTCAAACCTGGAATACATTACTCCCAAGTTCCTCGGTACAGAGTACAGACTACACAGTCTCGCCTGTGGAAAAGGAACGTGCTACGAATTTCCCATATCCTGAATTTGATCCCTTGCGACAAGTCGTCGTCATGTTGTCACTGTGTCTCATTACCACCATCATGGCTGCCAAAGATGACCAGAGCAAAGTTGTAGGAGAGGCCTGGTAGAGGGAGCTCTATGGGTCGCACTCCAGCGGCTTGTGCGCTGCAACCATATAGCCTTCAAGGCCACTAACCATCAAAACGGTTTTACTCACCGGTCGGTCTTTTGGTGACTTATTCCGCACAACTCGTCAGCCTTGCAACGACCATCGCCCACCATGCGGTGTTGCATTGTGGGCTTGACGTAACTGCCGGGTCACTGTCACCTTTTCAACTGCCAGAATGTCTAGATTTGCATTCCTAACTCTACCTAGTACAAAAACAAGCAGCTCACCAGGACCTGACTCACGAATTCTTGCACCAGGGCGATCCCGCTGGGTCACCCTAACCCAGAAGTCCTGTGCCATGCACCTGTTAGCCTTGCAGGCACCCGGCAGGTCTTCCGATGTGTTCATGATGTCATCAAGGTCTGGAGCCTTGAGACGGGTTCCTTTGAGACAGTTCTTTCAATGGAGAAGATACTCCGTACCCCGTAGAGGAGGATGTGGTGGCCGGGGTTTATCGGCAGGTCAAAGCTTCACCAGTCATGTCTGACATGCCACACGACGGTAATGGCGAGGAAAGCCGCGAAGTCGTGAGGTCAGACAAAATCAATTTTCATGCAGTCAGCCTTGCCAACGTCTCGGCGGCTACTCAGCCACTGGGGGCTGTAGAAGCCTCCTAGACGTCGCAGCTAGACCCTGGTCTTCAGCGCGTCCAGGGACAAAGAGCTTTGACCTCCTTGGGTACCCGTACCTATCCCACAGCTTGGTCACTTGACGATTCTACCGTTTCCATTTTCACAGCTTGGTCACTTGACGATTCTACCGTTTCCATTTTCACAGTATGGAGCACGCACGCCGCTCCACGACGTTAAGAAGCCCGGAAGAACTACACAACAGGAAAGGACTTAGGCTGCCCATGCTACAGCTCGCTTGCCCTCTGGTGGTGTGTTGCGAGGACAGGTGGCCAAATAACCCTTTCGTCTGGCCTCACACCCACCCGCATCAACAGCATCTGCACATGTTTGTCGGCGACCCCGTGATTTCTCTTCGAACGTAAGGCGGCTTCATCCACTATCGATGGGAGCATTCATCGAGCCTTGCATACATTGGGCACGGCGAGCCTACACAGTGTGGTCAGTATGGCGTTTCCGCCCGAAGTACTCCGCATTGGGTACGAAATGCTGCGAAGGCATGCCAGTATCCTTGCGTACCTTTCGTCACACACCCAAGAGGCCCTTGATGATTCTGGTGCTAGCCAATTCCGGCAGTACTAAGCACGATCGAAGGTGATTTGGTGGATGCTTCATGAGGCCTGAATTGTGGCGCCTGCACGGCCACGATGCGGCTCTCCAAAGGTCTTGAGGGGTTCGACTTTGACACACCAACAGTCTCTCTTTTGGGAGACCCAGCGCTAATTTCCTCCTGGACTGAGCTTGCTAAGGTTGACGCTCCCGTCGCCGTTGGCCCCTTCTGATGGCGGGAGAAGAGAGGTCGACTCGGATTCATCACCCCGTCCTCCGTCTTGTGCAACAAACGTAGCTGCCCGCCGTTGCTGTGATGGCTGACATAATTTGGCGCCACATCTCTGCGACCGCTATCGTGACCGCCACCCAACCCTGTTTTCAACAGGCAAACGAAACAACATGGGGGCTAGAAGAAAGGCAGCCCCCATGAGAACCAGCAGGTAGGGTGATGTGACTAATGACACCCATGTGCGTGCCCCTACAGACACCCGTGCGAAGTTGCGAGAACCTCGGAGCAAGTCGACTTCGCACGATGGACAAAACCCGCCAGGCCAAATCACCAGGCTGCCTTATTTTCGCCATGCGAACCAGGGTGGGAATTCGCCCAAAATGCGGTCATGCCCATGAGCAGCCAACCTCAATCATGATCTCGCAGCGGTGCGTTGGGCCAAAAGGATCTTATCCCTTGCATTGAATACCAAAGTCCCCAATCAGCAATCTCATTCTTCGTCCAGCCGACCCGCCCACGATCCGGTTCCATTATCTCAGTGAACCTAGTTGCATTGATACTGCCCTTAACAAATCAGCTGGCCACTTCCATAGCCTTGCGGAATGGAATCGGAATATACTTGTGGCAAGCGATTTTGTCTGCACCAGATCACCATGCTCTGCACCGTTGTTCAAGGCCGTCTCTCCTGACACTCGCTGTCAAAGGTGGTTATAACCCGGCCATCCCTCAAGATGTCGACGATCTTCAGCCAAGAAGGATTCTAGGCATCTATCCAAAATCAACAGTCAAGGCACGAAGTCAACCAGAGAACTTATTACTCGTCCGACGTACTCTTCTGCCCCTCCTTGTCCCCGAATCATCCACAGTGGAATCCTCCCGCTGCAAGACCATTTGTATCCCCCTTGGTAGTGTGCAGAGAACGAAGGATCGATCCCATCATCACCATCGACACACTTAGCCAACCATCAGTCAGCCCTTGGATGTCCGATCGACGCCGCAGGAGCCACGAATACTACTCAGAGAACCCCGTCATCATCGAACGAGAACCACAGGTGCGTACATACCGCATCATTCGAGAGATATCACCCAAGAGGGAGCGACTGACCTTCGGATCGAAGCTCTACAACCTCTTCCGAAGCCGTCGGAAGAGAGTGCACATCATCGAAGAAGGACCTGTTCGAAGCCGCCGTCAGGAGCGACGAAGCCTGACTCCTCCGTCCTCGCCTCGAGGACCATATCACACTATGGCGGTAGACCCGGAAGACGATATTTACACCCCGCTACCTCCTAAGCTGCCACCAAAGAAGACACGCGATGAGGATGAACCAAAACGATACGTCCTGGAGGAGAGGTCTCCTCAACGGTACCGCAAAGTCAAAGTGGTCCATGAGCACTTCGATGACGACGACGCTCATCCAAAGGTGGAAAGTCCCTCGCCACCTCGCAGCAAGCGCGACAGCGGCACGTACTACATGTCGGGGGCCCGGGTCGACGAGGAGCATGATCGACCTCCCAAAGAATATGAACGTCGGCGCCCCGTATCGGATCCTGAGGTGCAGCGGCTGCGTGAGGACCTGGAACGACTCAAGCTCGAGCGTCGCGATGCTGAGCTTGCTGCTCTGGCGGCCAAAGACAAGGCCGAAAGACTCCAAGCAGACCTCGAATACGAAAAGCGGCAAAGATCTCTGGAGAAACGCGAGCGAGATATTGCCAGACGAGAAGACTGGCTGAACCGACAGCGGGAGCAGCTCATGGAAGCCCGACCTCCTCGTGAACGACAAGAGGTTGTCGTTGTCCATAACCCCCCTGCTGGGGCACAAACCCGTGATCCCAACCGATCCGCTTTAGACAGAGCTAGGGATGACTACCAGCGCGGACAGCAGGCCGCGGATGCCCGACGAGCTGCCACAGGGGATCGCCATGCTCGTCGGGAGAGGATTATCATCGTGGACGATGATGAGCAAGACCGCGACCGGGGACATCGACGTCGGTAGTCCCCAGCGGGATGAGTGGGTTTCCTTGGCCGACCTGAGGCTGCATCGGACCAAGGCATGGATAAACAGGGCTGCTGCAAAGCAAGGAAAAAGGTTGGGAGGGCGTTTAAGGGCCAGGATGGGCTCACCGAGGGGGTACATATACCATTCAGGGCTAACGGAGGCTGTTCCTTCAGCAACACTTTGTGTCATCTACGATTCCAAATCTGGTCACTCGTTTGTCCAGCTCCAGGCACAGGGGCCTATATTTTTGGTGGCGTCAAGAAAGACTGGGCGACCAAGGCCTGGTCAGGCTTCTCGGCGCAAGACAGATCGGACATCAACTCGACTTTGTCAGTACGTAGATAGATCAATGGATATACCAGGAACGATCATCGCATCGCGGCATGAGCCTCAGCCTCGTGGCCTTTTTCCCATGCTTGACCTGCCGATCATTCAAAGATTTCGTGCAGCAAAGATTCGACGATCGGGTCGCGGTGGATCTTCATGCTCGGTCGGCGGAAACGTGGTGGGCCAGTCGGTTGTTCAGGCAGGATCCAGAGGCTAGAGAGGCCTAGACTTCGCTCCGGGGGCCTATCACCACCGCCGACACCTGAAGGAGCCAGTCCAGATGCCCGCAATCATAGGCAGCTAACTGCCCTGATTGCACGCAGCGGGCTGCTTATTGCGCAAAGGCGAAGAATACATGTACGCAATCACCCGCCGCGGTTCCATGGGCGCCGCAAACCAACCGGATGGCAGCCCAGCGAGCTAGATGATCCCACAAGTTTGGATCCTTGATTTTTTGTGAGGTCGCGCGTGACTCGTCGACCTTTTCTGGAACAGAGAGGTTACATTAACGTGCCATGAAAGAGCCGCGCATCACGGGTGTTGTTCGACGAGCACTGTAACTGCTGTGGCTCTCGGTTGGGCCTGAGAAATTCCTCGAGGCTGCCGCGCTTCGAACCCTTTGTTTCTGTCGTCGGTCGCCGTCCAACAGGGTTTCCTGCATCATCGATGCTGTCATTGCGACTGTGATGCACCCTCTTCACCCGCCTGTCCAAGCCTGATCGTTCCATTGGGGAGTTGGCAATGCTCCCGTCTCCCGCAGCTCCGCGCCTTATTCATCCTGGTCTCGAGCCGTGTATCGCACGGAGCTCAAAGTCAAAGCTGCGCTCAGCCCACCTGTTGCCCAATTGGTCCTGATCACGATCACAAGCTCTCTGTCCGACATCCTCCTCTCTCTCCGCAGGGCTCCCGTCTGTCAATCCTGCCCTTGAAAGGCGCCTGACGCCGCCTCTGGGATACTCTTCATCGCGCCTCCATCAAGCCGAGGTGGTTGCGCCGACGAGTCACATTCGACGATCCTGCAAGGCTGTCCAGGGCCCCGAGAGGAGCACAGTTCCCACCCAACCCTCGATAGGAGCTCGACCATGACAACTTGCCGCCCGTATCAGACAACAGCAGCGAGACGCGTCTCTCCGCCTACGCTCGAAGTCGGCTGATCGGGACGCACACTACTGGTACGTGACGCACAGGATGGCGGATTTGGAAGACCACGGAGATCCACAAGAGCAGGCCACAGGCACATCCTCGTCGCCAAAATTACCCGCCCCTCCTGAGCCGGAGAACGACAAAGGAATCATTCCCCCGATCAAGAGCCCGCTGCTGGAAGGCCTAGATGACATCACACCCGAGAACGTGGACATCTTCAACCTCGAGGCTGTTTCTGCCCTGAAACTACTGTGCCGCAGTATCGACACGCTCGTTCAACTGACGGGCGATGTGCCACCCACGCCTCCAGCACGTAGTCGGGGTGGTTCGCCAGCCCGCAGCCTCTCCAGACTGCGTGAGTCCATGACAGCAGACGCGTATGCTCTAACCCCGAAGAAAGAGAATGTCGGATTACAGCCGCTGGGATCGACGCCTCGCCACGAGCACATCGACGGAGTGCCTTTTGTGAAGACGCCGATAGGGTCGCCGGAGGCGCACGAGCACGAGCCGACGTCGGCAGCCAACATCGTCGGAGCGGGCGCCCAGCCGCTGTACGTCCAACACGGCGCGCTGGCCCGAAAATTCTACTCAAAACGCCCTCCCCCGATCTCTACCGAAGACTACCTTATGCGCATGCACAAGTACTGTCCTATGTCAACCGCGGTGTACTTGGCAGCTTCGCTCTACATCACGCGTCTGGCCATTCAAGAGAAGGTCTTGCCTGTCACACCGCGCAATGTGCACCGTCTGCTCTTGGCCTGTCTGCGAGTCGCCATGAAGGCGCTCGAGGACCTGTCATGGCCCCACGCCCGCTTTAGTAAAGTGGGTGGCGTGTCTGAGGGCGAGTTGGGCCGACTGGAGATCACCTTCTGCTACCTCATGGACTTCAGTTTGAAGGTCGACTCGGCCATGTTGCAGAGCGAAGCCGAAAGCCTGTGTCGACAGAATCGCTACGATTCGGTGATTTTCGATTCTCCGATCAGTCGCTTCGATCTCCTTCTGCCGGACGACGCCGCCGACAGGCGGTCCAGGGGTGCTGAGAAGCGGAAGGCCAGCAGCACTTTGCCCAGTAGGCCCGTGGTTCAAGTCAGTGGTGGCATCGAGGTCATGGGACAGTCATGAAAGACGCGCAGGGAAGTTGTCGGCAGGGTTATGCAGGTCGGGAACTGTACGATTTATGAGGCGATCCACGAGGCCACCTGGGATGGATTTGGACAGGATAGCAACCTCCTTGGTGCAAAGGGTGGAAAATGCCACTGCGTCAAATGAGGGTGGACAGCTTGACAAGCACGTTGGAAATTGAATTGCGTCTAATGCCGCAAATACTCGAATACAAGGACATGCAACTGCATCTTCTCCAGCAAGACTCATTTCCGGGTTGATTAGGTCTTACCGTGGGACATGTGCGCCATCGTGGCCAGTCCCGGTGGCTGCTGCGTCTAGATCTTACAGTACGTGCTCGTTGAGTAACCTGAAGGGGCAAACTGCCGAATCAAGAACCCATCCATCACAAGTCGCGCATGAGTGGAGCAGGAGAATGAATCTCGATGCCGAGGCGCTGCAGCAATCTGTCCGGCATCAGACCGGCAGCAGGGAGCGCGACCACCAGATCCATCACATTGGAAATCCAGCTTCACGGTTCGTGGTATCGGCATGCAACAGGACGTGATTTGTGAGAGGAAAACCCGTCGACACCCGGGACTCAAACGCGAATGCCATACTCTTGATATCGCCAGCATGTTCAAATACAGTATTACCTGTATGTAAAAGTCCGATGTGCAGAATGTGAAAGGTATTAATCCCCCTCCCGCTGCTTGGCTTGGCATTCGCACATTGTCGGCGTCCAGACCGAAAATGGCACACAGGGAAAATGCTCTACCGCGGCCACTTTGCCAAATGCCGATCGAAAAGCCCCGAGCAAGACGACGATCCTGAAGCAACCCGAGAAGAATCTTGATTGGCAACAAGACACCACAAGACTTTGCGGTCCTATCAAGCGCTTCCACCCCTGACAGTGTACCACTTGTATTTTCTCCTCCCGGCAGTCCTCGATCCTGATGAGTTTTAGATCCGGATTTTGGATCTCGTGCGATGCTACCTCACCACAAATCCTGTGGAGTAACGCTCGTCGGCTATTGACCAACAGCTCCTGCTCCCTTTGCCTCCACCAATGCGCTCCATGGTGCGTATGGGAACACAATGCGGAATCACCATCGCGCATTCTGTCTCGTCTCATTGGATCGCAGCCGCAGCATGGGGAGGGAGACTGATGTCGAAAATTGCGACGGTGGAGACTGCAAACTCGGTCATCGTTTGCCCGCGTGACTCTCGACCTCCCTCGAACGAACTAATGTCCTTCTGAGTGATACTGTTCCCACTTCCGTCTGTTTCTTCGAAGAAGGTAATTCCTGCACCTCTTGCACCTGCTCAAGGGCCATCCCCGATCCCCACGACCAGCGTCGTGATTACCCCGGACTTGATCGGCATTCGCTGTCTCGCGGGACCCCGCAGACTAAAACCGTGAAGGCAATATAAAGGAGGAGCTGGCCGGACGATCGGCGGGGTGATTGAATCTTCTTACTCGAAGCTCATCCGTCTGTCGGGGCTTCAATTCTGATTGCCAGGAGGCCGGGGAGAGAGGCAAGGCGCCTTGATTCACCTAGACACGTGCCGCATTCACCACCACATGATCGTTACAGGGGATTTATTTCCAAGCAAAGCAAAATCAACTGAAGACCTCGATCCCACAGCCAGGCTCCGGCCAACACTCGCAACCATGTCTGAAAAGGTGGTCGAGGAGAATGTCAGCTCGCCTGAAATTTCCGGAGCCGCACCCGAGCACCACGACAATATGGGCCGGCGGAAGAGTCTCGAGAACGTCATCCTCAACGCGCAAAGAGCGACCGAGAAAGAACACAAGATGAGCTTGTGGCAGGGTATCAAGCTCTACCCCAAGGCCGTCGGCTGGAGTATCCTCATCTCGACGTGCATCTGTATGGAAGGGTACGATCTCTGCTTGTTGAGCAATTTCTGTAAGTGCCGCTTCACCAGACATTCGATACTATTAAGCACTCGCATACTGACTTCCCTCATCCCAGATGCCTTCCCCCAGTTCCGCAGGAAGTACGGCGAGCAACTCCCCGATGGCAGCTACCAGATCCCGGCGCCCTGGCAAGCCGGCCTCAGTAACGGCGCCAACGTCGGTGAAATCATCGGTCTCTTCATCAACGGCATTGTTTCGGAGCGTTTCGGTTACCGCTACACGGTCATGGTCTGTCTTACGCTGATCATCATCTTCACGGCCGTCTTCTTCACGGCCCAGAACGTGGAAACCTTGCAGGTGGCCGAGATTCTGTGCGGGATTCCCTGGGGAGTCTTCCAGACCTTGACCATCACGTACGCGTCGGAAGTGTGCCCGGTCGCCCTCCGCGGCTATCTCACCACGTACGTGAATTTCTGCTGGGGTCTCGGCCAGGTCGTGGGCATCGGCGTCATCAAGTCGATGCTCCCGCGCGACGACCAGTGGTCGTACCGCATCCCGTACGCGCTCCAGTGGATGTGGCCCGTCCCGCTGCTGGTGGGGATCTTCCTCGCCCCGGAATCGCCGTGGTGGCTCGTGCGCAAGGGCCGGATCCAGGATGCGAAGAAGGCGCTCCTGCGCTTGACGTCGCTGAACCGCGAGACCGACTTTGACGCCGACGAGACGATCGCCATGATGGTGCACACGACGGCGCTGGAGGAGAAGATCACCCGCGGCGCCACGTACTGGGACTGTTTCAAGGGGACGGACCTGCGGCGGACCGAGATCGTGTGCATGGTCTGGGCGATCCAGAACCTGTCCGGCAACTCCTTCTCCGGCTACTCGACCTACTTTCTCGAGCAGGCCGGCCTGGCGACCAGCAAGTCGTACGACTTCGCGCTCGGCCAGTACGGCATCAACATGGGGGGCGTGTTCGGCGCGTGGTTCCTCATGACGCTCGGCGTGGGCCGGCGATCGCTGTACCTGTACGGCCTGTGCGGGCTGTGCATCATGCTCTTCATCATGGGCTTCCTGGGCCTGGTGCCGGACGCGCACCGCGACTCGGCCGCCTTGGCGACCGGCTCCATCATGCTCGTGTGGGCGCTGTGCTACCAACTCACCGTGGGCACCGTGTGCTACTCGCTCGTGGCCGAGCTGTCGACGCGCCGCCTGCAGATCAAGACGGTCGTGCTGGGCCGCAACCTGTACAACGTCGTCGGCATCATCTGCTCGGTGCTGACGCCGTACATGCTCAACCCGGGCGAGTGGGACTGGGGCAACTACGCCGGCTTCTTCTGGGCGGCCATCTGCTTCTGCTGCATCATCTACACGTACTTCCGCCTCCCGGAGCCGGCGGGCCGCAGTTTCGCCGAGCTGGACCTGCTGTTCGAGCGCGGCGTGAGTGCGCGCAAGTTCGCCACCACAAAGGTCGACGTCTTTGACGCCACGGTCGTGCATGAGACGGTCGAGGGCACGGGCACGTTGAAGAACTACGAGGAGAAGAGGACCGGTGTGTTGCATCCGCGAGCTGGAGAGGAGGACATGCCGCCGAGGCAGTTTGTTTGAAAGTTAAGTAACTGAACCGAGTGGACTGAATTGAAGTGAATGAACAGCTTAGACTGATGTTCTGACCTTATATGGACTGGATTGTACCTGACTAAAGTCAATCAACGGCTTGGAACCATGTTCTGATTCTATGTGAACTGGACTGAGTGTACTGAACCGAAGCGAAAGCTGTTTTCGCCGGGCAAAGTAGACTGAACCGGGAAGACACTAATCTGAAGGTCATGAACAGCTCAAAGCGACGTTCTGCACCTTACACGAACTGTACTGCACTGAATTCGAGTAAATAATGGATGGAAGATTTTCATAACCCCACGTCTTTCTGACTCTGAATAAACTGGATTCAGCCAGACTGCACTGCCTTGAATTCAAGGACACGAAAGGTTCAAACCCCATGATGTTTCCGACTCTGAATAACAACTGGATTCAGCCAGACTGCACTGCCTTGAATTCAAGGACATGAAAGATTCAAACCCCACGTCTTTCTCACTCTGAATGAATGGGACCGTACTCGATTGCACTGCACTTCACTGCACTGAGCTCAAGTACACAAAAGAGCGACTCAAAGCCCGCTTGTGGTCGGACCTCGACCGGACACGACGGACTAGGTCGACTCGACCGAAGTAAACAAACAATGTAATTACATACATATATATACACACATTCTGGGTCCCAAACCGGATATGCATGATAGAAGCCCCGTTCGTCTAAACTCAAATTAACTCAACTGCTCTCAACGGAACGAATCGCAACTCACCGACACAGTGGAGTGACCGAACCTGTGTACCTGATACTCGGAACCCAGTGTCAACGAGGGAGAGGCCCACAGCCTCAGAGCCTCTGGAAGAGAATCCGAGCACTTTACTATGGTGTACCCTTGAAGTCGTCTATCGAAACATGCTACAGTACGTGGTTCCCCGCCGCTTCACACGGCCAATACGAGTACTACCATAGCATGTTTCTCATGTGGATGGATGGTCGTCAATAGGTTAGTACTGGGTAAGTTGCATGCGGTGTGCGAAAGAGAGTGCCGCCGCTTGCAGCTTGCAACTTGTATTGGGTCGAGGGTGTGTTTCATTAGACGCTAGACGACTTCATGGGTCCACCATACAGGATGCTGAAATTATCGATCTCCAAGCTTATATGCTTGGTATGAACTCCAAGGGGACGCTGCCGCCGTACATACTGGAGCACCCAATGTAAAGGGCATGATGAAGTTGGGAAGTTGTGGTTTGGCAAGGCTGCCTTTTCCGCTGGACGGGTACGGAGTACATTTTGTAGCAGAGAAGAAACCTGGCGCTCTGGTACTCCGATCGGTGGAACTTGAGCGCAAGGCTGCGTTTCTCTCCTTTCTGTTTTACCTTTTGCTTTCGATAATTAGTGCATAGAGAACATGATAGAGAACACACACCGCCCAGCTGCAGACATCACAGCCCAGTACCTTCACCAGCTCCAGGGCTAAGACCTGCCTTGACTTTTGAAGGCTTCTTCGGATGGCTGGGACGGCACGAAAAGGATCGTGATCTCGAAGTGACAGGTCTCGCTCTCCACCCACTACAGCTGTGATAGCTGTGGGGAAGAGTATGGCGTTATGGCCCTTGGTCGATCCCTTGCGCACCGTTCCTTTGAGATGTAGGGGAGTTGAGTGTGACGGAGCAGTGTCTGCCGCCGTAGAGAGGTATACCCGTTGGCCATGAAGCCTTTAATACCCTAATTAGTTCACCAGCAAGAGGACTGAACTGGATCGAACTGAACAAAGCCTATCGTAAATCTGAACTACGCCCCACCTGTACGCCAAGTGTGCCGCTTCCGATTTTCCTTTTCGATACAAAGACTCTACTGCACAGCGAGCGCAATGGCCCATCGACTTTGGATTGCCTAGCTAGGTACAAATCCAAAGTAAAGCAAAGCGAAGCGAGGCGAGACAAGGCGGTCCCTTACTCATCACACACAAGCCCACTCACTATTGTACATGGATGAGAAATGATGCTGAGCAAGGCGAGTTCCACGCCGACTTGGTACAACCTGCCCGAGAATCTGATCGAAATGCTCTGGGACTTCGCGACGCATGTACAGCGCTGTAGTTCGACGATACGCGGTATGTGGATGCGAATGCGAATGCGAATGCGAGGACGACCGGTCAGTCATTAGCTGTGAGCGATATACAGAGAAGATGCTACTATCAGGAATAGCCACTATAGCTTACCAAGCCTGTCAAGGGGCCGCCATATAACTCTCACGCTCCCCGCATGAGAGTGTCATGACCAAAGGTTCAGATACCTGAGGTATATAAGCTAAGCAGTCTAAGAACCAGACATGAATTGCCATGATTCTCAGTCTTTTCAGGCAATCCCCCAGGGGCTGTGGACCTCTTTCCTGACAGAGAGTCTCCCCCTTCGCTCATGCTTCGAGTCCTGTCTGGCCTAGAGGTCTAGAGACACCGAATACTTCTGATACCCTCGACTATTACTCTCTGCCTATCGCCTTGGGCTGTTCCCAACGGCTACAATACTAGTTGTGTAGTCTGTGAGTTTCTAGATGCGAGAAGCTAGAAGCTAGATGGTAGATGGTAGATGGTCGATGGTAGATGGTCGATGGTCGATGGTAGATGGTAGATGGTCGATGGTAGATGGTCGATGGTAGATGGTAGATGGTAGATGGTAACTACTAGACGCGAATCAGAGGCCAGATACAACATATCAAGGTCCGTGTACCTACCATTAGTCATTAACTACCAAGTAGTTAAAAAACAATGCTGTGATTGTAGTGGTGGCAGAAGGCACTGAGTGAACCTACCGCTTGAGGTTACCCGGGCGACAGGTGGTGTCTCCATCTATAGCTCCAGTAGCTAGGAGCTGTATTCTAGACATACAATCAATCATACATTCATCAGACTGGATAGACATCCAAATGGTGCACTTCTAGCAGTGATTGCCTGATTGCTCAGTCCGATTAAGAGCGTGAGTCGTGACGGGGCTTTGACGGATAGATGGATTGATCGATTCATTCATTCGTACTCCGTACTGACCCTCAAAAGCCTGCAGTATACTGTATACTCCGTACAATGGTACTAATGTCAACACGCCAATGTACACCTTACTGTCCCTATGCTGGCTGACTATGTAGCTGGCTAGCTACAGTACTGTACAGCTAAGGTTCAGACTCAGACTCAGACTCAAGTCCAGACTCAGTTTTAGACTCAGACTCGAACCTGGCACCTCCGAAGATTTGAAAACAATCTCAGTAGTGGCTCCTACTGCTCCCATAGCTAGTATTGTTGTTGTGCACCGGTTTCCTTCGTACGCCCAGAGGCCTTCCGCCTGACACACCCCCAGGCCTACCGTCAGGCACAACCCCCGGCACAGCTGGAGACCCAGACGTAAGACTCTGGGTAAAAAACCCGTCATCCTCATATACACCATTGCGACCATATCCATGTCCATACCCGTATCCATTGCCGTAGTCGTAGTGCGGGCCGCCGCTGAACCCGGGCGACGGTGTCGGTAGGGCTGTCTGGATCGGTAAAGGAGACTTTTCTGATACTAGTCCTGGTCGCCCGCCCGATCCCTGTCTTAGTTCATAGACGGCCTCTTGCTCTTGGTCTTGCTCCTGCCCGGGGATCCGACCGTACATAGGACCACCTGCGGCGGCCCAGACATTCTGCGCACTTGGCGCCCGCCCGTTAGACGGCCTGAATGGAACCTCGTCGAGTGGTGCGCGCTGACTGCCTTCTTCTTCCTCTTCGTCTTCTCCGGCACTTCCCGTCTTCATGTGGCAAGACTCGTCAGGCCGGCCCATCTTGATGATCAGCTCGTGAGGCCGTTCGCCACGCTCGACCCAGCACCACGTTTCCTTCAGCTGATCGTCTAGATGCTGCTTCTTCTTCTTCTTCTTCTTCTGCTTCTTCTTCGCCTTCTTGCTGCTCATCTCCTTGCTCGCGCTATTGCTATTTTTGGGCAATTCCCGGCTCAGTCGTCCGTCAAAGTCGTCTTGCTGGTGGTACTTCTCGATGATATCCGCAATGTTACTTTGGCGGAGGAGACTTGCCGCGCCGAGGAGGCCTACGGGTTCTTCCGCCAGGATGCTCGGATGGTAGTGTAGGTAGAAGATGAGGTAGCCGGTCGAGGCGAGCAGGATGGCGAGGATGACGAGCATGGCGATCGCCACGGGTGGCACGACATGTAACCGGTTCTGAGGCACGGCCAATGTACCCGTGATGGCGACCGGTTGGGACAGCTCCGGGTAGAAGTAAGTCAGGGCCAGCATCGTGTAGATTGCAGGGTAGATGCGGTTGGTGGCGTTGATGAGAGATTCGGCGCTGTACGACTGGCCGAGAGCCTCGATGCGGCGCACAATCAGCTCGGCGAGTCGGAGCGGAGCGTTCGTGTTGCCCGCGCTGGAGGTTGCAGGGTTGAATGTCTGGACGGTCATGACGCCCTGTTCGAATTGTTGGGCCGGGATGCCTAGGTCCTGGACGTTGTAGCTTGAAGCGTTGAACTTGGGCGTCTCGACGACCCGACCAGAGAAAGCGCTGTTGGTCGTCACGACGGTGAGGGTGCCGGGTGCGGACCAGTAGGTCGGGATACAGGAGACGAGGATAGAATTCGAGAGATCACCCGTGGTGGACACAGCGCCGTAGAAGAACCCGATGCGCGAGTTGCCGGCTGCGTCGGGGCATTTACTCGTCAATATGGCCTCGAGAAAGTCGTCGCCGTCGGTACTCGCTGGGATGCTGCCTTCGATATCGCAGCCACGGTCTGTGGTGGAAAAGCTGACGGTGACGAAACTGTCGGTCTCATCCACCACGTTGAGGTTGGACGATGACATTGGCACCTCTGTGCAGTCCATAGTCAGGCGTGACGCGTTCGTGGGCGCCGAGATCGTGAAGTTCGTCCCAGGCTGCGTCGGCGTGATCCGACTAAAGGCGAAATCGCCGTCAGTGCCACGCGGCAGCGGCGACTCGTTGATCCACGAGGCTGACACGGCGTCCATGAGGGCGCCATAATCGGCATTCCCGAGAGGTGCACTGGTGTCGAAGGCCGACAAGACGTTGATCGTGGCCTCCTTGGGGAGAAGTTCCTCGCGGGCTGCGAACAGACGCGCCGTCAGGGGCACAAGGCCCAGCGCTTCGACAAACGACAGCACGAGGCAGATGCTGAGGAAGTAGTGCTTGTTCTTCCATGCCTTCCCGCAGGCCACGATCGCAAAGTAGGATCGATAGTCAAGATAGACCGACTTGCGGGCTTTCACGGGGCGGTCGCGGCTGGTGCGGGCCAGCTCAATGTATGGGGTCTCGACGACCAGCGCTGCTACCACGGCATCGCGAAACAACTTGTACAAGCCGATGATGAGGACTGGGAGCGTTGTCCACAGCAGGCCCTGACCCCATCTCAAGGCACCTGGAAAGCTGGAGATATCCAACGATCGTTCTCCGAAGCCGACTTCGACGAAGCCGGTTCGCTGTCTCGACAAGGCAAACAGGGTGCCTATACCAATGATCAAGGCCACCTCGGCGAGCAAAAGGAGAGGCACACACCAGAGCCGCAGAGTGATGGATCGCCATCTCTTTCTCCTGTCAGGGCTGGGGAGCTCTGGAGTGTCGCCGAACCGCATTGCCAAAGTAACATTCACCCAGAAACCAAAAAGGGAAATTCAGACAAATCGACAATCCATCAAGTGTGCGATTGTGCCGTGACCTCACTTTCCGGGAGGAAGAAAGTCCACCACAGGGCTGAGCTTGAGGGATCAAGGAGTCCATCATGCGCGATTATATGCACATTCTTGAGCCAGACATTGGGGGCGGCTGTGCGTGTTCTCGTCAAGATGCCCAGCAGGATGCCCAGACAACGACGTCCGGGCGGGGAGACTTGATTCGAGCCTCGACGGCGCGAACACGAGCAGAGCCTCGTGTTCGAGGCGAACTGGCCCGCGATTTCCTGGGCAGCCTTACCCAACTGGCCGGTGACCAGGAAGACTGATTGGATAACCTCGACATTCGATTTGCTCGACCGGTTCACATAATGCTCGGCAAAGGCAATTCCACAGCCCAAGCAGTAGAGCTGAGGCTGGACCTGAGCCCACATTACAGTCGCCTGCTCGCGCTTTTCCTTTCAGCCCAGTTTGCTACAGCACTCTGAGAGTCCTGGTGAGCGTTCTGTGGGCCATTCTGCCATCACTGGATTGCGAATATATCACTCATACTCGGATACTTATCAACTTGTCCGGCAGGCAGCATGAAGCCGTGCATCACTGCCGCCGCCATCTTGCTTGCGGGGGTCAACCTCCCATGGGCAGCATACGGACAGTCGATCGTTCAATCCGAGATCAGCCTGCCCCCAGAATCATGCCTGTCCCCAGTCACCATGAGCAGCTGCGGCGCCTTCCATGAGAAGCTCGTCAGTTGTGGCGAGGCGAGCAACACGCTGGCAGCCATTAGCTGCTATTGTCCACAAAGTGTACTGGACATACTAGCCGGGTAAGCCAGTCCAGTCCAGTCCGGTCCTCCAGGATGCTTGAATGGCTACTGAACAGAGTACTTAAAAGGTGCCGACAAGAGTGGTGGAACTGCTGGCGTACAACAGCCGTCGACCAGCTCTTCCTCGGCAGCGAGGGCATGTTCGCCGCATGGTCGACGGCATGCGAGGACGCGGACGCATGGGACGTGCTCAACTACTCGCCAACCACCATGTCGATCACGACGCCACTCCTGGTGGAGCAGGACTTCTGCGACGACATCGCAAGAGACTGCAACCAACTGACCGTGTCGACCAGCTCGTGCGAGACCGAGTTCAGCGTGACGACGGGCGACGCCTTTCAGAGCTGTATGTGTAACGCCGACATGCTCTACCTGGCATCTCGGTGCGACATTGATGGGAGTGTCAGCTGCTTGCTTCAGACGCCAGTATCCACCATGCTCTACTCGTACATGACGTGTCGTAATGTTCAGGCCGTCACGACAAGCATGCGCACTTCATCGCCAACGACGTCAACCCCGACGGTGATCAGCACGTATAGTCCGGCTGCGCCGTCCCCAACATCATCTGGTGGAACGGTGGTCCCGTCGGCGTCCAGCGAAGGAAGAGGTGTGCCTCTTGCAGGGGATCATCCCGCGAAATTGGCACTCATAGTAGCGATTGCCGTGCTGGCGACGTGAGCAGCAATGCGTGTCGAGAAGGTGGAATACTGTTCAGTCATTTCCAGAGAACAGGGAATGCTGTTCGGCCATCTCTAGAGAACCAGTTGATTGCGCACTCTGTTTGAGGTTGCCTTCATGTGCAACAAGCCAATACCCCGAACGGTGGTCAAGGTACTGGCAGAGCAGACTGGATCGAGTGACGGTCCTCGAGCTTACTGGTTCCTGAACTGTTGTAGAGTAATGTGAATCCCATCTTCCGCAAGTTGTAGCAGACTGGACCTGGAGTGTGTGGTGCACCTTCCCGCTGTTGCCGGCATCGTCCTGCCTCAAGATGGAGGGACGGTGCCATTAATTCCTCTGCCCAGCATCCGAGGCATTTCCTACCCGTTCAATGGCATTGATAGGCTTTGAACTGCAGCACAGCCTTTGTCTTCTTTGCAAGGAAGTCGACCAGGACCTTTTCATCGAACCACTACGGAAATCAACGATATCATATGGGATAAGTGCATGAAACATACATTGATCGATGAAATCTCGAAAGGTATCCGCAGCGTGACGATATGAGCATGCAGATGAAGCTGCTGAACAGGGAGACGTGCCACACTTCCGACTTCAGTTCATGCCTGCCCCAAGGTCTCAATGTTCTGTTCTTAGAGGTGAGCGATAAGGCCGAGGGGTGCGGGCTATCGTTTTCTTCAGCATTCTCTTCAACGACGTGTCCAGTCCGTTCCAGCACAGACTCTCGCTACCGATAGCGCATAATGTCAAGCAGTTGCAACGGGCGAAGCCACAACGTTGACCGTCAAGTTCCAAGTATCAACTGCGCTCTGCCAGGGTTGAGGAGGAAATGAATGACAAAACTAAAGCACTAAAGGAGGATAAGCATATCAAAGGTGGATGGCTGCTTACCTTGTCTTAAACCTGGACCATGCCTATCAGGCCAACAGTCCGAGGTCAGTCCATTCAATCATTTACCGTGGGGCTTTCACACCAAGAGAGTCACAAGCAGAACGAGTCATTCCAGTCAACAATTTACTGGGTGACTTTCACACCGAGAGCCTCACAAGCCCGTATCCAATAAGCAATTCTCCTGTCGTCCATGGCAGTGTTCACACAGCCAGCAATGAAGGCAGATGCCCAGTTGTTCTGACCTCCCGCCTGAACCTGCCTCTTCTGCGCATCGGTACAGTGCTGGTTGTAATACCATGCCGCAGCTGCAAACGAGTATTGATCAGGCTGCACCAGAGCGAGCGTCGCATCCAAATCAGCTGGTGTTGTTCCCACGCCAATATTTGCTCTTAACTCCGGAACGGACTGCGCGTATTCACGTACGAAGGTAGGAGACATCATGTACCGTGTCCCTTGGCCCGGGTTCCCAGGACTAGGGAAATTGTTGTGATTATAGTTGAAGTCACCAGACTCGTACGCCATCCAAGACAGTAGCGCGGCTTGTTCTTCTGCAGTTGTGATTTGATACTTTGCGAAGCCGTTGACTATTGCTTGAACGACAGAGGGTGACGAAATAACACATTCATTGGGGAAAGGTGCTCCGGCGCAGGTGTTCGATGTAGGTGCAATGTGGAGTAGCTGTTGGACTGGATCAGGCCCTGTAGCACCCGTGTTAGCGCGGGGATAGATGATGCGGTTGAATGCGTCAGAGGTATTAAACAGTAAGCGATCTGCCTCTGGCGCATGACCGGGCTGCGTGATATTAGTTACAGTATGACGGCTTAACGATGAGATGGCGGCACCAGAGGCGGCTACCGCAAGTGCCAAAACCCGGATGATATGCTTCATATCGACTTGACTCGTTTCGGGGGCGTAATGTGTTAGAAAGTATGTCAGTGTTTCTGATCGGTAAGATCGAATGCCTGCGTCGGTGGACTCGTTCAAGATTCTGATCTGGAGGCGCGCATGCCAAGCTGGCCACGAGCTATTATGGCCAACGGACGGGCGAGTAACAAAGAGCAACGTCTGAAAGAATGAAGGGTCAAGATAACGAGCTTTGAAGACAGACAATGCGGTTGCCCTGAAACAAGGGCCGAACAGATTACAAAGCGATGCGGCATCCAAAGTTTGGTGCACTGGAGGTTCCTTTCTGGCGGTCTTGTTGAGAGGTAGCCGCATCCGGCCGCATTCTGTGGTTGAGATAGCCTTGGAGTTTCGTAGACATTCGCATCCTGTCGTTGAGATAGCCTTTGTGGTTTCGTAGCGAGGGCCGGGTGGAAACGCGACGGCAGATGATATACATCCCAACAAGGTTGAGTAGCTGCATTGGCTACGAGCACGGAGTAATTAGCTGTGAAAAACGTGGGCCTTGGGAAAGCCGAGAACCGCAATTGAGGACAAACGACTTTTTGAGGCTGACAGAATGCGAAGGCGACGCTAACTTAACAGTGGTAAATAAGCCAACGCGTCGGCCAACGCGTCTTGGTCCTGGCCAATCAGAGCGTGAGTTACCATGGCGTCAAGGTCAGATGCGGTCAGATGTCATCCTTCTTCCTGCGTTGTACATGGCGAAGAGACGAGACATACACGAACAGATCTGGAAACAAAACTCAGAACATGTTTTGTACTCAGGTATCTAGGAAAATCCATGCGCTTTTTCATCTCCTGCTCAACGTCCATATGGGTATCATTATATCCGTCACGTTATGTCCAGTCATTTGGTGCCATCAACATCCAGGTGCCGTAACGCCAGCGCCTCCGGAAGCCATATTACATATGGAGAATTCGACTGATCGGTCCTTCCACCGTCACTCGTCGTACTCAGCTTCGGCATCGAGGTCAGAGTCGGGCTCAGCATCCTCGTCACCCGAAGTCTTTTCGGTGTTGGACAAGATGCCCCTCCCCTTGACCTCGATGCTCTCGTGCTCGTCGTCGTCGCGTGTACCGTCGTCTTCCTGCGGAATGTCGCTGTTGTCCTTCTCCGAATCTTCCTCGTTCTCCCGGGCCTCTTCCTCCATGACGAATCTCTTGCTCCTTCGCTGACCCTTTACTCCGCGACTAGTGCCAGCCGGCTCAAACCCCAGCAGCCAGAACTCACCCTTCTTCTTGCCCTCGAAGACCAATCCCTCGTTGACGGCCCACTGTTTGAGACCGTCATCCATGGCTTCATCCTCACTCTTGGCACCATCCCGCTCAAAGTGTCGTCCAACATGTTCCATCCTCTCATCCCATCCTTTTGAGTCCTTGCCGTCGACGAACTTCTGGCCGCAGAAGCCGCACTTGGTCTTGTGTGGGGCCTTGCGCCGATCAACCCAGCAACGAGTGCGGATGATATCGAGCTGCCTCTCGAAGCTGTCTTTCTCTCTCTTGGACACGCCATCTTCGCCCCTTCGGGTGCCGGACCACGGGGCGTGCATGCGTCTGCAATGCTGCGTGAAGAGGTCTTTACGGTTGAAGTCGTTGAACCCCTTCTGGTGGTCTGCGCAGGCGTCCATGTCACACCGGTAGTAGCCGAGCTGCAGGTGTTGGGAGGACACATGGCGCTTCCACTCGTTTTTATTGGCGAATGTGGCGCAGCAGCCGAAGTGGTGGAAGGCGCACGGAAAGCTCTTCGAGTCCGAGTCGGTCTTCTTGGTGACGGGGGGTTTCTTCTTGGACTTGGCACGCGAATTGCTGTTGTGGAAAGCTTCTCGGGCGTGCGAGGTTTTGGTAATGCGAGCTTTGGGATCGAGTGTTGACCTTGGCCGTCGCGGCTCACGCAACGAGTGGCGTTTGAGGGTGCTGCTGCGCAAAGCCTTCGCTTTGGGGTTGAACTCGGAATCGCTGTCGCTCTCGACAGCAGCGGAATCTTCTTCTTCATCTTTTATCGTCTCGTCATCGCCTGCGCCACGATCAGTTCCAGAGTCAGGAGGACTGACCACCTGTTCTGTAATTGCGAGCTCCTCGGGGAGGTTGATCCTGGGCTGGAAAGCATCTCTCTCATCCATGGGCACATCTTCGTGCTCTGGTTCAGGGTCGGGCGTGACTTGAAGGTGTCTCATGCTTGGCACAGTGTGCTGGGAAAGTACGGGCAGGGGGGGACGGACAGGCATCAATGACGAAGTGGGATGCCAAGCTGGCGCTGTGACTTGGGGAGTGGCCATGGGCGTGTTATATACTCCCTGGCTGGTGTAAGTGAAGGCATGATCCTGTGGGTTGCGGGCTACGTCCGGACTAAGAGCATAGTCGCTGATGGACGAGTCTGTGTTGCTGGACAGCGTGAAGCCCAAAGGATCGGTGGGAGAATAATGCCGCAGGTGGCGGTACTGGTCAGGATCGTGCTCAGGGTCGAACAAGCCACGTTGCGGAAGGGTAGTATTCGAGTTCATGCGCAAGAAAAGGGGGTTGAAGCCGTGAGCGTCAACATCATACGAGGTGCAGGGACGCCGACTGTCCAAAGCTTTCGTGAACGGGGTGCTTGGGTATGTGTTGTAAGTCGGCGATAAGTGCAGATATGGGTCAATGTAGGCCACATCCGCATGGTTGTACCAGGACGCAGAGAGAGTCTCGTGTTGCTCGAGTTGCTCGAGATATCCGGGGGAGTAGTCGGGGCCTTCGCTCCCGACCAGGTCGTGGTACTGTGGGTGGGTATGCATGGCGCACGCTGCCAGACACTGGGAAGTATTCCAACAGAGGCTCCCAGGTGTACTGGATGAGGAGTACAGCACAGATTTCACTGGAGCTACAACTCACAGTGCTTGTGGTCGAAATGGATATGGACAAAGTGACGAGTTGCTGGTGCTGAGCACAGGAGCACAAGGTACGGGGTATATCAATCCACGGCAGCTGAGTGGGTCACCACGCTGCCCGCTCAGTTGATCGATCAAAGTTCCAAGCTGCTATCAAGCGAGCAGAAAGGGGCCAGGGCCCGCGTCCCAGGCTCGGAGCGAAGATTGGCATGAATTGACAGCAGCATGGCGACGAGGTAGGGAGGGAGCATATCCGATGGTGGGCCGGCACGCTGTCACTGGGCGAGCAGAGCCGCATCACCGCTCAAAACGGGCACTCAGATTCTTGGGCCGAAGCCCTTGGACGGGAACAGGCTAGCCTGCTGCCTCGCCCGGGGACGATCCAGACCGCTTCGGGCGCTAGAGTTTCTCGAAGGCGAAATCTTCGCTTGTGAATGGGCGATATGCCAGGGCAGGGCACGATGTGGCACGCCTGTGATTGGCGCGCACCAAACCGGTGTATACTGGCCGGGCGCCCTAACGCCTGGTTTGCCTTTCTGTGGCTCCATTGCTTGGTGTGCTGGCCGCAGACTCGAGGCAGCGCCAGGGCGCAGGAAGTTATTCATGCTTCATAGCCACCTGGATCCCCCCTCATAAAGAGGCGCCCGTATCTCTCTGACTCCTGCTTTTCGCATGGCAGTCCGCCTCAGCCCCTTGCATGACATTGGGGGTGGTCGCGGCCCGCAGACCGCACGAACGACCAACGAAACCACCTTGATATGACCGCTGCGCTCATGGTTGGGCAGACTCGTCATGCCACACGCTCGCAGTTCTCGTCCCCGAGCTCGCTTAGCTCGGGGTTGCCAGTTTTCGGCTCGAGGTTCAGTACCTCGTCCGGTTCAAGTAATCGCTTTATGGATCTAGACGTTGCGAGCAGGGGAGTCGTGCTCAATCGAGCAGGAGGGAAATGAGGAGGGCATAGTCAAGTGACGTGCATGCGACTCGCTAGGTCCAGAGACAACGCCAAAGAAAGGTTTAGCTCTTCTCGTACTCGGAGCCAAAAGTCCAGAAGAGATGGGCTTGAGATGGACCCGGTGTTCGGGTTCAGAACCTCGCTGAGTCGGCAAAAGTTGGCGTCCAGGAGAGCGCGAGTCGGGGGACCGTTAGCGCAGATTGCCTGCGACTGGGACATGGGATGAAAAGAGCAGCGGTCGAGGCTCGTCACGAAAACGTCAGGACACCCCAGTGCGGTGGATGCAGGGGTGGACTAAGAATAAGTGACAACACGAAATGGCGCAAACCCGTGCATAGTGGCGCCTCTCAAGCTGGTTTCATAGCGTTTGATGTTGACGCTCTGCTCAACGTGTCGGGGTCGGACGTGCTTTGCAGAATTGAGACAGCGCGCTCGTTTGGAGATGGGGAGAACTACGCTATCGGATAGGACTCTTTAGCCCCCAACGTGGAATGGGAAGGCCGACGCAAGCGAGGCGACTAGAGATTTGACAGGCAAACAGAAGGCAGCGAACAGGCACACCTCCCGATAGCCCCAATGTTGTTGAGTCGCCGGGCAGCGAGTGACGAAGATTTGTGGCCGCAACGTCTTATCGCCGAGTCGAATGTGCAAAGAGCAAGCAGGGATCCGGGGACGGCCAGAAGCACTTCAAAGGGGGCTGGAAGTGGTGGACGCAGCGGAAAGCCGATGCAGCCGCTGACTACCCAGAACACAGAAACGAGGCCGATCGGCGTTGAATCACGGCGAGCAAAACTTGTATAGTCGATCTAGAACCAAAGTCAGAACTGACCTGAGCCGTACCCACAGCGCCTGCGATGACTTGTTAACGCAAGGCATGGCCATCACCCTGGATCATGGCAAGCCCGGATAATCGTCTCTACTGAGAGCAAATCTGACGCGCTGGCAGAAAGCAGCAAGACGGGAGGAGTGACAAACCGTTTCTCGCTAACGCCGCCGCCCACGAGACAAATTCATGATATGGCCCACAAGTGCTCGAATACGGAGATGGCTTGGAGGTCGGACACGAAGTGGAGGTGGCAACCACTTCCAGAAGTGCAGTTCAACTGAAAAGAGATGGAGTGCATGAGAGGTACCCAGTCCAGAGTACAAAGAACTCCATTTGTGGATCGGTATGACAGCCTGGAGAAGGCGCCACAAAGCTGGTGGTCAGTCTTGTAGGCGGGGTTCCCGCGTGTTGTTGCCTGGTGGGGAACCTGCACTGGGTGCTGTTGACGCCTGGACTGGTCCGCGGATACGGAAAGGATCGAGGGTGCGTCGAAGGGACGAAGTTCAGGTCGAGCGCTGTGAAAACGCTACCCAGTACGGAGTACTCGTATGTAGTCGCCGAAAATTCATCGCCCGCACGGTGCATCGCGCTGCTGAGAGAAGACAATAATTTCTTCAGCCAGTGGTCCGATGCTCCAAACTCGGAGAACGAGAGTCAGAGCACAAGCATGAGCCAAAGCAGGTTGGGTGCATGTGCACACCCACCCAGTACCGTGTAAAGTCCAAGGGAAAGAGGCTAACTTGACTGATAGTTAGTTGACTTGGCTAGCTGGCTTCGGGCTCGGAAGGCGCCTCGTGCCCCCCAGAATCCATTTGCTGTCCCCCCAGAGTCTAAATCGTTGGAAGTTACCGGCATGGCACATCACCCGCAAGCCAAACCTTGGGCCTCCGGAACTGCTGGAGTGCTGGCGTGGCGTGACTTTGGCGTGAATTAGGCCTGCTCTTGCTGGTGATAAGTTCGGCCGCGGTGATCATCACCAAAGCGATACGAGATATGCTCTGCATTGCCCAGCGGAGCCAATCTTGCGCAGGGCACAAGGCTACACACTCTCTCGTGTTTTGCTGTCGGTGGCTGATAGTGTGTCTCTAATCTACACCGTACGAGGTATTGTTCTGTGGGGCTCGTCGCTTCAAACGGCGATTGCTCGACATGCCCGTACTTCGTAGCGTCTTCACAGTTACTCGTACTGGGTCCGTCGCTAGGGACGCTCCTATCTCGGATAAGACTAAGAGAAACCCGGATCGCAGTGACAGCCTGGCGCACGATGATACTGCCTCCAGCGCCGCTTCTTCGGATGCCGCCCCCCGATCTGCTGCTCGGAAGATGCATGGTTAGTTCGTTGCCTTTTCTGATCGCCTGGTCATCGTGCAGTTTGCCTTTCCACCAAGTTATGCCAGTTATGGCCGCATTCGTCAATGAACTTGCTGTGGTTAACAATGATTGCCTCCAAGGCACAATTCACCCAGGATCGACCACACCGCCACCTATCCCTTTCTTTCGCTTTCCGTCGCTTGCAGGGAAAGTCACTGAGGGTGTGAACGCATCCCCAGTCGTGACTATCTTCTTAGCCTGGAATTTCGCGTCCCTCAGCAACCCTGTCCCTTGTCCCAGCTTCTAGTGGCTGGCTAAGCCAAATCCTTTTTGCTTCCCGACGCCTTTTGTCCGAATTTGGATGTTGTAGGATCGCTCTTTAACTAAGTTCAGATCTCGATGGCCACGTGGTACCCAACTGGAGTGGGCGCGCCCAAGTCCTTCTCCTCCAAGCCCCGTGTCCCAGCGACTCCTCATCCCCCTTGGACTATTACGGTTAACATCTGGCACCTCATTGCTCGCGAAATGCCAGCTGAGCGCGTCCGCATGAAAGATGGGCGAGGAGGCCCTGGTGCCACTCGGTCTGCGTTGAGCTGCTCATCATCTTTCATATATCGAGCGTCCTAGCGCAATTAGGAATTTACGTCAAGCCCCCGAGTCTAGAACACACAAGGACAAGGACATTGTCAATCCCACCCTCGGCGCGCCGGATCAAGTTGATGGCAGTCGTCTGGATTTTTGCTCAGCTACTCCGCGCTTGCGGCCTGGTCCTCTGCTTCTTCGTCTCAATCCGTCCGCTGGCATTTCCCATTTGGCTGCTGCTCGCAGTGTGATTCGCTTTTCCACAGCCGATTCGGTGTTTGCGGCGACTGCTCACATCGAACTCTAGTGCTCAAGATCATCGTGAAATTTCGCGTACTCTAACTCTGATCCCTCCATCGTCATACCACTCGTAGTCCCCATCTACTGGCCCGTGCCGCTCAATCACCGTCAGTTCATCCCCTGGTCTCAGCACTTCGACTTCCGATTCTTCTTCCTCGTAAGATTGGGTTCTCGAGTGCTGACGCCGGCTCATCTGGGAACGAGCTTCGTGGTGCTGCGGCTGACCAAAGTCACCTTCACTCATGTATCCCAGGGACGATGCGGGCGCAGGTGGTGGGCTGGGTGCGTACACGGCCGAGTGGCCATCCTCTTGGCTGTCGTCTGCATCACAGGGTCAGGTCTTCCTATGTGTCGGAAAAAATGGGAACATAATCACCCTCGTAACTTTGACTTGCGTGCCTGTACCCACTCCGACCGCGCTGAGTAGCCCTCGGTGCAGAGTGTATGTTCTCTTCGTGACGTCCACGATGCCCGCGATGAGCTCCGTCCAATTCTCGTCGATGCCAGCCAGCGTCAGTGTGGACTGGTATTACAGTCTGTTTGCTCCATGGTGGAGATGGCCCACGTTGAGGTGAATAACCTCTATGTTGATTATTCTGGTTATGCCCAGCAATGGAGCTGGGATGATTCGCAGGTGGGTTGCCAATATGTGGAATCCCCATGAAGGGATCCGAGTACTGTCTTCGAATAATCCTCTGACCAGCAATTGGTCCTCTTGAACGGGACCGTGTTGTCCCGAGCGCCTCGTGCTCAAACCTTCTATCTCGAGTTCGTCTGCCGCTGTAACTTCCACGATCACGATGGGTATTCTCTCCAAGAGGTGAGAGTCGTAGTCTGCGAGTTTGTCTGACCATTTCGATACCCGGAGTTTCCGATCGCCGATACCTTCGTCGCTCGGTGCGACGTGACGTTGGTTCCGGGCTGGACGACTCGGATTCCGAGTATGATGCTGAGCTGTGACGCGCGTATCTGTTGTCGATGCTCCGATGGTGGCGCCTCGATTGTGCTTTGCTCCGTGATCGATGTATATCTGATTGAGTGGGTCGTCGACGAAATTGGTGCCGTCTTGACCTGGATTCTTGGTAGCCGTCGGAACTGCTGGTGTCATCGCTCTCCGTAGCTTCTGCCCTGCATTTGAGGCAGATCGTCTTGGCTGGAATCTGCCCAGGTGGGATAGGATGCTTGTAATGGTATCGTGCAGATCTATAGCGTCCACATATTTCACACTTGTATCTCGTCTCCGCTTGTGTTGGTGGCGGAGCAGGAAAATTAGCCGCACTGGCGTAAGGACCATGAGGTTGCCCTTGCGGAGGGATTGAACCCGGAAGCGGACCTATTGGTGGCATTTGAAACTGCGTTTGTTGAAGTGGGAAGCCCATTGGCGGTGGGAAAATATTCGGTGGCTGAGTCGCCATCGGATGGGGTGGAAACAGAAGCATGCCTGGCGGAAGATGTGCTGGAATGAACTGGCTCAGTGGCTGCAGAGCAATTGGTTGATTGTTGTTGACATCTTTCAGGTCTGGCTGGTTCAGACCTTGCGAGGGAGAAGGGAGATACATGTTGACAGGTTGAGGTTGGGTCTGAGATGTGGGAGCCATCGGGGCGGTTGGCTGGGGTGTTTGGGCCAGAGGAGGATTGGAGGCACTTGGTATAGGCAGCGTAGATTGGCCCTTAGCCTCAGCGGCAGCTACGTGGTGATTTTGAAGTGAATCCCTAAGAGAAGAAAAGAGTGAGCGGGCGCTTCCGACCTTTGGAAGCAGTGCCCGAGAAAGACGCTGCCTCGTTGAGGCCGACTCTGACTTGTTCCTGACGAAATACGGTCGCCCGTCAGGACCGCGTTCAATCCAGGTTGAACGTGGACTCATGATTGCGGGTTGGGTTGGGGCTCGGTTGCAGGAATAGAGGAAATGGTTCGCAAGTGAATACAAAGTGCGCACTTACCGTGGAGGAGGTCTGTTGTCGTCCGGCCAGCCAAAATAAGCGTCATACGAAGGATAATAGATGCGCGGGTTCCCTGGAGGATAGTTGTACGGTGCTTGCCACATGATGCTGCTGGTGACAGTGAGGTGTAAATGAGAGAACAGGGACCGAGGGAGACTGCCGACCTGATGAGAAAGGTCGATAAATGGCACTCTTTACGGCAGGGAGTTGCCCAACACACGATATCAGATCATCGAAAATCACAGCACATCTGCTCTGAAAGTAGCTACTATCTTGCCGCTTGTCGATGGACGTCAATCTCATCAGCTAGTCAACCCTGATGCGCCTGTCAAAATGAAACGGGTCCGGGAGAATTTGGCCACTATCATTTTCACTCGACCGCCAAAGGAGCTGTAGTCGGTTCTTTCACCTCAGGGTTGAGAGCGAAGGGTCACTATCAGGCAACCCTCCTCTATGAGATTGACCCTTTTCACCGAGTGGTATACCCTATCCTCCTCTTTCAGTGGTTGTGACGGATTCATACTGAGCACGTTTGCTCTGCCAGTGAATTGAAGCCTGATATTGTTAGAGGAGATTTGCATGGTGCTCGACTTTGGCAGAGGGCAATCTTCTGCTTCGGGACAATTACTGTAATTAAGTCCCGATCATCTGTAGCGGGAAGTATGGTCTGCTCTAGAATCAATATGTCTAACGTTGATGAATGTCTCGAGCATGCATTTTCTGGATGCTACAAATTCTTCTTTGTCGAATGTCGTCGTCCTCAAACCAGCAGCGTCCGAAAGTGGGGCTCGTGGTTGCTTGGCGTCTCATTGGTTGGTGTGGTGGTTTGGTGGTGCCTGGAATGACGTAACGGAACAGCCGCTAATCAATTAGGCACGAGAGCAACCGAAATCGTCCTGTTGGTCTTGATTCTCCCGTATCTCGTCAGCCTGCAATGGACGCGATTCAGTTCTTTCGTTGCAATGGATCATTTCTTCCTGCTCTTGTACCTTTGCTGTATCCCTTTAACCAGGAAGAAGATAACCCGAACCCACTTCGATCGCTAGATGCAAGCAGCAATGTAGGGTCCGAACACCATCGCACATCCCGCGTGGCCGCCTCTACAACCCAAACCCTGAAAATGGCAAGGCACATCGGTCTTGGCAATAAACGCAGGTGGTAGGGACCGCCCGGACATCTTTCGCATCGTATTGAGGAATGTGGCAAAGCCTGATAGGCTGATACTGGTTGTAGCTGAGACGGTGGGCAACACATCTTTCCTAGCCCGCCCGTCTTGAGGCTCTGTCTGGGGCCCGGCGCTCCTCTTTTTCCACTTGCAAATGCTGTTCCTACGACTGGACCAGTGTATTCAGAAATGGCCGATTCAGTTGTAGCCATGCATTCAGGACACTTGTTTTGAATGAAACATAGCATACCTCTTGCAGCAGCTTGCTCCCGCATCCCCACTTTGTCTCCCGAGCGACACAGCCTGACAACCTTGACCATCTCCGTAGATGGCTCCTGACACCAGAACTCACGGCGACTATACCGTAGGATGGGTTTGTGCTCTGCCGAAGGAGCAGACTGCGGCGACTGCCATGTTGGACGAGAGACATGGAAACTTGCCCAAGCCTCCACATGACAGCAACACCTACACCTTAGGTTCTATCGGCCAACACAACGTCGTGATAGCGCGCCTACCTAAAGGCAAGTATGGCACAAACTCTGCGGCGAATGTGGCGACCATCATGATTGGTACCCTTCCATGCATCAAGATTGGCTTGATGGTTGGAATCGGCGGTGGTATCCCACCCAAAGTCCGGCTAGGTGATGTCGTGGTCAGCACACCTGTGGGACAGTTCCCCGGCGTAGTCCAGTGGGACATGGGCAAGGCGAAAGTGGGCGGCAAGTTCGAAAGAACCGGGGCGCTAAATAATCCGCCCAATGCTTTGCTGTCGGCTTTGGGGGCGCTTGAAACGGAACATGACTTGTCGGGCTCAAGAATCCCTGAATACTTTGACGAGCTGAAACAGAAATACCCCAAAGCGGCCAAGAAGTATTTAAGATCCGATGCAATCCAGGATATATTGTTCAGAGCAGATTATGATCACGTCAGTGAAGCAGGTGTTGAAGTTGATGCTGCTGTAGATAACAATGATGGCCATGTGGAAGAGAAGGCCGAGGACGATGTTGAGGCCAGCGACGACGATGAAGAGGAGACGTGTCAAATGTGTGTCAAGACCAAGATTGTGAGAAGGAAGAGTCGAGACAAGCGCGTGCATTACGGCCTGGTCGCATCCGGCAACTAGGTCATCAAGGATGCAGCTTTTCGGGACAGACTGAACAACGACCTGGATGGCAATGTTCTCTGCGTTGAGATAGAGGCGGCCGGGTTGATGAACAACTTCCCTTGCTTGGTGATTCGGGGCATATGTGACTACTGCGACTCACACAAGAATAAGGCCTGGCAAGAACACGCAGCAGCCGTAGCGGCGGCGTTCGCTAAAGAACTTCTGGGGTTTGTACAGGCAAGTGATGTCGAAGGAGAGCGTCCGGTCAACGACGTCCTCAACGACGGTCACTGACTCTCGCCCTAGAGACACATATGCGGAGGTGGTGAAATATAGTTGGCGGCAGTCAAGCGAGATCTACGACGTGTCCACGAGTCAGTCGAAGACGGATTCGTGCGAACGAAGAACAATCCAAGCGATCTCCTTGGAGGTATGACTGCCATCTGACTCGAAGTCAAGCGTATGCTTACCCGCCGGCAGCAAACGAACTCGCAAAGCAACAGACCCTTCTCAACTGGCTCAGTCCGCTCGTCTTTGCATCTCGGCAGCATGACTATATCTCCAGGTGTGAGCCAGGGACTGGCCATTGGCTATTCGAGTCGACAGAATATCACGAATGGCTAGCAAGAAGCATGCGGACACTATTCTGCCCAGGAATCCCTGGGGCTGGGAAGGCGATGCAAACCTCGATTTTGGTTCATGACCTTGCCAGCAAGTTCAATGACCACAATGGAGTTGGCATCGCGTACATCTATTGCAATTTCCAGCGGCAACAAGACCAAAAGGTGGATTATCTACTAGCGAATATCGTCAAGCAGCTGGCTCAGAGCCAGAATCCGTTCCCGAGCAGTGTGCAAGCGTTGTACGAGCGACACCGAGAAAGAAGCACGCGCCCCTTACTCGACGAACTGTCAGCGACTCTTCATTCGGTCAGCAGTTCCTATTCCAAAGTCTTCGTTGTCATCGACGCACTCGACGAATGCGATGACACCGATGGCAGTCGCACGAAACTGTTGGATCATCTGTTCAGCGCACAAAGCCAGCTCGGACTGAACCTTTTCGCAACTTCGAGGTCCATCTCAGCCATCAACAAGAGGTTTGAAGGAAGTCTATGGAAAGAAATCCGCCCTAGCCATGAAGATATTTTTACTTTCCTGGATAGGCGCATGCGTCAGCTGCCAGATTTTGTGATAGGAGACATGGATCTTTGGAACGAGATCAAGACGGAGATAGCGTTGGCAATCGAAGGGATGTAAGTGCCTCACCTTGTGGGCCTTAGGCGTCCATACTGGGCTCATCCCCCTAGAGTTCTCCTCGCACAGCTCTATATTGACTCCCTCGTCGGCAAGAGGTCACCAGCAGCCCTGCGAGCAGCACTGAAAGTCTGCGAAAGGCCTCTGCAGTGTCGCCCGATGGGTCGAGTGCGCTAGACGAAGCGTACAAAAAAGCCATGGAACGAATTCAACGTCAGAGAGGCGACCTGCCTCGAGACGCCGTGCTGATCCTCGCCTGGGTCGTCCACGCCCGGAGGCAGATAACGGTCCCGGAGCTTCAGGAGGCCCTTGCAGTTGAAATTGACAAATCTGCGCTGGATGAGGACAATATTCCGACTGTTGATCACATAACCAGGGCATGTGCCCCGTTGATTGCGGTCGATACGGAGAGCAACATTGTCCGACTGGTCCACTATACGACCCAGAAATACTTGGAACGCACCCGAGATATTTGGTTCCAGAATGCACAAATCGACATCACAAGGATTTGCATCACATATCTCTCGTTCTCAGCGTTCGAGAGCGGCTTCTGCATCTCAGAAGCCAAGTTTTGGGATACAGTGGAGACAAACAAGCTCTACGATTATGCAGCTCAAAATTGGGGACATCATGCCCATGAGCCCTTTGCCCTGAGCTGGGAAGCCCTAGAGGTAGTCGACTTTCTCGAGCGTGAGGGAATACTACAGGCTTGTAGTCAAGCACTAATGGTCCCTAAGTATCAGCATTTGCGCTATGCAAGCCAAATGGTTCCGAGACAGATGACAGCTCTACACCTGGCAGGCTACTTCGGCCTTCATGATGTGGCGGTGACCCTGCTTGCACGAGGGCATGATCCGAATATTGAAGAAGAAGACGATACAATGGTGAAGTTGCTGCTGGATAACGGTGCTCAGCCAAACTTCCAAGATAACAATAGTCATCTAACGGAGTTTCCACTGCTGTGGGCTGCGAAAACTGGACACAAAGAGGTGGCCAGGTTGTTACTTGAGGCAGGCGCGGACCCGAGCGCAAAAGATAGCTTTGGTGACGACGCAATCTCACTGGCTGCGAAGGTCGGATTCTCATGGAGTTGGGAGACCGGATGGGGGGCTGTTGTTTCGTTGCTCCTTTCCTTCGATCAAATCGATGCTGATAGGAAAAGATGGAGACGGTCGCACACCACTTTCATACGCGGCCCAAAGAGGATACCAGAATGTCATGGAGGTGTTGCTTGCGTCTGGGAAGGTCGACGCCGACTCCAGGGATATCGATGGACGAACGCCGCTATCCTATGCTTTTGACAACAAGGTTGCCCGGGTTCTGCTGGCTTCCAGCAGAGTCAATGTCGACTCAAGAGACGAGGTCGGCAGGACACCGCTGTGGCATGCTGTCGATGATGAGCGCCTTGACGTGGTGCAGCTACTACTTGCGTATGGCGCCGATCGCGAGTCGAAGGACAACTTTGGCCAGATACCACTCATGAAAGCCAAAGAGGGACTGGAGGCTTACAAAAAGGGAAACAAGTGGCCCGATGACTTACGAAAATCCCAGAGAGTCCTCAGCCTGCTGGTATAGCCGCAGGTACCTCCCACATAAAGTGCCAGATCTTCCTCAGATCAATGAGATTGGCAGATTCATCTGCCTGTGAAAGCAACAACAGAGCAAAATGAGAGAGAAGTGAAGTGGAGAGTGAGCAAAGACTGATGAAGAGGTTGCTGTTATCCAGGAATCCGCTCACAGTATCCACCCTCCCCAGCTCATTGGAACGTGCCAAGTGGACTCCTCAGCCAATCATGGTGGTCCCTGCTCGTCAAGCTTCGCCGATTGGCGGAGGAGTCTTTGGTGAAGCTGTCGAGAGTCGAGGCTGGTTACGAAAAGCCCACCAAGCCTGACGCGCAATCGAAGTAACCGACACTCGCACTCTCAATCAAGTGGTAAACGTATGTGCCCTTGGCCGAAAATGCGTATTACTTGAAGCGAGGACGTCTGCAATGGCCTTATGGAATCCCATGTCCGTCCGCTAAAATACCTGCCATCTTGCTACTCACTTTCCACCTAACGCCATGGCACCGTTCAACGAAAAGGACACCAAGTTATACCGCAGTGATGTCGCCTCAGGCGGTCGAATGCTCTCGGCCGCAGAGCGCGAGAAACTCCTGCAATCATATCTCCCCGCGCCAACATCAGGCACACCAGAGACGAATTCCCAGTCGACCGACCAACCTGCTCGGCGAAAGTCTCGTGGCCACAAGCGACGGGTTCGACCATTCCTCAAGGCGAAGCTTCATTTCCTGATCTTCTTCCTCATCCAACTCGTTTTCGGCATCTACATCCGCGTGCGCCAGATTTACCATGCCACGGTCTACAGATTACTGGCCATCCGACATTACCACCACCGCACGCCAGAATACATCCAAAGAGACGTTCAGAACCTCGACCGCGTCCCCGAACACCTGAGCGTGATTTTGAAATTCAAGACGGAAGAAGACGGAGGGCTCGAAGCCCTGATGGACGAAGTGGCAGAGTTGTGTGCCTGGTCCGCAGCTGCGGGGATTCCCTTGCTGAGCGTCTACGAAAAGTCGGGCATCCTCAAAACATACATGACACCGCTACAAGAGCTGGTGAAGCAGAAGTTGGCATCATACTTTGGTCCGCCGCCCGCGGCGCCGAGGCTTCGAGTATTCGCTCCCAACCATGCCTCGATAAGTTCGTCAAGGACACCCTCACCGCACATACAAGCGCAATCAGCAGACGGGGGCCCAGATGGACGACCGCACCTCGATCTCCTCCTCCTATCGGCCACGGATGGGAGAGAAACCTTGGTCGACCTCACCCGCACGTTGGCGGAGATGGCACAAGCCCACAAGATCGATCCCAAGGACATCACCTCCAACCTGATCAACGCCGAAATCAGCGCCACGACAGCAGTTCCCAGCTCAAGAACACGAGATGGACCCAAGCCTGCAGGTAAAGAAGTGGAAGCAGGGGAGCCTGATCTCGTCATTGTCTTTGGACCTACCGTGAAGCTGGATGGCTATCCGCCGTGGCAGATCCGGCTCAGCGAGATCTACTGCGTGGGCGATTCAGGCGGAGATGTCTCCGGGAGCGGCAGCACGAGGGTCGAGTACCAAGCTTTCTTGAGGGCGCTGTGGAGGTATGCGGGAGCGAAGTTCAACTTTGGACGGTGATTTTTGCCTGTAAGAGTATTATCATGGACCTTTTTTTCCGACTTGCACCGTGCAAGCGCCCGTAAGATTAGACTGTCCTTGTCCTCGAAGCTATCAGACTGTACACCAATACCAAAATAGATACCCTAGAGGTGATTTGAATTCGAAGCTCCAAGTTCTGGTTGACGCAGCTGACTCCAATCACGACTGCTAGCATTGTCTTGCTCGTAGATATCCCCCCAAGGTCACTATCTTTCAGGGTCTCGGTGCTTCACCTTCGAGTTGCTTCCGTCGCAACCGTGGCGAGAACCATTTCCCGTCGAGCCTCTTCTTTCCCATTCTGCCTGACATGCCATGCGGGCGTCGCCTAGCAGTTGCGCCATCAAGCGCCCAATGCTTGCGCGTGACCACCCCCTCCGAGGTGTGATGCTCGAGGAGCTAGTTCTCTATACTCATTTTTACAAAGTGACAACGCGCACAGCGACCTGAGTATATCCGTTAGTAAGATGCTTAGGAACGCAAGCCTGAGCTATTCACCAGAGAGGTAAACCAGTGCATACGCAACACATTGGTATGTTGAATGAGGCGCGCACTCACTCCAGCGGAGGGGAGCTCCACCCAGCCCATCCAAGGTGAACCACGCCGGGAAGCCGCCGAAGGGGTCTTCGCGCTGAAGGGATTTCTTATTGCACGTTCTAACCGCCCAGGCTCGGCCTTGTCGCAGGGACCAAGTGTGCGGGCGGGTAGACTGGCTGGAGCTGGGCGTGTATCATTTTGCACAGCGAGGTGGGTGATGTTGATCATGCCGTTGCCTGCACCATCACTTCAATGGCCTGTCGGTCGTGGCGACACCACTCGTCTCCCTGTCAGAATTTAGTCATCACTTTCGTCATCGTAGCCTGTGTATATCTCCCACATCTCGTCTGCTCGGTTGGACGCTATGAGCGAATGCAACACACGTTCGTAAGTCCACATGGTCACAGCTGACGCCGGAGCAGCCTATGGTTGGCCAGTCCGATCAGTATCAGAGCAGACCACTCGCGAAGGAGGGGATTACTCACTTTGACCAGGCTCACAGTCAGGCCCCTGTACCAGCCACGGTAGCCTTCTTTCATCCAGATCGTAGCAAGTGCTCGAAGGACGCCCTGATTGTACTCTGGGATATTTGTGTGGATGTACCGCCCCCGCGTTGGCCCCTGGACTTGCAATCTCTTCCGCACGAGGTCAAGCGGGAAGACCGCCGTCTTTGCAAACACGCTCGCAAAGATGCCGGCAGTGGCGTCGCCGGATCCAAAGGGCAGCGTGGCGCCGCCGATGTGTTGGTGGAGGAACTCATAGCTCATGAAGAAAAGACCCATGTACGGCACGATCTGGCCGACCGCAGCACTCAAGCCCCGAAAGAAGCCGCCGGGTCCTTCGTGGCGAGTGATGTCTCGTACCGAGCCGATCAAGCTTGTGTAGATACGATCCGACCCCTGGGCAGCAAACCTCGTCCGCAATAGATCCAGCGGGTAAGTCACAGTCGTGGCCGCGGCTCCGGCTCCAGCACCACTGATGAAGCTTTCCACAGACGGTGGCGCCCTGGTCGGTAATAAGGCCTGGGCTTGAGTGATCGTTCGATATGTCGTGAATTGAATACCACCGTACGCAACGTACATGACCTCGGCGGGGATGTTCCCCTTCCACAGAGCACGAATCCCCTCCTGCCTTACGATGGCGCGTAACGTGGAAAAGACGCCCTTGTAAATGGGGCCTTTGATGCCATCGCACGAAAAGGGATCGGAGAGCGAATGAGGTTGGAGCTGGAGGCGGATCTTCACTACGTCGAGAGGCGCGATCACGAAGCGGGACACGAGGCCTGCTATGCCGCCGGCGACAACGACTTGCTGTCTCGTGCCCTGAAGACGGGGAATAAGTAATGGATGGTGCAGCGCGTTCAACGCGTACGGACGAAGGGAGCCGACTTACCTCATCCTTGAGGCGCTCGATGTCCCTCGACATGCGCGTTGGACTCGACACGCAAGCCGCTATACAGCAGCAGAGAATGTGGTTGACAGCTTGGACCGGCCCGTGGTAATTTAGAGAAGAGGAGACGGGCGATGATGTCGTTTTGCCCTCTATCGAGATTCTGTATCCCGGTCACAGGCTTGCCAGATCGAGGCAAGTCTTAGCGAGATGGGTGGTCGCGCACGTGATTTCGCGTTCGCCTGTGTAAGAAGGCAGCTTCTGTTCTTTGCACGATCAAGTGATGGCGATTTCTAGTAGGTGCAGGAGTGCGGTTCGCAGAGCAGGTAGCTTCGTGGACAAGCATTTCTATCGCTAGGTCATGAATGGCTGAGTGCATCTTCGCGAGAGTGGCCGTTCGGTGGCCGGATCCAACGCAATAGCCACGCATCAAGTATATGCCTTCGCCTGTCCTATTCTGTGCGCCGTTGCTCTATCTCTGTGCCTCCGTGACTGAAATCGCAGGGAAACTGTGTTGTATTGAAGCCGCCATCTGTTGTGCCTTGTCAAAATCGTGGAACGCAAGATCGGGTGGTAACCAACACGCCGTCCTCCTTGCTTTCCATAGCGACAAATCGTTCCAGATAGGAACGTTGGCATCAGGATAGCATGTCTCTCGAGGACGGACTCGAAGGGACGCGCCCATTGTCCAGTCTTGTGGTCTACGCTGGCCGTGTTCTATGTAGTGAATTTGAGATGAAGACCGAGATACGAGGCGGGGCTGTCTGCCTTTCAAAATCTAAAGCGCGCGTCATGAAGTCGTTCGACTGCCTGTAGCAGGACAATGAGCTGAACACACTACAGCATATTCACCACTTGGTGACAAAGATCTCGCCATCGAGAACATCACGGTCAATGATGGTTCTCAATGGTTCGCTGGCGCATCTGCATGTACGAAAATGTTCCGCAATCCTCGAGAGAACAAATCTATGCCGGTAGACGACCGAGTCCTTCCCTCCACGGGCCGCCCACCGACTCCTCCTCCCCCAGGCCTGAAGGCAAGCCCTTACTTCTCTCTGCCAACCAAGAACGCAAAAGCACAGGCGAAGCCGGCTGAAAAGATCCGCTCGCCGATGGCAAAGACTCCTGTGATCGGCCGCCAACTTGCCTCCAAAACCACGTTTGCGAAGAAGACCGGCAACCAGAGTATATTGAACTTCTTTGAAAAGGCGAATACACGGGAAGAGGCTCAAGCCCTTGCAAGCGCAGCTGCCCCGCTGTTCTTCAAGGATGCACAGCAAAGCGGTATAGCCGCGAGCTCGGCTGCGGAGGAGACGAAGTTCAACGAAGATGCAACACCGGTCAAGCGGAGGCGGGTTGATGACGACGAGGATTTTGAGACTGCAGTTGGCACACCCTCTCCTAAAATCCAGAATAGCCCCACTGAAGCCACCAGGATCGAACATGCGGGTGCCTTGGGTACAGAGCAGGCAGAGCGACCCAGAAGATACAGAGCGGGATTCTTGGACGACTCGAGTGACGAGGAAGATAACGACTGGACTGCAGCTATCAGTGGTGCAGCTGCCGACGACACCGATGAGTCGAATCAAGTACGAGGACTAGACACTGAAGAGTCTTTGGACGCCATTGACCCCAATACACGCCAGAGCCTAACGAGAATTGCCACCAAACAGTTCAACTCGGGTTCTGGATCTGCGGCAGTCGGATCTGCGGACGAAAATATCCCTGGACGTTCAGGAGTCCTTGCAGGAGATGTTCCAGCACTGAACCGTGAGGCCACAAGTGTTTTCGAGGCTGGCGAGTTCGGGGACGAAGACTTCGTGAACGACGAGTTCTTCGAGGGTGGAGAGGAGTTTATGGAGCGCCGATGGATGGAAGAGCAACGAGAGATGGGCATGGAATTCGATGACGAAGATTCGAAATCAGAGGCTGACAGTGTATGGACACCACGGAGCTATGTCGAAGATGAGCCCCCTGGCGAATCAAATGAAGAATCCCCGGGTCTAGCAGTATGTCCCGTATGTATCGGAAGCATTGCAGGACTATCTGAGGCACAGATATCGAGTCATGTCAACGCTTGTCTCGACAACAAGGCCGTCCCATTACCAATGAAACCTGAACCGGATACCACAACACTGAAAGCAAAGCCACTCAGGCGCAAAGCCTCAGACGCCGCCTCGGCGACGGCTTCTCTCAAGCGATTCCAGCGCGCGGCAATTGCACGCCCTGGCCAGTCCAACCCCTTTGGCTTGGATAAAGACTCTAAAGGAGGCTCAGCGTTCACCCGACTCATGTCTGGTCACGCAGAAGACGCCGCCTGGGCCGAAGCGGCCTCGAATGAAAACCAATCTCGTGGAAAGCCAGCATATCAGCGAACATGCCCGTTTTATAAGATCATGCCGGGCTTCTATATCTGCGTCGACGCCTTCCGCTATGGTAAGGTTGAAGGTCAGAACGCTTACTTTCTCAGCCATTTCCATAGTGATCACTACATTGGCCTCACATCCTCCTGGTGTCACGGCCCGATCTACGCCAGCAAAGTCACATGCAACCTCATGCTGCAGCAACTGAAAGTCGACCCGAAATGGGTTGTTCCGCTCGAGTTCGAGAAAAAGGTCGAGATACCCGACACAAACGGAGTTTTGGTGACAATGATCCCGGCGAATCATTGTCCTGGTTCGTCACTATATCTCTTCGAGAAAGTGACAGGCAAGAATAAAGATGGATCGGCCAAGCTGACTCGAATACTTCATTGCGGCGACTTTCGAGCTTGTCCTGCGCATGTCGCCCATCCACTTTTGCGTCCCGACGTTGTCGATGCCATCACCGGTCAGACGAAGCAACAAGTTATCGATACTTGCTACCTAGACACGACCTATCTGACACCCAAATACGCTTTTCCCAGCCAGCAGGATGTCATTGATGCTTGTGCTCAGATGTGTGTTAGCCTATCGAAAGAGATCGTCGATTCGAGCGACAATTGGGAAAAGGTCAAAGCCGATCGCGCCGGGAGCGTGATGAAGAAGTTCTTAGAACAAGGCGATAGTGAAGTCGTCGACGCTGGACTCGAGCAGACGGAGAAGAAACCTAAACCGCGTGGCCGTCTTCTCGTGGTAATCGGCACCTACTCCATCGGCAAAGAACGAATCTGCCTCGGAATAGCCAAAGCGCTAGGCTCCAAGATCTACGCGCCTCCGGCGAAGATGCGCATATGCAGGTGTCTCGAGGACCCGGAACTGGACGCTCTGCTCACTGATAATCCACTCGAAGCACAAGTACACATGACACCACTGATGGAAATCCGCGCTGAGACACTGCACGACTACTTGATCGGCTACAATGGTCATTTCGCCCGTGTCGTCGGTTTCAGGCCTACTGGTTGGTCCTACCGTCCTCCCACGTCTCGCTTCACCGAGAACCCGGCCGTCGGCACAGTTTTGCATTCCGAGGGTTGGAAGACGCGCTATTCGATGCGTGATCTCGCCCCTCAACGAGGGAGTACGAGGGAATCGAATTGTTTCGGAGTTCCCTATTCTGAGCACAGTTCATTCCGCGAGTTGACCATGTTTTGCTGCGCTCTGAGGATTAATCGCATTGTGCCCACAGTCAATGTAGGGAGCGCCAGGAGTAGGGAGAAGATGAAGGGATGGATTGAGAAGTGGGAGGTCGAGAAGAGGAAGAACGGCATTTTCAAAGTCGAGGTTGGCGCCGAGGGATGGGGTTCAGGAGATGGGCAGTTGAGGTATGGAGTGTGAGACAAATGGTGTCTGGTCAACTAGGTAGTTCCTTTAGACCTTGAATGGTTGTACAATTCCATGGAGACGAGGTCGATGTATTGTGCCTCGAGAAAATACCGTACCGTGCTTGGCCACCGGCTGATACGGTGTCGCTCTGCCACTATCGGAGGGCCGGATGGACACGCTATCTGAATGGCAACTTCAGCGGCTGTAGCAACCAGATAATTGCTTTCGCAAATCTTCAAGCTCTCCGCCGCTTTTGCTGCGTTCTGTAGAAGCCGAGTGGACCGACGCTTCTTGTCAGCATCACTGGGCTCTCTCTAGCAGCACAACAGGCACAACTGCTGACGTTCTCAGAGTTCAAGACGGGTCGGAACAGCTTGACCGCATCCAACCCTGGGTGGTTGCGATCATGGAGCGAGTCTCCGACTGGACGCTTGTCTGTCTTTCGCGCCCGACCGGACATTTGACAATCTATGCCATGCCATGTCGTGCACTGTGCCTTTCGCGTCTTTGATTCGCGCAAGTCCCCATAATTCAGCCCTCGAAATCCTTATAACCCCCGACCTCCCACATTTCGGGCACTCAAGCCCCCTTAGCCTTCCCCTGTAATGCCTCCCGCCGACATGCATCTTCTAACAATCCCCGATCGACCTTGTCCGGTGGGAGGTGCACATACCGCACGACACTGCCGCGGATGAAGATGTTGCGCACGCTCGAAAGATGCGGGTATTTCAGCTCGTCGAGGACGACGATATCATCGAGCTTGATGTTGAGGTATTGGTCGACGGATTTGAGGGTGCCGCGGATGGAGATGTCGTTCTTGAGCTCGACCGTCACGGTTTGTTGGGTCAGGGTTTTGAAGAAGCTGTTGTAGAAAAGGAAGGTCAGTACGTCTTGGGGGGGTAGCAGGGACAGGGTTTTGACCATTTACCTGAAGAAGAGCATGTCGGGCTTGTAGATGGAGAGGCCGGTGAGATGAGGCGCCGGTAGGATTATATCGCTGCTGCTGTTCTCGTAGACTTGAGTTGCGGGCTCCAATTACTCGCCTAGGATCTATCGAGCGCGCGGCTTCAGCGTGCTCACGGAACTACGAAGGATCAGTGAGGACATGGTACACAGTACGAGTACGAGGAGAATGTCATTGAAGCCGCACTCACGCACTAGTGGCCCTGCGGCGCGCGGAATCGATGCCAAGAATCTGTGGGGAGGCTGCCACTGAGGCTCTTTGATTTGCAGGACTAAGATACGGCGCATCATTCTAGCTGCTCTGTGCGTTTCGTTTCGCGGTCCAATTCTATTCTTCAGTGGTTGTAATTTCCCCCTCGTGCCCTTCCTGTTGGTGTATGGTACTTTTCATGAGTCTTAGCGTGCGTTTATCTTGTCTCGTCATTGTCGTGACGCATGCTACTACAGCTGCAGCCGATTGTCTGAGACTCCTCGCCTCCTCTGGACGAATCCCTCGCTTACGAGTATCGTGCACGAAGTTGGCAAAGCAATGCCAGTGGCTCGGTAACGGCGCCTGAAGCGAACAATGTGGCGCAATCACCGTGGCGAGCTTTGCCTTTCTGGTTGAGGCCAATCTGCGCCTATGATGTCAACGACAACTTGTATCATTATCGATCGCATTTCTCCTCCTCTTCCCCAGCGGTTGAGGTCCCGTTTCCTGGCGGATCGTCAGGTGCTTTTCATGGTAGGTTCCGTAGGCGACGGTCTCAGCCAGTCAAGCTTGCAGCGCAATATTGCCTTGGAAAACTCAGGCTATGTCTTGCTTGAGGCGACATGTGCCTTTTGTCGATGTACTGCCCAGCTTTCCCTGTAGCAGGACGCATTTCGTTTCATTTCTAGTCTTGTTCTCGTCGTTCTATCCCAACTTGGGTTCATAACACTGCTGCAGGTCTTACATTGGGCATTCCAGTTTCCTCCGACGCAAGGTGGAAGTGATATCTATATACTCCAAGTTAAAAGACATCAACACGACCACTCAACGCGCAACAAGCGGTCCAGTAGGCCTTGCGTCGCTTTCAGATGTCACAGACTCAGCTGCGAACACGGGCACACGCAGCTGTTGACTATGAGGAACAAGCCCAGAAGCTCTCTCTAGAACCCTCGACGAACGGTGAAGATCCCGATGCATCAGGTCATGCGGTCGAAGCGAACTTCATCACTCCCCTCGATCCCGTTATCGAGACTGCCGATGGCAACAGGCTGCCAGCAGTTCCCGTCCAGGAAGCGCACAAGATCAATCTGCTGAAGAACCGTTCGGAAGGCCGATCATACCACCCTGTGCGGCCGAGAGGGTTAACGCGCTTTGACAGGCAGAACGCAGGGGTCGGCGCAGTCGACAGGAATGAATTGTTAAAGGACGACCAGGAAAGCGAGTCGAGTCGGCTAGATGAGGCCATCCCCGTCCTACATACCCATCCGCTCTTTCCGCCCCTGCCTCTATACGGACCTCCTTCGCTGCTGCGCAATCTGCAGTGCATTTTCTTCCGCACAACATCGGCTTTCCTGTCAACGGCATTTCTCGCTGTTGTTGTCCTTGGAGCGATCTTCACCTCGACACCCCACCTCATCAGATATGTGTGGCTGTGGCTCACATTTCGAGATCCAGCCAAGCAGAGACCATTCTACGAAGAAGAACACAGGCGTGCGGCGATACGCAACGAGAAAGAGCAGGAATGGAGCTCCCGGAAGAGGAAGCGCTCTGCATCCGCCAATAATGAGACAAGAGAATGCACAAGTCCGCCGGGAGACGAATACACACCTCTAGAGGGAGGCCCGGACAAATTGGTATGCGACATCAGATATTATGCCCGTCGTGTCGGGCTCGATGCCGAACAGTTCAAGGTGCAAACTGAGGATGGGTTTATCCTGACACTGTGGCATATCTACAATCCGAACGAGTACAAGCCTAAAGCAGATTCGGGCAGAGAGCCTGATTCTCCCGTCGTTTTCTCAAAATCCCAAGAGGACCTCCAGCCACATATTCCCAAACAGTATCGCGACGGTGATAGGAGGTATCCGGTACTCTTAATGCACGGCCTGTTACAGAGCGCTGGAGCTTATTGCTCAAACGACGACGACAGCCTGGCATTCTTCCTTTGCAAATCTGGATACGACGTGTGGTTGGGTAACAACCGGTGCGGCTTCGTACCTGAGCACAGTCTTCTGAAATACCATGACCCGCGTATGTGGGCATGGAACATGCGACAAATGGGAGTGATGGACCTACCTGCGCTCATGTCCCGCGTTCTTGAGGAGACCGGATTTGAGAAGCTTGGCCTGGTCTGTCACAGTCAAGGAACCACGCAGACGTTTGTTGCGCTGGCAAAGGAGCAACGCCCGGATTTGGGAGACAAAATTAGCGTCTTTTGCGCGCTCGCTCCAGCAGTCTACGCTGGGCCTCTGATCGGGAAGATGTATTTCAAATTTATGCGCGTGATATCGCCAGCGATGTTCAGAATTTTCTTCGGTATTCACGCCTTCATTCCGTTAATGATGGCAATGCACCGCACGTTACCTGGCAAACTCTATGGCGCGATGGGCTACCGAGTCTTCTCATTCCTGTTCGACTGGACCGATACACGATGGGATCGTGGTCTCCGGGATCGACTGTTCCAGTTCTCCCCGGTCTACGTCAGTGCCGAAAGCATGCGATGGTGGCTGGGACGCGAGTGCTTCGCAAGACAGAAGTGCATCCTTGCAACGCGAGAAGACTGGCAAACGGAGGATGTGGAGGATGAGGAAAGGGAAGAAAGCCGCGAACGGGCGATGTCTCGAAGTTCCGATCGTGGCCAAACGGCTTGGTATGATGAACATGTCCCTCCTATAGCACTCTGGGTGGCGGGGAGCGACGAACTTGTCGACGGCAGGAGACTTCTCAGGAGGTTCGAACGTGGTCGCGAGCCCCATGTCCAAGTGGTGCATAGCAAGGTTATTGAGGAGTACGAGCATCTCGATGTCATTTGGGCATTGGACTCCATAGAGCAGGTCGGCAAGGAAGTTCGACAGGTGCTCTGGCAGACGATGCCGGAGGGAGCGAGGCGCATATGCAGGAAGGTGTCTGGGGTTGACGATGTGGTGGAGGCGAGAGATCAACGCTCAGAAGACCGACATTAGTAATTCTCAGCGACGAGCATAGCGTTGATGTCCGTATGTGCAGAAGCAATAACTACAAGAGACGTTCAAGATTGATATACCCCTCGGGCGCTTTTATCAGGAGCGAATCAACATAGTGCTTCGGCGGGTGGAAGGTCGCCAAAACCTGGAGAAGGTCGACGCTCTTTTGACTCGATTGGGCAGGCATATGCGGTACTCGACGAGCCGCAAGCCGCTGCCAGCGATCACGCACCCAGCTATCGCTGCGTGTCGCGGGTTGCCGATGATCCAGACTCGGAGATGACAGATGTAGGCATATCAGGTTGAACGTCGAGGGCAAATTAGCAAAAACAAAGTCCTGGTCTGGCATACAATATACGAATATGCTGCCGAACATGAGGTCAGCCAACTTAACCCCTCGTCAGTCGAGGTTGATTACGACGCTAGGGTTCCTGTGCTTGATATCTCTACGAGTACTGTGAAGGCTCTAGCTTCTCGACCCTTACTGTGTCGAGTCAGCACGAAGATAGGAAATATATTACGGAGTACATACAGCGAGAATTGCCTCACCGATAAGAGATGGACAATGGGAAGCGCGGCTATACCACGCGACCACGGGTCAGATGTACTAGTACCCGGTACTCGTACACTGCTGGAATATTCTATACGATATCATACCTGACCGACGACCTCGTGGCGTGCAGGTTGCAACCGAAGACAGGCATCAACACCCTGGAATCGAGTATTTTGATATCCGGGGTGTCTGCGGTAATTGTTTCAAGTGGACGCAGACCCGGTTAGGCTTGCCCATCCGCGCCTTAGGCACCCTTAGCTACGTCAAGTAGGCTCTTAGACTCTTAGGCTCTTAGCAGGGCGGCCTCGATTCTTCTCCCTCCTCCGCAACTTTCCCCTCTCCTCGTGCTCTTATCTTTCGCCTCGCTAACCAGCGGCCACTCACCTTTCAGCAAAATCTCGCCTGGTGTCATCCTTCGTGATTGCCCTTGTAGCTCTGGAGAAAGCTGGTGCTTCACGATCTCCACCCGACCGATAACCAGCGTCAACTTACCCGATGAAGCCCTAGCTGAGTGCCTGGGATGGCCAATTAGTCCCTGATGCCTCCAGTCCTCGCGGCCTTTTGACGTCTCTGAGAGGCTCGACAGCTTCGTCGGCCGCTTCCCAGCCGGTGCCATGCTTTTTGGCGTTGTGGTTCCCTAACTAACGATGCGATGCTTGATTATCCATTCCCTTCATTTCTGTTATGAATACGAGTAGGTGGCCCTCCATCTGTTGCCCATCCTCTGCGCACTCTTCCAGCAATTCGTTCCTCATTGCGCCGCTGCTGTGGGAGCTGGTGACAGACACTCGACCACGAACCCATACGATCCTCTCAGGCTTGACACGGCCAGACGTCACTGTACATATTCCATGAACACAACCTGCAGTCCGGCGACGCAACAACACACGCGGCCCCCGCAGCCATGAGCGCCGAGCGCAACTTCAGTACTGCCTCGCAGACACATCGCAGGTCTGTCGCAGAAGAGCCTGTTACATCAGTGTTGGCTGGAACCGAAGTGCCGGTGTTTGACCGAGAGTTGACGGCCGATGAAGAGGTTCTCGCTGCTCTTGGTTACAAGTACGTTTGCATTAGCTGTGCGCCTCGACCGAGATGTATGCTGATGCAAGGATAGACCAGAATTCAAGCGTGAATTCTCATTATGGACCTCGTTTTGTGTGTCTTTCGCCGTCCTTGGCCTGTTGCCGTCGTTCGCCTCGACGCTCTGGTATGGCATGGGATATGCTGGAACCCCTGGTATGGCGTGGGGATGGCTGATCGCCATGGGCTTCATCCAATGCGTCGCTATGGGCATGGGTATGTCTGGATTGCGCCTTGAATCGCCTTCCTGGTGTCAACCCTCTTTTACTGACCTCATGCCAGCTGAACTGTGCTCGTCCATGCCCACCTCAGGTGGTCTTTACTACGCCTCAGCAGTCCTTGCTCCTCCAGGATACGGTCCCATCGCGGCCTGGATCACCGGATGGTCCAACTGGCTGTGCCAGGTCACGGGCGCGCCGTCCGTCAATTATGCACTGGCTTCGATGATCCTTGCGGCAGGGTCAATCCACGACCCCGACTACGTGCCCCAAAACTATCAGGTTTTCCTCCTGACAACCCTGATCATGATTGTCCATGCGTGCATATCTTCGATGCCCACCCGTTGGATTGCGACGTTCAACTCGTACGGAAGTACCTTCAACATCATCGCCTTGGTGATCACGGTCATCACCATCCCGGCGGCGACGAACAGGACTTCTCAAGGACTACCTCGCTTCACCAAGAGCAGCACGGTCTGGGGCAATTTCTACGAAGGCACAGATTACCCTAACGGCGTGGCTGTGCTCATGTCATTCATTGCCGTGATCTGGACCATGTCCGGCTATGATGCGCCTTTCCATCTGGCAGAGGAATGCAGCAATGCCAACATCGCCAGCCCGCGCGCAATCGTGCTCACGTCCGGTGTGGGCGGATTAATGGGTTGGTTCCTGCAGCTGGTCGTGGCGTACACGGTCATCAGCATCGACGACGTTCTCGACTCAGACCTGGGCCAGCCTTGGGCGTCTTACTTGTTGCAGATCCTGCCTAAGAACACGGCTTTGGCTATTCTATCCATGACCATCATTTGCGGCTTCTCCATGGGTCAAGGATGCATGGTCGCGGCATCGCGAGTCACCTTTGCCTATGCCCGCGACGGCTGCTTTCCCCTCTCCCGGTATTGGGCTCATGTCAATCCAATCACCAAGACTCCGGTCAACGCGGTCTGGTTCAATGCGGTGATCGGGATTTTACTCACCCTGCTCCTCTTTGGAGGAGAAGCATGTATCGGAGCCATTTTCAGCGTGGGCGCCATTGCGGCCTTTGTCGCATTCACCATCCCCATCACCATTCGAACTTTCTTTGTCGGCAGCCGTTTCCGCCGCGGACCGTGGCACCTTGGCAAGTGGTCCTACCCCATCGGCGTGGCGTCGACCTGCTTCACCTTGTTGATGATCCCTATCCTCTGCCTTCCCAGTGTGACGGGCAAGGACCTGGATGCCTCACTCATGAACTGGACATGCTTGGTCTGGGGTGGTCCAATGTTGGGGGCTTTGGTGTGGTGGGTCGTGGACGCTCACAAGTGGTTCAAGGGCCCGAAGGTCAATATCCAGCATATGATGCTCGGACGGGGCGACAATGTTCTCGAAGGCAAGGATCAGGGCTCGGACTCAGGCAGTGGAATTTCTCCCGCCGTCTTGGTTGGTGCGGACAAGGCTGATTCGAAGGTGTGAGGGACTCTACCACAGTAGAAACATTTTACGAGATGAAATCTTTGGGGCAGGGATCTTTGTCCACCCCGCGATGTGATCCAGGCATACCCAGTACGAGTATCAGTATAGCAGTAGATGGATGTGTCTCCCGAGTAGCTGTGGTAATTTGATTCAAATCGCTCCGAGATTCTTGCTTCACATTCCTGTCCAATCGCCGCAGATCACATCGTCCATTTCAGCTGCTCCCAGACCAAGCCACATCTAATTTCGACTTCCTGGCCCCAGGGGTCCTTAAGGCTCTCAGGCTTTCAGCTGGACCGTTGCACGTGCCCTGCGTCAGAGGAAAAGGACCGACAGCGGATGTAAAAGTACCACGGGGGATTCGCGTCCCCATTGGCGACCTCGCTGTGGCCAGGCTGATTGCTTCCAGAAAACTTGGAACACTCGCGATCGGCACCGAGATTGAACACACATCAGTCGAAGCTGGAGTGGGCACTCGTGGCCCGGGGACAATCTATCGGCGTTGCCAATAGCGACGCTGGCTCGGCCTTCACTTGACTCGCGCGATAAGCTTCGAAAAGCCTTGACAAGACGCACCTGGCGATAGGGCTTAAGACGGTCCGGTGCGGAGTATGTACTGACCTCTTACGCTTCTTCTGTGGTTGTACACAAGTACCTCGTTCACGTACAGAGCCGGCGAGCTACCGGCAACGCTCGTCCAGGGACATCCACTGGCGGCTTGCTTCTCCCTCCGACGCCCATGTCACGAGGCAATTTGTAGTACTGGGTATCTCTTTGTCACCGTCCGCCTCCCCGTTCACGCTCGCGGACCTCTCGCCATCCAAATCGCACTACGAGACAGGCAATCCACTCACGAGCTGGAAGCTGGTGGAGGAGCTACCTACAGTTACATCACCAGGATGGCTCGGCCAGTCCTAGGTAACGGCCTAGGCGACGAAGGATCCTGCGCGATCGACGACCTGCTTCAAGAGGCAACGATCCTCCGACCAGCCTCCACTTTCCCCCACAACTCAAGCAAGATGAAGCTTTATCAAGCTCCCGCCGGCAGACCACGACCAGGACCAGCGCTACTTCGTACAGTATCTCGGCTGACGATGCAACCTTCCTATCGAGGGTTATAGTGCAGCCCTAGAGTCCGCACGTCATGCGACAACTTACCAGTCGCAGTGCACAGATCTGCTGTACGAGGGTCGGAAGGTAGCTCAAGGCAAGCTAAGAAGGTCAAAGAGCCACGATGCGGGTGGCCCATAAATACAAACTCTGTGTCGCGGTGCCACCAAAGTTCTCTTCTCTGTCACCTCTGCGCTTGTCCCAGAGCTTCTGGCAGTCATGCATTTCTCGACATTGCTGACGGCGTCGCTGGCGGCTGGCGCGCTTGCGCAGTCCGTCTCGGTCTCCAACCCGCACAAGAGGGCGAAGAAGGTGGTCAAGCGAGCTCCATTGCAGCGTGATCACCTGCCTCTGGCGAAGCGACAATCGCAAAGCTACCTGACACCTCAGACTGAGCGTAGGTGTCCCATCTGGCGATTCTGCCGCAGCCCAGCAGAGGACTGACCGAGCATAGCGTTCGAGGTCAACGGCACCGGTATCCCGGAAGTCAACTTCGACATTGGCGAGTCGTACGCCGGCACGCTGTCCATCGACGGCAATGCCACCAACGAGAATCAGCTGTTCTTCTGGTTCTTCCCCTCGGACAACCCGGCCGCCTCGGACGAAATCACCATCTGGTTGAATGGCGGTCCCGGGTGCAGTTCGCTGGATGGCCTCCTCCAAGAACATGGCCCCTTCCTCTGGCAGAGCGGCACCTACGCGCCCCAACGCAACCAGTTCTCCTTCACCAACTTGACCAACATGGTGTATATCGACCAGCCCATCGGTACAGGCTTCTCCCCCGCTGCAGACGGCGCGCCCGGGAAGATCAGGAACGAAACCGACGTGGCTCGACAATTCGCGGGCTTCTGGAAGAACTTCATGACGACCTTCAACATGACGGGCCGCAAGGTCTACCTGACTGGTGAATCATACGCAGGCATGTACATCCCGTACATCGCCGACTATTTCATCTCCCAGAACAACACCGACTACTACAACGTCGCGGGCATCCAGATCAACGACCCGAGTATCGGGCTCGACTCGGTCCTGATTGAAGGTAAGTTTCGAAGCTTGGGCATCCTGTCAGGGAGGTATTCAACCAACTGATTTGCCTCCAGTGCCTGCCGTGACGCACCTGAACAACTACGCCAATGTGTTCGGACTCAACCAGACGTTCATGACGGCGATCAACAAGAGGGCTCACGACTGCGGCTTTCCCCAGTACATGGACAACGCCTTGACCTTCCCACCCAAGGGCAAGTTCAAGGAACCCGTCAACGCCACCAACGAAAGTACGTGACGCAAGGAAATCGAGGTTCAGCCACGCACCATGCTAATGGCCATACAGACTGCTTCATCTGGGAGGACATCATCGCCGCGGCCATCTACGTCAATCCGTGCTTCAACTTCTACCACCTGACTGGTGAGTTCGGCGCTGTGCACTTTTGTAAACCCAACCTAACAAATTCCAGACTTCTGCCCCTTCCCCAACGACGAACTAGGGTTCCCCTCCGAAGGTGACGGTCCCAACAACTACTTCAACCGCAGCGACGTGCAACAGGCAATCCATGCCCCTCCAACATCATACGCCATCTGCGGCGACCCGGAACTCTTCCCCAAAGGGGACCCATCGCCCCCCTCGTCCTTCACCGTGCTCCCCCGCGTGATCGAACACACCAACAATGTCATCGTCGGCTCCGGCCTGCTCGACTACCTCCTCCTCACCAACGGCACGCTCATGACCCTCAACAACATGACCTGGAACGGCAAGCAGGGGTTCCAGACCAAACCTTCCGGTCAATTCTTTGTGCCGTACAACCCGACGATCGGGTACGCGTTCTACGAAACCTTCACCCAGGCCCAGATCCCCGAGCTGCCCGTGGGGTTGGTGGCTGGTGGAGGCATCATGGGCACGACGCACACGGAGCGAGGTCTCACTTGGGTGACTGTCGACCTGGCCGGGCATGAGATTCCGCAGTACGTGCCCGGGGCCAGTTACCGGCAGTTGGAGCTGTTGTTGGGGAGGATCAAGAGCTTGACGCAGATTGATCCCCATTTCACGACCCAGAGCGGGAATTACTCTGGTAGTACGCCTTTGTAGTGACCGTGCGCGGGTGGTGACATAGGGATGAACATGTACGAGGAAAGAGAGAGAGGCTAATGATATTCCAACGAGGCTAATTAAATACTCTAGTAGTCTACGCGAGTAGAGGTGTATGTAGTAGTATCGATGAACGAAGGACCATGTATCCAAAGTTCCCTACCCAACTCTCGTACGGTCACGCAGACAGTCAGCACCCGATCGTCGGTCAGTGGATGCGATTCGGCTGCACGAGCGTGATCCGACTTTCGACACGTGAGCCGTGAGATATGGATGGTCACGAGATTACCATTTATCGTCCCCGTATGAGCAAGGGGCTGGTCACTTACTCATCTCCCACTCGTAAAGAACCGAAATACAGTACATGTTCCTTGCAGAGTACGAGGTACAAGTACAGTACATCCACTATGTGGGTATTAGTGTGTCCACCGCATCTCTGTATCGGACCACAGCCGAAATCCCTCAGGAACCCGATGAGAAGTGTCGGAGTCATCCCGACCCGATGGCGACAGACCGACAGAGAGATAATTCTTGCTCGCGTGGACTTCGACAAGAGGCGCATTGACGAGAGGGTAAGACAGGACAAGATAAGGTGAGTTACCTGATCCCAACCCGTTAATTAGCCCCCTTTATTTTCTGTGGTTTGTACATTCTGCGAGGATCCGATCAGTGTTGCGGGTGAGATCGATACTCTGCCTGTCTGTGTCTTCACCTGGCTGGCCATCCCCTACACCTAGCCATATCCTACGCCTGGCCAGACCCTACACCTAGCTCTGCCCCTGCTCCTACTTCTATGTAATTACTCATACCTGCTCTCTACCATTCATTCAATTACCTTCTCTGAAATCTACTCTTGACATTCACAACATGGGCTCGATCTTAAATCCGACCCCCACCCCGCCATCCTCAGGCGACATTCTCAGCCTCAACGTCGAGGACCTCCACGCAAGCTATACCGCCCGAAAGCTCTCGCCCGTGGACGTCATCCGGCACGTCTACGCGAAGATATCGACGTACCCTGATCCCGCCGTCTGGATCTACCTGGTCCCGCTGGCCGAAGCGCTGACCCGAGCCGAGGAGCTCGTGGCCACATATTACCAACATGACAGCCATGACGACCGCTCAACGGACCCTCTGTCCCTCCCGCCACTGTTCGGAATGCCCTTCTCGGTCAAAGACTCGATCGACATCGCAGGTCTATCCACCACCCTGGCGTGCCCGAGTTTCGCGTACACGGCGACGGAAACGGCACCCGTGATCGCCAGGATCCTCGCCGCGGGAGGGATTCTCATCGGGAAAACCAACCTCGACCAATTCGCCACGGGGCTCGCCGGGGTGCGGTCCCCCTACGGCGCACCCCGCTGCGTGTTCGACGGCGAGTACATCTCCGGGGGCAGCTCTTCGGGCTCCGCCGTCAGCGTGGCCGCCTCGTTGGTCTCCTTCACCGTGTGCACGGACACGGGCGGCAGCACGCGCGTGCCCGCGGCGCTGAACGGGCTCGTCGGCCTGAAACCCACGCTCGGCACCGTCAGCGCCGTGGGCTTGGTGCCCGCGTGCAAGAACATCGACTGCGTGTGCGTCATGGGGCGGACCGTGCGAGATGTCCACACCGTGTGGGATGTGATTCGGGCGTTTGACGAGCGCGACGTCTTTGCGCGCCGACACGTGCCGGAGTGGCCTGCGTGGGGCGATCCCGTGCGGTTCGCGATCCCGCCTGCCCACGAGCTGCACGATCATCTTTCCCCGGCGTACGCGGCGCTGTTTGGGAAAGTTGTTGCTACGTTGAGGAGTCAGAGTCAGAGTGACCATTCCCCATGGTGTATCGAGGCCGGCACCGCCACCAGTAACTTTGACTACCACCCCTTCGCGGCCGCGAACCAAATGCTGTACGACTCGTCGATCGTGGCCCAGCGCCTGCTGGCCTTTGACGCGTACATTTCCTCGCACGGCCTGGACGCGGACGACCTGCACCCGGCCATCCGCACGACTTTCCAGCAGGCGCTGGACAACGGGTTCAGCGCCGTGCGTGCGTACGACGACATTTTCAGGCTCGCAGGGCTGAGACGCCACGCCGAGGTCCAGTTCCGCGAGTGTGTCGACGTGCTGGTCGTGCCCAGCACGGTCGACCACTTCACCGTCGCGCAGCTGGACGAGGAACCCATGGTGCGGAACAAGGTCATGGGCCGGTTCACGAATTTCGTCAATCTGCTCGATCTCGCCGCCGTGAGTGTGCCCGTGGGTTGGTGGATCGGGGGAAATGGCAAGAAGTTGCCCTTTGGCGTTACCGTCGTTGGACAGGCCGGGAAAGATAGGGAGATTATGGCTTTTGGGGAGAGGGTCATGAGGATGATGGCTGCGGAGGAGGCGGTGTGGAAGGGGTCATGAGGATGATGTCTGACGAACGAACGAGTCTTCTCACAGTGACGAGCGTAGGAACGCAGCAACGCAGCAACGCAGCAACGCAGGATCTGCTTGTAAGTTTTAGGTAGGTAGGTAGGTCAAATGTCTGGTCACCGTTGACTGTGAGCGTGATCGGGTGCGTGTGGATTATAATACGTCTGCATGTGACATGTCTGCAATGTGTACTACGGCCGTGTCGTAAAATGGGACATCTGTCGACATATCACATCTGTCCCTGCTGCTTCTGTCCTCTTGGGGTGGACGATCGCGGTCAGATATCCGTGGCGAGAGGATTGCGCGAGTGAGAAATCAAATGTCCAGGCGATGATTGGAGATTAGAGGTTGGGGCCACGGATTATAACTTACAAGGTCGATCACGTCTACCTCAATATGACTCGGTTCAGTTCAGTTCTGTCCATTCTATTCCAGCCTAGTCTGTTGTAATAGGCGGACAACGATCACGATCACCGGCCAGGCGTCATGTAAAGAAGGTCCTTCTCGCAGGCGTCAGCACGCACCCTACACTACACGGTGTAAGTAGAACAGAAATCCACACTCCAAATTCCAAAAGGGTGCCGCCTCTCTCTATTATCCCCAGCGTAGGGCTTGTTCCTTTGGTGTGCATCACATCTCCCTGCTTCTGGGCAAGTCATCTCCCTGCTCTGGGCAACATCTCCTCCCTTACGCTATATTGCTCACAAGTTGAGCATTGACCTGGCCATCAAATCCCTTCTTCTCACTCCCGGAGTTGTCGCCATGATTCTCGACTCGACCTTCATCGGCGCCGCTTGGTGGCATACCTGTGGTGATCTCGGGATCGAGGCCGTCAATCAAATAGAGCTTTCCCAAATCTTCATCGTTGGTCCGGACAGGGACTGGAAACGCAGTCGTCAAGGCCACGTATAGCAACCCCGAAAATGTGACCACGAGGACGTAGTTCCAGGAATACAGGTTCAGGATGCCTTTGTTGGTGATGCGGACACCCATAGTCTGGAGCATACCAGGAAGCAAAGGTCCCAGTGCCACGAACCACGCCACAAAGGCACGCCAGTTGCATCCGTAGTTGTACCAATATATCCCGTGGGGCTTGAAAAGATGGGAAATGTTGACGCCGTAGCCACGACGAATCCAGAAATAGTCGGTCATCATGACGCCCGTCGTCGCTCCCAGAAAGAGAGTATACGCGCCCATAAAGGCTAGGAACGTGGTGGCCTTGGCTTGAATCTCCCACGGACAGATCGCAAAGCCAATAACCGCACAAATGAATTGACCTCGACGGATATTGATATATTTGGGAAATAGGCCCGTTAGATCGTTGGCAAAGGGAATGGAGTTTCCAGTAACGTTGGTCATAATGTTGAAGAAGACGAACATGACCCCGGCCAAGAATTTCCCTCCTCGCGCTTCAAAGTTGTTGATGGTAACAAGAGGGTTCCACTGAACCTGACCGTAGACCACTGACGAAGCCACGGCCATTGTGCACCCCAGCAGCTCCGTCAACGTGACGAACACCGGAAGAGCGAAGAGCTGGGTGAGATAAGCGGCCTTGTCGCTCTTCGAATGTCGAGAAATGTCCATAATATTGACGGCAAAAGTGGCATTACCAGAGATGGCGGCGTTGACGCAGATGCCAAACAGATACCCCACAGACATGCCATTGGTAGGAAGACTCGGTTTCGTCCAGATCGAAGGCCATCCTCGAGCGGCAGTAATCGACCAGGTAAACAGAGCGGTCCAGTATAGTGGCACTAGGATGCTCTTGACCACGAACAGGAAACGGAGCGTTCGGATCGGTAGGTAAAGGAACGGCAGTGATACGAGCCAAAATATGACAAAGCAGAGGAGCTCTTGGGCGGTAATGTGGGCAGATACCGGAAAGGCATGGACCCTCCAGTGGGCGAAGGAGGGCCAGATAGCGGTGATGCACGCCTGAACCGCTTGACCGGCGAGACTTGTTTGGATTCCGTAATAGATGAGACAAGGGACGGCGCGAACAACCATCGCCCACTTGGATCCCCAGAGTCCAAAGGAAGCCCGGACGACGCCAGGGAAATTCAGCCCCAGTGTACTTCCCAGATATCCCGAGGCCGCGCACGGGATCGAAACGATAATATTGCCAAGGAGACATGCGACGACACATAATCCTGGATTGAGCCCAAGAGAAAAGGCAGAGCTGGACACTTGTAGCTGGGCCGCGTTAAATCCTTCGGCGATCCAGAAGAGGCCCATCTGGTACCATTGATATGTGCGGTCTTTGCGCCTGATGGGGTCCATGTCTTCGTTGGTGTAGGCGACAGCGTCTGCGTCTTCGGCCCCAAAGGAACCGGTCTTCGGTTTCAACACCACATAGTCTTGCCAGAAGTGCTTGAAGTCCATTGTGCTGGAGGTGAGAGCCGGGAATATTGTTCGTTGCTGGCACCCTCGTCGATGCAGTAGTTGCCGGACCGAATAGGCGAATTCGGGTGGGTTGGAGTTTCCACGTGGATCAGCTTCATGCCTGGTCGCACGGCTGTTCTTTTATACTGCGAAGGCGGCCATCAGAGACAGACATCAGACAGATACCACGGCCTCGACCTCGTCGAACGGTTGGGTCTGTCGGAACATCTCCGACAGATGCGGAGGTCGGGGTGGATGAGACCATTGTGTCTGAACGCCATGGTGTTGGATTGGTGCTGGATTGGTATGGGTATGTAGCTGCTATGTCGATAAGAGAAGTCTGTTAAGCAGGGCGGATAAGGTCACCTTTCAGAATCTAGCAGTGTTTCCAGGCCAGTTGCGAGAGATAAGGACCTCCTAAACCAGGGACACAAAGAGGCGATCCAATCGCGAGATGTCTTGGTGCCTTGACGAGGGGATCGAGCACATATTGGATCCGCGGCCGGCCACAGATATGAGTAGTCATGGGAGAGGACTGTCGGAACATCTCCGAAAATACGAGGAGAGGAAGATTGGTTAACTGACCACGTGACCATCCGCAGTCTTGGCAGAATACCTGGCTAGTGCACGTGATCAGCGCCAACGACTTCTATGCCTTTCTGCAGGCATCGCGAACTGTCCCTCCAGGAAGTTGAGTACCACGAAGCAGCGTCGTCGCACCGATGGTTCTAGAACGATGTATGCACGCCCTCTAAATGCAACAGTCGGTCAGGGTGGGTGAGTAAAGGTTCGGCCGCCTGAGCCGTCGGTGTTGTTCGCTTAATCATCATAGGCAACTTTCACCGACATGCCAACTGGGGCCTGACCAATCCTCTGCCGATAAAACGGGCGCGGACAGGGGAGAATCAGTCCATAAGAATACTCTACGTCGGCATATAAACATCACACCAGCGAAGACTCACGGCGCATCATAACTCGGTTGAGCCCATAAGAATCCAGCAGTCTCGACGATTTGAAGGATGAGTATGCAGGCTTGGCCCACAAGAATCTCATCATGGGAATAAAAGGGTGTTGGACTTGCAGAGGTAAACACACATCAAGAGTGGAGATCTCATACGAACATCAACGGACTGATTTCCGCGTAGAGCGTAAAGTTCGATGCGACTTGTATAGGCCGAGATGTGGCAATTGCACGAAGGCACTGCGCGTCTGTCAAGGCTATGGCATTCAGCTGTCCTGGCCTCGAGATGGCGACAGAAAAAGGACGATCATCTCGCGGGATACGCGCCGCGCGGTGAACACCCGTCAATCAAACGTCAAGATGTTCTTGAATGTATCTTCCTGGGACATATCGCTAGCGGAGGAGGTAAAGAACGGGAAACTTTCTTGTGAAGACCACCTCCGCCACAATGTCAAGCCGCTTGATACTGACGGTAGTTACCTGTAGCTCGTTGCCTTCGGACCATGAAAGTCCCTCGCCCGACTTATCTCTCACCCACCGTCATGAGCGGAGAAGAGTCACATTTACTGGGGTTCTGTATGTAGGGTGACTGTCCAGACCCAATCGTCATACTGACCAAGACATCCCCAGTCAACGAATCGAGATCACTGATACTAGGACCTACCGACGAGGAGGTTTTGGCACAATTCATCTTGACAATCGCCTTCTCCGATCCATCCGATGCGACCAATCCTGTCCTACAAGGCGTGTTTGCTCTCGCATCACTCCAGCTTCACGGCAGCGTGAAGAGCTTTCGCTACAAGCATCTTGTCATATCATCAGTTAAAGAGTCCATTAACTGGCTTGACGAGAAGACACTGCTGCAGAACTTGATGGCAACGATGCTGCTGTATCATTATGAGGTAGTATAGCTCCGGTCCGCACAGGCTTGCCATGGCCGGCTAACGATCACAGCTCTCGCTCGAATCAATCTCCAAAGGGAGCTGGGTAATATACCTCTGCGCCGTGAAAAAGATCATCAACACGTCACCAGCTATTCAAAAGCTGGTCCGACAAGAATATTCGGTCTTCCTGGACTGGATTTATTATCACGAGGTCCTCGCAGAGTTCACCGTCAGGCATTGGAAGGTACCGTATGAAGGTTGCGGCTTTGCTCCCACAGCACGATCACCCAGAGCCGCCATCGAGGGAAGCGGTCCAAAGGTAAATCGAAGCATTTTGCTCTTTTCCTTGACGCGGGCTAATACTGCGGCAGGTAGAAGACAACATCGGCTGTCCGACCGATGTGCTCCAGCTCGTTGTACATACATGTAGACGGGCTCTGGTCGCGAAAAGCTCCGAGATGAATGATGCGAATGCTCGAATGGAGCACACGGACGTGCTGGAACACCACATTTCCCGAGTAATAGGAGAGTATGGCCCGATCCACTTACCGTCTGCGGAGCCGATAGACCGGAATACCATGGTCGCCGATCTTCATCGACTCGCGTGCCTGATCTATGTCAATCGGGCGGTCCACCGCGTTTCAGGAACAGAATTCCGTCACAGGCGGCTTGTAAGAGAGGGAATATTGCTGTTGACCAAGATGACAACGTGCCAGAACGCGTGGCCATTGTTCATCATCGCCTGTGAAGCAGTTGGCGATGATCAACGCCTTGCCATCCTGGACGTCTTTGAACAAAGTCGGCAAGATCGACGACGAAGATCAAGTCACATTCATCTCATTCAACATATGGCCGAGGCTGTGTGGAACCAGCGTGACCTCAATGCGGAGAACCAAGTCGATTATCTGACAATCTTCGATGCGGTTGTTGCCGGAGTCCCATTCATACCACCATTTGCCTGAGTCTCGGAGCATTCACCCATTGTTCTGATAATCTACAAACGGTTCGGTCCACATTCAGCTTCTGGCCTAGAACCACTCATCATGATTTCCGTGATGTGTGAGAAACTTCCCACTGTTCGCTTCCGTCAAGCTCTGAATCACCTGAAGCTGATCGGTGACGGATTCATCCACCGAAATCGGCCCTTCGACGGTCGGGTCAATCTTGTGAAAAGCATTCAGCATGAATTTCCGGATTTCCGGGTCGCCTGTGACGGCTTGAGCTGTTTCAAAGTCAGTTCATCTGGTGCTCGACACGGGTCCGCCCTTGCGCCATCGACTGACCAGCATCTGTGTTCACCCATCCGGGACTCATAGACAGTGTCTTGATGCCCTCTTGGGCCAATTCCACGCCGAACTTGGTGGTGATGATGTTCATGCCGGCCTTGCTGACGGAATATCCCAGCAGGGTAGCAAGGCCAGTCACACGGGTGAACTCAAGGTCTCCGCACTGACTGGAAATGAAGACAATCTTCTTCTCTTTGCCGTTGCGAATGAGGCCGAGGAAGCTGTTGATGACATAGACGTTGCTGAGCAGGTTGTTTTTGATCTGTGTGCGAAGTCAACGTTTTAGCCCTTGTTGCTCTCAAGTGCAAATTAATTAGCTGAAGGAAACCATACGTTCTCGTGGATCTCGTGCTCCAACGCCGCCTCTTTGCCATGGCTGCACCAACGTCAGCAAAATCTGAACCACTCAGAGCGCATCAGTCAGGGTTCCGTTTGCTCACAAAGCACTTGGCGGGAGCGCGCTGGTCTCTGGCCCTGCGGAGCCGGCGTTGAGGATCAGGACATCAAGCGAACCGGCCGTCACCTTGGAGATTTCGGCGGCCGCCTGATCCAATTTCTTCGGGTCGGAAATGTCGGTGACCACAATGTGGATGTTTTTGCGCTTTGCAGCAAGCTCCTCAAGCGGACCGGCAGTTGCTCGACTCCGAATCATGGCGAACACTTGGTTCTTCGGATCGACAGACTTTGGCGTGGCGGTCAGTGGCATTGACAATGGTCATGGTAGGTCGACTCACAAGATTGTCGACGAAGCCGAGCTGCAAAAGATGCTCTGGTTAGCATGCGAGGATGGGATTGTGGCGTTTGATCTGGGGAAAGCTTACGCCGATGCCTCGCGTCGCGCCGGTGACGGCCCAGGACACCATCTTTTTCAGTTGCGTCGAGATTAGGCAGCGATAGGTAAGATAAGCAGTAAGTTCGTTTCACCTCAGTTCGTTTGGTTGTGGTGATGCATCGACAGAGGGAGGTGCTGTGGCATCCTTTTATACCCATCGCCGCACCCGTCGCCGCACCCATCGCAGTGCGCCATGGAAGTCAGAGGCAAAATCCGGTCGTGTACACTGTAATCAGTGGAAAGTATTTGCGAGGTAATATTGATAATCTCATGTTCGATGTGTTTCTTTGACACTGTCGAATGGGCGTGGCGGCACGCAGTAGAATCATGTAGTGAAGCAACTTTCCCCGACGCTTTGGCAAATCTTGAACCCCAATTACTAAGCAATGCGTCCACCACCCAGAAAGACAGGAAAAGGGTATGTACATGGCCGGGTCTATTCACTTTAAAAATCTCGTCATTCTGCCGATCAAACGCGGCTACCATGTTGGAACAAGACTCCCCAGCCTTGGATAGATTTCGTGTCTACTCCGGCGATGCGACACATATCCCACAGCACCGTGGCCACGGTGTCCAAGACAGTGATACCGGTCTGGGCCTCCCACCCGTCCACCAAGTGAGCGGCCTTGAGCCCGGTGCAAAACACAGAGACGACACCCGCTCCTCGCTGCGCCAACTGTCGAAACCCGTCATCCAGTGTCGTCTCGGAGATGTCAGCGAATCCTCGGTTGTCGGATTGACCCAGATGATGTTCCAGCGAGCAGTCCACGCCAAACGCGCGGTAATTCTCCATGATGGCCGATTGCACGTCGTCGGTATACGGCGTCAGCAGGCCCATGTGCGTAATTCCCAGCCCCTTGATCAGTCGATTGAGTCCGAGCACCGATGTCGTGGCGGGGATGCCGGTCGCGGCCGTGATGTCCTCGCACAGCTTCACGTCTGCGTCGAAGCCGAGCCAGCCTGACGACGTCCCGCTCCAGCCGATCACGTCGACTTTGGCGTCGGCAAGCAGGCGAGCGGCCTCGATGATGGCACTGTTGTCGAACTGGGCCAGGGCCCCTGGATCGAGGGCAATCTTGAGCACCCGAAACCGCGAGAAATGCACCGAGACATCGCGCAGTTGAGAGACGATCTGTTGCGTGAGCGGTTCCAGCACTGTATTCGACGAGGGCACAAGAATGCCGAACGTGATGCGGCTACGCCTTTGCTTGGTCATGGCACCACCTCGTAGACGATGATAGTAGTGCTAGAATTCCCGGGGCAGTAATCGGGTTGGTTGTACGGTATCAAAAGTGTTACAAGTGTCTGAGGTTGAGGGAGTCACGAGCTGAAGCTGTACAGCCTGGCGGCGGACCTCTTTTTGTCCCAAGCTACGCTCAGTCTGACAACACTCTGCTTTGGAATAGATGAAACCCTGTTTTATCAAGCCTTGTGCTGGAGGAAGGGCTCTCGGCTTTGAGCGCTCACCACCAGTTCCGTTTGTGGGTCATGAAAACCCAGCAGAAGGACGCATTCAAGAACGTATCCACGAATCATCTGCAGGGATGCATTGTCCCTGCGGTGGCGGCGCGACGAAGACAAATGGACCGGTGGATTCAAGAGTCTCACTGCATTGCCGTCCGTTTTGTCGGGTCGCGTCCGATCCGACAGCTGTAACATGAACGTTACCACCTAGTCATAGATTAAGAATTTCTCTACCGGACTTGGTCTAATTAGGCACTGTTGTATTGGACGACAATGCACCAACTAATCAATCTAGAATCGGGATCAGAAGCCCGAGCTTGTGCCTCCGTTGAACCATCCCAAGCCCTCTTCCTCCAGAAAGGCTTCGATTTCTTGGAAGTTCACAGGGTCACACTCCAAATCACCGTCCTGGCTTTCGGCAAACTCGGACATCATCTGCCAGACGTCTATGCTGTCTTTCATCCAACCGTCATTCCTGCGTCGCTCGACGTCGTAAGGAGCGGTCGGCTGTGGCAACTCAGCCCCAAGGACGGTGTCGTCGACCGTAACTGGTGCGCGAAGTGGTGATTGGAAGTGGACGGATACCGGCGGTGGTTGGCTGCTCTCATGGGAACGCTTGAGACTGGGGATATACTCTGCCGTCTTTCCCATGATCAACTCGAAGGCATCGCGGTATTTCTTCGCCCCTGCGCCCCATTGTTCGGCGATCAAGTACAGCACCGTGGAGCAGGCGCCCAAATCAGCCGCCATTTCAGCGTCGTAGAGACCTGGCTCCGACCACGCACAGTAGATCATCGAGAAGCCAGCCACAAACACCGAGTGCAGATCGAGCAGGGTGAAGGGCACAGATCCTAGACGGTGAAGTCGTCGGTTGAGCTGACAGACTTCGCCCGATGACCTGGCAAAGGAAGAAAACGGGAATGCGCGATTGGGCAACTTGACTTCGGTGAGCATTGTCTGGAGGAGCATTCGGCGAGCTCGATGGTAGTTGAGCAGCAACACAAGACGCTGGGCCTCGGGCAGGAGAAGCCGCGACGCAGGGGTCTGAACAGGGGTCCGGGAAGTGGACAACATCAAGTCCATCGAGCCATCACCCCCAGCGGAGAGACCAAATATGCGGTTTTTCCAGTCCTCAAGTTCCTGGAATCGCTTCGTAATCTTTTGCTCGATCGTCGTCCCGTGCCCCACCTTCGCGAGACGGGAGAGGGTGAGACGACTTTTCGCATTGAGTTGATCCAGCATAATGTTATGAATGTGGAACAGAACGTCATTCCGGGCTGGTATTGAGGGCGCTCCTGGCCGGCTTTTGGGGTCCAATGCTCGCGACCCACGACTGATTTCTGCGGGATCTGGGCTGTCCTCGAAAGAGTCGTCGGAATTCTCACAGGGGAATGGAATGTCGATCTCATCATCGCTGATGGCCAACGGTCTTCCCAGTACCAGGACGATTCTACGTTCCAGGTGATAAATGCTCCAAAATAATCTCCTCTTAAATTCGTCCGCCTGGGCTGTGATCCGATCTGTTCCCACTTGCCGGTGAAGCCCTAGTTCGACACATTGCCTGATCATCAGACCGCACAAATGCCATACACTAGATCCTATTGGAACAGTCAGAAGATGGATCGCCGAGAGCGCTCCTTGACGCAAGAGTTTGGCGTCGCATCCGAAGGTGGATGAGCTGATCAAGATCAAAAAAAGAAGGAATGAACGAGCGCAATGAGCCGGACTGGCGACGCACCTGAGGGTGAACGCAGTGCATAGATAGCAACCAAGAGGATAATCTGGATATTCTGAACACTTGGCACGTTAACCTGATCTTGTATCTTTGTCATTGCTGAATGGTAAAGGCTTCCTGGCTGCGACTCAGCGACCTGTTCCGATCCCACCAGTTTCAAACAGCGAGAACCAATTGCATATACCAACTGCAATACCACTTGATCATGGCGTGCTTCACTATCGGCCGGGTCTTCTACCTCGTGCAGACTGTGGTGAGCCTTCCACAGTTGTCTCCGGGAAAGGAATGGGAAATTAGGGTGAATATAGGTCAGATAGGCCGTCAAGAAAGACGTTAGCCTTTCCAAGGGCGGCAAAGGCGTTGCAGTGGCTGGACCCCTCCGGCTGCTGCTCGAGAAGGGACTCTCGGCCGCCTCCGTAGGTAGAGTTAAGCTAGGGGCAGGTCGTGCTTTCTCGTAAACAGCCGTCTCAATCATCAAGGCCAAGGACACCCCAGACGACACCCCGAAGTATTGAGGTTCGGCCGCTGCATGGAGAGACAATAGCCCAACACTACTAGCCAAGTTGGGCGTCGTTGTGTGGGAAGTCATGCCCTCCTCTGACCTTGCCGCGGCACTATGGCCATTGCTGGTGGAGATGTGCTCCTCTGCCTGGGTTGGCCGCGGGGAGCCTAGTTGTGCCTCCAGCGACGCAACCCTCGTTTCCAGCGCCTTGACATAGGATGAGGGATACTCATTTTCAGGAAAGACGCAGTTGAGCTTCGCCCTGGCGCAATTGGAACAGGCTGGTAATTCGTTGTCGCACTAGTTTTTGTTTAATCTTGCTGTCACATTCAACCTTGTGTGTGGACTTCAAGGAGTAACAGTACCTTTTGACGTCTCGTTTTACACCTCAGACATGCAACCGCAACTCGGGGGCGCTTGTTTGGCCTCTGCAAGCACGGTTCGGAGGGTGCATTTGGCGGCCTGGAGCGATCGTCATGTCCACTCATACTGGACACGAAGGGTTTCGCGAGCTCATTAGTTTTGTGCTAATGCTCTGATGGAATGTACATGCAGAGACATTTACAACAGATCGGTCGCGTCGGGTTTCGATTTGCGCATATTATGGCCTCGGACTCAACATGCACAACATCAAAACAGGGGAATGATGAGTCTCATCCACGGTGAGATTGTGCAGCAGAGACCCAGCAGCCTTATCGCTTGCCAAGGCACTTCTTATCTCTAAACCCGTGAAGGGCTGTGATTGGAGGCGCGAGTGGGGAGGGAGGAAGGGGAACGTAAGTTGGGATGTGAGCGGCCAGAACGCGGCGCGGTCTGTGACTGTTCTGCCATGCTGACTGCCGACACCGGTGTCAGCCCAGAAGCCCATGTAAAAGTAGCTTCTGATCTTTGAGGGAAGTGGGATCCAAATGGTTGAGTGAATGGTGGGTGAAAGGTAAGTGAAAGGTGGTGGAAGGCACCCCAAACGGGAACTCCAAGCCGCTTACATAACCGCTCCGCATCCCGTGACAGCGCGTCATCTTGACGCGTCTGATGGGCCGTCCAATTCATCCTTGCCAGATAATTACATTGTGCAGACAATGTCCTCGTTCTTAGGAGACGATTCGATTGCATGGCTCTCGAGCCCAGATCGTCGTCAGCCCACAACTCTCTGATGGGCACTCGAATACCCCACCCTCTATCCACGAACTATCATGACGGTGACGAATTTCCTTCTCCTCCTGCAAAGCGAGTGAAGACTGCTGCTCCCAGCGGCACCCCCAGCCCGAGACATAGGTCGCCGAGGAAACTTCGTCCTGCAAGAAGAATCGATGATGAGGTCCCAGACTCTGAAGATGATCAGGGCGGCGTGGACACAAGAGAGGACCAATTCCTCGATGCTCCAAGCGGTACACAGTTAGAGGCTACTCTCCCACCCATCCAAACGGACGAAGAAGCCATCGAAGCATATGAAGCCTACAAGGCCGGCGAACGTTCCGAGACGGAACTCGAGCAGGGGGTCGAAGGTACAACACTGTCGCGACTGGAGTCTCGTTCTTGGATTCGAGGACGCAGTTCAATATATATGGATGCGTTCAATCTCGCTTTGGACACGGTTCTGGAAGAGGAAAGGCATCTTTTCAATGAAGCAGAGCTTGACCTCTTCCGACAGTGGCGAGCGTTGGATTATGAGGTGCAATATCTCTATGTCAGGCTGTTCTTGAGGAAGACGAGTAAATGGTTCCGCGTAAAGGACCTGCAATATTACAGCGATATCGCGGATATGGACTATGCAGTTGTGGATCTCCTGAAGGAGAGAACTCTGCCAGCTGTTGAAAACGAGCCTGAGATTCACCCAGGAGAGCTTGAGCCCCCTGAAGGAACAGTGCTAGGTAAGAAGTTCACCTTCGCAGAATGCTCCTCCGAGCACATCACCACCTTGGATGAGGCAAGCAGTCTCCTGCTGTTAGATGAGCTGAAGGCGCTCGCGAGGGATGCCAAGGTCAAAGGCAAGAACAAGCGTGAGCTGCTACATAACTTTCGACGGACAAGCGGCAAACAAACAGGACTGGACTTCCAAGGCCTGAAACGCACAGAAACCGAAGATTCCGTCGGATCCGTCATGTCTGAGGACAACCAGTCAGCGTACGACGACGATGACGAGGAGAGCAGCGGATCCAAAACCCCAGTCGCCGGCTTGAGCAATCGGGACGCCCACTTTACGAAGAAGATTCTCACTCGGACAGGTCGGTGTATTCGGCTTTCCTTGACACCTCTGAAACTGTTTGAACGAGTCCATCTTGTCTTCTACCGCAGCACTGAATGGACGGAGAAAAGTCTGACCACCTTGATCCTCGCGAAGATTTCTAGGCGCAACTTCCCGCAGTACATCGTCAGCCGGTCGACCACAATCTTCGAGTCACGGGCTTTGCTTCTTGAGTTCGAGGCCAGCCTTCGGACACAATTCAAGGTCGACAATATCCTTGAATTTAACGGCACCCCGGGGCGGAAGTCGCTCGAGGATGTCAAAAAGATCGTTGAGGCCGTATACCCGCGCTGGAGAGCTCTGCTGGCAGAAGAACAAAGAAAGGAAGAACGTCTTTATGAGAGTGGCGAAGGTGCATATCTACGCCGCTTCAGCCCTGCTTGGGTGTATACACGCATCGTGCACAAAGGGCTGCACCCACTGGCAAGATTCAAAGAACATCTGCATGAACATGAGATCCTGAGTGAATTGCTGGACCAAAGACTCTTCCACGCCGCGAGAAGAGGAGCTTGGTACCAGCGAAAAGCACTTCTCGAAGAACATTACATGCACGCTCTAACCCCAGACGAGGGCCGCGTCCCCGAGGTGAACAAGAAGCACTGGAAACGCATCGCACTTCAGACCTGCGAGCAAGGTCTGCAGGACAAAGAGTGTCACATCATCTACCACTACGACCTTCAGAAACGGATCAAGAAGCTCGAGAAGCAATTGCGCATCCCACTACGAGAGCAGCACGACTTTGGGCACGTCAGACTCGGCAAACCTTTTGAGCGAAATGTGGTGGGCATCAAGATCGAACAAGACCGCGAATCTACACCATCGCGGTCTCAGGGCCTCAGTCGCAAGAACAGCATCGGCATTTCCAGCAACGACAAACCCCCGCCTCTAACCCACCAACCCAGCACAACCGGCCCGGTTGGCTCAAAAACCATCTGGCTCGACCACTTGGATACTAACCTCCCTGTTTCCGTCGAATCAATGTGTCTATCCCATTACCGCTACGTGCTAGGCTACAAGGGGTACCACTCCGAAGGCGGCATCCTGCGCACGCTCTTCGGACTGCTCTTCTACGACATCTTATTCTTCAACCCCTACATACCCAACGTCTTCCAGACAGCGTATCAGACTTGTCCGCTAGATCTGCATACCGATTCATTCTTCTCATCTCGCATGCCCGAGATCCTGGGTCGAGTCAATCAGATCTGTAACGGCGAGGCACCAGACCTGATCAAGCGGGTATGGGAACAAGAATACGAGAGTCGAACATGCATCGTCGGTGTACGATGGGATGAATTCGAACGCGACGATCTCCTAGAGCTGGTGGAGTGTTTTCGCGGCCAGGCGCTAGGGACGATCATGCTTGTCATGGCACAGGAGTATCAATCTAGAGGAGGCGGCGTGCCGGATCTGGTGCTCTGGAAGGCGTTTGGACACGACAAAGCCGCCGAAAACGAAAACGATCAGAACAGTGTCCTCGCAGAAGAGAAGATATCGGTTAGTGCAGATGGAATCAGCAGCAAAGCAAAGGGAGAAGTCGTGTTCGCAGAAGTAAAGTCTGCGAACGATCGGCTGAGCGATACGCAGAGGCTCTGGATCAGTGTGTTGCTTTCGGCTGGGGTGAAGGTTGAGTTGTGTCATGCTGTGGCTGGAAGAGATCAAGGATAATGTCTCCTGATTCCAGCAAGGACGTCGCGGCAGAGTCTTTGGGACGGAGGATGGCCCTGCTGTGTATTATAGCATGCAAAGGTGCGAGGGCTGCAAGCCATGTTTTGAACATCTCCCTTAGCTCCCTTGTGACAGTACTCCGTACTAACCACTCAGTGCATTAAGGAGTCATGTGATCGCTCTAACCTATCTGGTACTAGAACAGTAGGCAGACACCGCACCCTAACTTTCTTCCTCTCTCTCCCTCTCTCTCATTTCATTCTCTTCTCTTCTCTTTTCCGCTTTATATTTCCCAATGATTACTTGAACCGAGGGCGTCACAAGCTCTGAACCCAGTCGTCGCGACGAAACCGTTACCGGGACATTACAAGCGGTGAGCTACTCGGAACCTTGTTGTCATGAGGTAGGCTGTCCTGCAGCGCGTACAACTCAGGCGTGCATGCCGCGTTCTGCGAAAATGCCACATCCAGTCTCCTGGCTATGGTTGCTTGTAGCTGCTGTGTTTTCAAGCACGTGTCCAACGTCGAAAGTGCTTTTGGCGCAAGTGACAATCACGCATGGCGATATGCTACGGTCTCACTGGCAGTCCGAAAATCTCCAGGTTACGCTGGAGAGCGGCTCTCAGAAGCGTCATTTTTCGTCCGGACAACTGGTGGTGCATCGTTGTCTGTAGCGCCCGGGGTCGAGGCGTTTCTTGGATCATTTCGAACAGAACCAATTGACATTATCGATATGGTAGGAGACTCTACGGAATTTATAGTCTCTGGACCGTACTCACGGACGACAAGATGCTATGGCAGCCTCTGCGAGAGTACCATGACGAAGCAGCTGCGTTTATGCTCTCTCTTGAGCCGCCTCACGATCGCTATGACAGGCAAGTGTCTACACGAGATACAAGAACAGGTTCTGGTGAGTTTTGAGCAGCGTTGACGACATGAGTCTGGTATCTTCAAATCCAGGGTCAGAAATAGTCGTGGGCTCCCGCCTTTACTATCCAGCCATACAACAGACCCCTGAGAGGAGTTAGGATTGCAGTCAAAGATGCGTTTGATATCCATGGCACCAAAACCTCGCTTTGCAACAAGGCGTACAACGAATTATATCCTGTGGTGTCGGTTACCGCTGCAGCGTTACTCGCCCTGCGAAGAAGAGGAGCCCTCTTAGTTGGCAAGACGAAGCTGAATTCACTAATCTCATAGGAAGATCCCACAGAAGCTACTGACCACTCTGCTCCCTTCAATCCCCGCACAGACGGATACCAGAGTCCGGCCGAGAGCAGCAGTGGTAGTGCTGCGGCTATTGCCATTCACGACTAGTTGGATATGGCCATCGGGATTGACACGAATGGAAGCGGGAGAAAACTCGCAGTCGTCAACGGATGCTTTGATCTTCGCACTCCCCATGGCTTTGTCGGTACAGAGAGCCTCGTCCCGAGTTTTAGGTCGGTTGTTCATTTGTTATGTCGTCGTTCCTAAACTGAGCCAGCCCGTTTGATGGTCCCTGTATCTTTTGCGCTGGACCTGCCGAAGATGCAGTCGGTGGCACAAGTGTGGATCGATGAGGCCGGCAAGGCCAAGCCATTCAGGTTCGCCCACCACACCGACCCCCTTAGATGGTCAGTGAAGATACTCATGATAACCAGCTGCCGAACAGGATCATCTGGCCAATGGACGTTCTCCCTACGCGAAATGCATTACAAATGGAACTCATCGAAGCATTTGTGAAGGACTTAGAATTAACGCTTGGGATCGAGCGAACGGAGGTTTCGTTCGCGGATATGTGGGCGGCAAACCCTCCCAAGGACGCTGCCTCAGAGTCTCTGACCGACCATCTCGCCGACGTGGATTTCTCTCTCACTCAGACTCCCAAATTGTTCTCAATGTGACTTCTGCATACTCAGGCTGGGTGGCAGCCAGTCTTTTATAACAACCACCACAACCTCGGCCGCTTCAGACAAATCTATCGAGGAAGTTTCTCTCGGGAACCATATGTGATGCCTTATAGCCGATGGAAATGGTGAGATGATTCTGGCGTCTTTCTGTTGCGAAGACATTACTGAAACTGCCTGATTGAGGGGTATTGGCGCTGTCTGTCTCGCGAGAACAACGAGATGAGGGTATTGCACGCCATGGCGGTATTCAAGCAGTGGATGATGCAGGAGATCTTCACGCCTGATGAAGAGACCGTCGTGGTGGTCTCTTGTGACGATGCTACGGCCAGCATATCGTGATGCCCGACCAGCGTGAATCTGCGATATGCGTCTTGTCTGACGACTTGAAGTATCTTCTTGTTGGCTTGAGCCGGGAAGACCACCGACACTGCGAAATGGCTTCTCCAATCTCTACCTATTCCCCATCCTTGGAGGGCCCGAAATTACCATCCCTCGTGAGTACGGGTCGCTCCAACCACGACTGGCAGTGTTGACGTCGCAGTAGTTGGCCAAATTCCTTTCCAGCCTCTGGTCAGTGGGCGCGTGGAGCAATTGCCTGTTGGACTTTCACTTCTTGCGGCACCTGGTAGGGCGCTTCAAGAATGCCACTATTCAACGAGCCATTACTGATACGTGCGCAGGAGAGGACATGATGCTCGTGGTCCTCACGCGGCAAGTCCTGGACCATTCAGGACGGCCAACCTACGTCTTGACAGGAAAGGAGATGTACAGAGCGGCCGAGAACCGAGAGCTCTAAACAGCAGCACCACAAAAGAGCACAAGGCATAGCGGAGGAATCGGGTCCAAAACGATGAGATTCACAATGCATGAGGCGCTAGCCAATCATTCGTGAAGCATGCTCGATAGACGATGCCCTGGCGACGTCCAAGGACATTTCCCGCGACAAGGTAAACAATGATGGGTCGAGCTGTTCTTGTCCGAGGCGTGTGTCTCGGCCAAGGCCTCCGGCTTTGCCACGCATCGAGCACATCTCTCCTGCGCAACGCGCGCCTCGTGGTTCACCAAGATTGCACAGGGACATGACCAGAGTCAGCGGGACCACCGGCACGGTGACGGCGATCCAAGCCCAGATGCTCCAACGACTGGAGTTGAGTTCGTGCACGTTCATCCCAAAAATGGAGCAGGTGAAGCTTAAGGGGATGGAAAAGGTCGCCATCAGCGTCAATTTCTTCATGCGTTCCGTCTGCGCCACCGCCTTCGTCGCCTCATTGATCACAGCGGCGTTCATCAGGATACCCATGCTTTCATTGCACGCCGCGGCCAACTCTTTGGTGCGCGCCACCAAGTGCACATGGTCCTCCTCGAGCCAGAAGGTCACCAGGTTCGATTTCTGACGGTGCCCGTCTTTGTCCGCTCTCGGCCATCCGGATCTCGCACGTCGTCGCGGCGTCGCCAAAGTTTCCTGGAGACGCAGGTGATGGCAGTCGAGCAGACTCTTGTACTCGAGCAGAGCGTTGACGGGAGCCACGACAGCTGTGGATCAAGGCAGCCGATGTTCCCGCTGTGGCTGACGGACGATGTCATCGATGGACACGTGCAAGGTGTTGAGGCATTGGCCCTCCGAGAAGGCGCCGAACCGGTAGACGTCGGCAAGGAGGAACAGGGAATCCTGCTTCACAGTTTCGTGGTCAATCAAGCGGCCATATTCGAACGGGAGCAGGGGACGCCGATTGGCAGAAAGGGCTGTCTCGGAGCAGGATCTTCGATAGTCGTGCTCCCCGGGACTCGACTCTTCGTCCAGGCTCGTCATGATTATACTTGAGCGCGACGTGTTTGAGGTGTTGTCTGGACGGGGAAAGAGCGTCATACCATGGTCGCATGATGTCTCCAGTGGCAGCCCAAGGTCCTGGCGGACTTTGATCGAGCCGCCGTCCACTATCAAGCCAGACGATTGCTGCAGCACCCCGTTTTGTCAGCCGTGCGACGCCCTCTGGCACGGAAAGGTCTTCACACAAGGAGAGCAGTGGATACTGACCTACTCATCCACTTCCATACCTCTCCACCGATGGAAATATCCTGCTCTACAATGCTGAACCGAACTGCTCGTTTATGGTCCCGTACGCCTGGGCAATCGAGTCTCCCGGGTTTTGCCACCGAGCCAAACTGTCGAAAGTAATGGGCCATACCATGGCGCTGGCGCGGTCTTCTCTTCTTGGACGTCCCGCAACGTGCCGCGGCTCGAGGTCGCGATTGCCGTATCATGGCGGCAGATGGTCGAGACTCAAAGTCGAGACGTTCAGACGAACGATGTTGCGCGTCGAGGAGAGGGGCAGCGAGGGCCGCGCCAACACCGTGCTATCTATGAATGGGGCGCCGACGCGAAGCTCAAATGACGCTGGATAGAACTCGGTCCGGGTCGCCGCGCGATACTTGGCTCCCCACGGTCTGTATATCCATCCTACCGTGAGATTGCCCCGGAGGAAAAAAGAACGTGGCCCCCTTGGATCAATAGGCGCTGGCCGGATCTGCAACCGACCGGCTTCGTTTCTTCGAAAGTGTGGACGCATCCGAGCGTCCGTTTGCTGCTGGCCGGATCCATCTCTCCCAGTGACTCTCGCCGAGCATCCTCCTGCAGCGCTGCAGTACGACGGCATTGCAGCGTAGAAAACCCCCCGAGTGTGTGAGAGTGAAGGATCTTCGTTGCCTGCCCTTTGCTCGTTCGTGACTACAGACAGCACTTGCCAGTGCGCACCCAGGCAACCTCCCATGCATGTAGCAAGGCAAGCTCGTCCTGTCGCCCACCCGCCTGTCCAGTCCAATAGCGAACATTCTCAAATCCCAGGACCGGGGAGTGTCTTGGGACCTCGTGTACGGAGCACTCGTAAGAGGAGCGCACGGCCTGACTCACCGACGCGCATCCCGTGCAGCCACGGAGAAGGATTTGGACTACAATAAGGATGTCGCGAAGGTTTTAGGGCTCGCGCGCGACATTTTTGGCCAAAGCGTCAAGGATATGATCAATAGCCAGGAGGAGACAATCGCTATAGTCACTTACAGTACTGTACCCGTGACTTTGATATGAACTGTACTGTATTGTACCGAGCACAGGGGGTGAGATTGGGTGGTGAAACGGAAGTTTGCAGCTTAGTGATTAGCTCTTAATACGAATCATAGGCATGACTATGAAGTTCCATCACATCACACAAGAGGTGCAAACCGGCTTCAAACCAGCTTGGCTGGTGTGACTCCATGGGTACTCTGTACAGAAAATGAACCCCCCTCCCATCCCGGCCTTGGATCGTTTGGAGGTTCATGTGCATTAAAGTGAGGCTCTCACGCTCTATGCTGGTCTAGATCTAAGCTCTAGCTCTAGCTCTAGCGCTTGCTCTAATCCGAGCGCCAATGCCATGCTATGCTAGTTGCAGTTACGATGCCAGGAGACCGCCAAAGCTGACATCCATGTGCCAGCCCCATATGCAAACAACGCCGTCGTTGGTGTACACACATACCATGGTGCTCACTCCCCCGCGCCGTGCACCCGTTGAGCCCTGCTGCTGTTGCTCACCAGGATCTTCAATCGTCCAGCGCCGGCTTCAGTCCAACTTCTTGGCACCACCCAGCCAGCCCACGCCCCTCTCAACCGCCTCCTTGCTCGCCGCAGCGGCCGCGCCAATCGTGCCGTCGCGATTCCTCCTCACCCGGCCGAAGTTAACGTCCAGGTCCAGGAGGATCTTGAGCGCATTGCGACTCCGAAGGTACGGCAACGGAGCTTTCGCCTCCTTCAGCCCGATGCCCGGTTCCATCTTGCCTGCCACGCCCGCCACGCCGGCACTGGCTTCTTGCTGGCTGCCCGGGTAGGGGAGGACGGTGGACAAGACCTCGTACGCGGCCAGGGTGAATCCGAACTGTGGCGACGACCGCAGGATGCGAGCCGGTCCGCCCTTGAAGAAAGCCTTGAAGCCCTCATCCTTCAAGATTTTGCGCGCGCAATCCGTTAACCCCGAGTATGTGGCCTCGCCTTTGCGGGCTTCGACCTGCAGGCGCGTCTTGATCACATCACACGGGGTGGTGAGGTACGCGGCCGGCATACCGGCGATCGCACCGGCAGTCAGAAGCTGCAGCACGCCGAGTTTCTTGGTTTGCGATTCGCCAAACATGTCACGCTTGAGATGGTTGTACGTCGGGAAGTAGATTGCTGAAAAGGGAACATCGCGCAGCAGGCAGGCCGAGGCGCCCTTGTAGAGACCCATCAGACCGAGATTGCGCACGATCCACATGGCCGAACGTTTAGGCACGGCGTCGGATTTCTTGGCCAGTTCACCTTGGACTTGCAGACGAATTTTGACGATTTCCAGAGGGTTGGTGAAGACCTGTGCGGGATGTGAGCGGGATGCTGCACACCTCGACATCGATCAAACGAGGGACGAAGAACTCACCACCTGACAACCACCAGCCGAGCCACCCGCCAAAATCTCCGCCCACAAAGGAATCGTACCGGTCTTCTTGTCCGTAAATCTCCCTCTCACGAGATCATTCACGGTGAGTTTGATCGCCTTCTCCGGCGCGACGCCCACCAACTGAGGCAGGACACCCGAGTACAGGCCCCTGAACCCTTCGTTTCGGATCACCTTTCGGGCACAGTCGATTGAGTTTTCGTACAAGCGCTCGCCCGGCCTCGTGCTCCGCTGGTTCTGCATGCGTGTCTTGACGAGATCGATCGGGTAGACCATGAAGGCACCAAACGCACCGGCAATCGAGCCCAGGCCGAAATGATGCGCCGATTCGAGCAAGCCGTGCAAGAATTGCCTAGATCTCGAGACAGCGCGGTCGGCGGCGTCGGCCATGGCGGTGAGCCTCGCCCCGACCGTCTGGTAGGATGCGTCGAGCACCTTGGCAAAGTCATCGAGACTGAGCCTGCCCTCGGGCGAGTCCAGACTGGCGAAATGGAACAAAATGTCGGCCTCCATGGGCGTATAGAGGGAGAAGCGGGTCACGCGCGCAGCTTCATTGAGGAAATCGGTGCGGTCGATCCTCCCGTCGCTGGATTTTGCCGTTGCATTGCGGATGATCAGGTCGACGAGATCCATTTCGCGGATGACGTTCTGGAAGGCGCGGACGTTGGCGTACGAGATCTTGGTACCGGCGGAAATGTTGCACAAGGTGGCCAGGTTCTCGAGGACGTGATCGGACAGCTTGTGGCCCGCCGTCGATCGGATGATGCGCTCAAAGTCTTCCGGGTCGATGTAGCCGTCCTTGTCGGTGTCATACAGGTGAAAGGCCTGTCGAATGCGCTCGCCCTGCAGGCCACGCATCATCTGCGCAAATTGAGGGTATGTCATCTCGTGTCTCTTGGTCTTGCCTCCGATGTACAGTGAAGCCCATTCCGAGTTGAAGTCGAAGGGAATACTGTTTTCTCCTTTGTACTGCTCGTAGATTTTTTGGAAGTCGTCTGACTTGACAGACCCGGTCCCATCCTTGTCGAACAGCCGGAAGGCGATCTCGTACTCGGCGTCGGGTTTGGCAAGGAGGTTGTCAAAGGCTGCCCACTCCGACATGGAGATCTTGCCCCGTTTCTTGCGGTCCGCGACACCGAAGAGGATGCCATACTGCTCCCGTTTGATTTTGTGCTGCATGTGACGGTCGCGTCAGCAATTGCACCCGCGGATGAGGCAAGCACAGACAAGGACAGCGACTCACATAATCTTCTTCCGGCGGAGCAATGGCATTGATGAAGTCCTCCTCACTCATGTACAGCTCACCATCGTCGTCTTTCTTTGCAAACTTCAGGAATGTGTTGCGCGACTCCGAGGATAAGCCTGGCGGAGCTTCTTTGCCCAACAGGGACTCCTTCACAGCTTCCGTGACCGTCGCCATTCTGGCGGACGAGGTAGATTGTCGCCGCGGCGACCAGGTCGGGAGGGCAAATTAATCAGATCGATGGCGGAGAAAGGAGGTCAACCGGTCGCAGGCCAGGCGCGCAGATGAGATCGAACAGAAAAAACGCCAAAGGACAGACGCGCAAGTGAAGCGGCAGTGAGACGAAGAGCCCGACACTAGAATCGACACCGCCAAGCAGCAGAACAGAAGGCAAGGTCTAAGACGTGAAATCTACCGCACCCAGAAATCTGGTATGGACTCTCAAGGGACACAAAAGAAAGTTTCACCCCTGCTCTGACCCGTTCTTCTTCTTCACGCAATCCGCGGTTTCGGAGAAAGCGAAGATTAAAACCACAAAAATTTGGAGCTCCCCCAAGTCCCCCGTCGCCGGGTGCCGTTACGAGTCGCTGGCTCTTTAGCCGTGCCCCCTAACTGATCTAGGTATCCCGGTCCAGGGGCAACCGGCCACCATACCGAGCTTGGTTTGGACCTCGGGGTTATGTTCCGCGAGCCGGCGGCGCGATCGTCGCCGACTTACTGTGACGCTTGGAGAACGATTCAAGAACGCAATGCTATATAGCCACGCCAGGTCTTGGTTTTGTGCATGCCACCCCTTTTCCCAGGTCCTCTTGTCCCGCCTCTAACCCACTAAGATACATGTAATGATATACTGGTACATCGCCGTCGCGCCATGTGTCGGATGCGCCGAAGAAAGCAGCCCCCGGTCGTAACGTCGTCAGAAGTACTCTGTATTTGCTGCCGAAAGAGGCGATGTGGTAGTGCTGTGCGGTCCTGTTCGTATTCACGTCGTATAGTGATAACCTCCTGCTTCCGAGAGGAGGTGGCCCACCGATGGAAGGCTCTCCACCGAGGACGACATGGCTTGACCCATCTCACTGGGTCGACGACTATGCAACGGGTTGCCAAGGCTGATGCCACTGTCGTCGGCATGGTCAAACGGTTCGTCAAGCGACGAGCCACGCTCATACTCGCTCACCCCCGCATGGCCAGAGCTCGCCCGGGATCGGTTCCGCGTATGGCTGGACCGTGAAGGGTTTCTCAAATTTCGAAGTCCTTGTTGAAACATCTACAGAGGTCACGGTCAGCCTTCTGCTGGAGAGAGGCAAATAGAAAATGGAGACATACCACTTTCTCGACGTCGGACAACGATTCTCCAAGCTCATTGCAGAGCGGCGCCCATATCGAGCTCCGATGCTTGTGGTATGCATCGGTTACCCTTTGGATCCTGGCTTCATCCCAATTGGTGTTGCGCACCTTTGCCAGGACCCGTTCGTGCCGCTTCCGACAGGCATTCGCCGACTTCCCGGGAAAGTGCTGCCGGTGTATCTCTTCCCAGGACATGCCTTTCAGCTTGGCCTCCATGAGAACACTGTCCTCGTCGTTGCTCCAGGGCCCGCTTTGCCCGGGCTTGGGCAGTGGCTCCCTTGGAATTTGCGCAACGGCCGGCATGGCGTTAGGGACCGGCAGATAGGTGGGCATCATGTGTTGCTGGTGATATTGAAGGCCGTGATCCGAGTAACCCATGCTGTGCATTTGTGGACCATTCCAGGGAGCCATGGCCGGTGGCATGCTGGTCACCATGGTCGTCGACGTTCGGAGATTGTAAGGCGCTGGTCGCTGATATGGACGATGTATGGTGGGCTGCTTTGGCATTACTTGCTCATGTGCAGGCCGTGGAGTCGAGGCCCTGGTCGATGGAACGGCTGCGGACAACAAAGGAAAAGAGGTCGGGATTATCGATTAAGAAGGCGGTCGAGCAGCGAGCGTACAGAGGAAAGGGACGGTAACGATTGAGTCGATTCCTCAAAGGCAGGCTGGCGGGGGACTGGATGGCATGAGATAATGTATGCCTGGATGCTTCGAGCCTGACCCACGTTTTAAGAACAATGGCGACCTGCGCAAACAACGTCGCAAAAGAACTTCAAACACACGGGCGTCAATTTCAGATTTGCCAGAGACGCGAAGCCTGACATATCTGGCCGCGACTTGCCGGAGTCTCATATGTAAAACTGTCCACGATCCATCCCTCAGGCGTCTAGCCTGCAACGGCGCCTCGGGGAAATGCACGAGGTGTTCGTCGATCGAGCACCGAATGTGCTCACTATTGGACGCTCCGGCGTAGAAGAGCAGATGAAACTCCAGCCTTCCCGTCGGTCCACGACGAGGTGGACCGTACCAACGTAGCTGCCGGAGTTATATTGGGAAGCGGTCCCTCCATGAGGCAAGCGAGCCATTGGTAACACAGCATCAAGCGGTTGCCGATCAGGTCATTTCACTAACCGCCGGCAGCCCAGAACCTGCGTAGTTAAGAATGGCAGTCGAAGGCGGCTTCGGGGAATTTGGGGACGCGCGACTCACACTGACCGGGAGTGGAAACCCTGCATGCCCCAGAAGCCTAAAATCGTCTGGCTGCTCTGTATCGAGATTGGTCAGATTGGCTAGACCGCCGTCTGATCGTATCTTGGGGCAGAGAGGTATAGCCGCTCATGGTCGAACCCGCGAGGCTTTCAGAGGGCCGACACGAGTTCGCCTCCCAGTCGTGATTCCCGCCACTAGGGCAATCGCTGGCGGAGTGGGACATTCAGTCACGGTTCAGGACGCTCGGGGCCTTTCCACGTGTCTCCCCATATGTCTACGCAGAATTGGTGCACTTCTGCTCTGCTTGACTGAGGTTGGTGGAGATGAAACTGGAGTCGCGTAAGTAGGCGCTTAATCTCTTGCCGGGTCTAAATTTAGCCAGCATCTCTGGGGATCGATGTCATGCATGCCCATCCGTCTTCCGCCGTCTAATTGGATCATTTCAGCGTTCAATCTAGCCGTCAGATGCCCAGTCTCAATTGGCCGCTGAACACAACCCGAGCAAAAGAGGCTCGACGCTGAAATGAGAGCCGACCATGCAGATTGTGGAACAAGCCGCCAAGACTCAGTCAACAGGATGGCTCTGGCCATATCCACGAAACGGCTTGTATACGTGCTCCTGAGTTGGGAGCATAAATCCAAGGCAGTCACAGATCTCCCTTGTAGGAAGAGCGGACTGGCTGGAGAAGTCACGGGACGAAGCGCAAACGTAAAGTTCGATGGAGCAAGGTCATACATTGCTATTTTCTGAGAGTACCAGGTAAAAGACGGTGTTTCCCTGCTTCCACTCGTGGAGTTTTCTCCGGCCAGGCTCAGACACCCGCGAGGAGTGATCTGATGCCTTCAGATGATACATCATTCCCAGGAAGGCTATTAATCGGCGTTCTCGTTCGCACAGTGGTTCATGTCGTGACACATCATATCGCTAATAATCAAACAAAAATGCTTTCCAGACACACCAGATCTGTCATCTGCGTGACCATCGTCGCTCATCTCGGGACATCTTGACGTGGCTGCCATAGTAGTCCTCCTCCTCGATCGGAGTGACACTGTATACAACAGGTGACTCGGAGAAGGACAGCTGTCGACGCTGTGTGCTTGGCTTGGTGGGCGAAGACTTCTTCAAGATGCTTCTTGACGAGCTGGAGTTGACATATGCGTATGTTGGCTGTTGCATTGTCGAGTACCCGCGCTGGTTGAGGCGGGTATTCCGTGCTGTTGGGCTGATGGGAGATGGTGAGATGGGTGACTTGAGCGGTGATCTCAGTGGCGTCAAGGGAGACTTGAGTGACAGGGATGGTCGAGTGGTCTGGGCGGTGGAGATGCTCAAGGCCAACTTGGGCTTTGCGGATCGTGAGGCAAGCATATTGATAGTGATGTGGTTGACTATTGGGTATTTGTGGTGGTATGATAATGTTGTATGATGTCTTGTGTAGACTGTTGTATTGCGTGTGCTGCGGTGCAAGAACTTCAAAGTAGACTAATGGAAGCTGGTGATATATCAATGATATGAAGACGGAAGGGGTGGCAGGTATTGGCAAAAATAGCAGCTGAGTTGGGGAAGAGCAAATATAGAAATGGGCCAGCCAAATCTAAAATGCAACAACAGGACGGAACTATGAATAGGAAACGGCCCAACAATCAATGTGTGGATGGAGAGAAGAAAGAATCAGGTCGAGCGAGCGGCCGGGCGAGGCGTTAGATATACATCTTGAAACGTAAAGAGACTCGAATATGCAGACGTTGCGGCGAGACTCGATCCTCATTCGTCCAGCCTCGACAGGCCGGTAGATAGACAAGCCAATCACGACTCCCCTTGACGCGCTCACCTTGTGATACTCTGGCGATTCTCACCACACCGTCCAATAGACAACGCAGCTTCCTCAGGCACACGCAGCTAGCGACTGCATGCCTGGTGTGACCCAGTGCGACTCAATATCACGGACTCTCACATGAATCTGTCCCTTCATAGGAGGAATCCGCATGTTTTCTCCCGCTCTGCGCTTCCGGCAAGGGCTTCTGCAGGAGACTATCGGTTTTGAACCCTGTCTGCTTGCCTATCTGGGTGTTCCTGTAGGTGTGACACGAGGTGACATAAGGTGACAACAGGGCGTCCACGCAGAAGTGCTCTTTCCTGCCAGATTCGGTTTGTCGATGAAGTGGACACTAGAAGCGTCCATAAGAAACAAACCAACAATCTGCCATGATGGGATCAATTGCAGAGGCAGTTGGTCATTTGATCTTCCGCAAAGGGACATTTGAGAACATTGAAGACTGCCCAGGTTTGACAGCATAAATCCAGTCGTGGGCGCAATGACTACAGCTGAGCAACGTTTCTGGACACGCATGAGATGCAGAGCATCGACCGCACGTGCAGCAATTCCAGGGATAACCCGGCGCCCATGCTACCCTCATCACGAGCGCAAGGGCCAGAAAAGGCGAATCCGTAATAGGACGCTGCATCCACGACTCTCAACTTACCAGGCAATATGGGTGATCCAAAGCGGTGCACCTGTGCCACCACCACCAGTTGATGGGGAATCCCCATGCAAGTGTGTCTGAAAAAGCAGAGTGACCAGTAGGGAAGGCATGTCGCAGTCACCCTGTGGCTCTCGAGTCCCGTAAACCGAGACACGGGAGCAGCAACGCTACGTGCGGATGTAGACTGTGCGGTAGATGTGCAATCTTGCCCCAAACAGCACGACGCAAGCACAACGGCTCTCTGTGACAATCGTAATCCCGGTGGGACGCAAGCTGTGTTTATGATGTTGGTGGATCCGCCGTCGAGTACAGACGGCATTGTCGATGTGGACCAGAAACGGAAGGTGATCTTTGGAAGTCAGTACATTATTCCTGTCTAAGACGTACCTGTTTATTGCTCGAGGGCCGCAGACGCTCGCAAGCGCGAGAATTGCTATTGTACCGGCTGAAGACGTGTGGTATTGGCAATTGGAGGCTTATGCTGCCGAGCTCAAAGCCAACACATCAACGAGGGTGTACCGTGCCGATGAAAGGACAGCGTGCAGTCGACGGAGGCGGTTTAGCATTGCCGATGGAACTACTGGCGTGGAGAGCATGGCGTATACGGTGTAAGGCGAGTCATGTCTTGGTTTTAGCCTGTTTGCAATGCGTATCAAGGCAAAGGCGAGCATGTGGGTTGGATCTTGACGCCGATTATTGTTGTGGCGAAGAAGGCGAACTATCGAGGCTGCAGGGAAGGTGCGCTGAAGGAAAATGTGCTGACTGATTGCATGCCGCAGCAGGATTATGATGATAAGCAGTCGAGTGATAGAAAGAAAGCCGCAGCCGAAACCGTTGTGATACATGTCGACACTCATGTCGTCAATAGCGTCATAGAGCCGAGCCACCGAGTCTTTGCTTTTGGTGCCGCTGCTCATACAATGACCGCGATACCGCTGCGCCGCATGAAGTCGACCATTAACCTGATCCGAAACAACAGGATAACGCTTTTGTGACCGAAGCCAGGGGGGTGCATAGAGCAAATACATGGTGGGAATCGAAATGACTGGCTTGGGTCCCGGGATTCCACAGTCTGGGGGAGATGGAAGACAGTGCCGCTGCTGAGCCTCATTTGCGTCCGTTCGCTTACCTGCCGGCGTAACGATCATCGCGAGCGTAGTCTCGGCCACCAGCGTAGTCACGAGGGGCCTCATCCCGGGCAGCAGGAGGGTAGCCACCACGATCGCCAGCACTGGCGCGGTCGTAGTACTCACGCCGGTCACCTCGGTCGCCTCGGTCTCCGCCACGGAAGTTGCCGCCACCGCCGCCGCCGCCGCCGCCGTAGCCATCGTCACGTCGGCTGCTGCTTTCGTATCGATCGATGCCGCGGCTGCCGTAACTATCGTCTCGCCTGCCTCCATAGCCACGTCGATCATCGTCATATCGAGAGCCACCGCGGTAGTCGCCACCGCGATATTCGCCGCGGTAGTCATCACGGCGCGGAGGGTAACCTCCACGACGATCATCATAGCGATCACGGTAGCCACCTCGGGACGACGGGCCTCGGAAGTCGCCTGTTCAGAGTCAGCAGGAACATCTCATGTCGCGATGCCAAACGTACCACGCTTGGGAGGACCAAAGTATTTTCCTGGCGTGGGAGTGCGAGGACGGGCACGACGCGCCTTCTCGATGCTCAAGGTGCGACCTTCAATGACCTCGCCTTGCAAGCCCTCCTTAGCAGCCTCAGCTTGCTCGTTCGACACCATCTTGACGAAGCCGAATCCGCGAGACTCTTTGGTATGAGGGTCAAGCATGATAGAGCAGTTTTCGACATC